TTCCAAATCACAATGGCCATGCGCATTACGAATTGACCCCTCTCCAAACTTGCCCATTTTTGCCCTTACTCATTTTCCCCCATGGCATTCTCCAAATCAAGCTTGTCTGTTTTCTTGAGTTATTTTGTCTATTTTTGTTTCTGCACTGTATCCTTTTCAATATTTTTGGACATCTTTCTTTCCTTAAATGCAACTTCTTTTTGTGTTTTGTGTATCATTCAAAATTGTGTCTTATCGCTCGCATAGATTGGTATCTATTTTACGATTTACTGATGTTTGAAAAACAAATTTTCTCGTTATTGTACGATTGTAATCTATTTCTGTTTATCTTGCTTTTAATTTTTGCTTATAAGTTTTATATTTGTTTTTGCTGTTTTTAGTAATTATTTTAAAACTAAAATTATTTTCTCTTGTTTATGAACTAGCTACTGTGTAAATTTTTAATTTAAAAATTATTTATTTTGGCTTTATTGAACTTTTTGCCTTAATATAGAGTTTATTTGAAAACATTGAAATATATGCGTTGAAAATCAATTCAATAATAAAATTCTTTATAAATGTTTTTAATGTTTTAATTGACTATATTAATTTTTTTAGCATAGTTTTTTCAAGCTTAAAAAAGATTGTTTTTGAATCAGGTTGTATGATAAAAACATAGAAACATTGCGTGGACAGTATGTCGTCAAGTTTACTACTATTTAAATCTCCTAAAATATGAATCAAGGTCAACTTGAATTCTTCTAATTTTGGAACTTAAACTCCTCGAACACCTTTCTTGTATTTTCCCAAATTCCTCAATTCAAACCACCCTGTCCTTTTCAGACACTGCCCTTACAGTTTCCAACGCCCCTTCCCATTTCAAATTTGCCCATCCTTCCCCATCATTCATAATGGTAAATTCCAAATCACAATCCACCTTCGGGTTGGCCCCCTTTCTTCCCAATTGCAATTGGCCCCAATCCTTCCTCCCCTTTTACTCATTTCCCCCATGGCAATTTCAAAATCACAATTGCTATCCACATTTCGAGTTGACCCCTCTCCAAATTTGGCCCCAATCCTTCTCCAACTCATTTTCCCCCATGGCAATTTCTAAATCACAATTGACCCCCAATTTTCTTCCACTTCCAATTGGCCCCTTCTTTCCTCCATCAACACTCCCCCATGACAATTTTCAAACCAAAGATGCACTACCATCCTTTACCCGCAATCGACCATCTCATTCCCCCATACATATTCTCTCATCAATTGGCAATTTACCAGATGCAATTCTTTGTTTTTTTTCAGTTCGTTCATTATTTTTTTGCGCCATCTTACTTAATCACATTAGATACATTTATTTCTTTGAATAAAAAACTTTTATTTCTATACATACTACGACTATGTCCTCTTTTTTTATAGGTTGGTTTTCACTTTCGATGTTATTAATTTTTGAAGAACAGACTTTACGTTTATTGTGTGTATATATTTTTTTGTCAAGGTCGCTATCAAATTTTGCTGATCGTTTTATTTTTGTTGTGTATCTTTTTAGTAAATGCTTTGAAACTAATTTAAAAATTATTTATTTTTGTCAATTTAGTGGATAATGCACAAATATAGTCTTTAAAATTAATTCTTTTTTTGCTTTGTTGAGTTTTTTGTGTTTATATAATATTTACTTTGAACATTTAATTGTAACAGTTAAAAATTAAGTCAATCATAAAATTTTTTAATAATGTTTTCAATGTTTCAATTAATTATATTAAATTGTCATTATATTTTCTTTAGTAATCTTATAAGAAGATTATTTTAGAGTAAAAATGTATTATGAAAGCATGGAAACATTATGTAGACAGCATGTAATTGAACTTTCTACTACTACTATCTCATAAAATATAACTGAAGTTCAAATTTCATTCTTTTGCTTCTCGAATTGGAATTTTTCAAACACTCTTCCTGTATGGATTCTCCCAAGATTTTCAATTCACACTCAGTCCTCTTTGCACACTGTCCTCAATTTCAAATGCCCCCATTTCTAATTTACCCATTCTTCCCCGCATCCATAATGACAATTTTCAAATCAACCCAATCGCCTTTGGGTTGCCCCCTCTTCAATTTCCTTGCACTCTTTTCCCCACTCAATTTCCCCCATCGCAATTTCCCACTCTTTCCCATTTCCAATTAACCCATTCTTTCCCACCTCACACCCATAATGACAACTTTCAAATCAAAATTGCGCGGGCCCATTCCAAATCGGCCACTCTTTTCAAATTGCCCATCTTTCCCATTAGCAGAAAAATCAGTAAAAAGTGTGTATATTGGTGCTCAACTTATTATGCAAAATCAGACCCAATAGCAACAACAAAATTTTCATTCTACATTATACCAATATGATTCAATATTGGGTCAATTCTGGAAACAATGGATTCAAACGAGTTAAGGTCAACGATCTGTTTAGAGTTTGAAAGTGAGTTGCAACTATCAGGAAGGAATTTCGGGATTTTCTCTCGTTATGATTCTTGCAAAGCAAACTATCAACTAGATTGTCCTCTGTGTATTTAAACGAAAGAATACTAGTACTCGTTGGTATTTCGTCTGCCGAGTCTACTTGGGTAAATTCTTCCAATAGATCCATACAATCGTGAAGCAATCGGTATTAAATAAACTATCAAGGGTATATAAATACTATATGAACCAAAGTCTAGGGTATAACGACCCTTCTTATGGGACAGAGAGGTTTCGAGTGTCACGATAAAAGACCTTCATGAGCTAAAGAACTCATAATAGACGGACAACCCAGTGTGGTTCAAGTAACCCATTTCATTCTATTAGCACTATCCAATAAATATTCAGCTTGAGAATGCAAAATGAAACTACTCCTATTTATATCACTTACCTGGTATGTGTATCTTTTTCAATGGTTAAAACTTGTCTTTGACTCGCAAATCAACAATCTGTCTAAAGTGAATTCTTAAATCATCTTTTTAAATAGAATTGTCCTGCTACTATTCCTCAGATGCTGGAATCAGTCAATTTTACAAATCCGAGTGCAATTATTTGTCAGTTGATAAATAAATAGGCTAGTATGACACAAAGCAATGAATCATTCAATCAATGAATCAACACAAGCCAAACTCAATTCTTCTATCAAAAAGATGACAAAGAGTCTGTTGTGCAAATGACCATGACCCACTGAAAGCTGTACCAGATGATCAACTTGATTTTGTAATAGCTTGACATAACAAAGATAAGAGACAACTTTTTTCACCAAAAAAAGTAAACGAACATAACCATGTATCTCAGCAAGACTTGAAGTACTATCGATCTAAGGTTATGATCAAAGTACTTCTTCCTCAATCTTTTCAAGTTATCATGTGGATTCAAATCTTTCAAACAACATAAAACCGAATGTCTGCTTTCTTCTATTTCAAATAGGAATGATCTCTAAGGTTGCCGAGCATACAGTTCCTTCCAATACAGTTGAATTGCCTCGTATGCCTATGATTCTGTAGTTAACTGCGACATTATGCATGTCCCATTATCAAATCGATCTTTGATGGGACAGATTAGAGTCAAGTGAATTCTATCAAAACTATACAATTCATAGCCATAAAACTTGATAGTCTCAACGATACCAAGGCTTTTAGAAAATAAGTTACATGATTTGCTGTGTGATAAACAGTGAAAAAAAAGTTAAGGGTAAATTCAAATAGCATATAATAGGTACTCTTCAAATACAGTATTTATAAGAAAATATGAATTCATATGAACAAGGTCAAGTCGTTCTATTTGACACCAAGTTCAATACAAAAGTAGCCAAGGTAGATTGAAGTCCCTCTCTCGACAACTCCAAATTGAGCTTGTAACTAGGCATAACTGATATGATAAATACCAAACGTACTCTATTTATGACCGACTCGTTCGATTCTATCTACAAGGCGTAGTGAACAAGAGAATGAATGATGCTTAAAGAAACAATACGCAACTCTTTATCCGATGACATTGTTCTGATTCTATCAAGCAAAACACTCAGCTTATTCTCTTTTTTAATAGCTGATTGCCTATTTTGTAAAATTACTTGTTTCCACTCAATTCAGTTCAAACTCGATTCAACATAGCCAAAACCTAATCTCTTGAAATCAGTTGAATTCAAACTGATTCCTGGACACTAGCTCATATTCCTATTGTCTCTAGTCTTGTTGATTAGATAGAAAAATATATCCCTTCCAAAATTGAGAGATATATTGAATTCACAACATAGCGAAAGAGAGTGGTCGTAAAACACTATTCACAATTCTAAATAAATGACGAACTATAGAAGAAATACTATGTTAACGACTCTTCGAGAACAATGGTGTAGTGAGAAGTGTTGTCCTATCTCCTTTAAGAGTTGCTGTTATTGTTGTCGTCAAGTGTGGAAATCAGATAGTAAATTCTGCTTTTATAATCATCTCTGCCTGTTTATACCAAGACCTCAATAATTATTGCAATGAAATAAATACAAGCAACTTTTTTCCGGTCAAGTTGTTGATTGACATAAGATTGATTGATTAGTTCGAATCTAAAACCATTCGTCGAGTATGATGAGGAGTGATATCCTTCTTCATGGAATACTAGTATCAAGATCGAGTTGAATCATAAACTTGATATTGTTCTTCCTATTAAGGTTGTTGCACAAACTTTCCAAACCAGTAAAGAAAGTTACAACTATATAGAGAATAATATCTACAAAGATGCAAATAATGATTCTGCAAGTAAGATTGTATATTCCTTGCTTTATTCTACAATTTGCCTTTTCGAATAGAAATTTGATTGGCTTCTATCAGTGAAGATTGTATGATATTCATTTTAGATAAAAAAAAGGAAGAAGAAGAATAAAGTCCGTGTGAAAAGAATAAAGAATGCCTTAGTAATCAGGTCCTTGAAGCATTGGGCAATTTGTAACGATTAGATATGCCATGAAATAACATACATTAAACAAATTGTTTCAACAGCCTACTTCTTACTTTATGTTATTCAAATACAGGTCATGCATATCAGTAGAATGGGTAAACAAAACAAAGTACCATAAACATTCTACTGTTACAAGTAGGAGGTGCTGGTAGTGAATACTTTTTCTACTTATGACGACCAGAATATCGTTGATGTTTCTAGTGAGAATCGAAGTCAAGACTTTTGGCTCATAACACTATCTCTGTAGTCTATTGAACTAGGAAGCCATTTCTTTCTTTTTCCACCTTATATCTTTCATCATCTATTTTCTTCCAAAGCAAATTGGTGTATTTTTTGTTTAGCGAGTTGTATAAAAGTTGAAATGAAAGGAATCATTTTCTTTATCTTTTACTATATAACATATAAACATGAAAAAAGAGATTCAATAGCTTGTATCAGCAAGGTTACTTTGCTTCATTTTGCAGCTCCTTTGTGACCAATCGTCTGCAATCTAGTTGAGTCTTCTTCTAAATCAAATGATTCTGTAGTATATGAATAGTATAGTTTATCGATGTGATACTTCATTTCAATTAAAGTTCAGTTTTTAGTGTTCAGTAATTGCAACTTTCTTGAAAAGACAAGATAACAAGATGATGACTACTCTCCGACCAGTCAATAGAAACAAGCAATAGACTTTTAACACAGTATCTTTATCAAAAAAAAATAATGATTCTATGACGCAAGTTGAGCTTGGTGCCAAGGCAGTGAAGCGAGAACGCTCTCACCAATACTCATAGGAATCAGTGAATTCAAACAAAGTTTAATTGAATTCCGTACAGATACAAGAATAGTGGATGCTGATTGATCTATGCTCATCAATAGTAACATATTCTCAATATTCTAGAAACACATTGTCATTCAATATGAAAGTCAATCCACAAATGTACCTTAATTGAATTATGGACAACGGCTTACCCTAATAGTGCACACAGCATACAAATATCAAGGGAAACATTGATGCTTTGCTGCAATTCGGATTCTCACCCTGTGATTCTCGAATGAATTGATCTTCGACTTGATTTTAGGTAATCCAAATAATAGTCTGTAAATCATCCTTTTAGAGTAAAGACTAAATTATTTTAGACAATTCAAGATAATCTTCAACAATTCGACGCTGAATCAAGCATATAGGGTACCTAAGGACCACATAAAACACTGCTTCGGATATAAAGACTCTGTACATACAACAGCAAGATTTCAAGTGGAAAGGTACAAAGTCTTTATCAACTCGACAACTAGCAGTCAATAAAGTATCATTTCTACCTTAAGGAAGCCATCTTATACAAACACCATCTAACAGAAACTCTATTGGATAACCCAATGTCCACATAATGACAATTCAACCAACTCTCTCGTAGATACCCCCTAAAAGATAACAACGTATATTAGTCTTGCTATCAAACAATTGGTTTTGAATGAAAACGTTGATTCAACTTTTGTATGCATCGAATTGTGCCGTTATCTTGTCTAACACATTGATTCCATTCATTACTAGGGCTATATTTCAATAGCCAACTTTGAACGTTTCTAACAATCAACGCATTTAGATGCGAATACTTGAAAAAAGATTGACATCTGATTCTTGTCTGCAAAGTGACTATAGCGTACCCAGTGATGCTTGGTTGGAACGAAATAGTATAACTAAAAGCACTTCAAAACAAGTAGTAATCAAATTGAATCAAGTACAGGTTAACGTAGTTATATCTGAACAAACAACAAGTTAATGTCAAAATATATAAACTAGTAGTAACATATTCGTGGCGCTGCAAAGATATAATGCGATTCATCGCTTGAGTCGATTCGTGAAGCTATCTAGGATGAAACGATCAAGAAAAGAGTATCCAGTATCGCAAATAAAGTGCAAGTATCGCGGAGGAATAATTGGGCATTCTGCTACTACTAAGTTTTTTTCAAACCAAGTATTCATTTAGCTAAGCCTCTGTATCCTTAGTAATGATAATAATACTAGTGCTATATGGCAAATCGTTTTTCTCGGGATAAGGACTAAATGAGTTCGATAAATTCAGTATAATCTCTAAGAATTCAAAAGTTGAATCAACCATAGAGGACATTTTTCGAACTTATGAAACAGAATTTCATCTTGATGAGATATTCGACTAGTAATCAATCAATAACTAATTCTTACACAAAAAGTCATCTTAAATGAGCAGTATCAAAAGATATCTTACTTTCTTTCCACTGAACAGTAAATCATTGAATTCAGCATACGATTCAAGTAATACAAAACAGTAACCAGTTTCTAAATACGTTGAGAAGAAAGAAATCAAATAGACCTTTTCTTATGTATCTACTAGAATAATTGTGCCATATCCCGTTGAGATTTAACTAGAAGTGGTAAGATTCAGAGTACTCTAAAGCAAGTGATTATTACTTCCTTCAATACAGTTGTAACCAGAATTGTTTCGGATATCACTCTGAAATAAGATTCAAATTCAACTCATCAATAGAAACAAGGTATTGGTACGGCATAAATACATTGTCATTTATCACTTGAATCAATTGTGGTAATAGTCCAAGATAAAGAGGTGGATGAAAACCACCAAAGGTTGCGAAAGGGTTCAAACATCAAAGGATATACGAAAGGATCCTGAAATTAGAACATATGACTATTAGTTTGTGTTTTGCTGCTACTTGTGTAAAAATCACAGAGTTGATTTTGCTTGCTTTTTGTGAGGATCAACCTCAAAATCTGTACATCATATGTCTGATATTCTAAATCATGAAACCAGGGAAGCATTCATTTAACTTCTTTTCCTTGAATTTTTTTCGACTGACCTTTCTATATTCTTTCACTGAAAAGTATATACTATGTAAAACATAAATTTTTGTCTTTTTTATAACAATTCATAAGAATAAGGGAAACCAACCAGTAGGTCGTACTAGGACAAGTTCAATTTCTATTCCCAATAGATAGTTTGTACAGAACTTTGACTGCAATCTAGTTGATTTTTTCTTTGACTTTACATCATACCTCAGTCTTCGAATACTACTTTCTATCATCTTCATCCCTTTTCTTGTACAATGAGCATTCAACTGTTTTTACAACATATTACAACTCTAAAAAACAAGATCTTCACCATTCTACAATTACGCCAATAAAGAAGAGAAAAAACGAAATAGAGATATTATCTTATCCTTATTAACTAGATGACTACTTCATATGAAGCTGGTCTTAGGGTCGAACAAGTAAGATGGAAATATTCTGGAGCACGAATAATCGTAAGATGGTTTCGACATAAGAACAATACAATATATCAAGATAAATTAGTAGCAGATTCTACATCACAGAAAACAGTATGTTGTGCACTTTCATGATGCTGCAAGTTCACTTGTCAAAGATTACTTGTTTCAACTGACGAAATTGTCTCGAATTGATCACTTGGAGTATCAATTGCCCATCCCTCCAGATGCAATGCAACTATCACGGGACAAAGAGATTCTTTGTGATCGGGATTTCCAATGAAAAAAGCTTCTGAAAGGTTGTACGTCGACGTTTTCGGAAAAGAAATGACGACTAGTCGCTTCATCATACTATCATGAGTTAACAAATAAGTTCGTTTCAAGAATCAAAAGATAAAGATTAGTCTCAAACAGGTACAAGAAAAATCGAAAATCGACGAAGAAAGCAACTCGATGCTCTATTTGTTGTTCAAAATCAGAACCGTATGTAGTTCTACCGACAGCAAGGTACAAGAATAGTCTGTAAGTGTGCAAATGATGCCCTTTTATTTTGTAAACTCAACAATGCAATTTTCCTGTATGGTAAAAAATAGGTCAAATTCGTACTTTTATGACGAAAACTATTATTAATATTCCATGTACTACTAACCAATAAACTATAACTTTGTCTTATTATTGTTGTTGTTGTTGTCTGTTTACAATTCCAAGTAAATAAAACAGTTGCAATTCTCCAGTCAAGCCAACAACGAAGAAAACAGTAAAAGATAGAAACACAAGTCATTCTCTTTGTAGAATTGATGACTCTGCCATACTGTACTAGGATCGGGCCTTTATTTGTTGTTGTTGCTGTTCTGGTTGAATTTCAAGTAGTGGCGAATGGTTTGATTTTGCTGTGATAGTCGAAAAATGTTTTGGGTTCATGTCACTGTGCAAACCAAATTGTTCGCCTGCGTATGCTTTATAGGCATTATCTACCAAAAGTTGGACTTTATTTTCAGAGTCGAACCAAAAACTCCAGTCGGACACGATGACATCAATGTATGCACTCGTGTAACATTGTTGAAGTTCTCCCAATCCTTCATGAGCTTCTTTCAGAGCTACTTTGTATACTATCCAAACGCAACCTGTTTGCACAAAATGTCGTGTCTCATTTTCACCTTTTTGACAGCTACAACTACCACTACTTTCAACAGCATGACTTTCAGTGTGTTGGGAAAAAACAGATCGGCAGCACTCTTGACAAGGCAAGTAACGTTTCACACAAGTCTCCTTGTTTCCCATTCATACCTTCCTACTACTGCTACCCTCCGTTCCAACTATATTAGAAACCAAAGACGATTTGCAATAGATGCCTTTCGAAACACTATCAATACTAGTTCCAACACTATCACTCTTACTACTCACATGTTGTTTTAGACATATTTCACCCTCGGTAAACCCAGTAATTCATAAAAACAAAAACGTTTCTCAAAACGGACTATAGCTACAGTCGCCATCGTCACAACCTTTTACCCAGGTGGACGCAACCAAGACTTTCAGCAGTGCCAATTTTCCTTGCCTTATTTCATGGTTCCCAACAATGTGAGTATATTTTGAATTGAAAACATTTTTTCTTGCTTTCAAAAAGCCAGTTTATTCAGCTTTCGTTTTCAAAAACTGTCAAACCTCGTGGGTGTCGTTTTCTAAGGCCTCACAAATAATATTTCAAAAGACATCAATCATTAAAAATGTGCAATGATGGACTCAAAACATTCCTATGCTATCCTGAAAATGAATGGGTTTTACAAAAAGTGCAAATATCGTTTACACTTTAAAACCTGTTGCAGAGTTACAGACCGAGTTTTCTATATTGAAAAGAGTCATATAAACGACAAAGAAAACTACCATAAGGAATACAACTCTTTATACTGACAAAACACTCAACTGAGAGGCTGACCGGTTTCTTGTTCTTGTAGAATACCGTGGAAATATTAACCCAAAGACTGATTCTTAACAATCGACTACAAGACTTTCAATTGCTAATAAATACGCAAAACTGCTCTAACAATGATCAGTAAAACTAAATCTAAATGGACTTGCGAGACAACTCATTGAGTAATCTACTAAGACTCAACCACAGCTTAAATGTCTTTGCTCTTTTCTTGACAACACAGCTCTCAAATTTCCATAAAATACCAGTAGTGATTCTCCTTGTTTCCCTTTCACACAGGCTACTAATGCTACCCTCCTCTCTATCTATATATCCTTGACTATTGACAACTCTAACCAGATGGCTTCCAGAAACATCAAAGGCGACAGTTTCACCTTTATTACTCTCACAACCTACATAGCTTTTTGGAATAATATCACCCTTCTACACTTTTACTTTCATAAAGAGAAAATAGTCCTTCAAAAAAAAGGGTCCAATCAGTAGCAGCTACAACTACCAGTGTCACAATTTTTACCAAGGAAACACAACCCTAGGTTTTCAATCCTGCCTTTTTCCTTTTATCTCCTAGTTACAACAGCTTGAACATATTATGAAATCAAAACATTTTTTCTCAAACTGAACAAACCCACTTTCTTTGAAAGCACGACTCTATGTCACCTATCTCATTCAAAATTTTCCCAGAAAAACCATAATTTGACAGTGTCCTTAGCACATTCTTTAATCCCATGTCCTTTAGTTTCTTGCAGTTTTTGTGTTTCATTTATCAACCTGTTGCTTTATTCCTTTTTTTCCTTTTTCAAACTTCACTTCTAGCAATAAACTAAATTTTTCCCTTTCTCGTAGCTCAATTCATGCATTTTATCTTCCTGTAACGTTTTACTTGTTTTTCTTTATGATCATCAGTTTCATTTGTTTCTAGTTTTACTACTTCGTTGCTCAAGTTTTTTTGTCTTCTTTTAGTGGTAGAATTTCCAGGCTTTGTTTTTTGTTCTCTTTATTTTGACTTGGTTTATTTGCCAATTCTGCATCTATGTTCAATTAGAATTGGCATTTATGGGCAGTAACGAATATTTGAATTGAGAAATTAGACAATGCTAGCATGATTTGCAATACAATTTTGGTTGGACGTTTTCTGGCTCTTTAGAATATTTGGCAATCTATCTATCTCTAGTCAAAGTCTGAATCAAACGCGTCGTCAACTTGTTACTAACAGTCCTCATTATGTAATAATGGACTTTGTCGGAAATGCCAGTCTATGAACAACCCAAAAAAACAGCAATCAAAAAAATCATGACAAATGGGCAGAATGGTCTTGCGTTTTTTGCGATCGCAGAGCTACAATCTGCCTCTTTAAAAAGAGTCTCTTATAAGACGAAAAGTATATATATATATATATATATATTGTGTGTGTGTGTGTGTGTGAAAAGTATCAAAAGTGCAATAAACATAGGATCTATTGCAGAATCTGGTTAGATTCCTGCAAAACTACATGAAAATATCAACTCAAAGGCTGATTCTCAACAACAGCCTACAGGACAAGATTCTGTGCTGCAACTATAAAAGTAAAAATATCCTGAAACAGCACTCAACAAGGATATGCTCATTTACAAGACAGTTAGAAGTCCATGTCCTTCGCCTTTGCTTTCTCCTCGAAACACAAATAGCTTATTTACATAGAATACCAGAATTTAGAGAGTTCTTGTATATAGAGTATATAAACGTAACAGAGTTATTCAATGTTGGACAATGCAAAAGGCACTACAAGTTATGTGGAGCTTAAATTCCACAAGGCATCGTTGGACTATTGCAACATAATTCACAGCTTGAAAGATATTCAAAGAGAAACTTGAATGATGAAACTTCATTTGTACAACTTAAACCAAATCCTCACTGGAATTTGAGTAGCTAAAAGTTTCATAATCAAGCGTGAACTGGGTCCAAAAAAGTTCTCAGCATTGGATCTTTCCACAAAGTATCACGTATTGTTGAGTGTAAACTTTGCTTCTTTTACAAGTGGTATAGTTTCTTGTATACCTGATGAGTTTCTACAGAAAGCCTCCCTTTTAAAAAATATTCAGCTATTGAGACAATGTTTAGCCTAACTAAAACCAATCTCATTATAACCACGTTACAAGAAGAGAATATTAGTGTCTTAGGAAAGTTGTTGTCAACTTGCAAGTGTGACACCAAAGCTGACGAATATGGTTAGATTTAACTAAACCAAACTATGTGATGAGAATAATAACAACGCGTTGCGAGAATTAGCGCTGATTTGTTGTCCATTTGTGAGTTTCGTTTATTCCAACAAAGTCAACGAGAGTTTCTCTAAAATACAAAATAGTCGAGGTCGAATTTGAACTCAAAACACTTTGTTCCCTTGCAATATTAGCACTTTGGTGGAAACCCCTTTTCGGTTATGGTTTCAAAGGAGAAGAAAGGCTGTACTCATTGCTAATAGTCGAATGGTGTATTGTGGGTTGGTTGACTTTAAGAAACTGATGAAACGGCGTGATTACTTGCGTTTCTACGGACAAATAGATAATTTAGTAACGATAAAGTGGATTGACTAGATAAAGTTACAACAACCTCCTGAATCTATTACTGTGCAAAAGTCACATGAGAGTTCCGGCTGTTAGAACCGTGGAAGTTGTGACAATATTCTCTTGCACGGTATGTTAAAAAGGCGACGCATTTTTCCTCCATTTTAAAAACTTTTTTTCACTCATAGTTGTTGTCTGACAAAAACCAAGTTCTTGCCAAACAGCACAGTAACTTTGCCGGTCATTGTAATAAATAATGAGTAAAAAAAATTCTTCAAAATGAAGATTGGGTTCGAACTTTATGAATCCTTGCTTTTGCTACAACAAGATGATAAACTACAAAAAGCTGAATGTTGAATGTCTCCAGAATCTTGATACAAAGCTTGGTATATATACAATCAAATAGATGAAAAATGATAAATATTATTCCTCTCTGTATTGGTTTCTTTAAGAATGTTTTCCTTGTTGAGAAATTTCAAAGATGCCTGAAACAAATTATGTTCCCCTGTGATAGCAATTGAAGAAGACAAAAATTTTTGGAATAAGAAAACCTCACTAGAATAATATCTCAAAGCATAGTATGCCTGATAGATACAAGACTGGAGAAGTTTTACAAGTCATCTAATATTCTTCTAAAAAACCCTCCCGAATTAGATTGAGGGGGTAAATATTGACTATTATTAGGATCGTAACCATATGGGTCTTGAACAACATAAACGGCATCATTATAATCGGGTACTGGCTGAACATAAGAAGGATTGGGTCGATATGGGTCATATGAATAGTTTTCTTGATAAGGATATTCATTAGGAAACCCTGAAGGATTGACTGGCCTATTCAATGGAGCTGCATACTGTGCGTTTTGAGTATAACTTTGAGCATATCCATCCGCTACCAAAGAACTGTTTACTGTTACTGCACCATCGTGATTTCTGCCAGCCGCTATCAAATTTTGATACAGGAAAGCATCCCTGTCAGGACAGAAAATAGCTCTTTCTGTATGTACTTCTAAGCCAAGTTCCGCCAGTTTGTTATCGACTTGGTTGTTCACTGGATATCGCAACCAATCTCTACCCAGCTCAACGGGTATATGAAAAACTCCCAAAATATAGCAAGCCCTGCCAAATAACAAAGGATGACTTTGACGTAACATAGCCACAGAAACTGCCTCCTCTTCGCCAATTATCTCCACAATATCTCCTTGTTCTGTCTCCAGCTGCTGACCTGGGGTGAGTAGACTGTTATAAGGGCAGTCAAATTCAACCTCTTCACCGTCATCTAAAAAAAACCTCTGTCCCTTATGAACCCTTCTAGCAGAAAAGGGTAAAGTTGCCCAAAAGCGTGGGCTTCCGTGACGCTGTTCTAAGACCCTGATGATTCGTCTGACCATAATACTAAAATGAAGCTTTTCCAATTTCGTTTGACGAATGACGTAAGAAGCCACAAACTTCAAACTGCTTTCTTTATCTATTGAAAAACTATTGTATTCTTAGAAACTATTTGTTTGGCAAGCACTTTAGAAAATTTTTTGACGAATGCTTAAGACACTCTTGTGCCTGCAGTCTATTTGATAGATTGACTAGGAATCGTTGCTATCTGGTTTATTAGAAAGAAGAAAGTACTCTATTCTTTCTCAATGTCTGTTGACATAGAGTAACAAACCTTTTCTGAGTTGGCCTTTTTACCGAAACCAGTACTTTCGCTTGTTAAGTTTTTAACTTTACTCATTGCCCTGTTGAGGTCTTAAAGGAGATGCCTTCTTCCACCATCTGGTAAAGAACTAATAAGTTGGTTTTCTAAGACGAGGTTTCACCGACTAGTTGACACTAACTGGGTGAACTTGACAAACCAAGGAGTTTTTTGTGATTTTGAACAATCACACGACGTATCCAACGGTCTATCACACAATTTCGTTAACCAGTAATTAGCGCTTAAGAAAGAATATTTTTCTCGAATGAGTGAGTGGAAAGAGCTTGTCAATCTAATTTCTTTTGTTATACGAGCCTGGATCCCTGTTTACCTCACTTTGGTGAACCAGTATCTAAACTGACACAGTGATATTTTTTAAAAGCCTCTCAAAGAGCTCCACGTTGAAACGACTCTAAATGAAATACGTTGTCAACATTTGTAAAAGGTAACGCTTGTTTTATTTCGAGCAATTGTTTGCGTCAAATAGAAAGTTTCTTTCAACGGAGTTTGGACTATCTGCAGCTTTTCACAAATAGGACATGAAACCTTTACAACTCTGGATGCTTAAAAGATCCGAGCAACTAACTAGCATGCTCATGTATGCTAAGAAGACCACGCTGAAGATTTGAAAGGAACAGAAACCATCCAAATTTCACAAAATGTTTTCTACAAAAAACACGGCAAAATCAGTATCGACCCCGACGGGACTTGAACCCGCAATCTCCAGATATCTCCCTGTTTCAAAACCGAAGTCTGGCGCCTTATCCGTTAGGCCACGGGATCTAGTCACAGAAAAAGTATTTTTGAAGTTATAAAATATGATAATGACCTTACGCGGGTAAATTTGAAAAGACACGTTGGCAATTCAAACTTTTCCATTTGCAACGAATCAATCCTAATCATCAGGGCTTGATAGGTCTTGGACCAGAACTCATGTCCGAAGAAGAAGTAAAGGAGGCATTAAAACTTAAGCTCAGTGATCGTCTGTCCCATAATTTATGGAAGGTACGAGAGCAAAGCTATAAAGATTTGGCTTCTTTACTTCAAAAACTTTCAATCGACGAAAGCGCACGTTTTGAAGAGTACCAAGGTTGTCTTGTAAAACTTGCTAAAGATGCCAACGCTGCAGCACAGCTTTCAGGACTGGAAGCTATTATTGTCTTCGCAGAAAGAGCTCCTTCTGTTATGGTTAGTTAAACAAGCTCAATGTTTCGAATGCTAGAATCACCGGCAACTAGGTAAAAAAATGTGCAGCAGAAGTTTGCAAAGCTGTGGCAGACAAAGCGTTTACCGGAAGACCAACCAACAAGCAAAGAGGACATGAAGCATTTCTAGCATTTGTTTATGCTGAGGCTGGAGAACAAGCAGTAGAGGGCATCGCCACTGGTTTCAACCATAAGACGCCAAAGGTGGTCTCTGCTTGCGTAGATTCAGTTAGGGAAGCTGTAGACATTTTTGGTATTAACGCAATCAATGTCAAATTTGTCGCGAAACTGCTCCCACCTCTTATGGAACACAGTAATGCAGATGTTAGAAATGCTACGAAAGCCTTGATTGTCGAAATGTATAAGTGGCTTGGTGAAGCAATAAAACCTATTACTGAAAGCTTCAAGGAAGTGACTAAACGAGAATTGGAAGCTACATTTGATGAATGGAAAGGAGAAAAGCCTCGTCCGAAGCGTCTTACAAAGAGCAAAGAAGAGAAAGGAGAAGATATGAATCAGGATGGTTCAACGGAATATGAAGAAAAAGATGGCAATGAAGAGGAAGTCGAACAATCCACTGACAATGTACTAGATTTGGCACCAGAAATTGATTTGCTTGCAAAAATTTCACACATGAAATACGAAATAGATGAAGGCAACAAAGTTGATTTCTATGGTGCATTGAATTGTAAAAAGTGGTCAGTAAAGAAGCAAGTTCTGGATGACGTTAGTTCCAACTGTGAAGGAAAGAAGATCATCAATGGCGACTTCACTCCCCTTGTAAAGGAATTGAAAAGAATTCTTGCCAAAGAAGTGAATGTGAATGTAACTGCGGCAGCCTCAAGATGTGCTGAAAGTCTTGCAATTGGCTTGCGAGAAAATTTTACAACTTATAGCAGACTTATTATTGCAGAGTTGCTATCAAGATTAAAGGAAAAGAACAAGGTCCTAGTGGATGCAATTATGTCTACATTGAAGACTCTTTTCTGTAAAAAGTGTATTCAACTTGTAGACATTAAGGAAGAAATATCGACTGCTGTGTCGAATAAGGTTCCTACAGCACGAGCACTGGCTCTGCAGTGGATTGACAGTTGTCTACGTTCCAATATTTTTCCTGGTTCATCTTTTAAAAGTAATGCAAAAGATCTAGCATCATTGTTTATCAAAGCAAGTGAAGATTCGACTCCTGAAGTGCGAGACGCTGCTCTATCTTGTTTGGCTGCTTTAACATGCTTAGTGGGAGAAAATGCTTTATCTTCTTTTATAGACTCTCTGGACACCATACGAAAAGAAAAACTTCAACATTATGTTTCGGAAGTACCTGCATTACGAGGATCAGTCAATAAATCTAGAGATGTGGTGACATCGAAAGAACATCAACGTGAAAGTCATACTGCCTCTACTTCAAGAACGGTCAAACGACGAGATGACAAACGAATGTCACTGCAGAGCACAAGACCAAGGCTTGCATCCAAGACGAAACGTCACTCTGTGGCAATATCTTCAGGTTCTTCGAACTCCTCCAAGCCTTCAAAGCCCCCAAAATCAACATCATCGACTCCAACTGCAACGAAGAATATTGCGTCAGCTTCTACTCAAGAACTTTCTGTAGCCAAGCCACAGTCATCGGCCGTATATAGTGAACAACAAGAATCTCAACTCAGTGAAGAAGAGCTTGAGGTTAACGCGAAACAGCTTTTTCCAAACATTCCCATCTCAAACTTCTCAAGTAGTGACTTTAAAGAGAGAGTGGCGGGTACAGAAGAACTTAAGAATGCAGTTCCTGAACTATTTCGTAGTGCTACTGATGTCAATCATGTCGCAAAAGTTATCTGCGCTGTGTTATCAAAAAATGGGGGACTGAAAGATTCCAATGCTATTGTCGTTCGCAACAAACTAGAAATCTTGAAGATTGTGTGCCAGTTCTGTGATAACATTCAACCAGAGCTCCTAAAAGAGTTTGGTATTAATTCTGTTGAAAAGCTGGGTGATCTCAAATTTTCATCATTAGCAACTGATTTCCTCTTAGAAGCAGCCGAAATTGTGATGCCAATTACTGTCGCTCACATTTATGTATCAAAGGCTTTAAAGGATGCGAAGAATCCCAAGTTAGTAGCCAACATCATTTCTTTCTTGGAGAAGTTAGTTTTAGAATTTAATGTTGAGACAACCCCGAAGGATATCATATTGTCTTTCCTTCCATCGTTATTTGAGAATTCATCTCCACTCGTTCGCTCTGGTGCAACCAAACTTGCTGCAGTCCTTCAATCCAAGTTTCCAAACTCATCTATCCGTACTGCATTAGAACAGCATGGGGTAAAGTCGCAATTGATTGCGAACATTGAAGGTGAATTATCTAAACTACCAAAGGACTCTGAAGTTGCCAAGAGATCAATACGTTCCAATGTCAAGATAGATTTCATTCATTCTGTAGAAAATAATCTTGGTTCATCTTTTTCCGAAAAGACTTGTAAAACTGATATTACTTCAAAAGTGACTTCAAAGCTTGTAAATGAACTTGGTGATAAAAACTGGAAGATAAGACAGGAAGCTCTAAGCAGCGTCGAAAGTATACTTCGAGATGCAAGATTTTCTATCGAACCAAATGTGAATATGGAACTGGTAAATGCACTTAAAAGTAGAATAAGTGATACAAATAGAAACCTTGCAGCATTTGGATTGAGTGTACTGGAAAAACTGCTTTTATCATTGGGAAACTGTGGCTCTAATATAGCAAAGCACATATTGCCTGCTGTTTGCACAATAGGTATCGCTGATAGTAAGAAGAATGTAAGGGAAGCTTCTTTGGCATGCTTGGAACGTTGTAAAACAGAAATGGGTTTGGCTTTTCTGTTGAAGAATTTGCCACCGATTTTGCAACAAGACAATGCGCAACTTCGAAAAGAAATTCTACAGTGGATTCTTCCACATCTCAAATCATGTGAAAACTACAAGTCCTTGGAAGTGACGGAAACTGAAGTTCTTGTCTGGGTCGACTGCGCAACTGTTGGTATACAGAGTAAGACACTTGAAGTTCGTCAGCTTGGAGAGCAGTTACTTGAGTGGGTATCACAACAAGTCGGTGTATCAGTTGTGCAACGTCAAGTCAAAGCCAAATCTGAAAACCTACTGACGCAAGTGAAGCCAATTTTGGAAAGGCTAGAGAATGGATTATCAGAGTCAGAGTCAACTCAATCCAAGTCTCAAAGCTCTGGAAGTTCTCGAGAACGTGCTCTGAGGAGACCTCAATCTACTGTTGTGACTACTAGTATGAAACGAAATTTGGGAGTTCAGAAAAGTTCCAATAGCATTGGTAAGATTCGAGAGAATACTGTAGGCGGAACTCCGAAGAAGCGAACAACTTCTGAAAAGTCAAAGGAGTGTGTTTTGAAAAGGAATGATGGACGAAAAAACCGAGAGAGTAGAGCACCCAAGAGGAAGCCTGGTGCAGCGTTTGACACATTTTCAACAATTATTATTGAGTCAGTTCATAATGAACTAAAGGAAATTGTATCTGCATCGCTGTTTTCCAAGATGAGCGCACCAAGCTTTAATTTTAAAGAACACTTGGAAGCACTCGAAGAGTTGAACTCTGCCATATCTGATGACGAAATGGCAGCCTTGGATAATGAAGACATATTATTCCGGTGGGTTGCTTTGCGCGTTAATGATGAAGGAAGCTCGTCTAGTATGTTAAAAGCTTTGGAATTCATTGCAAACCTTTGTTCTATCCTCGAGCGACATGAGTTTTACATTTCAGATTATGAAGCAAGTTTTCTTTTACCTGTATTGTGTGAAAAGTGAGTATAATGTATTGCCACTTTCTCAACATTTTCACTGACAAAAAACTTTAAGGTTTGGAAGTCTGAAGCCATTGATTCGGAACAACGTGAAACGATCCTATCAATATCTAAAAAAGATATTGTCAAGGGAGAAATTTATCCCTTATCTTATTGACGGTCTCAAGTCCAAGAATCCTCGTTCTAGAATGGAATGCTTGGAAGAAATTTCGATCATTATGGAGGAAATCAACATGGAAGCTTTTCCAATGGAGACAGTTTTTCATTTTGTGGAACACGTTTTTGATAAAGATTCTTCCATCTCCAGACTTGCTCAGACTATTTTGAATAGAATTTATTCTAATGACCCTGGCCAGTTTTGGAAGAGAGTTGGGGATATATCAGAAGGACAACGACACGGACTGGAGGAAAGACTGGGAATGAATCAGTTGAAGACACCGGAGAAGCGCATAAGCAGACAGATTACTGGCAGTTCTCTTCAAAAGCCGAAAATTTCTTCTGCTAATAAACTTTCGTCACGTCAGCGTTCAGAAAACTCTCACGGGACTGTCAATGAAGAAAGGCAAAGTCGAGAATCTCCAAATAATGTTCGTGAATCGATGCAGACATCACTACCTGAACCTAACATTGCTGAATTTAAGCTTGATACGAAGGAAGGCACAAACATTGGGTCTTCTTCTTCAAGAATTCCTGTGATATCAAAGAGTTCCTCGTTTCGACGTGCATCAACTTCAAGCGAAGCAAAAAATTCACCTAATTTTAGCGAGAAAATGAAGTCTACAGAAATGATGGATGCTGTCAAATTGGAACAAGGTCTTGATTCTCCCGTGAACGTTACTATTGCGGATAGTAAAGAATTCACACAAATGGGAAGCCCTCAGAAGAATGAAAACGTCGCCTCCTTGAACGCTCGATATCATCGGAGAAGTAGAAGCAAATCATTTGATGCTTTGACGGGTTTAGAAACGGGTAACAATGAAACAAAAAATGCAATGGACTCAGAACTTTTATCTAATGGAGTTCAAATGGAAGAAAATGTGACAAATCGTTCATCGATATCATCAGATAATGATAAGAGTTTTCCTGTAGCAGCAACAGTATCTTCGAAGATGCGACAAATGGAACCGACGCAAGTAATCGATATGCTTTGTACTAGTGAAACAGATACACAAATCGAAGGTGTTAAAAGTTTTTGTCTTGTTCTTCAGAGTCCTTCTAGTGAAAGTCTTTTTTTGCCAGAGTCTTCTACTATTACTCAAATTTTACTAGACCATATTCGTAATGTCTTTGATTCCTGTGCTGGTGATGAGATGAATATCAGAAAGTTGAAGTATTTTTTGAATGGTTTGATGCAAATCTGCTTGAGAAAAAGTTTTGTTGCTTTGTTGGACCCACAAATTTCCTTATGTTTGCTGGATGAACTACTCACAAGACTATTGTCTACTCAAATACCTTTGTGGAAAGATGGAAGTCAAGTTGTACGGGCATTGAATTTATTGGTACTGAAAATTTTAGAAAACTCAGATAGGACATCGTTGTATAGTGTCTTATTTGAACTTTTAAGTAAGGAAGAAGACTCTATATTGAGAGAAAGTGATAGCAGAAGTGTTGAACAAGCAAAGAAGAAGATTTCTCTGATAGTGAAATGTATCTCGAAACTTTCCAAAACTGGATTTTCGTCAGTTAATGTCGCCATGTTATTGAGAGATATTCATGTATATTTAACCGCGCGTTGTGCCAAGAAAGGTCGAAAACAAAGTATTCAAGGAGACACTGCGAGTGAAAGCTCAGATTCAGGATTTCAAATGGTCACAGTTTTGCTGGGTGATTTGGTGAAGATTCATGGCAGTCAAATATGGGAATTCACCAGTCTTATTCCATTGGAAACGAAACCAGTGTTGAGTCGTCTACTACAAGAGTTTCTAGATGGCAAGACAGCTCCAGTTGAAGGCTTTATGAAGGAAGTTTTACTAGAGTCTCCTACGGAACCTCGAGCACCTCCTGAAACGGTATCTCGTGAAAGTCTCGAAAAGATTTTCGAAAGGATAAGTACGAAAGAACATACAAAGAATGGTCTACGAGAGCTATATGAGTTTCGCCGAATATATCCTGATGTGGACTTGACGCCTTATCTGGACGCGACCAGTTTTGTATTTCGAGAATACATTGAGAAGGGTTTAGAAAGTATTTCATTGGAAGAGCAACACAGGAGAGGAAAGACAACGCAGGAGGAGACTTTCAATGTTTCGCTCTCTCATGATATATATTCGCAGAAGCTAGAAGAACTTAAAGTGTCGTCAAATAACAGCAGTGACAATTGGAAAAGTACTTCCAGTTACCGAGATCGTTTTGCAACTGTCAACTCTCGTGAAGATGATGATTCCTTTCACCGAAGCAATAGTAGAGAAATATCCGTTCATTTGAATTAAAGCTCTTTTTTCGGTTGAAAGTGTTTGTAAATGCCAACTTATCCTTTTCTTTTCATATGAAACGTTCTCGTTTCACAATAAATAAAATAAAGATCGAACAGTATCTTTCTTCTCGTTATCAATTATGCTGACTTGAGTATTTTCATGATTCAGTCATTCTCTAATATAAAAGAAACAGATCTTATGAAGCTCTCTTATGTATTGCAAATAATTATGAGAAATTTAGATATATTGAGTTTTTCAAATTTTGATGTTTTGGTTATATTTTGTTAGTCTTTCCCTGCTTTGTATTATTGCCAGAGTGTATATAAGGCTTTACAAAGTTTCTCAAGTTTCCAAGGAAATAGATTCAGAAAACTTTGAGGTACAAGGAAGAAAGTTGCAAGGAGAATACCTGATAGTCTATCTTCTTGCAGTTTCTGCAGACTGGCTTCAAGGTCCTTATGTTTATGCGTTATATGAACAGTATGGATTCTCGAAAGCTCAAATAGGATTTCTGTTTGTTGCTGGTATAACTTTTCTACTTTTCTTTGGTTTATGTTTGATCTTTCTTTAGGTTTTGGTAGTTCTGGGATCTTTGGAACCTTTGTTGGTTCTTCTGCAGATAGATTCGGTAGAAAGAGGCTTTGCCTTGTGTATGGGTTACTTTACTCTATTTCTTGTATAACCAAACACTTTCCTATTTTTACTATTCTTCTTCTTGGGAGATTATTGGGAGGCATTTCGACTTCCATTTTATTCTCTTCATTTGAGGTAACTTTGCCATGATCTGTTTCTAAATACGATTTGTGTATATTTTCTATAGTCTTGGTTAATTAGTGAACATAACAAGCGATTACTACCTGGTTGGTTGTTGAATGAAATATTCGCCAAGGCACAATTTGGAAATGGTTTGATGGCAATCTTAGCTGGACAAGTGGCTAATATTTTAGCATCCAATTTCGGAAAGGTTGCCCCATTTGATGCCAGTATACTAATTCTTTTTATCATGTCTTTAGTGATTTACATGAAATGGTATTTCGTTGAGTTGTTTGTCTGGAATCATTCTTATACCGTTGCTCGTTGACTAGGGACGAAAATTATGGAGATAATCATAAAGATAGCAAAGTTGGATTTCATTGTGCACTGCAATCTTTATTTGCGGAACAACGCATTTGGCTATTGGGTGTATTTCAAAGTTGTTTTGAAAGTGTCATGTATATTTTTGTGTTTATGTGGACTCCGGCTTTACAGTTGACTAGTAGCACAAATATTCCACATGGTGAGAATATAATATTGTTCTATCCTATCGGAGCTTTTTTATTTATCAACAACTATTTTTTGAGGTCTCGTATTTTCTTGTTTTATGGTTGCATTGATGCTTGGCAGTTGTACCTTTACAATATTAGAAGGAAATGTGGAAGTTGTTCAGCTACTAAGGTATTTAGTATTATTTCTGATAACAAAAGAAACATTGACTCCCGATTTGTATTTAGAATATGCTTTATTGTTACTGCAATAGTATTCTTAGTAACTATAAGTTCTTCAGTATTATGGATAGTCTTTTTCAGTTTTGTATTGTTTGAAACTATTTGTGGAGTTTTCTTTCCATCAATGGCTGTATTACGTGCAAGGTATGTATATTTTGACTATATATTAATTCCTTTTTTGTTGCTAATAGAAATTTTTTATTATTCTTCCAGAACCATTCCGAATGAATATAGAAGCACTATTATGAACTTGTACAGAGTTCCTCTTAACTTTATTGTGCTTGTTGTTTTATTAGCAGACTGGAGCGTTTCTACGACATTTGAAGTTTGTGTATTTCTTATGTTCATTGTCATCTTCACTCATCATTTGTTCACTTGTCAAAGAGAAGTGCTAACCTCTCGAGAAAAGACCATTTCAGAAGACGCATAATAGTATAATGAATGCTAAAAAGATAAAAAAGAGATTGTTGAGAAATCGCAAACTGCATTTTGTCCTATTTTGCATATATACTGGTCTCCTCAACCCATTTTCATTTATTTTTTGTATTACACAAACAATAACGACACTTGCTCATCATAATGTCATTAAAACAGAACATGAAGCCTATTGATCCAATACGTTTTGATATCGTTGACTTTTTAAGAGCCATTCATGGAGCAAATCAAGGTCTTCTTATCTGTTCTCTTACTTATGATATGCAGTTCCCTTGTGTATCTGAGTGGCACGATATATTTGTTCTACAAGTATTAACCTTGTCATTCTTTGTTCATCTACTTTGAGTTTCCAAACTACAATAGAATATTTTGTTGACTTACTGATGTGTAAATGTCAAGGATGATAAACTTATGAGTTTCCCTCTACGTTTCAGTGTTTCTGGTAGACCTAAAGAACCTCCAATAACAAAGTTTACTTTTCCTTTCTCAAAAGAATCATAGAGCAGTTTTTTAAACTCTATAGAGTTGATAACTGATCCACTGGAATCAAGACAATATAAACAACCCTTTTGCCTAGAGACTAACTGTGAAAGATGCTGATTATCACGAGTCGACAACAGATCTACTGTTATAAAAGGTCTCAAACGTAAAATATATTCCTCCATCGCCAATTGTAACCAACGTTCTTTTGTCTTTCCTGTTGATAGAATAGTAACGTGTAATAGTGAACATATACTTGTCTGTAGGTTACTTCTTACTCTATGTTGTTGTTGCAAGTGACTGGTGAACAACCAAGACTTGCGTATTTTATTATTATAACTTGACAAGAAATTGGCCACAAATGCCATGTTATTACTTTCAACTAGATTAACTCTTTGAAAACGTTGTTCAAGATATGTAAAGCCAATTGCACTTGTTCTTGAGTAATGACCAGAGGTGGTGCCAATCGTACAACTTGAGGACCAGCAGACAATACTAATAAGTTTTGTTCAAGTGCTCTATCAATGACTTGAGATGCTGTATAACCATCTTTAAGTTGTAATCCTATTAATAAACCCAATCCTCGTACTTGAGAAATACACTGTGGATATGATTGTTTCAACTTTTCCAAACCTATTTGTAACTCCATTCCTCTCTCTTTGGCATTTTCGATAAGTTGTTCTTCTTCAATAATGTGACAAACTGATAATGCCGCTACACAAGATAAAGGATTTCCTCCAAAAGTTGCTGCATGGTCTCCGGGTTCAAACAAGTCACAGTGAGATTGGCACAACATAGCTCCTATTGGAACTCCACCTGCAAGACCCTTTGCTGTAGTGAAAATATCTGGTTCAATACGATAATGCTCATATCCCCAAAGTCTTCCAGTTCTTCCCATTCCTACTTGAACTTCATCTAATATCATCAAAGCTCCTATCTGACTACAAACTTGTCGAACAGTTTGAAAGAACTTTTCATCTCCAGGCATAACTCCACCTTCTCCTTGAACAGCTTCTAACATTACCCCCACAATTCTTCGATCATCCGAAGACTTTATGTTATCAACCAATTCTAAGAAAGATGACGTATCGTTGTAATCCACATAAAGGAATCCCGGTAACAAAGGTAAAAAATGGGATTGATATTTAGGTTGAGCAGTTGCACTTAGAGAACCACAAGTCCTTCCATGGAATGACTTGTTTGCACTGATAATGATCGGTTCTTTACAATTCCAACGAACTTTACCATATTTTCTTGCCAGCTTAATAGCTGCTTCATTAGCTTCTGTTCCTGAATTACAAAAGAAAACTTTGTCAGCACAAGAGTGTTCCACCAACCACTTTGCCAATTCTACTTGCTGAGGAATATAATATAAGTTGGATACATGATGGACACTATTCATTTGCTGTTGGACGGCATCGATGAGTTTTGGATGACAGTGACCAACGCTACAAGTGGCAATACCTCCAACAAAATCCAACAACTTGCGTTCGTCCTGATCCCAAAGCCAAGCACCATTACCATGTGAGAAATATAAAGGCTGTCTATTATATGTTTTCACTACATACTTGTCAAAGTCACTCAAAACCTTATCCAACGCACTGTTCTCTTGGCTAGTTGCATCACTTGAGGTTGTGACCATCTCTTTAAGATAAATAGAAAATGTAGTGCAGTGTCTCGAAAGATGTATTCGCTTTCTCAATATTCTTTCCTTTTGATCATTCATTCCCTTTTTAGTCTTGGCTTTTCCAAAGAAAAGTTGTGGTGAGGATAAAAAAGCCATCATTCACGTTATTTCATATCAAATCGGATGGTCCACGTGAGGAATCGACATTTCTGTTTGCTCGATTTTGATTGGACAAACGAATATTCGATGACCCAATCAGACTCGTCGATCTGCCTATGTGTAGTCATTACACGACTCAAAACGAAAAGAGCCATATGGTCGATTCCAAAAATACAGACGAAAGAAACAGTTGTATATAAATACTCGACGCATGTTTGGATTGTTATGGAACGCTTATCTGTAGAGAAGTGTTCCTCTGGAGGCATTATGTCAGAACATGATAGTTGGGAGCTTCCTTTTTATAGTCCTTCTAGTATAGAAGAAGAAAAGTTTCCCTTGTTATACGAGCTGGTAGAACATAACTGGGAAGATATGAAGGAAATAGAAACTAAAGATAGAGTTTGGTCTGAAACTTCACAAGCAGAAAATTCGGGTCCGCAACGTACACAACCCAGGCATGAGGGAATCAAAAGGAGAAAACAGAATAAGGCTAACTTGCCATCGGATAGTACTGGTAGCTTTCATACAGTTTCGATATCTGAAACGAATGATTTGCATCGTTTCTCCTATGCTCGTTCAAATGTCACAAATGAAGCTATATATTCTGATACTTCCATCACCAGTGCTCCCGCAGTGTGCATGACTTCAAGAATTCAAGTTTCACAGGTAGACGAAATTTTAGAAACTGTTGGACAATCTCCTATTTTTAATTCATCAGCTGGAAAGTCAGAAGAAGAACTGAGAGAGCAAAGAAAGCAACATTTGAAGGCTCTAAAGAGTTTGACACCAGAGCAACGTACTCTCAGACGTATTTTGAGGAATCGCAAGTCTGCTGCGAATGCAAGGAAAAGACACATAGAACGCTTGCAACAACTTGAAAGGGAAAATGAAGAATTAAAGTGTAAAATTGGTCAGTTGGAAGAGAAACTACGAGAATATGAGAAAAGAGGTTGAGACCATTCCTTTTTTGTTGTCTATTTGTACATAAGCATTCTTGGTTATATCAAAATTAATCATATTCTAATAGAAAGGAATTTTCCTTCTTTTTTCTGTACAATAAATGTTGTTTATTATCAAATGTGAAACGCATTAATTTCTGGGAATTATCGTCGTTATACGGCGTGTGATCGTTTATGGGTTAGTTGAAAAGGAGCAATAGCATTTATCAAACTCATATCTATCCACTTTTCTTGATTAGGTATTACTCGAGACACGCTCCATAAGCGTCGCCTTACAGGAGGTAAAAAGGCAGTATGGAGAAAGAAGCGAAAGTATAACTTGGGACGACAACCTGCCAACACCAAGTTGGGTCCTAAAGCAGTACGTCCTGTTCGAGTGAGAGGAGGCAACTACAAGTTTCGAGCACTTCGTTTGGACACGGGTAACTTCTCTTGGGGATCTGAATCTACTAGCAGGAAGACGAGGATTGTAGCCGTCGTCTATAACGCGTCAAATAATGAACTTGTAAGGACCAATACACTAGTCAAAGGTTGCATCGTTCAGATCGATGCTACTCCGTTCCGACAATGGTATTCGCAACATTATGGTATAGAAATAGGAAAGAAGAAGAAGGTAATGCTGTCTTTTCTTTGTCTATTGATTTTCTATTCTTAACGCCATTCAGGATGATGCACAACAAGAAGAACAGTCACAGACAACTACAAAGGCTGTAGATAAGCAGAAAGTTTCAGCTGTTAGCCGACCAGTTGAAAAAGCATTGTTAGATCAGTTTTCAACAGGAAAGTTGTTGGCTAGAGTTACTTCGAGGCCTGGCCAATGTGGACGATGCGATGGATATATTTTGGAAGCAAAAGAACTAGAATTTTATCAACGCCAGATGCAACGTCGTAAGAAATCCGGCAAGCAATAAATATTTTTTTCATATGCTGACCACAATACTTTCCTGTTTATGAAGAAAATAAACCCATCAACTTTTTCAAGCTTGTCTGTAAGAAAAGCAAGCACAAGCCTAACGCAACAATAGATACAATACCACCTGCAAGTGAAGAGAAACCGACAAGTACCAAACGTATTACACCACTCAGTCTCTCAACGATATACATATCAGTTTGCGACCTAGGATGTGAGCCAACGTAACTGTAAACTTTCAAAGCAAACATATCGAGTGAAACTGCCAACAAACTAGCAATAACACTTGCAATCAAAATGTTCCACAGGGACACATCTTCCACTTTGTCCGTTTCCAACAGTTCTTTTCTTGGCTTTCCAGATTTCTCTTCAAGCCCAAGTCTTCTTCGTGTCTCTTCAATCTCCTTTTTCAACTGACTATTGATTGATTCTATTTCATCTTCTTGGAGCTGCTTCGGTGAATTATCTTCCTCTTCCCTGATACGAAACCGAGGTCTTGCTGGATCAACCGGTGATTGACAGCAAACCCACTGTTTTGGAAAGCAAGTCTTTATTCGAGTTTGGTGTCTTATCTGCCAAGAACGAAAACTTTTGGATAAACGAGCGCAAGTGGAAGAATTGAGAAGAGATATGTTCCATGCCGAAACAATACAGTTGTGACACAAGAATCCCATCAATGACATTGTCTTGCAAAACAATCTCCAACTTCGAACAAATATAGAAGAGTAATATATGTTTTCAAAATCAACTTGACTTTCTTTGAAAGATGATTAGTTGGATCCAGTTTTCTACAATCCAGTTGCCAATCTAAATTCATTGATTAGTCATAATTTCTCCACCCCTATAGAGGAGCTCGCGTAGTATAGTGGTAAGTACCCTCGTTTGTCGTGCGAGAGACCTGGGTTCGATTCCCAGCGCGAGCGGCAAATTCTCGTAGCTCCTTACTTTTTTTTCTACGTTTTTGGGCTACAGAATAATCAATGACATTATTTTTACTGTAACAACTAGGATGACTATTCCAAAAAGAGCGGCAGATTACAAAACACAAACTTACTGGAACTCTCGTTTTCAAACCGAAGATAGTTACGAGTGGATGTGGGTATATTGTTAAAAATGCTTTCCTCCTTCTTTACAAACTTGTTTTAGGGGATCTTTTGACGCTTTTGCTGCGGACCTCTGTTCGTTGCTAGAACCTGAGTTTTCAATATTGGTCTTGGGTTGTGGGAGTTCTAGTCTTTCCTACGATTTGTATCAGAGAGGTTATCACAAAGTTACTTCTATTGACTTTAGTGACGTAGCAATTGATAATATGAAACGGCGCTATGCCTCCGTTCCTTGCTTGAAGTGGGTACTTGGGGATGTTCGGGAGCTGCCACAGATTTTCGAGTGTGATCAGTTCGATGTAGTTGTTGATAAAGGTACTTTTGAGTCTTTGATTGCTGATGAAGGAGATCCCTGGAATCCAAGTGATACGACGAAAAAAGACGTGGACCTTATGTTGTCAGGAATTCAAAGAATTTTACGCCCGAAAGGCTTTTATTTCCATATTTCATTTATTCAGCCTTTCTTTAGGTCTAGATATTTGCGAAAATTGAAAGAGGAAAAAAACGAGAATCCATATGGCTTGGACTTGATATCTATTCATTCCATTCCAGTCGGGTTGGGCTATTATATGTACACGATGTCTAAAATGGATCGTCAATGTTGGACACAACCAAGCAACGCTTAGTCGTCCAAATATCAGCTCGCTATGTTTTCATGGGTTGATAACATTTGAAAACTTTTGCCCTTCCATTAGGAACGATAGAATATCTCATACTTGTCCATCAACGAATCAACCAACCCATTGTAGAATGCAGCAATCTCGTGGCAAAATGTCGGAAGAAAGCTCCTCCAGAGGATGTTCTAGTTGGTTATTCTAGAGATACAACGAACCAATTGTTGTTATTCAGCCATTTTTCTGCAAGTATAAGAAATATATGTTTTGTTACAAGAGACTGCCAAGGTTGCTATCCACTGAGAAGACAGTGCAGTCCCTAACATCCCCCACCTCCTATTTATTTTGCAAAAGTTGTTTTCTATAATTATAGAATATATTAAAAACTATCATGAAAATACTTTTGTTTACATTTGCTTTTCCTCTTCATAGAAGGAGTTTGTAATTGATCGTTTCTATGAGAGAATCTTATCCAAATTCCATCGACTGGCTCAAATGCGTTCTCCTCCCAGTGATCTGAATAACATCTGAGCTGCAATTGGGCAGTTTGGATATTCTTTTCCAAACGGTCTTCAAGTTGTGTATAAAGGAGAATGTTAAAGTCTTTGAATGAGGGGGCTGTTGAGTTTTATGTTTTTCAAGGGAGAAAAGTTTCGTTTGTTTTTGAGAAACCTTTGAGTTGTTTCAGTTTTACCACTTGTACCAAGTGGACTTGTCACTCTTGTCAAAGGCAACTTTGTCAACCAGTTGGCAAGGACAAGAACCTCGTAGCAACATCTTTCTTCGGTTTGAAGGGACTGAAAACAAGTAGATGCACTGTTCATAGTGTACGAGCAGATCGAAGAGAGTTAAGTGACGTTTCTGTTTACAATGTAAAAGCTTCCTTGGGAGAATCGGGGCTTTATACGAGTTCTAGTCCCACTGTAAGAAGAGTAGAACCTCCTTCTGTGTCAGATAGAAAAATAGTAAGACTGGTCTATGTTGTCTTGGAGTCACAATATCAATCGGCTATCACCGCTGCCGTCAAATCTATTCATGCGAGCGATAGAAATATCTCTTTTCAAGTTTCAGGTTATCTTTTGGAAGAGTTGAGGTCAGCAGAAAATTTGGAAATGTTTAAGAAAGATATAGCCTCTGCAAATATCTTTATTGGTTCTTTAATATTTGTTCAAGAGTTGGCTGAAAAGGTTGTTGAAGCGGTGCAGCCTTATAGAGATCAACTGGATGCTTGTATTGTTTTTCCTTCTATGCCAGAAGTGATGAGACTAAACAAATTGGGTTCTTTTTCACTATCTCGCTTAGGACAGAGCAAGTCAGCTATTGCCCAATTTATGAGAAAGAAACGTAAGGAGAGTGGTGCATCCTTTGAAGAAGGAATGTTGAAAATGTTGAGAACTCTTCCCAAAGTTCTTAAATATTTGCCTAGTGATAAGGCACAAGATGCACGTTCATTTATGTTGAGCTTTCAATATTGGCTTGGAGGTTCTCCAGAGAACATTGAAAATTTTCTTCTTATGATTGCTAGACAATATGTTTCTTCTACTAAGAATATATCCATTGGTGTTGTTCAGGATCCTGTTGTATATCCTGATATTGGTATATGGCATCCTGTAGCTCCAAAGATGTTTGAAGATGCCAGAGAATACTGGAATTGGTATAATAAGGAACATGCACCACTTGCAGGACTCAACAATTCTTCTCCCGTAATTGGTCTTCTTATGCAAAGAACTCACCTGATTACTGGAGATGATTGTCATTATGTTTCTATCTGTCAGGAACTGGAAGCACTTGGAGCAAAGATCATTCCCGTGTTTAGTGGAGGTTTAGACTTTGCTATACCTATAGAGAAGTATTTTTATGCATTGGATATGAATGGAAAATGTACTTCGAATCCTGTGGTGGATTCAGTAGTATCCCTAACAGGGTTTGCACTAGTTGGAGGACCTGCTCGACAAGACCATCGCAAGGCAGTTGAAGCGTTACAAAAGTTAAATAGGCCTTACTTGTGTTCGGTTCCTTTAGTTTTCCAAACGACAGAAGAATGGGAAGATAGTGATCTTGGCCTTCATCCTATTCAAGTAGCTTTGCAAATTTCCCTTCCTGAGTTGGATGGTGCAATAGAGCCTTTGATATATTCTGGAAGAGATGGACCTACTGGGCGTTCTATTCCTCTTTATGATCGTGTGAATATTCTTGCACAGCGAGCCTTGAAATGGGCTCGTCTTGGTAAAATTCCTACTTGTCAAAAGAAGTTGGCTATTACAGTGTTTTCTTTTCCACCTGACAAAGGAAATGTTGGTACTGCTGCTTATTTAGATGTATTTGGCAGTATTTATCGCGTATTGGAAGCCCTAAAAGAACAGGGCTATGATGTTGGACCTATTCCAGCTTCACCGGTAGAATTATTGAATGAAATAGTTCATGACAAGGAAGCTCAATTAACTTCTCCAGAATTGAATATAGCTTATCGAATGAGCGTAGATGAGTATCGACAACTTTGTGAATATTCTGAAGATTTGGAAGCCAATTGGGGAAAGCCTCCTGGTTATTTGAATTCCGATGGTCGTCATTTGTTGATTTTTGGCAAACACTATGGAAATGTGTTTGTTGGTGTTCAACCTTCTTTTGGCTATGAAGGAGATCCTATGAGACTTTTATTTTCTAAAAGTGCTAGTCCTCATCATGGTTTTGCTGCGTATTACACTTATTTAGAAAGAATATTTCAAGCTGATGCTGTATTACATTTCGGAACACATGGCTCTTTGGAGTTCATGCCTGGAAAACAAGTAGGAATGGCAGCTTCTTGTTATCCTGATCGTCTAATATATTCCATTCCTAATATTTATTATTATGCTGCGAATAATCCTTCAGAAGCTACTATCGCCAAAAGGAGATCATATGCTAGTTGTATCTCTTATCTCACTCCACCAGCAGAGAATGCAGGATTATACAAGGGATTGAAAGAATTGTCGGAATTGGTTTCTTCCTATCAAAGTTTGAAGAATTCATCTATGCGAGCAGCACAAATATGTAACAGTATTTTGGAGAAAGCAAAACAATGTAATTTTGAAAAGGACATTGCATTTACTAACGACTCAGATGCAAATAATCTGAGCACAGAACAACGAGATCAGTTGGTTGGAATAATATATCGTAGACTAATGGAAATTGAGTCTCGACTACTTCCTTGTGGTTTGCATACTATTGGAAGACCTCCTACTGCAGAAGAAGCTGTAGCTACTCTGGTCAATATTGCATGTATTGATAGACCCGAAGAAGAAAAAGAACCTATGAAGTCCATCCCAAGAATACTTGCCGAGTCCATCGATAGAAATATTGAAGAGATATATTCGAATGCAGACCGAGGTGTTTTAAATGATGTTGAGCTTCTTCAGACTATTACATTGGCTTGTCGAGAAACGGTACATAGCATAGTTAATCATGCCGTTAATGAAGAAGGAAGAGTTGAAAAGGTAGCCATTGGATTTCTCACAGATTGGTTTTCCAAGAAACAGTCTCCTTGGAAAAGTATACTTGAAAAGTATGGGTTTGGTTCCTATTCTGAAGAAGATATGAAACCCATAGTAAAATATTTGCAATTCTGTTTACAGCAGTTGGTATCTGATCAGGAACTTTCTTCTCTTGTTAAAGCATTAAATGGAGAATATGTTATTCCTGGTCCTGGAGGAGATCCTATTCGTAATCCCGATGTATTACCAACAGGAAAGAATATTCATGCTTTGGATCCACAAAGTATTCCAACCAATGCAGCCATAAAGACTGCAAAGATAGTTGTAGACCGTCTTTTGGAACGTTATCGTTTGGAAAGTGAAGATAAGGAAACTTATCCAGAAACTATTGCTATGGTATTATGGGGAACTGATAATATTAAGACATATGGAGAGTCTCTTGCTCAAGTTCTTTGGTTGGTAGGAGTACAACCTGAACCGGATCAGTTGGGAAGAATTAACAAACTGAGACTGGTATCTTTAGAAGAGTTGGGTCGACCAAGAATTGACGTTGTTGTGAATTGTTCTGGAGTTTTCCGTGACTTGTTTATCAATCAAATGTCTTTGCTTGATCGCGGTATTAAAATGGCAGCTGAAGCTGATGAACCTTTGGAGTCCAATTATATTCGAAAACATGCTTTGATGCAAGCAAAGGAATGGAATTGTTCCATTCGTGATGCTGCTAGTCGAATATTTTCCAATTCTTCTGGTTCTTATTCCAGTAATATTGGTATTGCTATAGAGAATGGTGGATGGGAAGATGAGAAACAACTTCACGATATGTATATTTCAAGAAAAAGTTTTGCATTCAATTCTGATCGTCCAGGAATCATGGAACAGAAAAAAGACTTGTTTGAGACGGTTTTAAAAAGTGCTTCCGTAACATTTCAAAATCTAGACTCATCCGAAATCTCTTTGACAGATGTAAGTCATTATTTTGATGCTGATCCTACCAAACTGGTGCAAAGTTTGAGAACGGACAAGAAGAAGCCAGTTTCTTACATTGCAGATACCACAACAGCCAATGCTCAGGTAAGGAGTCTAGATGAAATGGTTCGTTTGGATACAAGAACGAAACTTTTGAATCCAAAGTGGTATGAAGGAATGCTTTCTTCTGGCTATGAAGGAGCAAGAGAGCTAAGCAAGAGATTAAGGAATACAATGGGTTGGTCTGCTTCAGCTGGAGCTGTAGACAACTGGGTTTATGAAGAGGCAAACGATACATTTGTAAAAGATGAGAGTATGCGGAAGAGATTGATGAATATGAATCCCAATTCTTTTCGTCAAATGATAAGCACTTTATTGGAAGCAAATGGTAGACAATATTGGGAGACATCAGAAGAGAATATAGCAAGATTGAGAGAGCTTTATCAAGAAGTTGAAGATAGAATAGAAGGAATAGAGTAATTGAATCCTTGTGCAATGATATAATATAAAACAGCTTTTTCCATTGTGAAGATAATTTCCCCTGATGGAAGAAACCATGTCCAAGACATCGACGACAAAGAAGAAGAATAAGTCGACTATATCGAGTAAAATAGATAGTATGAGTCTGGACCAACTCTTTGATATTTTACAAGGTAGTGAGGACGTTACCAATTCTAGTCATACGAGAGAAAGAACTAAAGCAGAAGAAGAGGTGTCAAAGGTTTCACAGCCTCCTCTTCAAGTCAACAACAATAATTCGATAGAAGGAGAACAACCTTTTCAAGTGAAGAACAATAACGTAGTTTCTGAAGAGTTTTCCAATCATTTGACTGATATGGACCTCAACGAAAAAGGGGAGATGGAAGAAATTGTATCTTCGTCAGACGTCGCCATTAGAGTTGACAGTGAGTTACTACAAACTTTACAGGAACAAATTGAGCACAAAAAGTGTTCAAGAGCCAATATAACTTGTTTGATTAAGATTTTTCGTGCAGCTTGTACGATTATCGAGTCGAATCAGTTGTCTACGATTGCTTCAACCACTTCCAATGAAGCAAATACCGGCGATAATAAAGCAACTCTTTTGAATAGGAAAGGTCAACTTCATTCACTAGACGATATGCATTTGGTTGAAACTGGGTTTATTTCTCATGGTATTCATTTTATCAACTTGCGAGTTTATCAAAATAGTATGAAGCTATGCTTGGAGCTTATTCCAAAGTCATTGGATCATTTATTAGGAATTGAAGGCTTAGACAAACTGGACAAGATGGCTTTGAATGAACCTAAGAACTTGGAGCACTGGAAGTTTCCATCTTCTAAGAGATGGAAAAGTCTACGATCTCCAATGAAAGTGTTCTTCTATTATCTAAGATTGTTATTAGAAACTGTTTCTAATGAAGGAATGAAGAGGTATTTATTGAAGATTGCCCGAAGATGTTCACCTTATCTACTCAAGTTGGTCCCATTTGCTCGCGCTTGGATCAAAACTGTCGTTTCCACTTGGGCGTATGCAGAAGAGGAAAACACCAGAGGAATGGCATACTTTACTTTATACTGTTGGTCTTTATATGACTCTGAGAAATATTTATCAAGAATATTGAAGAAAATGCAGTCATCTTTTAGGGACGAAATTGGTAAACAAGGAAACCTTCGTAGACTTCCTGTTATTCTATTTGCTGCGAATAGTTTGGTTGATTTGTTTGGAGTGGATATGGGAACTTCTTACTCTTCCATATTTGTTCACTTGCGAGAGCTCGCCATTACTTTGAAACGAGTCATTACTTCGGAAGCAAAGGAATTTCGTCATTTGGTAGAAAATTGGCAGTTTGTCAATCAACTTCGGCTATATGGAATGGTTCTATCTTCGTATCCAGGCAAAGATCAGTTGAGAGCACTTATTTATCCTTATGTCCAAATTGTATTGGGAGTTGTTCAATATTCATATTCACCTCATTCGTTTGGATTGTTATTCCATTGCATTCACTTTCTAAATGATTTAATGAAACAATCCAATCTTTATATTCCTCTTTCAAGTAGTTTGGTTCGTGTGCTTTTTTGTGCCGAATTGAAAAGGAAACCAACTAGTAGTGATGTAAAAGATAAGCCACTGATTTGGAGAACTATTTTAAGAATACCACAACGGCAATTAAATACTAGAGCCTTTCGTGATGGAGTTGTTTCTCAAGTAGTCTATTTACTTGCAGAACATTTTTCAATATTATCTAGAAATGTTGCATTTCCCGAGTTGATTGTTCCAACGATGATTTCTTTGAATGACTTTATGAAGGAAACCAAGGTATCCAAGTTTCGTCAAATCATGAAGGAATTGACACAACAATTGGAAGAGAATGCTAATTTGATTAGGAAACTTCGAAGACAGTCAAATTGTGGGCCAACACAATTGAAAAGTGAAACATTGTGTTCCCCACTTGGGTTTTCTTCTGAAGAAAAGACACCGATGGAAATGTTCTTCGATTTAGAACAACGAAGAGTAATCAAAGAGGAAAAACTTTTAACATCTACCATTATAGACTTGGAGGAACCATGGATTCAATCAAATGCCACTTCATTGAAGGAGGAGAAAAGAATGAAGAGAGAGGAACAGTCATGGGAAAATGGAAAAGATTCAATATCCAACGACGAAGACTTGGTAGAAGAACTGGTTCTTACTGATTAGGAGTATATTCCATCGGGTAGTGCAGTCAAACTCTCGTCAAAGATTTGAACAACTTCAATATTAGCTGCTTGGAAAAGTTTCTTTGCCGCAATATCGATGGAATATTCAGAATGATAAACAACTTTGGAAATGCCTGCTTGAACGATTTTTTTGGCACATGAAAGACAAGGAAATACATTGGAATATAGAGTAGCATTTTTACAACGTTCTCTTCCTGCTTCGATGATTGCGTTCTCTTCCGCGTGAAGACAAAGACATTCATCCAAGTTATGTCCTGCAGTTGTAAAACTATTGCATCGAAGACAACCAGAGTCATTGCAGTTGGTAGTTCCAATAGGAGTTCCATTATATCCAGTCGATACTATTCGATTATCACGAACAACCAATGCTCCTACTCGTCGCTTCATACAGTTACTACGAGTGGCAGCCAAATATGCAATCCTAATAAAGTAAGTATTCCAAGAAGGTCGCAATCTTTCTGGATTTGCTATTCTAATAGAAATAACTTTGTTTCGCAAAACATCCAAAGTATCGTCGTTGAATAACTGAATATCGGCAGAACGCATTAAACTACCAAGTCTCGATAGTTCCCAGTGATGATTTGTTTTGTTCAACTAACAGAAACGTGAAAAATACAAAAGATGACTTGCTTATTCTACATACTTTGTGTTTTCCACAGCTACAAAAACTAGTGTCAACAAGCTCTCGATCGTGTTCCTTCACAAAAGTTTCCAAAGAAGTACAACATAAAACCTCCGAAGCTCTTTTAAACCGTAACCATAGAGGTGCATCTATCGATACGAGAAGAAAGAAAGGACGCTTTCTCAAGAGTGTCAACTATCCAATAAAGTCTTACTACGACTCTCAACAGGAACGAGAAATATACGTTACTTGTTGCCAACAATTCAAAACAACAACAATAAAGCAATCTTTTTTCCAACCTTCCTTTACCAACTTATCAACTACGCCACAGTCAGTTTCATATTTCACAAACTTATGCTCCTCCACAAGTATCTTCACCAAAGTCTTTTTGCCAGCACAAGTAGTTCCAATGATTCCAATAATCATTGATATAAAGAGGCGTTTCTTGAACACACTGTTGAGTACTCTAAACTATAATATTATTTATTCTTCTACATTCTACAACAAGGGAAGATAAGGAAACCTTTTCTGAAAATGAGATAAAAATATATATTTGAGATGAAACTCAACCAAATAAAAGGGAAACAACACTAAACAACAAGTTTCGATATCTTTTTCCCAAAAAACAAAAGAATAGCAACCAGTTCTTCTATTCAATTGAAAACCAAAGACTAGCAAAGTTTCTCTTAAAAAAGAGAATGCAATAAGGGAAGACATGAAGACTTACTCTTCGTCAAAGTCATCTTCGGTTGGTCGAGTAAAGTTTGGAATTCTATGTGGTTTCTCCAACTCACCAGGAAACCCTGAAACACTTTCAGAAACCTTCATAGACTCTTCTCCTGTCTCGTCTTCCCTGTCCATCATATCTTCTTCCATCACAAACCCAATCCATCCATCATTTCATTGAAATCCAAACTTAATGTGTGAGATAAGTCACAAGCATTTTAGTTATATGACTTATACTTAGTTATAAAATACAGGTTATTACTAGTTCAACTTGAACAAGCATAACGAAGCTTCTTTATTGTTATCCTATCGATTTCTTATATAAGATTAATACATATCCATTCCTCCCATGCCACCTGCTCCAGCAGCGCCATGAGAGTTTTCTTCTTCCTTTGGCAACTCAACTACCATACATTCAGTGGTAGTCATTAGACCTGCTACACTTGCAGCTCTTTCCAAGGCTGTACGAACAACCTTTGTTGGGTCAATAATTCCCGCCTGAACCAGGTCACAATACTGATCCTTGGCTGCATCATAACCAATCATATCCTTGGATTGTAATAAACGTTCAACAACTACAGAACCTTCTACACCAGCATTCTTGGCAATAGCTAGAGTAGGTTTCCTTAATGCTCTGCGTACAATATCTATACCAACATTCTGATCAAAGTTCTTTCCTTGAGCATCCTTTAAAGCATCTCGAGAAGCATATAAAAGTGCACTTCCACCACCAGGCACAATTCCTTCTTCAACTGCTGCTCTCGTTGCATTCAACGCATCGTTAATGCGATCCTTCTTCTCATTTACTTCCACTTCAGAAGAACCTCCAACTTTCAAAACTGCAACTCCACCGGATAACTTGGCCAACCTTTCTTGTAACTTTTCCTTTTCATATTCAGAAGAGGACTTGTCAATCATGTCTCGTAACATATCACAACGTTCTTGAATCATTCGTTTGTCTCCTTGACCATCCAAAATAATAGTATCGTCCTTTGAAATGGAAATCTTCTTAGCTTGGCCAAGCATAGACATGTCCACATTCTCCAACTTGACATCCAAGTCATCACTAACCAACTGTCCACCAGTTAATACACAAATGTCTTGTAGATTGGCTTTTCTATTCTCTCCAAATCCAGGAGCCTTGACAGCACAAACTTTGATGCCTCCTCTCAATTTGTTTACTACCAAAGTTGCCAATGCTTCTGACTCCACATCTTCTGCTATGATGAGCAAAGGTCGTTGTGAACGAATAACATTTTCAAGTAAAGGAAGCATAGCATTAACTGAAGATATCTTCTTCTCTACACACAATATAACTGGATTCTCAAATTCACACTTTTGAGTCTTTGCATCAGTAACAAAATAAGGAGAAATATATCCACGATCAAACTTGAGTCCTTCGACTACTTCCAACTCATTCTCTACAGTCTTTCCATCTGAAACAGTAATAGTGCCTTCTCTTCCAACTGCTTCCATAGCTTTGGCAATTAAACTGCCAATTTCTTCGTCTCCATTTGCGGATATTGTGGCAACCTATTCGACTATACTTTGACCAATCCAACTTTATCCAATCCTATAAATACTCACTTGTTGTATCTCTTCTTTAGAGTTGATCTTCCTAGACATGGCTCTTAGCTTCTCTGTCACAGCCTTCACTGCTTGATCAATTCCTCTCTTCACATCCATAGGATTCATTCCAGCAGCTACTGCCTTGATTCCTTCTGCATAAATAGCTCGAGCAAGTACAGTTGCTGTAGTCGTTCCATCTCCAGCAATATCGTTTGTTGCGTTGGCTACTGAACGAACTAACTGAGCTCCCAAATTCATATGCTTATCCTTGAATTCTATGTTCTTAGCCACAGTAACTCCATCTTTGGTAATTTTCGGAGCCCCAAAAGATTGCTCAATGATAACATTTCTACCTTTTGGACCCAAAGTAACCTATACTATGTTTATAGTTGATATCCCTAACAGCTGTCTTTTCTTACCTCCACAGCATCTGCCAGAGAATCAACACCTTTCAACATCAAATTCCTAGCTTCCGTAGCAAATCGAAGATCCTTTCCAGTTGCAAAATTCCTCGTTAGAAATAAACTAGGATACTTGGATGATTCGATTATTGAACGTTTCTCATTGTGACCGATTTTAAGAGCACTGAAAGTGGAGGCTGCTTTCGATTGGACCTGACAATATTTGACGGAAGACGAAATATTCGCTCGTATGTTACATCCTGCAAGTAAATTTCTTGTAGCACTGTAAACGAGTCTGGTTCCTTTCTGCATATGACAATCAAAACCACCTAAACCCACCAACAGTCTAAAACACAACTATAGGAATGGAAATTTTATCGACGGCCTTGATGCAACGGCATTTGCTATTACATCCTCATTTTGGAAGTTTCTAGTTCAATGAGAAATATCAAGAAGAGCTGAATAGAGAAAAGAATGAATGATACAAGTTATAAAAGAAATTTATTTTACATAAACATGAAAATAGTTTGCACTAGTCTATAAAGATTGTTTCCAAGTTTTGGAAAATGAACATTTTGTTGTTTGGAATAGTTTATTAGATTCCATGGCTTTGTTATCGTTTGTTGATGACCAGTGTTGTTTTGGGAAACCTTGTCTTTTAAAAAAGCAATTCCATAAAACCTTGTGGACACGAAAAGCAAGTTGCACTTTGCGTAGAGTTGATAAAGTCAAGTTGTTTTATTACTGTTGTGGCTGTGGTTGTATTCCAAGTGGATCCCGTCCTCTTGTTTCAGTGGTCGTTTCCCAATTGGACACTTGGAAGTCTTCCCATAAGTGTACAGAAGATAGAAATCAAAGTAATAATCGATTGGAAAGGAATACTTTACTGGAGAAATGGAAGGCAACTCTCAAGCGTATAGTCTTTGCGATTGTTCTATGTTTATCAGTGGCGCCTTTTCAAACTACTATGACATACGCAGCTCCCCTTAGGCAGTCGAGGTCATTCATCCATACCAGAAACACTCATGCTAAGAATAATACTCCTTTTTCAGTTTGGTCTTGGAGATATTCACAGTTACTGAAAGCAGTGAAACAAGGGCAAGTGTTGAGAGTAATTTTTTCAGCTGATCAGTCACAGTTGATAGCCATTACGAAAGATGGTGGAAGATACAAGTTACGTGCACTACCACCACATTCTTCCAATCTGATTGCTTATCTTTCTAAACACAAGGTGGATATCGTTATCCTTCCAAAGTATAAGGAGAGTGGACTCGTTTATTTTCTCAAAGGTCTCCTATTTCCGATACCTTTTGTTCTATTGCTTTATTTTTTACAAAAGTCGTTGTTAGGTGGTTCTTTGGCTCCATTTGATCTTCAAAAAGCCAACGCACGAGTTTCATTACGAATGCTTGTCGGTGTAACATTTCAGGATGTAGCAGGTTATGATAGTGTAAAAGTAGAACTTCAAGAAGTAGTTGAATTTGTTCGCAATCCAGAAATATTCTCACAAGTTGGTGCAAAAGTGCCTAGAGGCGTCATTTTGGAGGGTCCTCCTGGAACTGGAAAGACTTTGTTGGCCAGAGCAGTTGCAGGTGAAGCTGGAGTTGCTTTCTTTTCTATTGCAGGTTCAGAATTTGTAGAAATGTTTGTTGGAGTTGGTGCTAGTCGTGTTCGTGACTTATTTGCGCAAGCCAAAAAGAATGCTCCGTGTATTATTTTTATTGATGAAATAGACGCGGTAGGTAGACAACGAGGTGCAGGAGTTGCTGGAGGGAATGATGAAAGAGAACAAACTCTGAATCAGTTATTGACGGAAATGGATGGGTTTGATGAGAATAAGTAAGTTGTAGTCTTTATGAACAATGACTATTTATTCTTATAGAATTACTTTATAGAGGTATTATAGTATTAGCTGCAACCAATCGATCGGATGTGTTGGATAGAGCCTTGTTAAGAGCAGGTCGTTTTGATAGGCGAATTATGATTGAGTTTCCAGATATGAATACAAGAACTGCTATTTTAAAAGTTCATGCAAGAGGAAAAGCTTTGGATAGTTTTATTCATTTAGAAAAGATTGCAAGAAGAACACCAGGATTTTCAGGTGCATCTCTTCAAAATTTAATGAATGAAGCAGCTATTCTGGCAGCACGTCGAGAACATCAACTTATTATGGAAGAAGATTTGGAGGATGCTTTGGATCGAATTCTGTTAGGGCCTGAAAAGAAGCAATTTACTTTTAATGATTATTACAAACGTTTGGTTTCTTATCACGAGGCTGGACATGCCTTAGTAGGAGCGTTATCTCCCAATTATGATCAGGTTCTGAAAATATCTATCATTCCTAGAGGTTCTGCTGGAGGATTAACATTCTTTAGTCCTATCGATGAAAGTAGAATAGAGACTGGTTTATATTCGAGACAATATTTGGAGAGCCAACTAGCTGTTGGTTTAGGAGGTCGAATTGCTGAGGAAATTGTTTTTGGAGAAGATCAAGTCACTACAGGAGCAGCTAATGATTTTCAACATGTGACTAACATTGCACGTCAGATGGTCACCAAGTTTGGGATGTCTTCAGTACTTGGTCCTATGTTTGTGGATCAGTCTTCTAATAGTCATCCATTTTTAGGAAGAGAGTTTGCTTTGAGAAATAATGTTTATTTAAGTGGGGAAACAAAATTATGGATAGACCAAGAAGTAACTCGTTTGGTTGAACAAGCTTATCAAAGAGCCAGAAATGTTCTCGAAAGCAATCGACATGTATTGGACAAATTGGCAAATATGTTAATAGAGAAGGAAACTGTTAGTAGTGAAGAGTTACAAATGTTGCTTTCAGAAAATGATGTTTTCTTGATGGACTATGAAGAACTTGTACAGGACCAAAAGGAAATATCCAACAATTGTAGTAGCAATATTTGGCAAAAATATGATTTTACGCAATCTATTCTAGAAAATGGTAATATACATTCCAAGATAGAGAATGTAAACTGACTGATAATATATTCTCATTGTACATGAATAATAAAACGAGAAGACCATCCCATACTTATTTATAACTGCGGCTTGTAGAAGAATTCTCACCAACTAAAACTTCTTCCATACCTCCCGCTGGAAGAATAGCCTCTGACTGGTATGACTTTTTGGATAAAGGAAGCTAAAAAATGAGTAAGAAGGACACATACTCAATCTTGAGAGAATACTTACTCCCAACTGACGTTTCAGTTGTTGAATCTGTTCCCACTGTGAAGGAATGATAACTTGATTCGCATTTTCTTGCTCTGTTTCGCGGCGATATCTCTTGGAAACTTCTTTTTCAATATACGCAATCATACGCTCATCTTGAACATCTGTCTGTTCTTGTGCAAAGTTATATTTCAAGCCTTCCATGGCTGAGTTTTCCTTTTTTTCTTCTTCTGGAACGTTGTCCACTTTGTTGTCCACCCAATTCAACCAGTTACTCTTCTCTTTCACTTTCTGTGCTTCTCTTAGGACACGTATACGTTCTCTAAAAAGAAAAGCTAGTAACCAACGGAACAAAACAAAATGAGGCTACTTGTTACCTTCTATAAGCGGCTTCTTCTTCATCCTCTTCAGAAGCGTCGTCTATTAGAGAACGTTTACATTTTCTCTTTCTAGCACTATATCTCTTCAGAATCTTTCCCAATTCTTTCTCTTCTTCTTCGTATGAGGCAACCATATCCTTTATTTCTACACTTATAAAAACCGACTATAAGATATCCACCAACTCAACCAACGATCTAACCAATCAGGTAAATGAGGTACCAAATCCATATCTGCTGCAATGCGATGACTACAAGAAAAACTAGAAAATGCAACTGCATTAAGTCCTTGTCCCGGAAATGTACTATCGCCTACACAATATAGTTTTTCAATGCTTGTCCTATTCAGAGGCATTGTTAACAATCCTGGTAGTTTTCTTTTAGGAATGGGTCCATAAGTACCATCCAGCCTGGAAAGAAAACGACGATGAGTTCTTGGAGTACCAACAGTGGTTTGCTGAATGGCACTTGTCAAACCAGGAAAGACTTTCTTCTCTAAACGAGCCAAAATATGGTTGCTGAGAGTTTGTTTCTTTTCTTTATATGCTTCAGGAGATAATCCGGTCCATTCTTCCATCCAACTTGGAGTAAATATATGAAAGATGTGATATCCAACAGGTGCCAATGAAGCATCCAATACAGTTGGAATAGATAAGAATATAGTTCCCTGTGCATCTTTGGCAGTTTCCATTTCTTTCCAACTCTCCAACACAATATGATGACAATCTGTGATAGGATAAGATAGTCGATTCGCATCCACTACAACGTGAATACTTAGAAAACTGGGAGACATTTGATAACTTTCTCTCCATCTTTGTTCCATAACTGGAAGAAAGCCATCAGGTAGCAATTGGTCAAAAGTATTCCAACGAGTAGCATTGGAAACTACATATCGGGAAGTTACAATATGTCGATTCTTAAGTTGAATACCTTTTGTATAAGTCAGCTTTCTTCCAAAAGAGTCTTTCGAATGGTCACAAAGAATGCCAACGACTGGAGCTCCATAATGTATGGAGCCTCCCAGCGACTCCAAACCTTTGACTAAGTTACGAGCAATACTACCAACTCCTCCCTTTGGATAATGAATGCCGCCATAATGACGATCGCCAAAAACCATTCCAGCATTTATCATAGGAGTCTTGTTAGCATCAACAACAGACCAACAATAACATTCTAAGTCAATAAATGCTAAAACAACAGGATCCGATATATATTTTCTAGCAATATCTCCAGTATTCAATGGTAAATATTTGGCCAGTCCCAAACAAGCCAAAGGATTCTCTCGAAATACTCGAAACAAATAATAGGGTTCCTCCAAAGATAGAAGCTCAATCGAATTCAAACAATGAAATACTTTCCAACATTCATCATAAAAGTTTTCAATTCCTTGTCTTTCTGAATTGCAGACTTCAACTAAACAAAAGCAAAGAAACAAGTTACATACCATGCGGAAAATGTGTTTGTAGCTCTTCCAGAAACTGTTCATAATTTCTATGTACTCGGATATCAATATTATCAGGTAAGTGATAGTGTATCTGAACAGGGTCTGGAATAGTCTCCAATTCTATTCCAACTGCAGCAAGCGCTCGTGTCAAAGTATTGGTAGTTCCTTTGTTACCCAAACCAAATATCATACTGGCACCAACGTCAAAAGTAAATCCATTCTTCGTAAAATAACCCGAGCTACCTCCAGGAATAAGATACTTTTCAAATACTGACACTCGAACTCCTTTTTTGGCAAGTTGGGTTGCAGTTACCAATCCTCCTATTCCTGAACCAATAATAGCCACATCTGTCTCGTTGGGTAAGGAAACAGCAAGTAGCACTATTTTTCTTTTAGAGAAATTTCGTTTGGAACTTTGTTTCCAGTGATAAGCTGAAAACCAATCATACTTGACAGGCAACTTATCACTACGCAACCAAAAAGCTTTGCTACAACAGCTTTTACAATGAAAGTTTCTCCTAAATGAGCTACAAATAATAAAAGCATTCATCATTATCACAATCTTCAAAATGATCCTAAATATTGTAGCATTCATTTCATTATCGATGCACTGCACTTTTATCTACTCATCGACAGGCTTCTTATACAAGCAATACGCATCCACTTTATGCAAACATATTCGTAAGAGTATATATACTGTCAGCCTTATAAGACAAAGAAGCTTTTTGGAAGGCATACCAGAATATCGTGCGACTAGATTTTTGGGACTTCCAGTCAGAGTGTCTTGTACGAATACTGCACACTCACTGAAGGCTTCTAATCATACCAACGAAACTCAATCCAAAGAATCAAATACTCAAAAAGTTCCGCTTAAAAGAGGTGAAGAGTTGGAACTAAGAATACAAAGTTTGGTTTCTGGTGGAGACGGTATATCTCGTATAGGAAGATATGTCGTTATGGTACCACACTCCGTCCCAGGACAACTAGTCAAAGTTGTTGTTGGACGTGTGAGAAGTTCCTATGCCAACGCCAAAGTTACTCAAGTTGTCGAACACTCACCTTATGAAGTAGAACCTTTGTGCAAACACTTTGGGCAATTTGGTTGTGGTGGTTGCAAGTTCCAACATATTTCATATGAAAAGCAACTGGAACAAAAATATCAGCAAGTACTTTGGCACTTTGAAAGTTTATTGACTCGTTTGAATCATACTGTGGAGAATGTTATGAAGCCAATCGTTGGCTCTCCTATTATATTTGGATATCGAAATAAGATGGTGAGTTATGATCAACCCTCGCAGTAGTAAATAATATAGTATTAGGAATTTAGTTTCGGTACTAGGCGTTGGATTCCTGGCGACCATTTGTCTGAAAGCGAGAGAGTTTCGCTAGTCATAGAAGAGAATAAATTGAGGAGACAGGAAGCAGTGTTTGAAACAAATGAAGGAAACTTTGTGTTGGGTTTAAAACCGTCTGGACATTTTGATAAAGTTTTGCCAATAGAATATTGTCACATACAGGAGACCATAGCCAACGATATAATGAAATTGGTTCAGAAGCGAACGAGTGAAATGCATACCACTGCCTATGATGTTTATTCTCACCAAGGCTTTTTGAGAAACTTGGTAATTAGAACAGCACATAATGAACAGAATGAAACGGAAGTTATGGTCAATTTCGTAACGTCTTTTGGTGAAGATTCCAACCGACTAAAGCCACTTGCACTGGAATTGGGAAGGCAATTTCCTTGTATTAGATCTATTGTGCAGAACTTTACGACATCCAAAGGTGGTGCATCAAAGGGTGAGGAGGAACAAGTATTGTACGGTTGTAATTATATTCAACACTATATATTGGGACGAACCTTGAGATTTACGGCCAATTGTTTCTTTCAAACGAATCCAATGCAAACAGAGAAACTATATCAACTTGTACGAGAAGCTGCCCATTTGAAAATGGAAGATGTCTTATTAGATCTCTTTTGTGGAATTGGAAGCATAGGATTGTGTCTCGCAGCAGATTGTAAATACGTTTATGGTATCGATGTGGTTGAAGAAGCCATCCAAATGGCAAAAGTCAATGCGGAAATCAATGGAGTAGGAAATGCAGAATTTATCCTCGCGAATCTTGAAAAGTCTTCCTTACAAGATCCTGAAGTTCAAAGACTCTTTCACAGAAATGGTATATTGTCTCCAAATGTTGTCATCGTCGATCCTCCTCGAGGAGGTTTGCATCCAACATTGATAAAATGGCTTAGATGGCTCAAACCAAAGAGAATAGTGTATGTAAGTTGCAACCCTGCAACCCAAGTAAGAGACTTGGAAAGTTTGTGTCTTGTACAAAGATATCGACTAGTAAGTGTACAGCCTGTGGATATGTTCCCACACACTCCACATATGGAATGCATTGTTGTTTTAGAAAGACTATAAACATTGGATCATCAATAATGCTTTACAAATTCTTCCAGAAGATGAACACTATCCATATACAAAAAGAATTTGGAATGAGTATCTTGTTTTCCATTGCAAGGTGATAATGAAAACGACTCTTCAGCTCTATTCTTACGTCTTCTCCTTCGAAAACTGCCAATTGACTTTGTTACATTACAAGAGTCCAATGATTGCGAACAATCTTTACCAAAAGGAGGAAAGGAGGAGTATCCCATTCCTAGACGACTCGCTCGTTCTTCTCTTTCTAAAATATTTGCTGGTTCAACAAAACTATTTGAGATATCATCACTTGATGGACTCAGACCTCGCGAATAATAATAATAATGTTGTTGTAAGCCAAGAGTTATCTGATAAAAACCAGTGCAATTGGTCATATCATATTTTAGTACAGAAATACTGTTCAAGTTTCGCTCAAGTAACCAAACTGCTTCTTGACTTAATGGACATCCACGGAGATTAAGATAGGATAAATGCGATAAGGAATATAAAGATAAGAGCGCTCGATTGGTAACGTTGCGACAATTCTTCAAATTGAGACTTTCTAAATTGATAAGTTCACCAATAATGGTACAAAGGTCGTCAGTCACAAAATGACAACTGCTCAAATTCAAATGTTGCAAGGCGTTCTTCAAAGAAATCAAAAAGTCAAATTTGAATGGTTTCGATACCTCACAATGAGACAACTTTAAATGTCTCAAACAGCCAAAATCTGTAAATGCTTTGAAGTCATCACCGTCAATGCGACATTTTGACAACAATAAAGTCTCCAGTTTAGGGAATAGACAGGCAACACTCGTCAAGAAGTCTTTTCCCAGTGTGCCCCCTTCTTCAATTACTAAGGTTTTTAGAGGCAGTCTTATTAAACAAGTTTGGCGAGAAATCTTTTGCAAACATAGATAACAGTAACGAACCTTTTAAGAAAATTTTGGTAAGATAGACTCCAAGAATTCTTCGTCAATTGAGGATTGTTAGAAATATCTAAAACTTTCAAGTGCTCTACGTTATTCAAAATATGACTAGTAATTTTTTCACTACATAGGATACAAGATGATATATCAAGCTCCGATATCCTTTTCAAAAGGTCTTTTATACGTAAAATTCCATAGTCACTAACGCTCGTTCCTCCAAGTTTCAACATAGAAAGTGAGGATAACTTCTCAAGCCAAGAAATTCCTCTGTCCGTCACATATCGACAGTCTGTCAAGTTCAAACTTTCTAATTGAGGAAATGAATCGCTTATTGCTTGAAGAACCTCCCAATTTCTCAATAAAAATGCACTTCTAGATAGTTCTTTCTTACCTCATCGTCAACACAATGCAGATATCTCAACTGCAACCGTTTCATATTCTTGGAAAGTTTTCTCAACGATACTGAAAATTGAGACCCCACTAAATTTGAACAACGAGTTAAATGGAGATTCTCTAAATGAGGCATAAATATATCAGCAAGAGATGCAATCCCATCTGCACTGATACAAGTTCCAGAAAGACAAAGATGACGAATCTGAGAGCACTTTTGAAGATATTTCAAACCATTATCATCAATCTTGACGCATTCATAGAGTTCCAAGGTCTCCAAACTCGTCAAATTTCCAATATGTTCTAGAGCTCTATTGTCAACCCTAGCGCAGTTACGTAGTTTTAAATGCTTTAAATTCTTCAGGCTGCCAATGTGCAATAATGCATCGGAAGTAATCCGAGAGCAACTTGAAAGGTTTAAAAACTCCAAACGCTTCAAGTAAAAAAGTTGTTCCAACCCACTTCCAGAAATTTTATCGCAACAAGCAATACTCAGACTCTTCAAACAGGGAATGTCACGAATGTATGACAACGATATGTTTCCAAGCGAGGAACAATGATCAAGAACCAAGGTTTCCAAACTTCTAAAGTAGCTAAGAGCTTCCATTCCTACGTTTGAAAGTTGACTACAACCGGAAAGGTCCAATAGTTTCAGTGAACAAGTCAAGGGGGAGTCTTTATGCAAGTCTTCTTGTGAAGAAGTTAACTTATACAAACCTTCATCAGTCAAGTGTACACAAAAAGATAGTACAAGCGCTTCAAGCAAAAAAGTGGAAATAGGGCTCATCCAATCATCACTCACTCTTCCCGCCTGACTGCTCAAATTAAGCTGTTGAAACTCAGTTCCTTCCAACCTAAGCACGAATGATACACAATAAGGGCTTCCTAGAGCATCTATACTCTTACCATTGGAGAACCCGAAAAGACAGTTTTCTGTCCGTTGAGAACTTTTCCACAAGGATATTCAAGAGGTCCTTTGGGAGTCTCTCAACGAACTCTCTATGAATATTCTCCCATTCAAAGACAATAACGTTCAAACATATGGTTTGAAGAGAAGCAACAATTTTCATATGAGTTGTTTACTTGGAGTGTCATAGATTCCCAAAAGGAATCTCTTCAATCATGTACAATGGAATAGCGTTCCGTAGTCAATAATTTTTCAAAAGAAAACTTATATTCCGATTCATCAGAAGAACCTCTTACTGACTCTATTCCAATGTCACCATATATTTCATTACTTATAAAAGATACTTGAACAGGAAAGAAGCTGGTAGCTGCAGCAGGTTCTGTAACAAACTCCAGAGATCCTTGAGGCTTATCCTTATCTATAATCGACACATTCCATTCCACCATTCCTGAACGAGAGTTGAAAGTAAATTCTCCATCCACACCTCGTAGCTTTGGTGTACTTGCACTCTTAGGCACTGGAATATGAATAGCCACGTTTTCCAATTCCCGAATAGCAACAAGTTCATATTCTATAATAACGACGGTCTCTGTTGACGATTCTGCAGGCCAACAATTAATAGAAAGCGGAATCATTTTCTCTTCAGAACTTGTTAAACGCCATCTTAAAATACTCAGTGGACTTCCTACAGGAAAACCACGTGATGCGTCTCTAAGACCTAAGACTTGTGAAGACGTCCAAAGATTCTTATCAATATTCGGATGAGTACGAACTTGAAATGCTTCCATATCTCCAAGCTTTGTATGAATACGAATAGAAGCTTTTGCCGAATCTGATACTTGCAATATCAGGTTGCCCTTGATTTCAAAGCTGTGAATCACGCCATCTCTATTCATTTCCAAAACAATATCTTCCTGAGCAACAAAATGCACAGCTTCTTGTAAGACTGGACTTTTCATGTTGATATTAAGATTGCGATTCTTTCTTTCTTCAGAAAAAATTCCTGTTTGGGAGTTGGAACTTTTCACTAGTTCGCCTTCTTTCTGTAATGCTTCCAAAACAGCATCTTGCTTTCGATTGCCACCCAAACTTAAGCCTTTCCCACCAATACCGGCAGACACGACCTTACTGCTTTCAACAGCAGCCGAAGACTGCAAACTTTTACTATCCAAATTTCCATAGTTAGACATACCAGTAAAAGTGAATCCCGTCTCTGGCATAGCCATCGAGGCTTGATAGGTTTCTGCGGATATTCCTCCAAACGAACGGCCTTGGAGACGTCCAAAATCCGAACCCAATTTGTGCAGCTTTTCTCTTTCCGACTTTTCTCGACTGAGACTTTCTGCTCGTCTCTTGGCAACTTCTTTGGCTTCCAACATCTTTGACTCTTTGATCATGTTGGCTAATTTCTCTTCGTGACTGAACATTTCCGTCAAAGCATGCACTTGTTGAACATCGACGCTTTCACGCAAACCACCCCAGTCAACAACTTCATCAAAGGCAGCTATCAATTCGAAGGCGGCTTCAACAATACTTTCCTCATCAAGACTTGCATAGATGGGCAGATACTCCGGAATAAGTTTGCAAATCAAACGAAGCGTTTCGAGATCTTCCACCACGTTGCTCCCTTTGGTAGTTATTATGACCACATACAAGGACTCCAAGGGTTGATACAGATATCGCACGCTTTCGGTTTCAACATAAGTGTGTTGTTTACTACTGCCTATAAGCCTTGGAAACGCCGACAACAAGCTTTCTACTCGGATCCGACTTATTTCAACAAACTGCCGGGACAATAAAACTAAAACACAAAAATTTAGAACTAGAATAGACAATAGGGTAATGATTTCCGAATATATTAAAACCGTCAGAGGTCTTGGTGGTAATCAAGAAAGAAACTCTTCAAAGCGGTCTTTCCGCTCCGCCAGTGAACAGTTGTTATCATTCGGGGAAGAATGAATTCTTTTACAGAGTAGCTTTTCACGTACCTTTTCCACTTCTATTCAATATTGAAACGGATATAATAGTCATAAAACCCAATAGGCAAACAAAACAAGCAACCCCTCAATCAACAGTAATAATAAATTTTAATGAAATCCATGAAAGCCTATTTCACAGACTAAAATTAGATACTTTGAAAACGCCATATAGTGTATTCGATATAACATTGGTCATTATAGAATATACGAAAAATGTCTGTAAAAGCTGCCAAATCAAAATGAAACAACTCTCAAATGAAAGTCCATATCAACTTCTCTTCTCTCAATATAAGATATGATGTGAATACATTCTTTCATACACAACTTAAGATACTTTCATTGAAGCATCTTTCAGTTCCACAAGTCTTCGAACAACCAGACTGGCAACTGCTCGAGGAGAAAACTTCGATAAAATCTCTTTCCTTGCTTGCAATGCTATTTTCTTTGCTGCTGATGGGTTTGTAAATACCCAACGCATTAAACTGCGAAATTGCTGTTCAGAGGGCTTGGCCCAAAGTTGGTTTCGAAATGAAGCTGCAGAAATTTCCAATTCATCCTTATATAACTCTGCAAAACCCGGACCTTCTGAGTAGGTCACAATTTCTTCAACTGGAATAGGAAAGCCAGTCTTCGCATTGAGATATTCTGTTTGACCACTCCAATTGGTTGCAATCACAGGCGTTCCACAGGCCATTGCTTCCATTATAGGACGTCCCCAACCTTCGCCTCTCGTTGGAAGGACGAATGCGTCAACTGAGACATACAAAGTAGCCAAATTCAACATGTCCTTTTTGCTCGACTCAAGAACTTCAAGTCGAGGAAGATTCGAAGCGACAATATTATTCTTCTTTAAAAATTTGGTGACACGCTGTTTGATTTCATTAGCTGATAAACCTTTGCCTCGAGTCAACAGAATCAAACACACATCATCTCGCTCCGAAAACTCTTGCATATATGCTTTCAGTAATATATCCACACCCTTACGAACCTCCCATTTGAAGATAGACAGAAAGACAAAGCGATTCGCACAATCACCGAGAAGAGATACTCTCTGTGGAATAGGCAACTTCCCAAAGCTTTCCTGATCAATTGGTTGAGGAATAACTCTTATCTTCCTCTTCACAACGCCATTACTGGAAAACGTTTTCTTATGGAACTGCGAAGGAACCCAGATTTCGTCAACAGTATCATTCAGCAACTTGACCCATTTTTCAGGAACTCCGGTGGTTTCGAACATGGCTCTACCAACTTTGAATTTTGCCGCTTTGCATAAACCACACTTTTCCAAGGGAGAAACCCAATCGGGTGGAACTGAATGAAGCACTAGAAAGTCTACTTTCTCTTCAGACGACACTTTTTTGGAAGAACAAGCCTTGCCACACCATAAACTCTGGAGCAGGTTCGATCTTTCATCACTCAAGACCTTGGCTTTCTTGTCCCACGGTTCTGTACCTATATGCCACAGACGAAGTTTTACTGGATAAGATAATAAACCCTGTACAAAACTCCACGCTTCTGAGCCAAAACCTGTTTGTGACTATGTCGTTTCAATACTGGTGACACCAAAAAATATATAGTTCAGATACAAACCTCAAACTCTGAGGCCCACAGCAATGACAGAAGAGGTTTAGCTATACTCTGTTTTCTGTCTTCTTCTTGTGAACGGAAACTTTTTTCAAACGCAAAAGTCAAATAAAAGACAGTTAGAAAGCAAAAGATAAGCTTCAAAACAGTTCCGCCAGCGCCCTTGGATGACCAAAAATGGCGCATTTTTTAAACCGTCCCAGTCAACGTATATGTATATTATTACCGAACAAAAAATGAGCCCGAGATTCGTAACTTTGGATTGATATGTAGATAATCCATTCTTTAAATTGTTGCAACGCGTAATTGATTATCAAATGATATAATAACATTGAAGAAATAGGAATAATATGACAAATATCTTTCATGTCATATCAAATAGCAAAAGCCTAGAATGTTCTGCAACCCACGAAATTTTGTGTGGAAATCCGTAGCACGATTTATTGATTGATTGGCGTAGAGCTCAAAGTGCACAAAGGACGACAGAAAAGCTATCGATATGAAGGCAGGTTTTCTATCTATTGGAAGCTGCGGAGCTTACAACTCAGTGATGTCCAAAAAGTATCACTGTAGTTGTTCTTGCTCTTCGTTTCCCCAGGACAAGCACTTCAACAGAACAGGTTTCTCCGTGAACAAGACGCAGATCGGCGGAAAAGCTTCGTCATTCTTCTCTACAACTGTTCAGAACCAGTCGACACTAAAACACGCCCCGAAATCTCGTCCACTACAAGTATTTATGGGTCCAAAACAAATTGTATTCAGAGAAGATTCACGAAATGCTCTGGCAAGAGGAATCAACGCTGTTGCTGATGCTGTTCGTATTACTTTAGGTCCCAAAGGTCGTAATGTCGTGTTGGAACGTTCTTATGGTGCCCCTCAAGTAGTCAACGATGGTGTCACTATTGCAAGAGATATTTCGCTCTCAGATCCTTTGGAAAATACTGGGGCACGCCTAGTGGTAGAAGTTGCATCCAAAACAGATCAAAAGGCTGGAGATGGAACAACTACTTCAGCTGTTTTGACTCAAGCTATTGTGAATCAAGGCCTAAAGATTGTGTCTTCTGGTGCTAATGCGATGTCTGTTCGTCGAGGTATTACGAAGACTGCGGAATATATCGTATCAGAAATAAGAAAGGTTGCAAAACCGCTTCGAGGTCAAGAAGACATCCGAGCTATTGCAACGATTGCATCTGGAGGTGATGAAACCATCGGTGCCAATATTGCCGAAGCATATTCTAGAGTGGGTGAGAATGGCTCGACTACAGTTGAAGAATCACAAAGTTTAATGGATGAAGTCGAGGTAACGGAAGGTATGGAGTTAGATAGAGGTTTCATATCGCCCTACTTTGTGAAAGATCAAGAACGTCAAGTGGCAGAGTTGACACGTCCACGGGTTCTTGTTACAGATAGTAAGATTTCTGTCGTTCAAGAACTGGTGCCTTTGCTGGAAAGTCTCGTGAAGTCCAAGGAACCACTTTTGATTATTTGTGACGATTTGACAGGAGAGGCGTTATCGACTTTGGTAGTTAACAAAATGCGAGGAGTCTTGGATGTTGCAGCTATTAAAGCACCAGGATTTGGTGACCGTAGGAAAGCATATCTTCAAGATATTGCAATCCTTACTGGTGCAACATACGTTACAGAAGAGTTGGGTTTCACTTTAGACCAAGTAACTCTGGATATGTTAGGACGAGCCGAACGTGTCGTAGTAGGAAAGGAACTGACTACCATTATTTCAACCGGAGAGCATCAAGAGGGAGTAAAGAAACGGATTGCACAAATTCGAAAAGAGATTGAAGATACGGATTCTCAGTTCGATAGGGAAAAGGGAGAGGAACGTATTGCTCGTCTAGGTGGTGGAATTGCACGAATCAAGGTTGGGGCTGCAACTGAAACGGAACTGAAAGACAAAAAGTTGCGATATGAAGATGCACTCAATTCAACAAAGTGTGCATTAGAAGAAGGTATTGTTCCTGGTGGTGGTACCTTACTTGCATTTCTTGCACAAAAAGTGCCAGACTTTGAAAAAACATTACATGATGAAGATGAGAGACTAGGAGCACAAATTGTGGGTCGAGCTTTAGAAGCGCCGTTAGTTCAAATTGCGATGAATGCTGGAAAGGAAGGCTACGTTGTTCTTAATGAGGTGCGTAAAAAGGAACTCGGTTGGGGATGGAATGCTGCAACTGATGAGTATGTCAACTTGTTGGATGCAGGAATCGTAGATCCTGCAAAGGTTGTTTGTTGGGCATTGGAGAATGCTGCCTCCATTGCTTCCATGGTATTGACAACCGAAGCTCTAGTAGTTGAAATTCCCGAGAAGAAAAAGAATCCTCCTGCTGGGGATGGAATGGGAGATTTACCGGGAGAAAGCTACATGTAATAGTGGCCGTATCCTAATATAGAAATAAAACATTCCGTGTTGTTTTGCCAAATAGTTACACAAGTTGGCTTTCAAATATCATTCCATTGCACTTGGAGTTATTCTGCCGATGAATTTGAATTACTCAACACATGAAGGGATCCTTTCACATCTCCAAGTATGATGCGTTCCATATCTTTCAATAATAACATTGTTGTCAAACTATCATTCGAGGATAGATCACGACTGGAAACAATGTTTAAGCACTCTACACCTTTTTTGGTTTCTATAATCTTCATTTCATGTGCGCAAAGTAAGCCAAGATACACACCCGAAGAATCAAAACAACACTTTCGACCTTCAACAACATTCCAATTTCTTACAGGAGTGCCTGGTTTACGAAGATCCCACAAGTCAATGCGGTTATTGTTCATCGACGCCATATGGTAGCCGTTTTCTGAAAAACTCAATGAACATATCTTACTAGTATCCTCAAATGAAGACCTTTCACAAAGACTTAATGCCACTTTCATTTCTCTTATATCCCAAATATTCAATTCACCACTGTTGAAGCCAGTTCCTAGAATAAGACCATCCGGATGAATCGCAATAGATGCAATGCCAGTTGGTCCTTTGGTGGTTCGACTCAAACAGTCACCAGTTTCCAGGTCATGAAACGCCCAAGTACAATCTTCAGAGGCCGTTCCAAAATAAGATAAACAAGGATGAAGAAAAATTTGAGTAACAACGCCTTCATGAATATTCACAGTGTTGAAAGCCTTCGGTTTCGGTTTGTCGCCATCTTCCCAATGCCAAACTACTGCTGTCTTATCCATACTACTAGTAATCAGTATATTCTCATTGGGATGCACGACTAGATCGGTCAACGGAGCCTTATGTGCAGAAAAACTGGTAAGTGTCTTTTCTGTATCTAATGTGAAGAATTTAACTGTTTTGTCTTTTCCGGCGCTAAATAATAAGCAGGAGTCCTCCCGCGACTGAGCAAGTGCTACGATTTCCTTTTCCTTTCCGGTATGCACTTTGAAAAGCTTCTCTTCTCTGAAAGATTCCAGTTTTTCTTTTGAAAGTAGAGAAGGTGACACTTTTCTATTTTTTCGATAAGCAATAAGCTCTTGTGAGGTTTTGTCAAATTGCTCCAAAACTTGAGGAGGAAGTAGATCAACTCCTGTATCTTCAACTTCCATACTACAGTCTTTCTCAGTATTAGTGACTTTGTTGACTTGTTCAGCTGCTTCCTCATTATTCAAAGCACCGTTGGCCGTTGTTCCTGTATTTGCAGTTCCCTGTTTCGCTACTTCCAAAGCTTCATCTCTTTCTTTCAATAGCCGAGCAATAACACGCTTCGCAGCATCATTCTCATAAAGCGTTTGTGCTAATTGTTGCTTGGTATCGTGCAACTGTTTTTTTAATTGGTACAGTTCCGACACAACAGAATCCCACTCGCTCTGAAACAACGAAAGCAAACCTGGTATACTAGTTGCACTCGAGGTCCTTGGTCGAACAACAACATTTTCCTGAACAGCTATCAAATCGTCTTCCGTCAAGTCTTCGCCAGATACAGGACACTTTCCTGTCGTTTGAATGTGCTTTAGTATAAGTCGTTTCTCAAAAAGGTGTCCACTCTTCTTGGACACTACCGGTTCGTCGGGAACAACTCCGGAAACTTTACAAAAGATAATGAGAAACAAAACAGTACAAAGGAAGGTCACTCACTTGCACAATACATATGAGGCAAACAAACAAACCAGGCGACCAATCTAACAATACTTTATTATCAATTGATGACTAACAAATAATTTACTCTCCTTTAAATTGCGGTTTACGTTTCTCAGCGAAAGCACGCAAGGCTTCTCTACGATCTTTAGTTGGTATGACTCTTGCGTAACTAGCATCTTCGAACTCGAGACCTCTCAAAAGGTCAACCTATAAAACGTTATTTCTGAGCAAACTTCAGCTCGTTAGAATTGTTCCGACTTGCCTGGCTTCCATTTCGAATAGCTTGCTTAGCAAGTCTAAGAGCAACAGGTCCCGTTTGAAGCATATCCTTGGCTAGACTCAGAGCACAGGAGAAAGCAGTTTCTTCGCCTTGAGCTATTCTTTCCACAAGTCCAATTTTCATTGCTTCATCTGCTTTTAATCTAGCTCCTGTGTAAACAAGTTCCTTTGCCTTCCCAATACCAACTAATCTAGGAAGTCGTTGAGTTCCTCCTGCTCCAGGTAGGATGGCAAGTGTCGTTTCAGGTAGTCCCAGCACTGCATTTTTCCCTGCCACTCGTAAATCACAAGCAAGTGCCAACTCAGTACCACCACCCAGAGCAAATCCATCGACTACGGCAATAGTTGGCATAGGCACAGCTTCTAAACGAGTAAACGTTGACCGAAGATATCGTACAAAGGGCAAAGTCTCTTCATCGCTCATTTCTGCTCTCTCTTTCAAATCGGCACCCGCACAGAAGACATTGTCGACACAGGAACGAACCAAAGCCACTTGTACAGCTTTTGGAGATGAGTATTCTAACTGCGATATGACGTTGTTTAAATCAGACAAAAAAACTCTTCCTAAAGCATTCTTCTTTGCTGGTCTATTTAGGTTTATCACTGCTATTCCCTTGTATTCACCTTCGAGTTCTTCAATATAAACTTCTTTATTTGGTTTCTCGATACTAATAGTGCACAAAGGTCTTATCAATCTTGCAAAAGGAAATACAAGTGAAGATACTTTTGTACAATGAATAGTCAATCGACCCACAAGAGGATGCATTATGAATTGCTACAGAAAGAAAAAGAATTTCGACTTTTTAATTATGAAAGAATGCTCTTGCGATATTCTTGACCTATCTTCTTCACTTCCTTATTCTTTCTTCGGAGCAGTCTTTTCTGTTTCTTCTGAGATGGTTTACTGCTTGCTTCACGTGCTTCTTTCAAGAGTATTCTGCTATAAGGATTGAGTTTGAACATTTCATTCTTATTCTTCAGTGGATTCTTCTTTTTAGTAGAAGTTCGTTTTTGAATGATCTTGGGACGCAAAACCGATTGTACTTCATCCGAATTGATAATACGATTGATGTCACAATTTGTCAAAATTGACTTTGGAAGCGTGTAGTCTTTCTTTTGTTGTGAAGGTTGGGTAAAGGTTCCAAATATTTCATCCAACTTCTCAAAGGCTGACTTTGTCCAAATACAGAATCTACCCAAGTGACCTCCAGGAGCTAACTGTAACAAGTTAAGCGAGTCCATACGACAAAGTTCCACTCCAGGCAAGTTTCTAAACGCCTTTACTATTCCTTCATCTTTCTCATAGATAATCAAAGGACCCCTCCGTTGAGTGTACCTCCGATTTCTCAACTTCCCTTTACCTGCCCTCAATTTCTTACTCTCCTTTACTTTGATTACGTCTTCATATGCCCCAATCTTCTCCAGAAGCGCAACAGCAGCCTTTGTCTTTTTCATGGTTTGGGCTTGATCCCCAATAACAAGTGGCACCTCCGATACTCGTTCGATTCGATGTCCTCTGGCCATTACCAAAGAAGTCAAAGCACTTGCCGCCAGTGCAGAAGCGACTGCATATCTTTTTTCGTTCTTTGTGATCTTTCGGTGCCATCTTCTCCAGATCTTGGTTGGCGCAAAACGACGACCGCCTCGACACATGTTTCCAAAAGCTCCCTGACCAGCTCTATGAGTTCCTCCACCAGGTACTCTTGGAATACGTGCTACTGCACGACCAGTGCCCCAAGACTCTGCAGAAGACTGCATGCCAGCTTTGGTGCTAACGGCATATGGCTGTCTCTTGTTGAGCGCCATTCTCGTATGTACTGAACGGACCACATCTGAACGTATCGGCGCAGTAAATACTGCTGGTAAGGCCACTTCACCTTCTGTTCCTTCACCTTCCACAGAAAAAACGGAAACCAGTGGGCGTGCAACCGCAACGCTAACCATGAAGAATAAATGATTAGTATAACGATCCACTTGGCCCCGACGACGCAAATGAAAAATAAGTTTTATCTTATAGCATTTTGAAGAAAATGATCAATGACAGAGATCTTCTACTTTATTTAAGAGATAAAAGTGGTAATTCTCATAACAACAAACGTTCCATCACTGCTTAAACTATAGGAAAATCAAACTATATACGAAATTGCCAATGAATGATAATATAATAACATATCCTCAACCTTTTATTTTGAGGGTGCTTCAAATTCATCAAAATCGATTATCGTTTGTTTTGCCCTTCAAAAGGAAAGCCCCAGAATGGTTTTATTCGACTTGATAAGCAAGCTAATAGAAAAAATACGAGCTCCCACAGAAGAAGAGGCGGATCAAGAAGCCAAAGATAGAATCTATAGACGCTACGAGCAAAGTGAATTGGTGCGTTTCATGTGGAGCTCTCCTTTGAAGTCTCGAAATTGGTGGAAGTCTGATGTGTTTCAAGAAAACTACAAACAACTTTGTGAAAGACATAGGCAGCGTCTCAAGACTCCCGCAGAGCGAACGATAGAGGATATGGAACAGATGTAGTAAAGCTTTTATATGTACAGACCTATTATTAGCACGGTAAAAAGAGTCAATACTGTTCCTTGGGATTGGTTGAAAGCATTCGTTTTCCACTTTTCTACTTGCAATAGAGTCAATTATGAAAGAATTTTATTGTATTTATACTGTTGGGCTTCGTGTAGTAACAAAAATTTTAGAAAAACTGTTCTTTTGTGGTAGTTTTCCAAGTCCTTGAGAAATCTACTTTCACTATCGTAGCAAGTTTTGTTTTCGAGAAAAAGTCTTCTTCACGTTGGAAGTTTTTGTTTCGTCAAACCAATTATCCACAGGGTCCCAAATAGGCAAAGACTGAGGTTCTAGTAACGGTACGGCATCCTTCAAATGCTTCTCAACAAACTCTCCGCCTTTCTTTGTTCCTTTCTCTTCGTCATCTATTGAACGCCTTTCTTCTATTTTGCCACTTTCTCCTTCTATGAAAACATTTTCGCTTAAAGGAGTTCTTGTTATTCTCTTTCGTCGTTTCACAGGCTCTTTCACAACATTTCTCTTTGTATAGGGACAAAAATTTGAACTATTGTTTGTTTTTGGGTCTAAGTTCTCCACATTTCTTGAGCAAGCACTTGAAGAAGCTCGTTTGGCGTTTCGAGTCGTTACCATTGGCTAAGTATTCCTCAAATCCCAATATTCCACCTTCATTTATCATTGAAGCTCCTATCTATCTATGCAGGTCGTACGTCTTGAGACAGCTCAATGTCAACCTTGTTACTCCAAGACAGAAGTTTTAACCATTCATAAAATAGAAGAATATCTTACACAGGTGAATTATTTTCCCTGTTTATACTGGAACAACGTTGAAAGCTAGAGTTTTCGGTAGATTCCCGGGTGGCAGTTGGATACGAGTAAACAAGACAGTCCTAGATTACGGAGAACTTTCACTGGAAAAGATTTCAACCACTGTGAGTATATTATAAGGTTTCTTTCATTCTAATAATTTCTTTGTAGGTGTCGACATGGTTTGTAAGATACGAAACGTTGCTCAAGTATGTTGAAGTTTTTGGGTCCTTGCAATTTTGTCTTACATTCTGTGCGATATGTTTAATAGAAAGAAAACCATCATCCAGAAATCCACTTGACAAGTTTCAACCGTTTGGAAGTGGTTATTCAAACCTTTGCAGTTAATAACTTAACTATAAATGACTTTATCCTCGCAGCCAAAATAACTACTTGTCTTTCTACCTAGAGGATATTTCAAGTTGGATGTAAAGGAGCTATTTAAGTACAATACTATTCCATCTCATAAGATATCCATAGCTAGAAAGATCTCGTTGACAACTTGTCTATTCATTATTTGGCCACCAACCAAAAGGCCAATTCGCCTCATGTCGCTTCTTCCTTAGACACGACTCCATTTCTATTCTTTCCAAAGTTCGACACGTGTGACTTGTAGTATTTCCAGTGATTTACTTGATGTATTGTTTACTGGATTGTTTGTAATGGCTTCGTTGATACTCAAGAAAGACAACGAAGAGAATACAATTGGAAATGAACTACAAAGTGTTTGGCTATTAGGAGTATTGTGGACGTGTGCTCATATGGGACCATTTCTGTGTACAGTTGTTATAAATAGCATAATAGAAAACGCTGATGGATTCCGTGTCCTATCTTATCATTTAAAACAAAGGCACACAATACATGTTTTATTCTATTGCTATTTAGGTCTCTCTGTTTTGGGCTTTTGCTTTGTCGTTATTTTGAGAACAGTTGACCTCGTTGTAAGACAACAAGAAACAAAAGACATAGTGATAATCAAGTGGAGGATACGAATTTGTTTGTTGGCTCCTTTTGTTCTATTCTTAGCGAATAGCATTGAACTGGCAATTTATCTAGTCTTACTGGTACAAGATATTGCGGGAAACGGATATAAACTCATGGGCTTCTGGGGATGTTTTTTGCTTGCTATGAGTATTATTATCTTTCTAGTCATCATCATCATGATTACAAGTATCTTCATGTCTGCAGCTGAAGCCAACCGTTTGAAACAAGCAATTGTCAAAAGTGCACAACAAAACAATGAACAAATAGTGAAGCGTCAAATCTTATGGAATCACCCATATCCGAACACCAACAATCATTCCGAATGGATGATGAACAGTCTTAGGATTCCTCCACGGATAGCCGAGACGATACAAGGCAATATGACTCATAATTACAATCCTTCAATATTGCCTTATCAAAATATTCCACAAATACAAGGGTCAGAATCATCATCTTGGTCGAGACAACTAACGAGCGATGGTTTCAATAGTCGTGCAATGTTTGAATACCAACGCACAACAGAAGCATATGTTCCAGATCCAGCTCGATATTTGTAGCCAAATGCAGCCTTTCTCAAAATGACTTGAGCCCCAACGCATACATAAAAACTGGAAACAACTGTCTCGGAAAATTTTCTTGTATCTGACAACATACCAAATGAAGGCCAGCTTGCTTAAACAAATCTTCATATTGCTTACTGGTTCGTGTAATACTTGCATCGTTTGTATCAACAACAAAGTGCTTCCTGCTCACATTATCTTTTATGCAAATCTAAAGCAAATTGAATATTTCCAATCATTTGTCAGTTGCAAGGATACTTACTAATCCGCTCGCACTCAAACAACTTTTACAACGCTTTAAAAATTCAACAAGGTCCTCGTCAGTTAAATAAATAATACACCATTGTATCCATATCAAGTCATATTTTCTATCGACTTCTGGAATAAAATCTTGCATAGAACAACGGAATACACGGCCCAGTTGAGAATCACTCACATTCTGTTTCGCAAGTTCCAAAAAATGTACATTAGGTTCCAATAGATCCACTTGTTCGAACATTTTCGTCAAAAGTTCAGTGGCTACCCGTCCGATGCCACTTCCAACGTCTAATCATCGATCAAACGAAAAAAAAAGTCGACTGATGATAACTTACCCAATGCAATCCTTGTAGAAGGTAGTTGAAGGCCTTGTAAGAACTGTAAACTCGAACGAACATCGATATCAGAAAGATTCGAATACCCTCCAAGCATACCATCCACGGAAGGATTTTGTTTATGCCAGTAACTCTCTGCAATAGAATACCAGTCTTCTTGTTTCCTTGAGGCGTGGGAATACCAAACCTCTTCGACACTTTGATAAAGTCTCCCTCTAGTGTCATAACCTATAGCATTATTATAAGTTGCCTTGCCAACTCTTTTTGATTTCCTTTTTCTGTTTTGTCTTGACATGACCACAAATGATGCCAATTCAGATACGTAAAGTTTGTTGTGATTTGCTGGATGACAAGAATGAACTTTGATGTTTGCAATGAATATAGTCGCTTGAAAGGTTGTTTGTCTTTTGTGTTGCCTCACTCTACGTCGTTCAACTATCGAGTCTTCCCTGGGTGTTGCAAAAGAATAGTTTCTTGTCGAATGACAAAGACTAAAGCTAAGATCTACAGGCAGCCACATCGAGGTTTTGTGTTAAAAGCAAATATGATGCAAACTGGTTTTCTCTCGGGTTTAAAAGATTCAGGCTTGTTTCATCTTTATTCGGGAATCGGTTCAAGTTTTTCTCTCATTTTGTTTTCAGAAATCGGAGATAAAACCTTTTTTCTTGCAGCTCTATTGGCAATGAAATATTCCAAACGAATAGTATTCTTCGGAACTTTGATGGCACTCGTTGTTATGACGATACTTTCAGTATTGTTGGGACAGTTGTTTCACATGTTTCCCAACCAGCTACATACTCTTCCTATAGACGACTATGTGGCAACTGCCTTGCTGTTTTGGTTTGGAATCGATAATATACGTGAATTCCTTAAAGTTGACGAAAACTCATCCGAGACAAACAAGTGGCAAGAAGACCTGTATCAGAACAAATATGCTTCAGCTTCAAAATTTCAATACGGCATTCTCGACTTTCGTAGTGCTGCTCTACGTCAAGCGCTACAAGTCTTTTCTATCATCTTCACTGCAGAATGGGGAGATAAATCTATGCTTGCTACAGTAGCCCTTTCTGCAACCCAACCACCAATTGCCGTAACGTTAGGTGAGCCAAGGATTCCAAAAGGTCTGCAACCAACAACAATTATTCATGTAATCTTATGCACATAGGAGCCGCGATGGGTCATTTATTGGCAACCGTCTTGGCAGTACTTGGAGGTTCCGCTATTAGTCGGTATGTATCCGAAAGGTTTCTTTTCCTTCTGAGTGGATTGTTATTTCTTCTTTTTGCATTTTTGACTGCTTTGAATCTCTTTTAAAATTTTCTGAGAGTGAGGACAGCTGTTACTCCGCTAAGCCATTAGAGGTGGAATCTTGCTGTGTGCCATATCTTTCTTCAAGCTCCATAAAAATAGCTTCTGGAAGTATTCGAGAATTCAAAGCTCCAGCTCGTTGAAATTCATCCTTGTCAAAGTTAAAAAGCGGAGGTAAGGCTCTTCCATTAGGTAATGTAGCATCACTTTTTCGTAATTCATCAAAAAATGGATGTGCAAGTGCTTCCATTGGTTTGATTCGTTTTTCCGGAAGATATTGTAAAAGTTTAGAAATAAGGTCAATTGCTGTCGGAATATTTAAATGCATCTTGAAAATACGTTCCCATGGACAAGGCTATATAAATAGATTCGTATCAAAAATGGACAACTATAATGGAATGAACCTACCTTGATCTGAGGAAATCGAAACTCTGTATAGTTTTGATTCATAGCTCGGATTTCTTGTCGTGAGGGTGTCCCTAGAACTTTAATAATTTCTACAAGTTGGTCAACTCCTGATTCTCCTGGAAATAAAGGACGACCAAGTAACATTTCTCCCATCACACAACCCGATGACCAAACATCAATGGCTGTCGTATAATCGGTAGCTCCAAATATCAACTCGGGTGCTCGATAATAACGAGAACAAATATATGAAATGTTTGGTTCATTTGCTACCAGTATCTTGGCACTGCCAAAGTCACATAACTTTAAGACCTACGGGTTGAATCATACCGTCAACAACTTGTCAACCATATCAAGGTCCTTGAACAGTACCTGAGTTTGTGGATCCACAAGCAGATTCTGTGGCTTTATATCACGATGACAAATACCTCGTGAATGAATATATGCAAGAGCTCGCAATAGCTGATACATATATAACTTAATATATATAAGAGGAACCGGTTGTTTCAATTTACTATAGTGTCTTGTGACTTTATAGACCGTTTCTGGAATGTACTCAAGAACCAAATTGAGATAAACTTCCTCTGGCTAAACAAACAAAACTGAGAAAAAGTTGAAGCTTCAGAAAATATATCCCTACCTTCTCACCAGTTGAATAAAAACAATGCTTTAGCTCGACAATATTTGGGTGTTCAAGCATTCGCATAATTTGTAGTTCTCTATTCTTAAACCTTTTGTCTTGAAAAACTTTTTTAATAGCCACAAATTCCCCCGTTTCTCCAACCGTCGCTTGAAAGACTACACCAAAGGAACCACTACCAATAACTTTGGTTGCAGAATAACTGACAGTTTCCGCTACTTTCTCTTTTTCACTCACTCCAATAAGCTGTGGAAGGTTTATGTTGTTACTCAAGCTGCTATTAGCGCCGTTCCTTGAGGCTTCTGTTAGTTTCGAAGTCGACTTGGAAAAGTCCATGTTATTCCAAGTTGTTTGTGGTTCATGCTTCATGTTGTTATTACTTGTCATTCAAATGATATAGCGAGTTGCCACAAAGATATGCAATCCTCTTTCTTTCTCTCTTTTCAGCACCCAATCAATGAAGAATAAAATCAACAAACTTTATATATACAATAATACCTTTTCAAGAGAATTCTTATGGCAAAGGTTTCCTGAACCAACGCCTTATACGATTCCAAAGAGAATTTTGACTATCAGTATTTTGAATTGCATCTACATTCTCTTGAGATGCGACCTTTAAGAATACTTCCTCCAAACTACTCATGGAAATGGAATAATCTGAAATTTCCAACGCATCCTTTTGTCTCTCTAAGGAAGAAAAAAATTCAGCTAGTTTTTGAGAAATTCCTCGCGGCAGTACAAAGGTAAGTACAATCAAATTGGAAGGCGTCTTGGTCATTTCTGTTTCTTCCGTCTCAGGAATGTTCCGAGTCACAAACTTGCGTACAACATTTTCCTCTTTACATAAAATAACCAGTCGATATCCAGTGCCAAACTTGTTCTTGAGATGAAGAGGTGTACCAAGACACCTCAATCTACCTTTGGACATGATACCAATACGGTCTCCCAATACATCGGCTTCCTCTACAAGACTTGTGTCAACAGAGAATAACAAAAAATGGAAAAGTTTCATATACCCATAGAATGCGTGGTTAATACAATAACCCTACCAGCTTTCGCAGCTTCGATCATTTCCCATGCATGTCTACGACTAACTGGATCCATTCCAGTCGTTGGTTCGTCTAAAAAGACAATTTTTGGGTCACCTGTCAAAGCAATTGCCACAGATAAACGTCTTTGCATTCCACCCGAATACTGCGAAGCAAATTTAGTTCCAACTTCAAACAGTCCAACTTGATTCAAACGATATTCCACTTCTGCCTTACGCTTCGAATGTGGAATATCTTTCAAAGTAGCAAAGAGATTTACATGCTCTGCACCTGTCAGTCTTTTCCATAAAATATCATGCTTTCCATATACAAACTTTTCAATTTTCCTTTTCCAATAGAAAAAACTTTCACAAACCTGTGGACAAACGCCCATAATCCGTCGGATTTCTGATTGTTCATGAGCTACAGAATGTGAATAAATAAGTGCATCTCCACAAGTAGCTTTCAATACTCCAGTGAGTATATTAAAAGTTGTTGATTTGCCTAACAGATGATTGTATCTCAATATCTTATTCATAACGAAGATATTTACCCGCTCCATTGTGTCCCAACAGACAGAAAAGATGTCCTTCATCAATGGCAAGACTCAAACCATTCACTGCTACAAATTTCTTACGAAATCCAGTTCGAAATTCTTTGTACAGTTGATTAATAACCACAACTGCTGTATTACGTATTCTTCCACTCTTTATTGAACGCTCTTCCAAAATGACGTCCTCATCCTCTCCTTCACCAGTTAACACACGAGATAAATTTCGCTCTGAGCTTGGTCTATCACCTTCTGCTACCCTATCATGGCTACTTTGTCCCAGTGACTGAGATTCCTCAACGGTTATTTCTGGTCCCAATGAAAAATTTCCTCTTTGCATATGTTCCTTTGATGACTCAGATAGAATTTCTGCAGAACTTTCTTCAACTGGTGCAAAGGAGGAATTCAACTCCAAGTTCGATTGCATTTGGTGTTGTCTACGTTTTGCAGCAATTCTACCTCCAAACCAATAATATTTAGAAAATGGATAGTACCAAGGAAGACGAGAGCCAAACTCATTTGGAAGAATATTGTCTAAATAAACTGCCAAAACCATAACTACAATAGATGTCCAAATCATCCAAACCCAACAAGTTGTGAGTGGAAACGTATTCGTATATGAAGACCTTTCTGACCATGTCAGACCATGTCCACTAATGGCATATGTTGCCATATCATATACTCCTTTATAAAACATTGTGCTAGGAATTAAAGCAAACAGATAACGCAAGAAGAATAAGTCAGACTTCAGATAAGGCTTTCCACTGGATTCGGTTCCATAAACATACGGAGATGAAGATGCAATCAGATAGCCAACAATGAAAAAAACGAAGCCGACATAGTTCACTTGCGAACTTTTGGGAGTAAAAGTAGAAAATAGAAACGCCCAACATATCAATGCCATTGAAAAAATCCAAAAAGTCAAAAAGTAATTGCCAAAAGCTGTGGATAAGTAAAGCTCAAACTGAAAAGCTGCACCAAATGCAATTAACAGAAAACTTGTTAAAAGCATTGAAACAAAGAAAGTAACAAACCAAGTGGACATATACATGGCTTGACCTAAACCTGCCATCTTCATTGACTCTCGAAGTTTCAATTCCTACACAAACATTTCAGATCACCTATCATACTTCATATCTTACAATCTCATCTCACTTTTTCATTAACTAATTCACCTAAGAAAAATACAAAGTTTAACATGTAAACTCCAAATAACTATTGAAAAGTTAGAAAACAATACACTTTCGACAAACTAAGAATAATTACCAAGAAAGGTCCATATTCACGAAATGCATTCAACTAAACGGCAATAAATCTGTCATGACAAAAAATGCAAATGAATGTGACAACCTTACTTCTCCTGAAATAGCAGGATGAGGAAAAATGGATCTTGAGAAGTTGAGCTGCACATTCTTCCCAGTAAGGTTTTTCATCAAATATTCATTCATGGCACGTATCATGTTAGGTATCAAATACTCTTCTTGATAATAACAAAAAGAAGATGAAGGAAAGTCACATTGTTTCGTTTGATTGTATTGAACGATAAAAGAAATATTTCCAGAGGCGATATCATCCAAATTTTCTTGTTCAAATATAAAAGCTGCTTGTGTGGTGTTTTGATTTTCATACAAGAACTCGTTCAAATCTGAAGAGTTGGCAAAACTGATTATTTCTGACGCCGGAATATTGTTCTCGACTGCCAATTGTTCAATCCAATAAGACACGTTCAAAGTTTTGGTTTGACCCGAGGTAACGTTATGTCCAATCCCAATGGAAGGAACGTAAGCCATCGTATAGCAGTGTGAAGTTCGAAAAGGAATACAGCGTGGGATGTTTTGCATGGAATGGCTCTTCGGGTCCGTATCTGAACAACCAGTTAGCACAAAAAGGACACATTGTGAACTTTCCAGATACCTGGAGAAACATATATTTTAAATATGCTGTTGTGTGTATAGCTAAGCTTTGCTGCGAAAATAAAAAACGTAAATAATAGGGGAACCAAGATTTGTAGGGCGACTGCAATCAAGTTTCGAAACTATTACTACTCAGAAATACAAAATAGACTCTACAAAAGAATACTTACTGAAAGTTTAAAGTTTTTAGAAACTATCACAGCTATTCTGTCTAGTAACTTTCCAAAAGGATTTCTATCCAAAAAAGTAGTCCACATGAGGTTAAAATGCTTCACCCAATCAAAAAGCTTATTATTTATTTTACATATAAGAGGATGATCTGTTGTTAGGAATGGAACGTGGCTTTTTGACGAAACATTTGTTACAAAGAAAATTATTTTCAAAACAATTCAAACAGCTAGAGTCCAGCAAACACTGACAAATAGAACAACGCAGGCAATTCATATGATATAACTCTCCATTGGGACTAAGAAACTATTCATATACTCATTATCAAACACTCATACACAAAATAAAACTCCATTACCTTCTCTATAGGATGTACAGAACGTCGACACACAACACAAGTGGCTCCTTTTGTACAACTATAGGATATTTTCTGAGGAATAGCTGATTCTGATTGTTCAGGACTATCAAATAGGACAAGTTTAGAAGCTATGGCGTCCGACACATGACGTGTTTGCTGTTTGTTTGGTTCATTTTCTTCCCAGTTCGAAACAGAATGACTTTCATTTTCCTCCTTAGACTTTCCGTCATTTATAGAGTCCTTATTTAGCGTTTGAGCCATATTTTCAACGGTGCTCAGCTTCTCTTTTGAACGAAGGCGTACACCAAAAGTCTCATATACGCTATGGGAAATATTTTCAGAAATCTTGGACTCTTCATTTTCTAAGCTAGAGTTGGAAAAAGGAGGAACGATATTAGAGTTTTCAAGTTCCTTCAGTATCTCACGAGTCTTGAACACAGAACGTTGATTGTCTTGAGAAATCTTTGTGCCAGTGGCTTCCTCTTTCACCTTATCAAGCTGATTATATAATTTCTCAATTTCAATTTTTCCACTGTAAGCAAACAAAAAAAACATACCTTGTCTGAAACCTTCATTGAATTGTCCACTTTGTCGAGCTCTCTTCCACTCTCTTCTTGTTTTAGCTGCACAAAACCCGAATCTTTGGCCTCCACTGTAGCAGCCTTACCATTGCAGCGACAAAGCCTCTTCAAGTCACCACAATGGATACAATAAGAAGCGGGTACTTTCCACTCCATCCAAAACAAACGACCAATAAACTACTCTTTTCTATCGAGAAACCAACTCAAACACTCCGCGGGACCAACAAATATAACCACCAATTTAAAATCTTTGAAAGGGAATTGGAGAATGTCGACTGATCCATCATATTTGTTCAGGAATGGCTCTTATGAACAAAACTTTGGTGAATCTCGAAAATTTACGCAAAAATGAGAAACTGTGAAAAAAAGTATATAAATTGGATTTCTTTCGAGAACATCATTTTTTTTGAATACTCCAAATATTCATCTTTATCCAACAAGTCGAATGCTTCATTGCCGACTCGTGCTATTTTTCATAACCTTACAACTTCTGTTTGTTATTCACTCAATGGCTTCAAGATGTTATATATTTCCTGCAAAGTAGAATACCTTTGATTCGCAACAAAAAACAAAGTTCTTTTAGGTTCTTTTTCCAATAACTTCGCAACCAAATCAATGGGTCGATAACCATCCTGGTTTCTTATATTCACGTCAGGATTCCATAACAGGAGATATTCAACTGTGCTTATTCTGCAATATCCAGCTGCCATATGTAACGGAGTCAGGCCTAGATGATCTGTACTATTTAAACAAACCTCCGCAAGCTCTCCAGCAGCTTTGAGTAAAATTTCACATATGGAAGGAACACCTATTGCTGAAGCCAAGTGTAACGCAGTTCTTCCTTCCTTATCCTTCACTCCAGCTTTGGCACCTCCTGCAAGTGCTTGTTGGACTCCTAAAACATTCCCCATCAACGCATACTTTAATAAATCAGAATCTACTCGTGACATTTCACTTCCTTGAGCTTCCTTGATTGTTTCATCAATCTCATCAGTCGGTGTTTCTGAGGAAGTACAAAGGAAATAAATAGCGTTTCTAAAGACTTTCTGTACTCGTTGTCGTTGAAATAAGGGAACAGAATCAAATTTCTTTCTTGATAAAGCACACTGTTTACAGAACGATCCATACGAGCTTCTATGGAGCTCTATCCATCTATGAGCAAAGGCATTCATCCTTTCTCGTATCCCTTACAATCTAAGAAACAAACAATGTGAACGGACTACTTTTTAAAAAATCAAATGGAAATAATATCAACAGATCATGAAAAACCAAACGGAGCTGAAACAACATAACTTTTCAATGTCGAGCTGAAATTTCTTACTTTCTTCAATCGATACGTTGGTGCAAATGCAAAACTAGTTTACGCAAGTATCGTTGAGAGATGGCAGTTCCTAGGAATAGTAAATTACTTCAGTATATAAACTATCGTTTGCGTGTTTCTCTAGACGATCAAAGAGTTATCGTGGGACAACTTCTTGCTTTTGATAAGCACTTGAATCTAGTGCTGAACGATTGTGAGGAGTTTCGAAAGCTGAAAAAGCAGGTGAGAGAGCAATGAAGACATAGTTGTGCTGTTCAGAAGTTGACATATTTGGTTCAATAGGATAAAGAAGAGAAACGTGCTTTAGGTTTGGTTCTTCTTCGTGGCGAAAGTGTGATTACGATGACCGTGGAAAGTCCACCACCGGAACAGACCACAAGAAAGCCAGCACAACGAGGACCGGCGCCAACTGGTAGAGGTTTTCCAGCTGGAAGAGCTATGCCCATGGGTGAGTTTGTTATGATGTGCTTGAGATAGTTGTTAGCTAATATTTGTTAGCACCACCACCTGCTGCAGTACCTGCAGGTTTAGCGGGTCCAGTAAGAGGAATTGGTGGACCTCCACCTCCTCAAGGTCGAGCAGTTGCTCCAACAATTGGAAGAGGAGCTGCTCCTATGCCACCTCCTCCCGGTGTACCGCCTCCTGGTTTTCCACGAGGACCTCCACCTCCAGGTTTTGGTACTGCACCTCCTGGCTCGGTAAGTAGTTGAAATTGTCAGAAAATGTTGTGCTGACTTTGTTTCAAGTTTCCACCTACACAACCACCTACTTCAATGGTAAGATAATCGTCATTTGACAATACTCAGAATATTGAATTACTTTATTATGTTCCTTAGAGCAACGCAAACACTTCAGTGCAGTCACCTCCTCAACCTTTCACAGGGCAACAAAACAGTGCCGGAGGCACACAAGATCACAGTTAAAAAGTTGAGTACAATGGCTATGGGAATAGAGTATTATAGACGGCATAAGTTTATTTGGAACAACTTTGATATTAGGCTTACAACTGTAGTCAGGTAGGGTTTGCGACTAGTGCAAACAAGCCAGTTTCTTGTTCTTCTAATAGTCCTAAGCACACAACGAACAAGTTGAGATAAAAACAAGTCTTCATCAGTATATAATTACCTAGACGAATCATTTCGGACAATGCTTCCTTTGCCTCTTCAGTTTCAAGTTCAGCTTTCAATCGTTCATGAGTTAAGCTTTGTTTTTCTGCATTTCCACTGTTTTGGAAGAAAATGTCCAATATCTTGATAATGCCTGTAGCAGTTCTCGTATTTGCCGAACCGTTTCTTATCAATGTTCCCAGAACATGTAATAGTTTCTTGCATTCAGAGAATTGTTGATTTGCTGCGTTTTCTAGAATAGAATGCTGCAGAGAACTGAGAGCCTGAAATATGAAGAAATAACTTGAAGTATTTTTGAAAAACAAGTATGTCGTACCATTTCATTTTGGAGTTCGGCCAATGCCAAAGTTCGAATGTCACCTTCCTTGGAAGGAAATCGTTTTGAAACCACATTTTGCATTTTCTTGACTTGTTCTCTGAGACGATTATTGGTTTTTGCCACAAGTTCCTTTTCTGCTTGCCAGTTAGTTTCACAATGTTGACTATTCAAAGCAGAAGAATAATCATTCAACTGAATTTCACGGAGACGGCTTTGTTCTTTCAGGTCTTCCAACTCTCCTTGTTTCGTATTAAGTTGTTCTCGAAGAGTATTTAGATGATATATCAATGTTTCACAATCATAGCTATGTCTTTCATCGTTCATTGATGTGTTGATACTACTCAATTCTAGTTCCAAGCTTTCCATTTCGGATTCTAAAAGTTTAACGTTGCTTCGAAGTGATTCTTCTTGTCTTTGTAACATTTCTAGACTTTTTGCACGTTGCAAGTTGATTTCTTGTCTCTCTCTTTCTTCATTTTGTTGAATATTTTGTTTTTTCTGTTGTATTTCTGAAAGCAAAGTATCCACGGCATATTGTTTTTGAATTATCCCTTGTTGGAATACCAAACTTATATCTTCCAAGTTTTGCAAGTAGAATTCACGCATCTTATCGATACAATCTTCTACATAGTCCGAAGCCAGTGGTTCATATCTTTTAGCAATAGCGTCCTTAATAAGACGGGACTTTTGTTCAAAACTTGAAAGCTTCTCTGTGAATGAACATTAGCAACTTTCACGGAATAAATACTCATGGATATACAAACCTGACGTTCCTGAGTTTAACTTTTCTAGTAGTAACTTGATACGACCAAGAGAATGATAAATAGTCTCATATTCAGAAGCACAAGTCATTGAAAGAGAAGACGCCATCAGAATTCAAAAGAGATGGCCCTCCAAAAGAGAGAGTTGTGCAGAGGAACATTCGGCATTCATCTCTGTTTCATTCCATATGAACTTACTTTAGTCAAGTTTTCATTTTGTTTTTGTACTGAATATATCAAGTATTTCTGTATAAGGAATTCTTGATATCGTTACGGCTTGAGAAAACTGAACATTGTGGAAAGATGTATCGCCCATCCCAGTTTATAGGATATTATCCTGAGGCAAAGAAGTATTCTCTATTTTCTTCTAGAGGTTGGTGGTTAAATAGATGGCCTTTCCTTGGTTGGTTAGAAACAGTACTCAAGTTATATGGATTTCTGTGTGCGTATTATGTACCTGAAAGAACCTCATTAGCTCCCAAGTGGGAGAACGTCAGCTTCCTACTTTGGAGACGTATAGAGCTGTTGACTTGTGGCATTTGCACTTTATTGGTTACTTTGGGCATTGTGGACAGAATATTCTATAGAGAAGTTGTTTCTATAATATTTATTGTGTTGAATAACTGGGCTCACTGGACCGTGTTCCTGGCTCTTTATAAAGGTCACTATGACCGTAAGAGTTTATTGTATTTTTTGGCCTTTATGACTCTCGGAGATATTGTAAAACTGATATTTTTCAAAGTTCATGACTTTAACATCGGAAGCGTGGCAAAGGCGGTAAGTTTGTTTGCTTTAAAGATCTAGTCGCCAACTTGAAATAAGGTCCTATATTACTTGACTTCTTTGTTTGTTATCTCGTATTTGTTAATAATATTCTTGGAACTATATTTCAACAGCGTTGTCTCTGTAGGAAAACACAAGTAAAGAGAAAAAAAAGAATAGAAAAAGCTTCAACAAGGGATAATAAAAAACACTTGTGGATTCAATCATCCTTAGTGTGGCTCATGAAGTTGCGCTTTAAGACTTTACAAGGAAAAGAATTTGACTTGGAAACCTCGCTAGATGACACAGTACGTTTAAAATTTTAGAGTACTTTTCTCTTTATATGTTTGAGTTGCTTTAGGTTGCCGAGGTGAAGAGGAAAGTTGCTGCAGTTCAGGGCTTTGAGCAAGATGCACTTTCTTGTAGGCTTATTTTTTCTGGAAAAGTTTTGTCCAATGAAAACGAGAAACTTCAAGATTTGAACGTCAAAGAAGATAGCTTTCTCGTTGTAATGCCTCCGAAGAAGACTTACCAGAAAACTATGGGGCAGTCGTCATCGAAAACGGACGCACAAGGAAAGGAAGCCGAGACAACAAGACAAAAAGAGACTACTTCTGAATCGGTGCAAGAGAAACAATCCTCAACAACTGCAGTAACTATAAACAACAACGACCGAGATGAAACTAAAGCAACAAGTTCCAGTCAACCAACTTCAGGAACTTCGAGTGACTTTGTCATTGGTTCACAATATGAAACAACTGTAAAGAACTTGATGGAGATGGGTTTTGAAGAACAACAGGTAAAGAGAGCACTGAGAGCTGCGTTTCATAATCCGGACAGAGCAGTTGAATATTTGTTCAATGGTATTCCGGAAAATTTAGAGAGAGAACTAGGACAGACTTCTCTTCCAGAACGTACTTCTCCACAAGTGGGTCATACGGACAGAACTGCAACGCAAGAGAACCGTACTGGTTCTTCTGGTGTTTCATCGATTGGAAATCAAGCAACGGATTCGCAACCTTTTAATATGTTCGAACCACAACGTTCACAAACTGCACAGCAAGGGGGTACTGAATCAACGGGATCAACTGGCTCACTTGATTTCCTTACAAGAATTCCTCAGTTCAATGTGATGAGAAGACTTATCCAAGCGAATCCTAGAATTCTGCAGCCCATGCTTCAAGAACTAGCTCAAGCCAATCCATCACTTCTAGATTTGATTCATCAGAATCAACAAGAATTCGTTCGACTCCTCAATGAGCCAACTGAAGATTCTGAAGGTCTAAGTGATGAGCAAGTTCAAGAATTGTTGAATAGCATTTCCGGACTAAGTGAAGGTGGGAATACTGGCGAAGAAAGTTCAGGTAGGTCTATTTCAACTAGGAATAAGTAGTAGTTTTAACAATTCAAAATAAGGTGTATCATATATTCAAGTTAGTCCTGAGGAAAGAGAGCAAATAGAACGCTTAGAGTCACTTGTAGGGCCTATGGGGGTTTCAAGAGCAGCTATTCTCGAGGCGTGGTTGGCTTGTGACCGAAACGAAGAGCTCGCAGCAAACTATATTTTAAGTAACTTGGAAGAGTATATGCAAGAAGGAGGTGCAGAAGGCGAAGGAGGTGAACAGGAAAGAGATAGAAGTTCCTGATTTGTGTTTTTATTCTCAAGTTTTATGCTTCAAACACAACCAGTTCTAGTCGATACAAGAACTTTATATTATTAGATCCAATATGATAAAGCAATTTTACGAGTAAAATATATTGAATGAGGAAGGAGTAGGAGGAAGGCTTTTTGGTCATTGGCTTTTTGTTCTACAAATATTGAATGGCTTTTGTGATTCGTTGTTGTTATTGTGGTTCGATTGAATCTGCTTTATTGACGAGTCCTAATAGACTGATCAAGAAGAGACGAAATGACTTTTTGTCTCATCCAAGTCGCCAACTTGAACTTTCAAAAAAGTGTTGGCCGGTCTCACCTCAAGGAAATAGAATGGAAAGATGCAAATACTACCCACTTTTACTTTGTATGGTGGCGGAGGTTTCAGTTTCGGATAATCTACTGCAGTTTATGAAGCGTAAAAAGGATTATATAGAGGAACAACTTAATCGTTCGATTCCTTTACTGGACCCGAGACTTGGCTTGATTTACGAGTCCATGAGATATTCTCTGTTGGCTGGAGGAAAGAGAATCCGACCTATGCTTTGTATTGCAACTTGTGAACTTTTTGGAGGAAGTACTCTGACTGCTACTCCTACTGCTGTAGCCCTCGAAATGATTCATACTATGTCTCTCATACACGATGATCTCCCAGCAATGGATAATGACGACTACAGGCGAGGAAAGCTTACTAATCATAAAGTTTTTGGTGAAGATATTGCAATTCTAGCAGGAGACGCTTTGTTAGCACGGGCGTTTGAATACATTGCGAATGAGACTCAAGGAGTTCCTGCAGAAGTAGTATTAAAGGTTATCTCGTTTCTTGGAGCTTCTGTTGGATATTCTGGAATTGTTGGAGGTCAAGTTGTTGATATTCTCTCGGAAGGGAAGAAAGAAGTTAGCATAGATGACCTTATTTGGATTCATAAACATAAGACGGGTGCATTATTGAAATGTTGTGTAGTAACTGGTGCATTGTTGGGAGGAGCAAAAGAAGAAGATGTTATTCGTGTTGGAGAATTTGCAGAAAGAATCGGTTTAGCATTTCAAGTAGCAGACGATATCTTAGATGTTACCGCGTCTTTTGAAGAGTTGGGAAAGTCGATAGGCAAAGATGAAAGGAGCGATAAAGCCACTTTTCCTCGTTTGATGGGATTGGAAGAGTCAAAAAGGTTTGCAGAAAAACTTGTACAAGAATCCAAGTATCTTATTGAACCTTATGGAAAACGTGCCTATTATTTAGAGGCTTTAGCTGACTATATTGTTTCTCGAAGTTATTAATAAATATTTTGTGCTTTTGTCAACATTCCATTCTTCGAAAGAAGTTGAGTAGTAATGGATCAGTCCCATCAAAGTTGGTTGATAGGCAAAGAGACTAGACGAGCGCTAAGTTGTCTCCAGAAGGAGTTGAGAGAAGAGCCTTTTTCAGGTTTAAGAATAGCTAAAGAAACACTTCGACTTTTACGTATTGTTGTATCTTCCCTAGCTTCAAGTGGTTTGGAAAAAGTGGAAGATGCAGTTAGGCAGTTGGGAACGGAACTGACAAGAGGATATCCACGTCGTTTTATCGCTGAAAATATGGCTAGAAGAGTTCTTAAAGTGATACACGAAGAATATGATACAGCTAATAGCACGAATAACGCTCGTCTAGACGCTTCGGAGCTTGGAAGGCCACCTCGCGAACAAGTTAAGAACGCAAAGGTGTTAAAGAGTAACGTCTTGGAGGCAATAAGTGAAATAGAAGACGAGTTGGATGCTGTCCTTCCCAATATTACAGAACAGAGTTTGGAACATATTCACTCGAATGAAGTGCTTCTCACTTTTGGGTATTCTCAAAGCGTAGAAGAGTTCCTTAAGAGTGCTGCCGAGAAGAGACACTTTGAAGTCATTATAGCAGAATGTGAACTGGACTATTCAGGACATCGATTGGCAAAGAACCTCAACAAAGCGAATGTTGATATTACTTTGATAAGTGATGCAGCTGTAGTGGCACTTATGTCCAGAGTTCATAAAGTAATCATAGGAGCTGAAGCAATCATGGCAGATGGTTCAGTATTGGCTGCTTCAGGAACTTTTATGGTTGCAGCAGCAGCCAGACATTATGCAGTTCCGTTGGTTATTTGTGCAGGATTGCACAAACTTACTCCTTTGTTTCCTCATCATCCTGATATTTTGTATGATATTTTATCGCCCTCTCAAGTTATTCAGAATTCTACAGTATGGAATGAGTCATGGTTTCGTCAGCTAGAAATTAGTTGTCCAAGATTGGATTTAATTCATTCTCAGTATATACGGTTATTGGTGACGAATAGTGGAGGTTTCAGTCCTTCGTATGTTTACAGAATTTTGAATGAATTTTATGATGAGATTGATACTTGTTTGTAACTCTATACTTCTTGGTACGGTTCCAGTTTACTGCCTTTAGGAGTATCCACAATTTGATAGCCATAATGCCTAATCTTTTCGCGTAGTTTGTCTGCGATATCAAATCTTTTTTGATGTCTGGCTTCATTCCGTTGTAAAACAAGTGTCCAGACTTCCTGTGGAATATCAATGTCTTCATCTGTTGTTTTCAAGTCTTGTGGGGAATAAAATATACCTAAAGCAGAGTCGACCTGTCTTATGAACTTTTCGATTTGCTTCGAACCATATTGACTTAAAAGGCTCTTTTTCCATCGATTTTCTATTTCATGAATCAACTCAAAAAGAACCGCAACGGCTCTTGGAGTATTTAAATCGTCATTCATTTCGTTCTGAAAACGCCGCCAAGTATCTTTTACGAGATGTTCACATATTCTATCTTCACTTTCTAAGTAACTCGGAAGCCGATCATCTTTGCAAGCCATGGAAATCTTATTCATGAAATGGTCTAGTCTTCTGATAGTATTCTTAGCTCCTTTTAAGGCATCCTGATGAAAAGACAAGGGTGCCCTATAATGAGAAGAAACGATCAAGTATCGGAAGGCTCTTATATCCAAAGCTGTAACTGCGATATCTCCTAATTTCTTTATATTCTGCAAGCTCTTGCTCATCTTTTGCTCATTCACTTGTACAAACCCATTATGTATCCAATAACGGACAAAAGTCTTTCCAGTAATAGCTTCTGCTTGTGCTATTTCATTTTCGTGATGAGGAAACATTAAATCTACACCACCTGCATGAATATCTATTTCTGAACCCAAATAATGAAGAGCCATACAAGAACACTCCAAATGCCAACCAGGTCTACCTTTTCCATATTGACTATTCCAAAAAATATTGTGGTCTTCCTCCTTGTACTTTTTCCACAATACAAAGTCACTTGGATTGAGTTTATCCGTTTCTTCTTCCTCTGTCAGTGTTTGACTAATAGATAACGGTGATAAGGTAAATATACCATAACGAGCATATTTATCGACTGAAAAATATACTGAGCCATTCGATACGTAAGCAAAACCGTTTTTGACAAGTTTATCGATCAACGCACACATTTCTGCAATGTGACTAGTAGCTCGAGGATAATGATCAGCAGGCAAACAGTTGAGACGCTGCATATCCTTGAAAAATTGTTCCGTATAAAAGTCAGTAATCTCCTTTGCGGGCCGTTTCTCTTTCAAAGCTCTATGAATAATCTTATCATCGACATCGGTGATGTTCAAAACATGAACAACTCGATACCCAAGTGTGAACAACCAACGTTTAATCAAGTCATAGGTTATGAACGCTCTGAAGTTTCCAATATGTGCAAAGTCGTATACAGTTGGACCACAACTATAGAAATAAACCAAGTTGGGTCTCAAACTGGTAAACAGTTCTTTCTTTCGAGTTTTGCTGTTGAATAAAAACAATGAGGAGGAGGAGGAGGAGGAACACTCACAAGCATATATTTTTGGAAGACGACGAAAACGAGAACAACGACTTTTGAGTCTGAAGATCCTTTTGGAATAGGCAAACTTGTTGCAATGAAGTTTCGAAAGCAACTGGAATCCATCAAGATACATAGTGATTTGTTATTGTTGCTTTGCAAAATAAATGATTGAAGCTATTGTGCTGGTTTGTGACATTGGCTGTACGTTAGATGCTCAGTCACTCGACCAGTTGAAACAAGTATCGATTGCGTTCTTCTTAAGATGTCTTACTTATGGCTCTTGGAGACAATTATTTGGTAAGCTTGCTTGGTTTTTTTGTTCTTGCAGCTCAACGTTAAGGTCTTGTTTTTATGGGTTCCAGAGAACCTGACAATCACTTGCATAACTTATTAGGAGGATATACGCATATAAAGACAGTAGTTGTTCCCGAACGGCCAGATATTTCTTTGGTCAAGTATTTTTACCAGTGCCAGGTGAGAAACTGTTTTTGGTTTGAAACACAACACATCTATAGAAGAATAATAGTTACAAGGAGGATTGAGTGACTATATCGACGCCATTTGTGTTTCATCGGATCTTTTAATTAGTGCAGTAAATAAGAAGAAACTACAGCCAAGAATAGTTTTAATAACGGATGGCAAGTAAGTGAGGCTTCCTAAAGATATTATCGGAAAACAATTGAACGTTCAAGGGCCGAGCAATTTTTTACTCAACAAGTGGAAGAGATTTTGCCTGCTTTGAAGGAACGTAGTATTCGTCTTGACGTGATTGGAATCGACGACTTTTTAGAAGACAAAATGTAATTATCTCTTCTGTTCAGAAATATTGATGATGATATTTCTTATTTAGGTCTCACTCAGTACAAATATCAAATGCTGCTTTATTATGTCGATTAACAGATAGCTTAGATGGAACTGTACGACAACCTTTTTGAGTTTCTTCATGCCATGACAGTCATGATAGGCTTTATCCTTTAAAGTTTCTATGGAGCAATTGAGCGAACCGATAGTGAAGCCATTTTCACTTCGTACAAATTATTCTGGAATGCTACAAATTTCCTCAGTTCAGGTCCGTATAATGACATATAATTAATGTCCACTTGGAAACTAATATCATATAGTTTCCTGTTCGACTTTATACATATTGCAGAGACTTCAAGCCTCCTACTGGAAATCGCATATTTTGGTCAGAAAGTATGGAATCTGGAAAGCAAGTACTTTGTGTGAAGGAAACGCATTACTTTTCGGTACAAGAAGATCGCGAATTAGAACCGGAAGAAATGATTGAAGGTCACTTTTATGGTCGCTCTTTGATTCCTGTTTCTCCTTTTGACTTGCCTGCACTTTCTTATGGTGCACCTAAATGTCTCAAAGTGCTGGGTTTCTTTGCCAAAAAGGATTTTTCTCAGCATATATTGATGTCTGGTGTTGACGTGATGATTCCTGATCCAAACGATGAAATATCTATTACTTATTTTGTTTCTTTAACTGAGGCAATGTTAGAAATGGATCGAGTGGCCTTGTGTCGATATGTTCGAAGAGATAATACTTCACCCGCTTTGATGTTAATGTGGCCTCATTTGAAAAGCGACGGTATTCTTTGTTTATTTTTATGTCAATTACCTGTTTTGGAAGACATTCGTAACCATACATTTCCATCTTTACATTCTTTAGCAGATAATGTCGATATGGAACAAGTGGAAGCAATACGGAACTGGATTGCTTCGAGACAGTTGAAAGACACATTTCAATCTACAAAAGTATTTCATTATTATCACCAAAGACTACTCCAATGTCTGCAAGATCGTGCGATATATCAAACACTGCACAATGGTATGAATTTGTTGGCTACTGTCTGAATCCTTTTTTCAACTTGAATAGATGAGAAAAGCTCACTTCCTCCGTTATCTCCGTATTTAGAACGAGTTTTGGAAAATACCAATTTCTTGACTTGTGGCCGAGACTCTGAATCAACCAAGCAACTTTGGAAATATTTTCCATTGAGAAAAGTTGACAAACCAAAAAGAAGGTTTGAAGCCTGGTTTATATTTACATGGATTGTGAGGTCCACTTATATCTTTTCTTAGGAAACAAAGGACAATGAATATGCCATCCCCTCATGAAATTTCTATTGAGCCTTATCTTCCTCCAAATGCTTGGTCTGATGTGAATGAGTCTTTTGAGGAATATACAAAAGAAGAACCTATTGAAGAAACTATCTTTGCAGAGAAAAGTAAAGTAGGAGAAGCTACTCCAGTTGCAGACTTTGAGAATATGTTGTCCAATAAGAGACATGATTGGCTAGATGAAGCTATGAAACAAATGCAAGATATTATCGAACGTCTTTTTTCAGAGGAACTTGACCAACAAAGGTAAGAAAGTAATGATTTTATGTGCAACTATGATTATCACAGCTTTGGGTGGAGATAGAGATGATAAGATTATCCATTGTCTTACTGCCTTTCGAAAGAGATGTATAATGGAAGGGGAAGAGTTGAGATATAATCGACTGTTGTCGGATATTATAAGGAAAGCAGTAAGTATTTCTTTACAGTTGGCAACTATAAGAAGTTATCCTCCTCTTCAATATTAGAATCAAGGAGATATATCCATCCATACTATCATAGAAAGAAAAGCTACATTATTTCATCATCTTTCTACTAGTGGCAAAGAACAGATATCTTCAACAAATTATGCAGAAAAAGAGGAACTTGAGAAGCAGTTGAAAAAGCTTATTTCTGGACTTTCGCCATGAGCATATTTTACTCTTCCAAGTCCCTTAAGAATTAGGAACATCTTGCAATTGACGAAGAATATAATCTAACGCTTCTTCACTGGCCAAAACTCCTTGTTTTTCCACTCGATGCCATTTACAACTATCCAATTCTAAATGTTCCAATACCTTAGGATGAGAAATATTCACCACGACAACCTCTCCACATTCATATGCAAGTTTCAAGTCATTATCATCATCCATCCTTTAATTCTAGTATCAAGTCTTCAACGTAATATAACTAGATAATCCTTACAGAAATGCGGTATGATAAGTGTCCAATTGAAGTTTTTTTAGAATATGTTTCGCAGCATTCTCTTTGCCGGCAATAGAAGGAATAACGTCCAATTCGTTTAAATTACAAACTACTTTTACGTTCAACTTTTGTTGGATTTCTGATTCCATAATTGACCACTCTTTGTCAAGTTCTGTATTTCCTTGTGGCTTTTTTACTCGAAACTGTGTCAAATAGCCATCAGCATCTAACTAAATATGGAGTTTCAGAGGCAAAAACCGAAAAAATTCTCTTCTACCAACTTTGAATCCTTTTTGTAATAAGAGTCGATAAGCATCCCATAGAGAACCTTGTCTTTCTTCTACTGGTGTTCGTAAACTGTAATTTGAGCCTATAAAACTCGAAATGGTTTGTTGCCATTCTTGGTCTACTTTTCCTTGTTGCGTTATGACTCCTCCGTTTTCAAAAACCTTGAAATAGTAAACTCCAAACTCAAAGCGCAAGATTCTAGAATACCTCAAAATCAACTATCGGCAAAAGGGAACGCCTGTTTTCAAAAGTAACTGTTCTAGCTCCACTGATATACACAAAATAAACTCCTTTCTCACGTATCTCTTCTATGCGTTGACAAGTCTCAAGAGATATCAGTGAATACCCACGAGTAGTCGACGGCAAGGCCAAGCATATCCTCTCTTCTCCCGAATCTTTGTATCTATATATTCATTTAGTTATACATCACTCAAGTTTGTCAACAAGTCACTAGAAGCCTGGAAATAGCATACCTGACCACGAACTTTCCATCGTTAAGTTGTTCAATCTGTGAATATCTAAAACGAAGAAACAATATAAGTTTTTCAAGTTACCAAGGAACTTTCAATGACCTTTTCAACTCTTGTGGATAATGAACCAAAGTACCGTCCAAGTCTGAGAATACAATCCTTATCTGTCTTGAAATCTCCATAATGGCTTGATAGTTATTTGGTACAAATTTGGTAAGGATTTCAATCCAATCAGTCAATATAACTAGACTATTATTTTTATTTCTCTAGTATTCGTTACAATGCATATAGATAGTCGATTCAATCATGCACTCTTTCGTTTCACGATTGAAAGAAATAACATAATCCTGAAAGGATTAGAGAAATGACCTCTTGTCTGGAGTGGTCTTATTCGCCTTTCAACCACGGAGTACGTAAGAGTTTCGTTTGGCAGTTCATGCAGATTTTGCACTTTTTCTATATTTCTACTTTGACATTTATTTATTTGTTCCATCTACAATGAGAACAACTTGAGAGTTCCAATTTCGTTGCATATCTTATAATAGAAATGTCGCATTGAATAGCATTAAATGGCAAAATTTCCCATGGATTCCTTCTGTTCTTTTGGGACAGATGGAGGACTTTACTTGAAAGTTCATTATCGAGGAAAGTTTGAACAATTAGAAATGATATCAAAATTTTAAGAACGAGTCTTGTTGGCTTTGGTTACTTACTAACCCTTCTATATATGACGTTTGTACTAGAATTGCATTTCGATACAGAATTAGATCAATAATGGATAGACAGAGAATATAATAGCCTAAACGAGTGTCAACATGTGAAAGTTAGTCGTTAGAACTTGTAGAAAACGAAACTTCTAGCATAAGAGAATAAAATTATCAAAATGTCCTTGAAAGCGACTGTAACAGAGATTGAAGTTTATCAAAGACCATAAAGAAAGTATTCAGCCTGAAAACATCAACGCGCATATAATGGAATATAAAAACATAAAGAAAACAAAAAATACAGAAAATACTACAGAATTGACCGACAATAGTACAATCAACAACAAACGTTCATGATTGCTTCTGCTTCATCTCAAAACATATAAACATATGAAGCAAATACATATGGAATATTATTTTCGACAATCCTCATACCCAAGGAGCCCAACCTTCAAACATCTTGCACAGAGACTCTACATTCTTAGCATCATTAATCAAACGACGGACATGTGTCCGGGTGTCAACTTGTTCGTTTTCAAGGAAGCCATTTAGTTTCTCTTGAATACGTAAAAGAGCACGAGCAGCTTCGCTATTTCCTTGTACTGCATTTACTTCATGAAGAGTACTGTTCGGATAATTAATAGTACTCTCTTTCGGTAAAAAAGTGGCATTGGAACACTTGTCACTCTGCTTCAAGAAAGCCTTCAAAGGAGATAAAGCCCAACGAAACAAAGGATCATGAAGAAAAACTTTGATAACTGTGAGGAGGATTTTCTTATAGTCTTGCAAAACGCCTAATGTAGATTCACAAGATCTCCTGAAGGGTCCCTATTCAATATATAAGACATGAACAATTGAAACAAAATAACTTGAAGATATTCTTACCTCCACTCCATAAGAACCCATTCCATCCACAATGTCTCTGGTAAGACGAAAGGGAACACGTTCCGGAGTTCGCAACAACCTTGTAAATGACATGAATGTATATTAAAACAGCAATTACTTAAATGTTTCCTACCTTCCTTGCTCAAATGAAATACCAAAGTCAATATGAACAACTTCTGCAGAATGCAAATCCAACAAAATGTTCGAACAATGACGGTCTCCCAGTCCAATTAAATAGCCTATGATGCTACTTGTAGCTACAGAACGAGCATATGCCAAACGACGTTCCAAACATTGAGAAGGAATGTGAAAGTATTCCAGAAAAAAATATCGAAACACAGGTTGAAAATTTTGACAAATTTCATTGAATACTTCAGATTTCATGTGCCCCGGAGCTTCACGGAGTCTCTTTCTACAATGAGCACTTGACCAATCTTGAGGTCTAAAACTATTTCAAACATATATGATCAGAAGCAAAGCTAGTATTCATCAGTTTATAACCTACCGACAATGGGCACTTTCTCTTTCTGAACCTGTTGTACCAATTAAATATATGCCAAGAGGAATGGTTCCTTCAACCCATTGTACCACTCCTGCACATGGACTCAAAGGAAGCACGTTGTAGGTTCGCATGAACAATCTACGACTTCGAGTTGTTTGATTCATGAACAGCAGTTGATTAGAGATTTCAAAGAATTGTTGCATAATAGCGTCCTGTCTCAAGTCATCAGAACCCTTTACAAGTTGCTTATACTCCTTCCCATCGGAACCTAAACAAGTAATCACCTTGGGATGATTTATGCCTCCAGCAATTTCAAACTTTTCTAAGAATGAAACTATGGTGGGTTCCTCTTCATACTGATGATCATCATGTCTGAAATTATTCAACGTGTTTGGAACTCTAACGAATCTAAAGTCGCGAATATTGCTCAGCATAAGTGACTTGATTGAAAATTCACCTTGAAGAAACAATTTTTCTAAAATGTTGTCGTAAGGCTATACATTGACTTACCTTGCGAGTCCACAGATAACTCAGAAAGTTCCAGATAAGCCTCGCTTACTTCTTTCATTTGTTTTATAAGCTTACTGTGAAAAGGAAATAGCTGCTTCAAAATTTTTGTTGCAGCATCCTTTTTAGATACTTCAACAGTAAACCTTTCTGCACCTTTTTGAGTTTGCGGTATTCTATCGCCATTCGATAAAGCCAAAAGTGGCCAAATGCAGTCATGAGGATACATTTTGGCCATTTCAAAAATGAACTTGCAAACAGCTTTGTGAAACAGACTTTCCGTCATATCGAGTCTGCCTGAAAGTTGATAAATCAACGGCTTGAATTTTCTTAGAAATAGAGTCGAATTTTCGCATTGCAATAATGAGATTATGTATGAATTGACTTCTCTATTAAGGCTGTTATTCATCCAGAGATCCACAAAACGAAAGGTGCTGATCAGAGTGTAATGATGTCCAGAAAGCAAAGATTGAGTATAATTTTCTAGAGCATTCTTCAACCAAAATTCGCAGTTCTCGCGAGTGGCTTGAAGTTTAGCCCTATTGTGGTCGGTCTTTCAAAAAAGGTTTAGAAAGATGTCATAAACAAGAAAACAATTTTGTACCTCCTTTTGCAAAGAACGAATATGACGCAAAAGTTCGTCTTTCTGTGAGCGTTTCAGTCTGTTTTGTTTCGCAAGTTCTTTACATTTCTCCAATTCTTCTTCACGTTGCTTGTCTAAACTGCTTTCAAACCGACGTTCTGCAGAATTCTCATATCCCTCAATGGTTGACAAGACCTGCACAAGTTAGCTGAAAACTCAAATGAAAAGTAAAACATCACTACCTGATCTGAAAAGGAAGCGAGATAATAAAAACTTTGACACCTTAATTCAACAAGGAGCTGAGACTTCATGCAAATGTCTTTTGCATGATTAAAGTATTTCTCAAAAATAACCTTTGCGGGCTCTGAATGTGTTTCATAGAGCCACCTGCCTAAAACAAGCGTTGCATGAATATATGTTTGAAGCAAAAGTTTCGATGAAGTAGATTGTTTGGATTCCGATAACGAAGAGTCCTAAAACTAATTTCGCTCAAACGGATATGAAAGGATAAGGACACTCACCATCAGTTGCTCGACAGCAAAACAGCTCAGCATTGAAGAAATTCCTTGTATAGCTGAGTCGAATTCTCTCTTTTCATACAAAAGCTTTGCTCTTTCTAGACGAAAGACACAAGACAATAAATTCGTTGAACTATCATCGTTTTCTTGGAAATTAACAAAACTGGGTTTCCAAAACTCTTGAACCAGTTGAACAAGGTCATAAAAAGCCCCTTCTTTCGCTGTGCTTTCTCTTGGTCCTCGATTCCAAAAATCAAGATACTTCACAAACCATATAGCAACTTTGGCAAATTGCTTTCGCTCAAGATTTACGACACAAAGTTGTCGAATAGTTTCGTCGTCAAGTTCGACATGAACGCAATCTTCATATAGGCATAAGCGTTCTACTTCAGAGAAGAGATCTTGTTCTTCTTTTTCTCTATATGAAATTATCCGAAGCCTGGCTACCACTTGCGATATATGTCTGGAGGACTCAAAACACACTTCTTCAAGAAGATGCCATATACGAAGTGCTTCCGGAATAATACACTGGGGTTGGTCAGAAAATGCTTCATCTGAAGTGTAGCTCTGCGGATGAAATGTTTCGCTAGCAAAAGCCGACCATTCAGTCAAATCTCTCACTGCATTAGAAAAGACGTTCACATCATTTTTCAATGAAATTTTCGTAGATGAGCAATCACTTTGGCAAAGAAAGTTTGAAAAAGACAACGCATTTTTGTCTATGCAATCTGACAAATAATGCAAGCCACATCTTGCTAGAACAGACGGCAAATTGGAGAGAGCAGTTCTCTGCAACTTTGGTTCACATTGATGAGAAAATTTCTCCGTTGCGATCAGAAACTGATCGAGATAACGTAATGTCAGCTCGTACTGACAATTCCTCTCTGCAAGTGTGGCCAAGCTATAGACATGTTGGCTATCAAATAGGTCAAAAGAGCTTGTGATCATTGGAAATGCGTCAACCAGGTCGGAATCAGACAAACCCAAAGCACTTTCAACTAAATTCTGCAAAGTCGCTTTGTGTCTCACATACAAGTTTGCTTCATCCGCCGTTTCAAGGAAATGAGAGACAACACAACGACCATCTAAAACCAACTCGTTATAGAAAAACGCAGTGGAGTATTTTTTCACTCGAATTGCAGCATCTGCAACAGCTTGCAATAGTGAAGAATCAGAAAAAATGTTAATATTGTCTAGATGCCTCTCTTGGTCTAACCGATCAGCATACAAACCATTCATACTCATGCTTACGGCTGAATTTCAGCAAACGACAAGGTAGTCATAAATTACTAACCATTGAAAACGTACAAAATCCAAGCTTTCGATCAAAACCACTGTTAACCTGGAAGAAAACGCTCTGTCACTTAGTGTTACTATCAAACCATCGCGTATTCGGTGCCATTCGTCTATATTACCGGAGAGATAAATCTCCATCAATATCAAGGGAAATAGAAACACAGAAATTTCCAAACTGACAAGACATAACTCGCCTATAGCCAAAGTTACACAATGCAAAGAGTGCATAAATGGAATACTCACGAAGATGAATCAAAATACTTGAATCGATACAAGAATTATGCAACAAGCAGCAAGTAAGTTGCCGTAACCATAAAGACTCATCCATTCTAAAATTGTTTTTCAAAAGCCATTCAAAGTGACTGGAATTTAAAGAATCTTCAACCGTTGTCATATTATTTCTTGCTTGCAGCAAATGAAAAATTTCTTGGTTGAACAAAGAACTGAAATATGATGTATTTTTCATATAATTATGGGTCCTTCGGTCATTGAACAATCGACATAAAGCACAAAAAGCGGCTGTCCAAGATGGTTCTTCTTCACATGACAAGAATTTCCTGAAAATTTCAGAGAGAGAGGAAATGTATAGAAAAAGAATAACTACATACGAAAAAGAAATTTGAATTATGGTCTCAACAACTTGTGACCAATCTGTAAAGGACAGCAGAGAAGGAACTTGAAAGACATAGGCACTTTCAAAACAAGTAATACCAACTGGATACATAAAAGATTGGAATAAGTACAAAAGGCATCTCTCTGCGATATCATAGATATCCGTCCGGTCGAATGGAATAAGGTCATCGTATGAGATAAAAGGAAGCCAATCTTTTAGAATGGAAACCAAATAAGCAGTACATTTACTTTGCAAATCTTGAAGACCCCGGCCTTCCAACTTCCCAGTTTCTGCAATTTTTTCTCGATTTCTCGCCAATATTTCTTGCAATAATTGTAGTCTAAACTAGTGATAAGCTTACTTCCGAAAATGATGGATAACAAATACCTTGCTACAACAACGAAAGGTCCCAAAAGAGCTCGCCTTGTACATACACGAACAAAGAAATCTAGTTGCATCTCCAATGTGGGATACGCACAGAACAGGGTCTTGTGATACAAACACATCGCTTCATTTGGTAAAGAATTGGGAAGAGTTGCGGGAGGCTCCAACTGTAACATTATGTTACTGGGTAAACCTTTTAAAAACTGACATGCAATCTTGCAAAAACCAATCGACTTCAAACCAAGAAAATTCAGACGAATCAATAAACCTAAAAAAATGACCTCAGGAGATTAACGAACAATTTCAATGAAACATACAAGAAAACATTTCTTGTAAAAGCGAGTCTTCAACTTTTAATACAGAAACGTGGTCTCGAAGCCTATTCAATATTTTCTCCATAAGTTTCATAAGCTCGTTCGTCATAAGATGTTCTTCATTTAAATGCAACAGAATGACGAGCCATAACAACATACAAGAAAATAGTGAATCCGCTTGGTTACGTTCACAACAACAACGATCGAGCATGCTGATAAGTTGGAAAAACACTTTTACTTCTATTTTCGGTCTCGATAAGAAAATACGCAGCTCCAAAATTGAGAAAGCAGAAAATGCATTCACAAAAAGTCCATATTCCCGTCGCATCCAATTCAAATGAAATGCTAAAAAGCCATCAAAATCATCCTGTAGAATATGTCTGAAGAGCAAGTCGAACTTGTCAGAAGAATGAACGCTGATGTTATTCTTAGATATTGCAGAGCATTGAAATAAGTTCGAATCAAGAAGGGCCACAAACAACTCTTGCTCCGATGCATTTGATGAAATCAGAGATGACTTTTGAAAAATTGCTCTATCCGTTTCTTTAAGAAGATAAAATTCAGCAGGAAAAGAGTGTTGAAATGAACCAAGGGACCAACTAGAAAAGAATAAAAAAGCATATCGATGAAACCTTGAGTTACCTACTCAAACAAGTGAAAAGGGAACTCCAGGAGTTCTCCATCTTCATGCTCGAGCCAACTGCGAAGAATGCACCATGAATGTTGACTAAACAAATTATGCAAGTTACAATAGCCATTATCCATCGAAATTTTTTGTAAAAAATGCTTGAGTACTTTCAATTCCATTAAACTTGCTCCAGAACATATCGCACTGCAACATCGTGCTAGACACTGAATGCTGCATTTACTGACAAGATAGGAAAAAGTAAGAAAGCGATCTTGAGACCGAGCGGATTTCGAAATACTATCAATCGTTGAAAGCAAGATGAAGTCAGACACACTTTTTTCGAATTGACAAGCGTATTCGATTATGGAATGCATACATAGACGATGACTATAGAATGCTCCCTCGCTGAGACGTTTCCATAAGAACTGGAAACAATGTAAGAATATTTCAATAAGTTCTTCTCTTTTAAACTTATGTATGACAACTCCAGCCAACACCCAAATTTTGTAAAATGTATCCAAAAAGCAGTGACCGTGTGAAGAAAGGAATCTACGAAATCATTATCCAAAAAAATGCTTTCAAATCCACTTACTTTGACCCGATGAACTCCAAGAAATGCAAAATATCTACAATAACATTTCCTTCCAAACAGGGTCGAAAACGCTGTTTTATTTCTTCCAGGATAACTCTTGTGAAATTCATAAGTAACTTCAAAGAGACTAGATTGCTTGGAGTAGACAAGGGAAAACAATGAAGGGCTTCCTCGCTTCTCATCATCTTTAAAAGCAAAATGTCCAACTGTTCCAATGTATATTGATAGTCCTCATTGTTACAATAAAACACAGTATGGCAACGATAAAACAAAATGACATTCTGCTCCGTAACGATATCAAAAGATTCCAGAAATGAGGAAAAACTAGTCCTCCAGGACGAGTGCAGAGGAGGATTGAAATTCGGATATAAAAAACAACAACTCTGACTGAAGAAATAGGAGAACATGATATATTTGATATAAGTAATGAACGAAGGACATTCAAACAACTTTGAAAAGCCCAATTCCTTCAGATGGAAGAAATTCACAAACTCTAATAAGAACCCTTTAAAGACGCGGTGGAGAGACCTTCTCAAACTACCTACCTCGATTCACGGTTTTCTCCTGAAAATAAGCAACAGGCTTCGTGAGTGAAATTCTTCTTTTCTTGGATGTATGTGTTAATTCAGCTCTCGAACATATTTCCGCGTCCTCTAAGCTTCCGGAAAAATCTGCAGATATCTGCAGACATTGTTGCAATACTGATTTCGCTCGTTCTTTCAGCTCTAGACTCCAACTAAGACTATGATCGATCGACAAAACTGTTGCGATGGACTTTGCAAAGACAGCAATATCCCACAAGTCGTTCTCGTTGGTGGAAATGACAGAAACAACGGATTCGAAACTTGCAAGAATTTCAAGAAAGAAATTCTGAGCTGTCTCTTTTAGCGACGATAAATTCATAGCATTTTCTAAGTTGCATGTCACCTGACGCAGTAACTCTGCAAAAAAATAAGAAAGTTTCACGTTTACATATGCTGATCTTCTCGTGGAAATCAACTTGTCTAGTTCTGCAACGAAAACTGTCAAAGATGAGGCTACTGCCTTTTCAGAAAATTTAGTTCCTTCCTTCCTAAAAGGCTTTTGAATACTGAATAGTTGCGACCAGAAATGCTCTCTTTGTGGAAATGATCTTGTTACAACCTCAATCGAATCGTTTCTACATTCCATTCTGTCCATGAGGATACTAAAATCGGATTTGTTAGAATAGCAAGAGGTGCAATAAGAACAATGATTCAGTAACTTTGGCAACTTGAGAAAGAATTTGCCGGAAATTATCATCACAGTTAACTCGACAAACTGACTGAGGAACAAATAGTCAAGTTCATTCAAAGTTGTAAGAAACTTGGTAAAATTTCCTTTCATGACCTTGCGTAGAAATGAGCTACCAAAGTAACAGGTAAAGTGTGATATTGCACAAACTAACAAGTTCTTTTCAATAACAATGTCATTGGCTGATAAAATTTTCATTGCCGCCATGTCTAAATCAAAATAGTAAATACTTCCCAACCCTCGAGGACTATTGAAGAGACCATGCAGAAAGAAACAGCATGTCACTACGAACATAGTAGAAATCTCGGAATTTGTCGGAGTGAAATATCTTTAAAGAATAAATTTGCTAATAACAAAATATAGTCCACTTACCTTGCAGACAGATGGAAAAATTTGTATGCATAAGAAAGATGGAATATTGTACTATGAAGCGAAATAAGTTGCACCATATGGAAACAACAGAAAAAAACGTCTCTTTTGCACTCTTCTCTGCCTCGGTAAGAGGGTTCGGAAGTATAAGTTGTTTCGAAAAGGGAGCATAAAGTATTAAAAAGTTCGAGTTGTTCATTTAGCTCTCTACGAACGGTGGAAAGGCTCTGTAATTTGAATGTAAGCAAGTATGTGATATAGTCAGGCGACAATTCCTGTTTCTGCCAAAGACTAAGCAATTCCGATAGACTGAGCAAATGAGAAAGATATTCAATGATTTCTTCAGAGCAGTTTGAAAACTGTTGTCGAGGATATTCCGTAATCATATATATGGCCTCCTTCGTTGAGCATTTTGGGGTTCGTAATAGGCTTGAGATGATAACAAGATAACCAACAACACCAGCGTGCCATTTTCTTTCACTCAGCAAACTCATCGAAACATATGTTGCCATATTGTCTATATGATGAAGAGTTTCGGAGTCAAGTTCTAGACCACGCCTACACAAGATGTGAAAAAGGCACGATATCCCAAAGGAAGCTCCATCATCATCTGTAACTGAATAGCTATGAACACTTTGAAGAAACTGAATGGTAGTCTTGATCAATCTGCGCAGAAGAGTTTCATCAGCTAATTCAAAAAGTTGACCTGTCTGAATCAGCGTGACGACAATTTGACGAGCAGCCGTTAGCTGCATTCGACGAAAAGTGATATCAACAGTCTCTATAAATTGGAAAAGCTCAAAGCATAATTCATACCACTTTGCAAGTTGCCTTTTTCCAAGATGTTGCAAAACAGTAGCATGCGCCAGTATGTCTCTGGCGAGACACCACATATTGGAATGAATATCTACTCTATGAATATCCCTCAAAGAGGTAAAAGCAAACCGCAAAGCATTCAGGATAAAATCATTAAATAAACTATTAAAAATTCTTCCTTCACCATTAGTTCCCCACATATCCTCTAAAGAGACTCGCACTACTGCGAGAAGAGTATCAGCCAATTCCTTTTGTGCCGATGGATTTTTCTCTTTAGAAGAGCTGGTTAAAGTGCAATTGCTATCAATAATATCGACAAGATCCCGTATTATGTTACCCCAAGAAACATCTTCCAGCTTTGAGCTTTTCTGTGACTGACTAGTAACACTATTACTCTCTCTATGTAACAGCATACTTCTGAAGTTTTCAGAAAGTAACCTAGTTCGCAATTCCCTTATGATTTTTATCTTCAATCTATCACTGACTCCCTTCTTGTCATATTGACCTTGCAGAAGACAGGAAAGTAACTGTTGGACTGCCGCCAAAGGATTGTCAGGCAATGTCATGTGGCGCCAATCAAATTTCCTTTTTTTGAAATAAGCTTTCTTTTGAGGCGAGATCTTTTATAGAAATGTCCTGTTCATCCGAAACTATTACAAGTGAGACTTCAATGACCAAATGTTTGAGCGAAAACAAAGACAACGCGAGTGACTGTAAAGAAAGCAAAGTTAGGGGTGAAGCAGTTGCAGCAAAGGAAGGGGAGCTGAAAGGTTTCCTTGAGAAGTTGAAAGACATATTGCGTGAATTTCAAAATCAATGTCAAAGAGATAAAGAATTGCTTCAAGTTTTAGAAGATCAAGAAGGTATTTCAGGCGATATTGCATTCGTTGAACACAAAGCAGCAGTGATCTTACAAGGAGCACGTGGCTCAAAAGACCAAATTTTGAGACAGGGCCTTGAATTACTAGGAGCAGGTGAATGGCAGAAGTATTTCGAAGAAAATAAGCTTGGAAGTGCTCAAAGTTATGGCTGTGAGGAACTGAAAAGTCTTGAAACTGTTACAGAGTTGGATGATGAACTGTCAGCACTGATCACGAGCCACTTGCCATTATGGGAATCGGACGTTTCGTTTTTACCTTGTACATTCTCTAAAATGTTGCTATTGTTTCGAAAAAAAAGAAAACTTTTTGAAAGACGTATCGTCATCTGCATATCAATCATTAGACGTTTGTGTAAACATTCTCAAAGAAACAATCAAGCTAAATTGGATGAACTGAAGATCAAATTGAAGCAACTTGAGTTGGATTGGAATAGACATGAGAAAAATGAAATGGAAACCATAAAACAGCAAAGAGAAAAGAAAATAAAACAAAAGGAAAAAGAAGAACAACGGATGGCAAAGGAATGGGAGAAAAGGGAGAAGAATGTGGAAGGGAAAAAGCAAAAAATGAAAAGATGTTATTGTAAGCAACAAAGAGATGATGAGAAAAGGACAATAATGGAACAAAGGGAAAGGAGAAAGATGGAGACAGATGCAGAGCAGCAGGCTATTCATCGTCAAGCAGCTGTTCTGGAAAATTTCATGAAGACCGTTCCCAAGTTACCACCATGGCAAGGAATCAACAGGCGCCATATATCTATTAGTGATGAACTCCAACGAATTATAAGAGAAAACTCGAAACAACAAGATGAGAATATCATGCAAGACTTGATTTTTTCAATAAAGCGCACTCGCAAGCACTTCTGGAAGGAACTAGGAATCAAGCAAGTTTCATTTGGACAATGCCAAGGCAGTCGAGTAAAACTACTGCAGTTTGAAGAAAGTTGTAGGCCTCCATTTTATGGAGTCGTTCAGAAACCATCGGAATTCCCAAATGGTAGAAGGCCATACATTCGGCTACCTTGGCTGGATTATAACTATGATAGTGAAATGGAGTGGGTAGAATCAGAACCTGGAGAAAGCATATCTGAAAGTGCCTCAGAAGACGACGATAGCATCATGGATACGGATACTAACTCAAGTTCAGACAATGACTCATTTTTTATTGATGACGAGCATATCTCGCAAAATCTTAATGAAGGTGGATTCGAAGAATGCTTTTCCGTACAGGAAGAAGAATTGGTTGGAATCATTTCCTGTCATGATTCAAATAAGGCTCAACGAGTTACATTATCCAAATTTCCAAGGAGGCAGATTTTGAATGTCAAGATAACCAATAATATAGGAACATTGTCGGAAACTTCAGATGACCTCTTAAATGATTCTGAAAACAGTTTAGATGACAGACAAGGTCTGGATCTCGAAATGAAAGAAAATTTGAAACCTCTTGAAGAGTTTTGGCAAATTCGAGAGAACAGAGAAGAAAATTCATCCAAAAAACATTGTTTATCGACAGGTATGTAAACACTCTTAAAACCGGATTTCTAACTATTTTACAAATCTGCAAAGCTATTGTAAATATCAAATGCAACTCATCGTCATCATCATCTTCTTCTTCTTCTCTCGGTTGTATACAAACTGATGTTCTAAAAGAGTTTCACGGATATTTGATCGCATTGATACAAAATAGAAGTCCGATTGGTGACTTGATATATGTCCAAAAACGATTCCTATTCTTATTTTCTCCAATAACTTCTTTTCCGGTGCTTATAAGTATGCATCCAGAAACTCCAACTATGATGGTGAAAACATGCCTAATATGCCATGAAAAGGAAGAATGGGCAGCGCTCATGGCGTCCTGTCTTCTTTGCATAATACAAACATTTCAAAGCTATTTGGAATCGATCCCTAAGAGAAAACTTGATGAATTGAAGTCTACCGAGAAGCTTGTTGAAGAACTTTTACGCTCGAAAAGATTCAATATAGCTGTGACAAAAGTTTTTCAAACCCTTGAAGATAAAATACGAAATGTTCTTCCCAGGTAACACACACACACACACACATATATATATATATATATATATATACCTCAAACTGGGGCAGGATTTCGTCATCAACGGAGAAAATAAACACATGTCAATAGAAATCCAAAAATTCCTTTTCTTGGTAAAGAACACAAGAATGAAAATTCTTGCGACAAAAGCTCTTTCCCGATACTTGTAATCGGGCTTCTGTAATAAGAGGACTTCCGTAAAAGTTCGAGCAGCCTCTAACAGCCTCCAAAATACTACAGGCCAACTTCCTATCGACTGAAGAGATATCCTTGGATATTCTCAAAACATACAGACCACAAGAAGAGAGTGAAGGAGTCAATCCTAAGGTCTCGAGTTTCAACAAGAAATTGAGGACTCCAAGAGAAGAATTTTGAGGAAACTTGAGAAATAAAACAGTTGTTTCAGTATTACAAGAAGATAAATTTGGGGGAATTTTAGACCGATCTCCTGAAAACGAGAAGATTGCTAAAAATATTGTCAAAACAATGCTGACAATGAATCTATGCTCCATGACAATCTAAAGTCCTGATGTTCGTTGTCACTAGTCGGGCCATTTTTAAATCTTTGAAGACTAATAGAATAGCCAAAGTTATCGTACTCAAAGACACTATATTTCCATATGTCTTCCATAGCAGTGTTCTAAAAAGGAATGCCTTTGCAAGATTTGTTAGTCTGACAGGTTCGGTGTCAGGCGAAAATCAATCGATAGAGAATACAAATGGTAACAAACTTTGTTTCGAAACTGGAGCTTGTTATATTCCACATTTTGAAAAGGTATCAACTTTCAACTGCGTAAAATTCTCAATACTCATTTACGCAGCGTCAAACAGGAGGAGAAGATGCTTATTTTATGACACCAAAAGCTGTTGGAGTTTTTGATGGTGTTGGAGGCTGGGCCTCTTTGGGTATCAACGCGGGTCTCTATTCTGCTCGACTGGCAGAATTGACCCAAGAAAAAGTATTCTTTTGATTCTTTCTACTTTTAAGTGCTGAAAGTTGGTTTAGATTGCACAACTGGGCCCTTGTGAGGCTTTGAGAGCTCTCGATTGTGCAGTCACTGCCAACGATCAGATCGGCAGCAGTACTGCCATTGTAGTTGGAATTTGTGGTGATAGAGCAGTAGGGGTGAGAAATTCTTTATTTTCTATGTTCTTCTTACTTTACTAGGTAAGTGTGGGAGACTCAGGTCTGGTCATTTTTCGTGATGGCGACATTGTATTCAAAACTGTTGAGCAGCAACATTATTTCAATTGTCCTTATCAATTAGGAACGGACTCTAATGATGCTGTAGATATGGGGCAGTAAGTTTATCTTCTTTATTATCGATTCAATTCAAGCAACTGCTTAGAAAAATAGATATTCCTTTGAGAGTTGGAGATATTCTGGTACTAGGAACTGATGGACTGTTCGATAACTTATTTGACAAAGATATAAAAATGGCCATTGAAAAAACAAATGGTATCTAAAGTATTGTATAATTTTGCAGTTTTAACTTTTTTTAGCTTTTCATCCCAATGACTGTGCCATGTTATTGGCGAAGAAGGCTTTAACTTGTTCGTTGGATACCAAGAGAGATGGTCCTTTTGCGTTGAATTCGAAGAAAGCAGGATATTTGTTTCTTGGAGGGAAGGCAGATGATATTACTGTTTTGGTTTGTAGAGTTGAAAGCTTGCACTAGTTGCGAGTTGGAGTTTCTTGACTAGCTTCCTTTGAAAGCTTCTGGACGAAATACCATTTGAAATGGCATTCACACTTTATGTTTCCAAGGTTGACAAAATACATTCCATAGATTGCCTTCATACAGCTTTCTATTCATGGTTGGATTAAATTTTCTATTTTACAGTATCCTTTGAATTTTTACTATGAGCCAATCTGATACTCAGTTGCAATAATTAAATTGTTTGTTCAAGGATGAACGACTCTGTGTAACATTTATAGAAGACTTGTAGTGTTCGGACGAGGCGGAGTTGGAAAACTATGAGTATAAAGGAGCATCAAGACTTGGAAATTTTACAAGAAACTGTCACTCAGGACTTTAGCTTCCTTGAAGAAGATGAACTTGAAACCTTGGTTTCGAAAGAGACACTTTCGACCTCCTTGGATAAACATGAGCTAGATGACAATGTACAAGCAAATACAAGCTTGGGAGAATATACTGGTATAACTGCTATGGAAACTGCAGAACTAGAGTTTGAAGAGGACGACGAGGATTTTGTTGAGGAAGATATTCCAGCACAGTTGCCACGTTATGCTTGTTCTTACTGCGGTATACATGACCCTGCCTGTATGGTGAAAGACGTTAGAGACGGCAAGTGGTTTTGTAACGCAAGACTTGGAACACCTGGTTCTCATATTATCATGCACCTCGTTCGAACGAGGCATAAGGAAGTTTGTTTGCACGAGGAAAATCCGCTTGGGGAGACAGTCTTAGAGTGTTACAATTGTGGCACTCGAAATGTATTTCTTTTGGGCTTTGTTCCTGCACAGGGAGACTCCGTTGTGGTTCTTTTATGTAGGGAACCCTGTTTGCACTCTCTGGCCAAGAAAGATGTCGGTTGGGAGTTGGAACAGTGGCAACCACTGATAGAAGATCGTCAGTTTTTATCTTGGCTCGTACGCATTCCAACCGAAAAAGAGTTAAACAGAGCCCGTCACATTTCGACTGAACAAGTAAATAAACTCGAGGAACTATGGAAAACGAACCCGAGTGCGAGTCTGGAAGACCTTGAAAGAGGTGTCATCGGTGAAGAACCCCAACCAGTGTTACTGCGTTACAACGATGGTTTCCATTATCAGGCCATATTTAGTCCTTTGGTGAAGTTAGAAGCGGATAACGATATGAAGATCAAGGCAGAACAGTCACGTCCTGGTATTTCCGTTCGTTGGGACGTAGGTTTGAACAAGAAACTTATTGCATTTTTTATAATGCCACAGGTTGCTGAGGGAGATTTGAAAATTCTGGTTGGTGATGAGTTGCGTTTAAAGCACCCTGCGAGTAATTGGGAATGCACTGGACATGTAAAAGGGTTCACCGCAAATGAAGAGATTGCGCTTGAGCTGAGAAGTGGCAAAGCAAGCTCGAGCGCTCCTCGTGATTGTCACAAAGATTTTAGTGTCGAGGTTATTTGGAAGTCGACAACTTTCGATCGGATGCAAAAGGCACTGCAGGCATTTGCAGTAGATGAAACATCTGTTTCAGGCTACATTTATCACAGAATACTGGGTCATGAAGTCAACAGACAGACAATTCACTTATTCAAACATCCAAACAATCTGAATGCTCCTGGACTTCCGGAGCTGAATCCTTCACAGAAAGCAGCAGTTAAAGCTGCATTAGAATCACCTTTGTCACTTGTTCAGGGTCCTCCTGGTACTGGTAAGACAGTTACATCGGCAACCATAGTCTATCATTTGGCGAATAATGTAAAGAATATAACGCAGAGACAAAAAACTCGTAAATGTAGCCGACAAATTCTTGTTTGTGCTCCAAGTAATATTGCAGTTGATCAATTGGCTGAAAAAATTAGTTGTACTGGTCTTAATGTTGTTCGTCTCTGCGCAAAGTCAAGGGAAGCAGTGTCGTCTAGTGTGGATCATCTCACTCTACATCAAAAACTTCGAAATCGAAGTTCCAATAATCCTAATGCTACAGAGTTGGTCAAGTTGATTCAGTTGCACGAAGAATTGGGAGAACTAAATGAACGAGATGATAAGCGATTGCGAACTTTAAAGAGAAATTTTGAAAGAGAAATACTGGAGTCGATGGATGTTATTTGTTGCACTTGTACGACCGCAGGTGATCGAAGAATTGCCCATTTTAGATTTCGTGCTGTACTTATTGATGAAGCTACGCAAGCTACAGAGCCGGAATCTTTGTTGCCACTCATACATGGATGTAAACAAGTTGTGTTTGTTGGTGACCATTGCCAACTTGGTCCTGTAGTTACTTCAAAGACTGCAGCTAAAGCAGGTTTTGGTCAATCATTATTTGAAAGATTGGTAGCTTTGGGTATTCGTCCACTTCGACTTACAATTCAATATCGTATGCATCCAAGTTTAACAGAATTTCCTTCAAATATGTTTTATGAAGGGAGTTTACAGAATGGCATTACAGCTGCAGAAAGAAAACCTTCAAGTGTTAGTTTCCCTTGGCCTGTTGCAGCAAAGCCTTTCTTTTTCTATGTGCAGACTGGTCCTGAAGAAGTTTCTGCATCAGGTACATCATTTCTCAATCGTGTAGAAGCGGATGCCGTCGAGAAGATTGTTTCCCACTTTTTAAAGAATGGAGTCGATCCTCAAAGAATTGGAGTCATTACTCCCTATGAAGGTCAAAGAGCATTTATTGTGCAACATTTTCTTCGATCTGGTACAATGAGATTGGAACTTTATAAGGAAATTGAGGTCGCCTCAGTTGATGCTTTTCAAGGAAGGGAGAAGGACTTTATTATTCTAAGTTGCGTTCGTTCGAATGAGCATCAAGGCATTGGCTTTCTTTCGGATCCACGTCGTTTAAATGTTGCCCTAACAAGAGCAAGGTTTGGCCTGATTATTCTAGGGAATCCCAAAGTTTTAGCGAAGAAGTGGTTGTGGGCGTGCCTATTGCAGCACTGTAAAGAGAACGATGTTCTTGTGGAAGGTAGCCTTTCTAGATTGAAGACGTCCCTGGTTCAGTTTCCGAGGCCGAGGAAACTTCAAGGATTGGATGGAAGTCGTATGAATATTATGCAGTTGTCCTTACCAACATTGTCAGTACCAGACGGTCCTTTGAGTTTTTCCAACTTTCTTCCCTTTAGATCGAATGGATTTGGACAGCACATTATGCCCATAAGGCAACAAGAATCTGTAGAAGATTCACAGCCCATTAACAATGTACAAGTTGCTGGACAGTTGAAGTCGGCGAGAAATTATAGTACTAATTCAGGTTTTCACTCACCGTTTATAACTTCCTTCTCGCAAAGTTTTGCTGAGGGCCTGGTTTTAGAAGATTACGGTCAGTTTGCACCGGGTTGGAAATAGGAGAAGAAATGGAAGCACTTGAATTTACTCCTTTGTAGAGAAAATGTCACCTTTGGATAGCTTTCTCTTGAATGGTTGCTACCCTATTTGAAGGGTCCTATTGTATAAGCATTTTGACCAACGCTGGGTATTATAAGAATTTGTGTTTGCAGAGAGAAGAGTTGATCAGAAGATACTTTGGAGCTAAAATTAGCATTCCTGTTTCTATTGTTTGACGTATAGTTAGTCGATTGCCGACAAAATATATAAGCACGATGATGAAATGAATATTTCCGTTGTATGCTTTCAAAATAGTTGACATTGCATTTGTTTTGTGATCACAGAAAATCTGCTTAGACCCAACATTTGAATAAATTCTATTTTTTTGTTCTTATTTGGAATATGATAGCTTTTCTTGTAGGACAGCCAAAGGGCTATTGTTCATATACGAAGAAATATAAACATGAGCTTACAGGTCCTTCGCTACAGATATCACGTAAACAGAACCACCTTTGCGTGTCAAACCATTTTTATATGAAGAGACATAGGCAGTGTTCCCGTAAGTAGTCAATACTTGGAATATTTTACTCAGATTGAAAGAGCTTCACAAGTCCGTGTGCAATGCAAAGCCTTTTCGACGCTTGAACCCCTGTCGATTTCTTCGCGATGGTTGCAAAAAAGTCGCAATCTAGTAACTTTGCTTCTCATCGGTAGCTTCTTTCCAAGTCCGTTAGTTAACGTTGGTAGTGCAACAACACTTTCTTCTGCCAATTTTTCCAACGTGGATCCATATGGAAACCATCTTTCTTTTCTGGTTGGTCTATTCTTAACAATATTATGTCCGTTATCTAATGTTCCAAAAAGGAAACTGCACAGTGGTTTCAGTCTGTGGCCCAAGTTGAACCAGCTTTGCTAAACTTTGACGAAACACTTGCCTTGTCAACAGATTCGGAAACGTTCTCTTTGTATCCTTGTTTGAATTTAGGTAGAGTTACTTCTATTGCTATTTTATGGCTAACTATTCTTTATCAGGTCGTTCGACTTGTAACGATTCCCTTATTTCTAATAGCAATTATTCAAGTAAATATGCAAATACAAAAGAAATTATAGTAGGCGACAAGTCTAAAGGTTGGTAAGATCCTGACAAGTACTTCCTTTTAACTGGTTGAAAGGAAAGTTTCCCTGGAGTGCTTGGTTCAAAGTGGAGGACACTACGGCAGTCAATAAGGAAGAAACAAAAGTTGAGAAAAAGGGTCGCTATGTCTTTGTCATTGTGACTTTGCTTGTTATTGCTTGTGTAGTCCCTATGATTCAATATTTTTCGTAAGTCTATACAGTGTTATGTACGGACAAGAAGACTTCTAAATTATTGTTAGTTACACTCGGGATAAATAAGGAGACGGTTTTGTTTTATGCAAAGGGTCATTATGAATCCAACAGCCTTGAAACAACATGGAATGTCCTTTGAAGGGTCCTGAGGGTTGCATTGGAAATAAAATTTCCCTTCGAATCTTTGTCAAAAAGAATTTCCAAATTTTGTAGTTCATGTTTCGTAGTATTGTTGAAAACTAAGTAGTTTCCTTGGTAAACTTGTGACCACTTGTAATGAGGCGTACGAAACCAAGCTGTAATTTGTATATAATCATCTGCGTGGTCCTATTCTATTTGAAAGCGACAAGAGCAACCTTGATAAGTGCTGGAGAAATTCAAAGTTGCACAAACAATGGATCATCTTCACTTCAGTGTGACAAAATGTGGGTGAGTATCAAACAAATTTTCTTTACGAATATCACTTTTACTCTTCTTTTTGCAGGTGGTGACCTTGGCAGTAGCTAATGGACAGCAAGGTGTTGATTCTACTGTTGCAAAGGTCTTTGGGAGCAACCAGTCTGAGTATGTAAAAGATCCAAATGACCCGAACAAAGCATATCTTTTCAATTACACTCTTCACATAACTTTGAGTAAAAGCAAAATTGCAATTGAATATCCTTTGGTATATTTGCAAGACTTCAATAATCAACCCTATGAAATAGTTTATGAAGCCAACTCGAATGGCCCATTGGAAGAATATACGAATCCCTGTGTGGATAGTTGGGGATCTTCCAATCCGACTTGTGGCTATGCTTATGATCCTCCGAATGAAATCGATGCAGCTAATAGAATATACAATAGTCAAGGATTCTGTTGCCAATGTGGTGTGTCTGACTACTTGGCGGAGGGAACAAGAGAAGGTCTTTCCTGCAATTTGCTAGGAAGTCTATTTCAAATAGAACCAAGTCAAGCAGCTCATTGTTTAAGGTTCGATCCACTGTGGTATAGTGGTTTCCAAATTGGAACTTATGAAGTAGGTGTTCAACAAAGAATTTATCTAAAATTCATCCATACTTTTGTAGTTGTACTATTGGGTTACTGTAAATATTTCCAGGTGTCCACTGAATACAACAGTGGTCAACAGTAGTATCTGCAGTCTGGAGACCTTTCAGGTGGGCCCAACCAGCCCTTTAGCTTATTCAGAAACATATGGAACACAAATACAAGATATTGGAGACTTCTCACCATGGGAAGGAACGCCAACGTATTCCAACAAATTTCTTATGAAACCTGACTATTGCCAAGACTCACAATGGTGGTGTCTCAATCGCACCGCTGATATTCCATCAGAAATTGCCAAATGGATGCTAGTGGATACTGACCAAGTAACTCTATCAGGAGATGAATGTAACAAGGTCGGAGTCAGTTATTCTGCATTTCAAGATGAGTCTAGTCGATGTCTTCGAGCTGTCAACTCCTGTCTTGGCAATCAACTTGAAAATTTCTACAAAAGCGATCTCAAAGCACTCCAAGAAGGAACTTCGGGTAATTATTTCGTTCAGTTCTTTGGGGATTTTGATGGTAATGAAGTTTCTGGAGCCAACCCAAAAATGCGTTTTTGGACTGATAGGATTCAAAGCAGCGACATTTTATTACAATTTGCGGCAGAAAGTCTGTTTCATGTCGTGGATGTGAGTGAAGGCAAAATAATTGGTGCAAACGTTAATCTCGTTCAAGCTTATTCAAAAAATGGAAAAATGACGGTAACTCTGCAAAATACTGGTAAGGTGGAAGCATCTTACGAAGTTGCTGTATCTTGCCCGAACAATATTCTTCCTATTTTGGCTCAACAAGTCTATATTCTGCCAAATCAAACCAAAAACGTAACCTTTCAAGTAGATGTGGAAAATACTCATGGAGGACACTTTGTCTGTAATGTCTCCTTACAAAACTCTATAGGTCAGTCTATTTCCAGGTACCAAGTGAAGGTAGAGTCATCTGGTATTAACGTCAGTACTGGACCACAAGCTGGTCAACCAAGCGGCTCTGATGGAACAAGTTCTACAAATTATGGTAGCTCCAGTGCTTGTCAGAAAAGTTGTGGCAGCTTCTTTAACATTATTTGCTTCTTTGAGCACAGTTGTTGGTTGAATATTCTCTATGTGATTTTAGTAGTTGTCGGGCTTCTCGTTGGGGGCTGCATTGGCATCAAATTATTTCTGCATTTTGGTCTTAGCTTCCTTATGGATTTGTTCAAAATGCCTCAAAAAAGAAATCGAACCAGGAGGAATCATCGCACACGCGAGCAAGACGACTCTTCGACATATAACTCCTGTGACACAACTCCATATGTTGCTCCTCCTGCAGCAGTTTATTATGTTCCACGGAAACATCATCATCACCACCAGAAACGGCAATGTATCATCGAGGCACCTGATGTTTACCGTTATGAGACGGAACCGACCACAACTTACGATGAATCAGCATATCACAAAAAAATACAACCAGTTCGGAAACGGAATTATGAAAAAATTAAATCCCATCATCCATGATGAATGGACTCCACATGCTATTCCTTTTACAAATATCATAATCATAAAATTCACTCTGGCGACATTGCGTGCGAACGGTTTGGGTTTCTTTCTGTATGCACAAACTGAAACCTTGTATGAAAGCCTAGTAACAACTAAACAATCCATTTCTATGAAAGACAGCAATTCATTAGGTTTTCCTATCTCGGTGCCTATGTTTATGAGAATGTCGACCTTTCTTTACACGCTTGTTGAGAGATGAATCTTGAAAGTTTGTATCGTTGCAAACCGAAACTTGACTTGGATTCGATATTTGGGTTTCGCTTTCTACAGAAGTTACATCGCTATAAGATACTGGCATAATTTTGCGCTTGGATATGTGTTGTATGGGTAGGATAGTGAAAGGAACAGATGCATCAATCGTTTTGTGCTTACGCTGGTTCCATTTTCCCTTCGTCGCTGAAATTTCATTATAAGGAGGAGTCCTAATGTTGCCTTGAAACATGTCTTGATGACCATTGGATACTAGAACGCCATTGGTATGTTGCAAAGATGGCGATACTACCGACGGTGGCATCCAAACTGAAGGCGGCTGTTGAATATAAACAGGTTGTGCAGAAGTTTGCCAGTGCATGCAATCATGCGCCGAAACGAATGGATTGTGGAAATGAGAAGAGCATGGAGCTCTGGCATGCTCATGGTATGAATTACAAGTTTTACAAGTTTCTCTATGAGCACCATTGCTTGACCAAGAGATAGAGTCAGCACATCCGCAACAACAATCTTGCATACACTGCATTAACGGTCTGCGACAACAGCAACATACGCAAACACCAATAATAATAACAATTACTATGATGATTATCTACAAGAATTCTCTACTGAGGGATACAGTTTGTCCAAAAGAAACAACTTACGATAGAATATTCCGTGGTTGTGGTAGAAGATGATGTTGAAGTACCACTTGAGTTATTTGTGGAAGAACCAACATAAATGTTGCAGTATACTCGAGTCGATGGGTTTTGGTCAATAGCCGTTTCCCATCCAGTTTTGCAAACACAAATATTTTCGCTGGCAATGTATTCCTTTGTTCCATTCTTTGAACAATTGCGTTGTTCAAAATGTAAAACAAACCTACGATTCTGCAAGTGTTAAGTGAAATATATTCGTGGCAACTCTAGCCATTATACCTGACTTGTAGGCTTGCGTTCTGCTACAGCCAAATCTAAATATAAAAACGAGACCAATATAGCAACATTCAAAAGCATCCAACCAAAATTTTTCATATTTTCAATCAGCAACTACGAAATGTCACTTGACATTAAGCCATATGTTTCTATGGTATCTAATACGACCTTGCAAGAGTCGTGCTTACGTCCATTGACATTCTGAGGGTGCGATCAAGATCATTCTGGACAACAACAGACTTACTTGGTTGCTTTGTCTACATCATTGCTCTTCACAAAGTTCAAAAGGTAGCGAACCCTGAAGCCATACTTTGCAACAAATTGTCCAAGTCCTTCAGTTGTTGTTTGAGGTAACAGTTCTCCACTTTTACAGATTGCAGACGCTCAATCTTCTTCTTCAGCGAAGCGTTCTCGTTTTCAAGCTCTTCCAGTAACTCAAGCATCCGCTTTCTAGAACGTTCAGCAGATGCTCGGTTGCGAAAAATTCTTCTCAATTTCTTTTCTTCATGAGTCAGCTGGTTAGGTGGCAAACTTAACACTTTCTCCTTTAGTTCTAGAGGTATTCTTTTCACATCCAATTCTTCACTTGCCATGAAACACAATTGGAGATTCGAACAAAGGAATTTCGGTTACTTGAACTATGGCTTTTTTAGAAATTAACTGTAAGTTGCAGACATATAGATGGCAAAACTTGCACAAGAGATATATTGTCAGCAGTGTTGGATTAAGAGCGTTTGGTTCGTTGATACGTCAACGGCGTACTAGTTGCCCACGTTGTTCCTTCTTCCGTGATCGTTTGTATATGGATGGTGACAGCCTATCCAAGAAAAGCATAAAGAATTTTATCAATACAGAAGAACAAGAAGAGACAAAAGTAAACACAAAACAAAGTTTTTTGCAACGGTCGGTTGATAAGGTTGTGGATGTTGTTGTGATTGGATGCGGCCCAGCTGGCTTAGCTTTAGCTCGTTCCTTGAGTGAGCGAAAGTTACAGGTCGTTTGTATTGATCCTCATATAGATAAACCTTGGAAAAATAATTATGGTGTTTGGCTCGACCGAATGGAGAGTTTGCAACTGGCTGACTGTCTTTCTCCTGTTTGGTCTAATACGAGAGTTCACATTGACAACAACAGGACACGTCTGCTTCCTTTTGCTTACGGAAAAGTTGACAGAAATAGAATGAAACAGAAGCTACTGAATGTTTGTAAGGAATCTGGTGTCGTTTTTTTCGAAGATTCTGTTGCAAACATAATACAAGAGCCGCCATATTATTCTTGCATAACCTCACAACAAGGGAAATTCACTTGTCGTCTTGTGGTGGATGCCACGGGACATTTCAATACGTTTGTCAAGTTTGATACTCCACATGACCCAGGATTTCAGGTAGCCTATGGAATCGATGTCGAAGTTTCTGGGCATCCGTTTCCTATAGATGAAATGCTATTGATGGACTTTAGAGATTCTCATATGCAAGATAGCCTGGAAGATAAGACACAGTCATTTATGTTTCCAACTTTTTTATACGCTATGCCCATGAGTGGTACCAGAGTCTTTCTAGAAGAGACTTCCTTAATCAGCAAGCCACCTTTAAGCTTTGAACACTTGAAACAACGACTCTTCAAGAGACTACGCTTTCTTCGAATTGAAATTAAACATATTTTTGAAGAAGAGTTTTGTATGATTCCTATGGTATGTAAAATGATTCTGCTACTTATTATATAGGAAAGTGACGGTTGGATGAGCTTAGGGTGGATCGATGCCTTCATTTAGTCAAAATGTCTTAGGATTTGGTGGTTCTGCTGGAATGGTTCATCCAGCAACTGGTTATATGTTTTCACGAGTGATGGAAATGGCACCAATCCTTGCAAAAAGTATTGAGAACTCACTGTTGTTGTTTGATGATAAGGCTTTATCGAAGAACACACCTCTATCGATATGGAATGAATTATGGTCCCATGAACGTACTTTACAGCGTAACTTTTACCAGTTTGGTGGTGAATATCTTTCCAAAATTGCTTTAGGTGACATGTGCGACTTCTTCTGGGCTTTCTTTATGCTGCCTGATAAGGAGTGGAAGGAGTTCCTAGACTTTGACTTGACAAGTTCTCGTAAACGTCTTCTATTTGGTCTGCGTATATTTTCTAGGACGAGCCCAGCCTTGAGACTTTCGCTTATAAAGGAAGCAATTTTGAATGGAAGGCTGAAGTTATTAAAAAGTGTTGTTTTGTAAATTTTTACAGTAAATGTGCTGTTGCGGTCGTCGATATATTACACGAATTGAAAATTCCTGAATATACAGCAGCATTGTTGTGTAGAAAAATACCTTGTTTTTTCCTATGAAGTCTCGTAAGGGTTCTAATACTACTGAGAACAGTTCAGATGATTTCGCACAGAGCACAGAAGGAGGCGTAGTCTTTATAACTCGAGTTCCACCGCGAATGAGTGTTGTAGATGTACGGTCCATATTTTCCAAAATAGGTTCTGTAGATAGAATATGGCTGGAACCTGAAGGTTTGCATACAGTTTATTACCTCCTTTACGTTTTTTTCATAGCTTTATGTTAGATGCCGAAAGTAGAAAGTGTCGAACCAAGGCAGGTGGAAGTCGCAGGAAGCGATCGAAGTACGGTTGGATAGAATTCTTAGATGAAGAAAAAGCAAAATTGGCCGTAGACTTGCTTAATAACCAGCCAATAGGTGAATAGCACCTGAGAAACTAAAGTATAGTGCTGACCCTCCTACCATTTCAGGCTATTCCCTTGGAAGTAGACGGAAGCCTTTTAGTGAAGACTTGTGGAGTCTTCGGTATTTGAAAGGCTTCAAGTGGTACCATTTGGTTGAAGAAAAAGGTATAAGTTTTCTGGTTAGTAGAAACTTTTATTTACACTGTGTTGTTTTCAGCTTTAGAGTGGAAACATAAAAATAGACGTCTCAACCTGGAATTGTCTCAGATGGCTCGTGAACGTGACTTTTACCTTTCCCGGGTAGAGTGTGCAAACGTTGTAGCGAAAATCAAGAAAAGGAAAGTCAAAAAGAGCCAGTTCAACGCAGACATATCCGTTTCAAATGAGCAAAGTTCCTCTTTGAGTCTTTGCCCTTACGCAACCGCATTGTCAGAAGATAATAGTACGAAAGCCTCAACGACTGTGAAAACTTCGCACTCCGAAGAGTCAGCAGTACAATGTCACTCTAGCAAAAACTCGAATATCGAAGGAGTTATGCAAAAAATATTTTGTCCCCATAATTAGCACAATGCTATCGTATAGGTGTAGAATTCAGTTACTCATAACTTATATAAAGGCTGTCAATACATTTCTATTTTGCCAACTTTGTCCTCGAAGTTGATATTCACGCCGCTCTATATTAAACCACTCGGGTGAACTTCTTGTTAAAAAGTGACTAGTATGAAAGACGTTGGACCCTTCGAGAAACGACCTATACCCATGTCTTCCACTTTCATTACAGTATTTTGACTCCATAAACACATATTTCTTGCATAAAGGGCAGTACACTGACTTTGTGAGCCACTGACGCAAACAGACACTATGAAACAGATGTGTACAACTTAACATTCGAACAAAGCAACCTTTCTCAAAATCTTCCAAGCAAATAACACACATTGTTTGACTCTCGAGGAGCTCTCCAAAAGCGCGTAAAGCCTTGTCTTCACTTTCGTTTAATACGAGGTCATTAAGACTAGGCTTTGAAACACACATGTCTTGGTCATAAACACTTCTGCCTTTCAACTCTTCCTCAAGTACAACTTTCTCTGTACTGGGCGAACTTGTTCGTGGTTCGCCCCAACTTACAGCGGTCTTATCTCTATGGTTGGAGAAAACTTCTTCTTTCTCCTCCTGCTCCGTCAACTGCTTTGCGAAGTAACGTTTCGTGACAAGAGCCTTCAATTGTGGCTTCTGTTTTAAAAAGGACTCTTCGCTGCCATATATAAGCTCCGGTGCTACTGTATCTAGTCTTGTTGGAGAAACATTGTACAAATAAACAAACGGTGGAGAGTTATAAGGAATGTCTCCTGTGGTAACTTCTCTTTCTGACGTTGCTGTTTGACGAGAAACACGAAGTCTTCGGCTTACACAACAGCTATTCCTTCGTAGACCAGCAAAGGCACCACATATAAGGATCATAACAGATATCCAAACGACGACAGTCTAAAAGGACGTTGAGTTTTATATTCCAATAGCTTGTGACTAACCTGAACTTACAATTATAGCTGAAATGTCCATCAAATGTCCGTTGATAGAAAAATCTCCTGTGCCAATAGTCAAAGCTCATTTGAGCACGTCCAATTGACAGTTCTTGAATCTTCACGTCATTATTGCTGTCCGTTGGGCACACAAATGTGGAAGACTCATATTCCCTTTTTGTGTTCTCCTGCTTTGATGACCGATAGGAGTAACACTGGGTGGTGAAATCAATTACCAAAAATACTCAAATCTTTCAAAATAAGAATTTTTTCATATTGTCACTATAGAAAATCAACTTGGCCTTTTATATAAAATTTCAGGATTTCCAGTTTCTTGGGCTGCTATTCTTGCAGCGACAAATAACAAATCACCCAACCTAGATGCTATCTTAGAAGTTGCTTAAAAGAAACCTATACAATGATAAACACCTGTTTAAATACTGTCCAACGCATTGTAATGCTTCTATTTGATCCTTAGAATCTTGAATCGTTGGGAGTGTGTGCTGAAAAGCTGTCCAGAATCGTCTTTCCGTTCTTCTTCCAACGGCTCTTGTAATATGCAGCTGTGCACCTAATAAGCCACCGCTAGGTAGAATAAAATTTCTCAACGGTGGCAGAGACTCTTCCAACTCATCAATCCATTGTTCAATCTCCTCAACCTTGTAAAAGTCAGTTTTCATCATCATCTTCCAAGATGTTCACTTGCTTTTCCATGGTCAAAACGAAATTTCGCCAGGTCTAGGTTTCCTTTCGTTTTCTCCACACTTGAACTGTGAGAGGCAATAGCTGCACCCACATCGAAAAGAGATGACTGGACATCTTCAAGTTTCGTTGTCAATACACTTTTTTCTACGGAACGACAATATACCACACATAAGCCAACATGAGCATTCAACTCATCGATGGTTCCCAAAACTTCAAACACCGCGTCATCCTTTGGCTTTCTTTCACCTATACGTGAAGTATTCTATTACAAGCGAAAATTCGACAGAAACTGAGTACCTGTCAGCAGACTAGATTTTCCTTTATCGCCGGTTCTCGTGTATATTCTTATCCGCTTGGTTTCAGCTTTCTTTTCTCCAAAGGCTACAGACTTGTGCAAGTTCCTTTGCTGAAAAATATACGAAAACAAACGAGTTGCTTCTTTGTTCTCTATTAACGAGTTGAGCAAGTTCAATGAATACCACAAATTTTGTTTCGTCCTGAATAGAAACATCTGTCGCATTATTGCATTTTTGTACACGATAGGCAATACAAACTGACGAGGTTTTCTGTAGTTTTTCAGCATTAAATTGTTGCGTTTGAAATATATATTTTGGGGACAATATTGTCATATTACGGAGGATAGTTTGTGTCCATAGCAACTTTATGGACTCTTCGATAGAGGACGCAACAAGTGAAGAGCCAAAATCAAGTAGTTTTCCCAGTAGTAGTCATGAATTTTCTCAAGTGCAGCAAACTTTGGAAAGCGTGCCACCAACCAAAGATAAATTGTCTCTTGTTGAACCTGTGACACAAACAGCTACAGTGTCTACCGTTGTTACTACTGTCAGTCCGAGCGTAACAAGATTGCCAGTTGAAGGAGAACTTGAGGGTACAGTCTCTAGCAATACTCTTCAAACAACAGTTGTAACAACCGTTGGAAATACGTCAGTTGTACCCACTGCTGCTTCTGGAGTTGCAGCAGTTTCCATAGCAGCAGCAGCTCAACAAAGAGATCCTATCCATTCTTGCACGACTCCTAGTACCAGTGCTATACAGGATGCGTTACTTGAGAGCACCGAAAGACCTGTCTCTTCTAATAGCTCAAGAGTATCGCCTCATAAAAATGTTTCGTTATCTCAAGAGGCACCGTATGTTACCGACAAGGACAATATTAAAAGGGAGAATCAGCAGCTAAGGGAAGCAATTGAAGGTATTCGATTGAAACGAGAGAGATTTCGCCTTCTTACTGACAAAATGAAGAAAGAAGTTAAAAGACAGTTGCATCTTATTTACAAATACCGTAGTTTCTTGATATCAACGTTTGAAAATAGGCCGATTCATGGGTTTCAACAAATTATTGAAAAGATGAGAGTCTATTCATCAGGTTCTATTCCAGATTATACTGAAGCACTATCAAATTCAAGTGGTATGGAAAGAAAGAAGCAACGTATGCCCTTAGAAACATACAACTTAAAAAGTACTGCAGATGCAAAGGCATTCGTTACAGATTCGAGTTTTCGTGCAACTGCAGCTTCTTCTGCTGCAGTATATACGAGATATCTTGACAAAGAACCGCGTGAAATGGATTCTTCCTCGATTGCCTACTTTGATAGACCATTAGTTGGAAATGTCGAGTCCCAAGAGAAGAGTGACCGAAAAGTTAAAGGTAAGAATAAAAATTGGATTATTGAATAGGATTGTTTTGGATGTTTTTTCTTGTTCTGAAAACATATTTGCTAGGAAATGAAGATAAATGGCAAAATTTAGGAGGAAAGGGTCGTTCCAACTTGTGGACTCCAGAGGAAGATGCATTGTTTATGAAAGCATTCAAACAATATGGCACGAAATGGAAGCAAATTCAAAAAGTTTTGCCTAATAAATCTCGTCAACAAATTCAAAGCCATGGTGCTTATCTTCTCCGACTAGGCAAATTGAATAAGGAGCTAATTCGAAGAGGAAATAAACAAGTAAATTCTTGGCATGATAAGCAGGAATGCAATGATGATTCAAAGCAGTTTATCAACACTTATGAAAGTGATGACGTTTGATTTTGTCTTTAAAATGCCACAGTATTGTGTTAATGAAGTCTGCAAACACAAAACTAATGATTTATTGTGAGATATATCCATAGAGTTCTAGGCATTTAATGTGAATGGATAGGTTCTACAAGTATCACATGTTCGAATACAAACACTACGTTAGTTGTGGGATGTAAGACTACCACTTTCTGTACCAGCTGATGGGTCGATAACCACATTCAAAAGTGCCGGTTTCTTCGCTTCCAAAGACTCTCGTAACGCCTTGCCAAGCTGTTCTGCAGTCTCAATCCAGTAAGCCAATCCTCCAAAAGCCTCTGCAATCTTTTCATAGTGAGCATTTGGAACAAAACTAGTCGGGGCAGGATCATAGGGATCTGCACTTTTTTCAGTACCGCCATAGATTCCATTGTTATTAAAAACAACTGTAACTATAGGAAGATTATATCTAATGATGGTCTCTATTTCCATGCCACTAAAACCAAAGGCAGAGTCTCCCTCGAGAGCAATAACAGATCGACCTGGATAGCTAACTGAGCTTGCAATGGCATAGCCCATTCCAACACCCATCGTGCCCCATGTTCCTGCATCCAGTCTAGTAAGAAAAATTCTAAGTTTCCAAATAAAATGAAACATAAAAAGTTCTTACCTGGAACGAGGTTCTTCTACTGGAAGAATGAGCCTTCCAAAATCCATAGTATTCGCACCTTCGCTTACAAGTATCGGTTTTGGGTTGGGTAAAGACATAATCACCACTCGCATTGCATTGAGTGCACAATGGAAATCTAATGGTGTTCTCCATTCTTGTAGACGAAGTTCCAATTTTCTGGCATTTTCTTCACATTTCTGTCGAACTTTATTGAGCCAGCTTTTGGGTACTTGGAAAGGTTCCCTCGTAACTGCCTCGTTTATAAGCTTCAGACTTTCTTGAATATCGCCAAATATGGGCATGGTGATATTAGCATTGCGATGGAATTCTTCTTCGCATATATCCAATTGAATAAACTTGCAATTATCTGACCAACGAGGTGGCTTTCCATAATGCAATATCCAATTAAGACGCGCTCCAACTAAAAATACAACGTCTGCTTCTTTCAAAACCAAAGAACGAGCAGCGGAAGCACTGAGAGGATGTGAGTCAGGAACGCAACCTTTTCCCATAGGAGTGGCTAGAAATGGAATGTTCAAATTGTTGATGAACTGAGAAAGTTCCTGTTCTGCACAGGCATAATTGGCCCCTTTTCCAATCACAATAAGAGGTCTTTCTGCCTTTTTTAACAACTGAACAGTTCGATCGATAACATCAGGCGTTGGTGTTGGCAAATTCCGTGGAGAAGAAATAAAATCATTACTAAATGACAACAAGTCTTCCACATTGTTTGCTTGCAATCTTTGATGAAGTACGTTGGAAGGGAATTCAATGTAAACACCACCAGGACGACCACTTAAAGCTACGTGATATGCTCGACAAAGATATCTTGCAGTTTCTCCAATATCTTCTACCCGAAATACTTGCTTGGCATGAGGAAGTGCAGCGCGAAGTTGATCACATTCTTGAAAAGCACCGCGATCAACTTGCGAATTTTCTGCAGCTCCACTAATTAAAATCATTGGAAAGCAATTTACTGTGGCACTAGCCAAGCCTGCCAATGCATGTAAACAACCGGGACCAGAAACTGTCACACAAACACCAGGTTTTCGCTGAAGGTATCCAAAAGCTCCTGCAGCGTAACTAGCGGGAAGTTCATGGCGAGTAGAAATAAAACGAATTTGCTCCTGTTGACAGCATATTCCCAACTTTGTCACTGGAATACCCAAGACTCCAAATGCAGCATTTATTCCTAAGCACTTTAGTATCTTTGCCACCAACTGATAACCGTCGACAGTTGTGGAAGGCTCGGATTTTGTCTCGTTCCCTTGATTGGTATTTTTTGATGATGTTCTTAAAGCATCATTCTGTGAACCAAATTGTTCCAATATATTTTGCGCTACAATTCGTCTTTGAATCTTACCGGAACCTGTTCGAGGAAAATCATCCACAATGTAAATCTTCTTTGGAACTTTAAAGGATGCAATACGACTCTTGCAATCCTCCGTAATATCCTTCTCAGTTGTTCCACGAGACTTATCCTTCAAGATAACTGCAGCTTCCACTTCTTCACCGTATTTTTCATCTGAGACACCAAAAGAAACTGCTTCCGAAACATTCGGATGCGATAAGAGAGCTGCATCCACCTCCAAAGGTGATATCTTCTCCCCACCACGGTTAATAAGCTCCTTTATTCTCCCAGTCAAAGTAAGATAACCGTCCTCATCCAGATATCCTTGATCACCAGTGTGAAACCAACCACCAGCGAAAGCCTCTTCATTTGCTTTTGGGTTATTCAAATAACCTTTGGTGACATTCTCTCCACGAATACAAACCTCACCAACCTTATTGGGTCCAAGAATTTCACAATTGTCCGATAGTATAGCAACCTCTACGTTCTGACCTTTACCCACAGATCCTGGTTTCCTTTTTCCATTCTTGGGAAGAGGATTGGAAGTCATCTGATGTGAGGCTTCGGTCATTGCATATGCCTCCAATACGGGTGCATTAAACAGCTTCTCCATCTTATCCAAAATATTAGGTGCTAATGAAGAACTACAACTTCGGATAAAGCGTAAAGGTGGCGGATTGGACTTGGGATAGTCTTGTTCTGCTCGAGAAACTAAAATTTGGTGAATAGTAGGCACTGCAGTGTACCAGGTCACTTTGTGTTGTACACAATGCTTCCAAAAATTCGAAGCAGAGAACCTTCCTTCTCCAGGTATCCAAACTTGTCCTCCGGTAGCAAGTGTTGATAATAATGCCGCCATTAAGCCATGGACATGAAACAAAGGCATAACCAATAAAGTCACGTCGGAGTCAGAAAGTTCGTAAGTTTTACTAATGTTTCGAATGGAAGTCATTAAATTCTTATGAGTTAAGGGAACTCCTTTGGGTTTTGAAGTGGTCCCTGATGTATGAAGAAACAATGCAACATCATCTGGCAAAGCCCTACTACTTCCAGTAGTACTTTGTGCTCCATTCCATTGGGAACTTGGTATCTGGATAGAGATGTCTCTCGAATTGGCAATAAATTTCGACAAAGACCAAATGGGTAACTTCAAAGATTCCGCAGCATCAAGGGCTTCCTTTGACGCTTGATCTTGTATGACTATTATTGCCTTTGCTCCAGCGTCTTGAAGATAAAACAAAAACTCATCTTTTCTGTAAGCTTCATTCAAGGGTGCTGCAATAGCACCGGCCCACGTAACAGCCAAAAAGGAAACAACAAACTCCACAGAGTTGGGTAATATCAAACTAATTACATCGCCCTTTTGAGTTACTTTCGTGATCTCTTCACAAACCCTTGCAACTGAGTCACGTAACTGCGAATAGGAAAGTATGTTGTCTGTTCCGGCAATTCCTACTGCAACATTGTTCGCTACTGGTGACGAGGTATTTGGAATATTTCTCAATACGTCATTCATTCTGAAAATTAACTTTACACAATTACTGAACAACAACGGAAGAAACTCGTCCACTTCAGTGGGAAGAAAAGCAATCAAAATTTCTCTTCTGAAAAATTTTACTTGCAGGAGATTGCCAGGCTGATTTTAAAAATAAGCATTTCTACCTTTCTCTCAGTACTTGACAATCAGATGATAAAAGCATCCAATTTTCGTTTCAATAAAAATATGTACTTATGCGATTTTCATTTCCTGTATAATGTGAAAAGAGAGCAGCAAAGTGTTTCATTTTTGTCATAGAGACTTTCGAACTTTTACAAAGTACAACTTTTCGTTTCTCTATGTAAACTGTTCAAGGTAACTAATCGTTACAAAGTTAACTTGTGGCTTTCTTCTCGTCTAGGAACGACCATAATCGCTTCATTTCGATTGGTTTCCATCAATCAGTGAAGTCTGTAGAGCTCGTATCAATTTTTTGTCCAAGTATTTGCCGCTATGGAAACATTAGTAGCTTGGTCATTTTATTGTCCGACAGTGCTTTCTTCTCAAGTAAAAATTTCCTCTCAAAGGTTTCCTCGCAAGTGTCCAAGTTGCTCTTATGGAGGTTGCATATTGCGCCGCCGAGTTACCTGGAAAGTAACCAAGAACTCGTCTCACTCTGGAATAAGTTTAGGAGAAACACGCAGTTGTGTAATTTGCGAAAGTGATATTTATTGTAAAACAGAAATTGGTCGCCCGAAGCCCTCAGTAACCGGAAAGCCTGGAAAGCTGGACTTCTCGAAAGGAGGATCAGAAGCGGGTCAAGCTCAAAGAGAAAGAGGAGGTGTTGCAGTCAAAGTTAAACCCAAACGTAAAACCAAAAAGGAGAAAAAAGGAAGAGTTGGAACACAATTGGCGCGTTTTGTTGCATAACGATGATATTCATACATTCGACTACGTCATAACAGCTATTGTAAGTGTCGTAAAGACCGTGTCTAGAAAGAAAGCACATAGAGTGACTATGGAAGCTCACAGCTGTGGCGTTTCAACAGTAACTACCACGTGGAAGCAACTGGCAGAAGAGTACTGCTTAGGTTTGCAGAGATACGGCTTGACCACTTCTATTGCACCAGATAGCTTATTCAAGCCATAACCAAATAAAATGTTTTGGGATATTCAAACTTGAACTATTTCGAGACATTTTTCAACTTTTTGTTTAGAAAATGCGAAATTTCTAAGCAATGGTTGGATGATACTTGGAATGACAACACCAAGCAATAGAAAGAGAAAGAGAGTCACTAGAAAGGCAGGACCAGTTTTCACAAGTTTCTGTGAAATTTCTGAAGACCAGATTGATGTTGGTGAAGGTCCGTGGTGCCTGTTATGGCCTTTTATGAGGGAAGTTCAGGGTACTGACGACCAGTTGCAAACTATGTCTCTCGCAAACTTGTATTACTGTGGTGAACAGACACTGGAAGGTCGTTTCTGGAGAGTTTCTATTGACTCTAATGAGTCTAGAGAACGAACAGAAGACTTTGCTATAAAGATCTGGGAGGGAGTTTCAACACAGGAAAGTGAAAAGTCCTTGATATCTGTAAACTGCTCCTTTTTTGTAAAAAGTTCACATAGGACGAACTTTTATACTTATTCAGGTGAAGTTATTTTGTGTGATCGCTTAGCGAAAGCAATTCGATATTTAGCAGACAACCACTTCTTGGCTGCAAGAGTTGTCACGTATAGTTTATATGACGAAGATTTGACCTTTCCAGAAAGAAGCTGTTTTAGAGTAGAATTTTATTTTACTGAGAAGCTTTTCTTAAATGCACCAAAATCAGCAACGGAGTATCGAAAACTATCGGTATTCACTCACGTGAGAATCTTGATGTCTTGGTTGCACTCTGATATCAGTACCTTTACGTTGTTCTCGGAAGCCTTTTGTTGTCAAGATGCTCATTTAATTTTAGATTCTCTATGGTTCAATCGAGTTTGCGAGACAATTCAGTTGGAAAGACAGAAGTCTTCGAGTAACCTTTGGGAATTAGAGAGGTCACAAATGACTCTTTTAGAACAACAGTTAAGTATTATCCTTCGACCCTATCAAAGAAAGGCTATTTCATGGATGTTGTACAGAGAAGAAATGTCGACAATGAATATGAATGGTGAAGAGAGTAATCCATTGTGGTTTCCAATGTTTTCAAAAAACTCAGATAGTAACATATCCTTCTTTTACAATCCTTGTACAGGACAGGTATCTAAAAAGAGCTTTGAGCCTTTTATGGATATCCGGGGTGGAATACTGGCAGATGAAATGGGTTTAGGAAAGACCGTTGAAGTATTGTCTTTGATCATATTGACTTTAACAAAGAGAAAAGAAGTCACTTCCTTGGAGAAACCGGAACGTGTATTTTGGGGTGGAAACTTGGACTCCTTTTCAGATAAAGACAAAGTGGAAGCTTTCTCTTTTGTGACCAGTACTCAAAACGTCGAAAAGTGTTCTTGCTGCCAAGAATTGACAGTTAATGATCATGTACCCGAAGAATTCCACTCTTTGTTCGTGCGATGTGATGAATGTGGAAAAGTAGAACATGCTTGGTGTGCCAACTATCGGTTTGAGCGTGCCATAAGAGTGTTGCAAGCGTCGCCACATTTGTGTTATCAATGTGAAGCAGACTACAAATCTCAAAAGGTTTTGCAGAGTCATGCCACTCTCATTGTATGTCCTTCTGCTATCTTAGGACAATGGGAAGAAGAGATTGAGCGAAATACAAAAACTGTTATTTATCATTATACCTATAGAGGAATGAAAGAGTCTGGATATGTACCTGCAAGGACACTCGCAGAGATGGATATTGTTTTGACCACATATGAAGCTTTGAGAAATGACTTGAATAGAGTTGACCTCGGAAGTGGGCCCTCACTAAGATATGCTAAAGTATTCCGAGCTGTACCTACTCCACTATGCAGGATTGAATGGTTTCGCATTTGTTTGGATGAAGCCCAAATAGTGGAAGGTGGTTCGTCTGGCGCAGCTGATATGGCGCAGTACTTAAGTGGAACTCGAAGATGGTGTGTGACTGGCACTCCTATTCATAAGGATATGTCCGACTTTTATGGCTTATTGAAGTTCCTTCAAGTTGTTCCTTTTCAAGATCATTTTTGGTGGAATCGTTTTGTTTGGAAGCCAGCTCTTTTTGGAAATGATCAGAATTTGAGACGACTTGTAGATCGATTGGTGTGGAGAAATACGAAGAATATTGTGTACAATGAGTTGAATCTGCCACCTCAATCGACCCTGAAAGTAATATTGTCATTTGGTCCGATAGAGAGACATTTTTATGATCGACAGTATGAACTTTGTGTGGAAGAAGCATCCAGGCTTCTCTTTAGCCAAGGAAAGTTTCAAAATGGAGTGAGTAGTTTGGAAGACTTTTCAAAAGATTCGGTTATGGGCGAGAAGCTGTTTTTCCGTTTATTAAGACTTCGGCAAGCTTGTTGTCATCCTCAGGTTGGTTCTGATGGTATTCGAGTGTTGCAGAAGAGTACCATGACTATGCAAGAAGTTTTGGAAGCTCTCGTACAAAGGAGGACTGTAGAAGTTTCGGAAGCGCAACGTTCCTACATTGCATCTATGAATGGATTGGCTGCTTTGCATATATTGCAAGAAAATCTTATCAAGGCTGTCGATATCTACAGAAATGTTTTGCGCTTTGCTAAGGAAAATGAAGAACACGTAACTATGGACTCTTTACAAAAGTTGCATGTTTTACACAATTTGAGTCAAGTACTAGAAATGATAGAGTCAAAGATAGATGACAAGAGTCAGTCCTCAAAAGATAATAACCTCAACAGTTACAAGGCAGTTGGTAGAACTTTGGAGGAGTCCGAATACAAAACTGAAATGCAGGAATTAGAAGCACGCTATACATCCGAGAAGTTGGCCAAATTATCCAAAGCCAAAGCATCGTATGAAGCCAGTAAAATGTCGAGTGAGGAATTGATTGCTAAACGTGCAACAATTCCTTGGTGGATGGAGGTTTTAGCTGAAATGGTAGCTAACAACAAGTCTTTGGAGGAACAAATAATGGAACAGATACGATCACAATTACTTTATAGTTCTCAGGGAGTCTTCACGGAAACATCCATAGTTTCTCGTTTTCATAGTCTTGAAGGTTTACGGTATGTATTGATGAATGAACTAGAAAAAAGAGATCGATGCCGCTTGGAGTTGTTGGAAACATTAGAAAATTTGCCAGGTGCACGAACACCCACAACTAGCGAGATCATGGCTTCTGGTAATTGCAGATATTGTCGAGTAGAAGGTGATGGTCCGGCATGTTGTCATTGTATAGCCAAGGAGAAATTTTTGGCTTACGAACGTAGTTTGTTCTTAGTTCGCATGATAAATATTGGTAGAAAATGCAACACCAGTCATGGAAGGTATGGTGTTATCTCAGAAGGGGATGAAGGTGCCAGATTGCAAAGTGAAATTGAAAAGGTAAGTAAAGGAATCTTTTCAATTTTATACCTTACTTTGCTTTATCCAGATCCTGAAGATTATAAAGTCTTGTATACGAAGGCATTATCGCAAAAGATTCTCATGGTTGAAGGACATGGAACGGCATTTTCAAGAAGTCGAAGCACTTAAGGAAGAATTTCGTGAATGTCACGTTTATTTTGAAGCACAACACGACTTTCTATCAGCATTAGATGAGCTTGAAATGTCTAAAATGAGAATTTCACTTAAGATATCGGACCAAGACCAGAAAAGAAAAAATGTTGACTCTTATCAAATAAGTCCAAGTCAAGTTGGTAGTCTTTTCATGCAATTTGAACATGACAGAAGCTTAGCTGAAGTCGACTTTCAACATAAACGCAGTCAATTGCTATTTCTAAAACGTTTGAGAGCAGAACAGGAAAGTTGTAATCAGGAGGGAAAAGAAGATGATACTGTAAGAATGCAGCCTTGTCCAGTCTGTTGGAGAGAGCTGGAAGCACAAATTGTGATTCTTCCTTGTGGTCATCGCTTCTGTGCAGAATGTGTGTCTCACATGGTTCAACAAAGAATATCGGAACAAGTTGAAATTCAAAAAAAGAGCGAATCGGAGCAATATATATCTTGTCCATCTTGTCGTGTTAGTGTTATCGTAAACGAGTTGTGTTACATTGAAAGAAAGAGTGAGGATGAGTCTTGTATAAGAAAAATTGAGAGGATATGTTCGATTGATGGTAATAGGATGGAGGAAGGTGCCGAAAATTGGACTACACAACAGTTTTATTCTTTATGGAAATCTCTACAAGGTGATTCTGTTCGGGACTCTTTTGGTACCAAAATTTCAGCGTTTGCGATTTATTTAAAAATGATTATAGAACGGGACACAGACGCGAAGTGTATTGTATTTTCAGAATGGAATGATGTTCTTGAAATAGTTTCTCGGGCTCTTGAGAGGATGAATGTGGTTTTTACTCGGACCGAACAAAGACGAGGAAAAAGCTTCGAAACAGTTCTTCGTAAATTTCGAACCAACTTCGAAATTCGGGTTCTTTTACTTCCGGTACGAAGTGGGAGTAACGGTTTGAATTTGACAGAAGCTACACACGTTTTTTTGATTGAGCCGTTGTTAACGGACTCGTTGGAAGCCCAAGCAATAGGTAGAGTTCATCGAATTGGCCAGAAGAAACCAACATTTGTTCATCGTTTCCTTATCGAGAATACTATTGAAGAGAAGGTTGATGAATTGAGAAGAAAAAAGAGAGCAAGTTCAATTCAGAATAATAGCAAAGCATTAAATGTAAGAGGTAGTAGGACCATGGCAGCGGAGGAGGTTCTAACGGTTCAAGACCTGTACTTATTGTTTCCATCGGAACAGCAACAATATACAGTTGATTCTAGATGAGTTTGTCGCTTTGAAAAATTTTGTTATCTGTCAAATTGATTTAGTCAGTATTTTATTCGGTTTATTTAAAGTGCTGTACATAGCCTTTCCATACTATAAATATACACATCATTTTTATTTCTCTTGATGGAAGGAGGTATTGAAACAAAAGCTAGGAAAGAAGATAACGACTGAGGAGGATTGAATAAATGAATGTTGCGTTTCGCAACTGCTGCGAATTGCATCTCTTCAAGAAAAAAAATGACGCATGCATTTGTAGAAAATTGTGCTCTGATTGGCTAATCGCATTTTTTTGGCGGCAAAAGTTGGAAGGGGGAGCGCTTCCGGAGATCCCTGACTGCAACTGTTCAACTTGTTTGATAGAGCTGAGTCATGTTGTGTTATTGAGATTATGTGGTCTTTAAATCTTCAAAATATGGAAGAATACGGTGATGAAGATGGTTGTGTAACTCCAACTTCACAAGCGATACGAGTTTCTCTAGATAGACCGCCATCTCCGCCAAAGAAAAGGCATAAGAAACCTGACAGGATCGGAAAGAACTTGGAATTTGGAAAGAGTGAGTTGTCGAAGAGAACTTTTTTTTGGACTTAACGTGTTTACAGGTAAGTATTGGAGAAATAGTTCTAGTGAAGTGCGACGTTACAGTTGGTCGGGGAAGTGTTCCTCCTGTGGTGAGTTGAGCAAGTTGCGACCTGGGCGGACAATCTGTTTTCGATTAGACTGTGCACTCCATCATGTTGGTTCTAAGCTGGATTGAGGAAATGCGTTGAGAGGCTGATCTAGGGAGAATATAGTTTATTGTGATGACGGTAGGAGTTTCTTGGTCCTTTAAAGAATCAGCGAATTTAGAAATGGAGGAAGTTTCGTTCTGAAAAGTTGTTAGCTGCTTGAAAAGTATTGTCACAAATTGGGGAGATGAAAGGGGTTGATTATTATAGGGTACTTGTCCTTGTCGGGGGAAATATCTATTAGGGTTTTGGTCCAACGGAATGTATCAAGAAGCCTTTTATTACCTTGCAACATATTTGAATGTATAGCAGCCATTAATAATAATAATAATAATAATGAACATGGGAATCGTATGAATAAACCTAATTGTATATGACGTAACCAAACACTTTTGTCGAATTTGATATTTCAATGAATGCTCAAAAGGATTATCGTCAGTTATGTGAGCGCTTTACCAGCAGTGTTGGTTACTGGGATAAGGGAGAAGGCGTTTCACCAACCGATACTCAATTTTGCGACTTCATCACACAAGTTGCTCGGGTACCGCTTTACACTCCTCAAGAAAATCAATCTTTGTGGATAGTATTTTTTGAAAATAATGTTATCAGTCACTTTCTTGACTGTTTGAAGCAGTTCCCTTCAAGTCATTTGTTGCAGATTACTGTATTGTCATCTTTGTCGCTTCTTTTGCAAAATATCGAGGAAAAGTCGATATTGATTGGAATCCTTTCAAAGGAAGCCTTCAACCAAATACTTGGCTTCTCTTTTGATATGAACAACGAGGAAGTTGCGACACACTTTGTAGATCTTCTAAAAGCAACAACCTTTATACTGGATGAGGAAACCTTGAGGTTCTTGTATGATTCCACAAGCCAATCCTTTCCATTGTATCAACTTGTTGCTCAACTAGTTGACTATCCGGAACATATGATCTCTGTTAATGCTCGTTTGGCTACCCTAAAAATATATCAGTTGCAAGATAAAGAACTAGAGCAGTTTTTGCAAAACAGCACTGTGAGCAAGGAGTTTCTGCAGCAGCGTATAAATCAGCTATTAACTTGTTCAAGGAATATGATCGATTTTTGGAAAGAAGAAAGAGAAGAACAAGAGCCATATCATCTAAGTAATCTATGGACACGTTTCATTGAAAATGTTGAATATTTGCTCGATCTTGTGCTGGTTTTAGAACCCCGCTTTCATATTCATCTATTAGAAAGATTAGACAGTGAGTTGATACAAGTATTTATCAACTGCATACTGGATACCCAAGGTTGGAGTGAAATTATTTTATAACTGTTTCCAATATTTGCTCACTTTAATGGCATTCTAGGCAAGAACAAAGAGCCTATTTTTCCCATATTGATAGAACTGAGTGTAGTATTTCAGCAACTTTTGGAAAAGTCCGACAAGTCGGAGACTATCTTTGATTACTTCTTTTGTAATTCTGCATTTTGCAAGCAATGTAAACCATTCGTAGAAGCAGTTATGGGATATATGCAGAAATCTTCGGATGAAATGATTATCTATGCTTGTTCTATTCAGTTGGAAATTTGTCTGAATTGGTTTATCCAGTGTCTTTCTAGAATAACTTCACAGATCAAAGCAAAGACTGTTCCTTCAAAGTCATCTTTGAGTTCACGAAATGTGAAACCCAAAGATGATAAACAGAAGGAAAGACCAGTTCCATCTATAGAGCATCTTTGGGATAGAAATGGTTTGGCAGAGTTAGTATGGACTCATTGTCTTGCGCGGTTTTTACGAAAGGATGCTGAAATGTTCTTACAATTGAGTTGGAGATGTTTGCGATCATTTGGACGGATTGCCTTACATTTGATAGAATTGTGCAGCTCATCGCAACTTAAGCGGAGTATTGTGAAGGCCTTGTTGTTGCAACTCAATGAGGAATTTTCGCTGCCTGAATCAGCCAAGTTTTCATATCGTTCATATCACTTGATGGATCTTTTGGTTCCTTTGGCAGGACCTTATTCTTGGAAGGATCTTTTACTGGACAAAGAAATCTTTCATTCTCAGTTACTCGGCTCTGTTATGAAAGACTTGAATGATGTTCATTGTCTACTAGCGAACAAATGGCCTGTAGAAGAAGCCGCAAAGTTTGAGTGTCTTTATACAGTGGTTCGAGTATTTATTTGTGTTCGGTTGATAGATGGGGTTTCGAGTAGGTATTGGTTGAGAGATCTTCGTAAACTTTTAAAAGGTCAATATCGAGTTATGTTAAATTTGGAAGAGTTTTTGAGAAAAGGAGGAATTTTACAGGAAATCTTGCAGGAAGATGTAGAGACTGCCAAGTAAAATGTATTTCGAGTCAATACTGAGAATTGTCAAACATTTCTGTTGAACATTTTTTATGAGTTGAAAAGGAATACGTTTCAGTTATGACGACACCTTTTCTTCTATTCTTGGCATACAAAATTGACTAGCAATTTGTAAAAAAATTATAGTGCAGAGGAACCATAAACTACTCAGAGAGATACAATTTCAGTCAAATACGAAAGGTCATAACAAGCTAAGAGCACTACATATTATTTGGCAGAGCTCGTAGAAGAATGAGTTACAGGCTGACTGCCACCGCCGACGTCCTCAACCGAACTACCAACTTCACTCGAGGAGCCCAACTCCTTATCAATTTCGTAAACCAAAGGAACCACTAACACAAGGGCGGAAGTTGCACCAATCCAAGCCAGATTGCCGGTAAAGCGCAAAAGTCTTTTAGAATAATGTGTCACTGACTCCACAATCTCCGCAGTACGCTGATAAGTATCTGATTCGGTTATCACTTCTTTAAATTCTTCAAAGCGAGCCTGAAACTTCTCTATAGCTGTTGGCTCTTTTGGTTCCAGAAAAGCATCTTCAGTTAGCTCAAACAGTTTGGGCATCTTCAATATGCGCAAATGATTCGTCGACGGACCAAGTGAAACAACACTTTTTAACAAATCCAAAAGTTTGATAATATATTCTCAACTCTTTCTACAAACAGCCACTTTCTGGATAGTTTGAGTTAAGATTTATTCCCCGAATATACGAAAATACATATTTTATACGGACACTTTCTTTTGAAAGCAGTCTTGTAACCAGCGTCGTTCCATTTTCTTTCCCAGCTTCCTGTTTTCTATTCTTCTTTCGACAGTCTTTAGATTTTCTGTATTCATTCCTTGCGATTCAAACAACTCCTGAACTTGATCTACATGGCACCTTGAGCAAATTCAAAGCCAAAACCACTCTTTTTCAGTTACCTATGCGAAAGAAATAGGAAAAAGTTCCGTCTTGACGGACAAACCACTGGTCTTCGAGTTGATTTTCCTTTGAAAACCGTTTCTCTGCCAAGTCACCTTTGCAAAAGTCTCGAAATAATATCCAACCTCCGGGTCTTAATACGCTGCATATATTCTCAATAACAATTTTGTGCTGCGTCGGTGTCATAGCCGAAAGTGAAAAGAATAATATTGCAACATCAAGTTGAGCTTCAAGTGGTACATGGTTTTTCAAAGGTTCTTTAGAAACATCACTCACGAAACAGTGAATGCGCTTGCAATCAAAGGCTGGGTTGTCCTATAGAACAAACTTCATATAACACAAAAATGGATCAACTGTGAACAAACCAACTTGTAACAGTCGAACGGCTTCTTCAGAAATATCACAAGCATAGAAGTAAATGGAGTTGTTTAAACTTAGAATGGGAAATAACGTGTTTCCAACTCCACAACCTACTTCCAACATATACAGAGCACGCCCTTCACTTTCTGCAAGATGCGTCCAACTTTTAAGAAGATCATAAAATCCATCTTCTGAAGTCTCATTCAAAGTCCAATATCTTAAGGAACGATAGATTACGCCATATTACGAAACTTGTTCTAAATACCTGTCTCTAAAGAATCGAACACCATTGCGTTTGTAAAACAAGTCCCAGTTCTTCTTACTCTCGACAACATATTTCTCTTTCCAAAATGAGACAAGTCTACATACAAAACTTGGCGATGACTTACCTTTCCAAAATGAAGTCACCACCATCATTCAGAAATAGACCATCAATAAAAAGGCATTTTCCATTTTTCTTTATTAACCAGTGACAACATTTAAGCTACTTTCTCTCCATATCGTTACTTGCTTCCACCCAGTTCCTTCGCTCTATTAGTGGCAGCAGTAACTGCTTGGATAACAGCGTTACGAAAGTGATGTTTTTCTAAAGTAGAAGTTCCATGAATAGTAGTGCCACCTGGCGACTCCACTGCGTTGCGAAGTTTTGCTGGATGTTCGTTACCACTGGCCACCATCTTAGCTGCACCCAAAACTGTTTGTGTGGCTAAAGATAGTGAAACATCTCTGGGCAAGCCATTCAGAACACCACCATCTGCCAAAGCTTCAATAAACATATAGACATATGCTGGTCCACTTCCACTCACTCCTGTTACAGCGTCTAATAACTTTTCGGGTACACACTGAGCTAAGCCAACTGAAGAGAAAATCTTTTCTACGATTCTTTGATCATCAGCTGTTGCAAACGAACCACAAGAGAAGGCGACCGCAGCTTCTCCAACCAAACAAGGTGTATTTGGCATTACTCGAATAACTTTAGATTTACTAACTAAGTGCGACTCCAGTGTTCCGATGCCCACGCCCGCGCAAATGGAAACCAATAGGTGCTTTTCTGGTTTCCAACCGTCCTTCACAGACCTAAGAGCTTCAGGTACAACATCAGGCTTTACTGCCAAAACAATAACGTCAGAATCTAATAACTCAAAACTGTTTTTACAGGTTCCTACTCCCATTTTCTGAAACAGTTCCAGGCGAGATTCGACCACATCATAGACAGTAACAGCAGACCGATCGACTAGTTTCTTCTCTATAATACCTCGAACGATTGCTTCTGCCATAACACCTCCACCTAAGAAACCCAACTTGAAGGGAAAACGTTGTTCCATTTATCTAGTGTGTCTACAAATTGGTATTATTCTCAGTTACCCAAAACCACAAAACAAGATTTCTAAAATGTTATCATATTCAGTCACAAGGAAATGCGATACTTTTAAACTTTTGATTCACAAGATTAGAAGAAATACTATTGAAATCATCTTTTTTTGCACAAATGCTTTTTTCGGATGATCAATAAATATAAACTTATTCTTACTTTGGATGCAATGGGCAATAGTTGGTCCAACAGGAATGCCACTTCCAACCAAAACGTGCCAAACGGAACTCTTGGACCTCGACCTCCGCAAAACGCTGCTCAAAGAAACGAAATAAACCCCAGAATGTTATTTTACAATTCGGAGTTTGCTTGGAACTTTGGAGAAAATGTATTTGAAGGTCTAAGTCCATATAACTCGAATGCTTTGGACGTGAGTTTATCCCAGGATTTTCTACTTTGCTAACTTGCTCATCCGCTCTTAAAGATTCCACCTCCCTCTGTAGTGCACGAACGAACTGTTAGAAATGTGGTTCGTCTGTCTAAAAGCTCATTGCAATTGGTTCCAAGCACTTTGCCCAAGTGTTACGTTTTACAGTTTCACTTTGATACTCTAGTTGATTGTGGGATACTTACATATTTCTTGGCGAAAGAATTCCAAGATGATCATTTGCTTTCTTTTTCTTCACAGTGTTGCAGTCAACCTTCGATACAATACTTTCGTGCTGGACTAGGCCAGACATATCGTCAAGGAGAAGCTGAAGCTCTTAACTTTTCCAAGGTCGCTAAGGAGAGCCTTGTTTATCGTGAAACCGACGAATATCCGGTGATAGTTGAAATTAAGTGTAATCTATCAAACACTGGACAAGCTGGCACTTTAGGAACTGAACTTTCGAGTCGTTCCGAAAATAGTACGAATGAAGAGATCGAGGGATATTACATTTATTTATCTCTTGACAAAGAGCAAATATCTTCTGGTACATTCCCTTTGAGGGTTATAAAACAGAAAATCATCGTTCATGGAGTTATCTATGAGTTGGAGGAAATTTATGGTATTGACAGCGGAAATACAGCGACAGCACAGGGTTGCGTGTCGAGTACTTGCTACTCTGAAGATGGTACAAATTGTGCAATATGTTTGTCGCAACCAAGAGATACTGCCCTTTTACCTTGTAGACACATGTGCCTTTGTTCCGAGTGTGCACAAAGGCTTCGCTTTCAGTCTAATTCCTGTCCCATCTGTCGTCAATCAGTCCAATCCTTTTTACAGGTCAAAGGTTTGCAAAGTCATAAAAACAATTAAGGCGGTGACGAAGTATGAGATAAGGCCTTATTCCGAAGACATGGCATCGATGGAGGATCGAGACCAAAAGCAGCACAAAGCCGATTTCTTTGTTCTTTCAGCATGGTCGGGGAATTCTTATCCCATCCGACTTGTTCTAAAATTTGTATAGCTTGTTTATAGTTGCTCTCTCCGAGAGTTTGCATAAAGTGATCCTCGTATGTCACTAGTTGAACTTGCATTCTATCAGAAACAGACTGTCTCACTTTTGCGTAGGGATGAAGTAAGTACAGCATCAGACGTTGAAGAGCGACATGGCCAATGCCGTTATTATTATTATTATTATGAACCAAGGCTTCCACCAGCATTTCTGTAAAAGTCAAAAGCAGGTTGATGTCTTTTGAAGATTTTGTACATTGAATGAGAATAACAAACAACTCGTTTAGAATACTTTCTATTTCCGAATTAAATAATTCAGTTGTCTCCAATATCAAAGTTAGCATTCGAATGATCGGTATGAGGTTCCGATGAGTCTCGCTATCATTTGTTAGTATAAGTAGCAAATTTTTCAGGAGCAACGTTATTATATGAGAAGAATCATTAGCTCCGTCTCTCAAGTAGCATTCTATTGCTTTCCGTGCTTGCTTATTTTGTAAACCACTATTTCCCAAAGCAGCAAGAAATCCATAAAGGACAGGAAGTCCAAAAGATTCATTTCTCTTCAGTATCATTATTCCGCATTGGAAGAGACGGTCACAATCAAGAAACAAAGATGGCTCAAATTCATAAAGAATGTCATGTAATGTATCCAATTCAAATTTGTGCACGTAACACGGTTCAAGATTATTATGTAGAGTCTTTAAAGTTTCTGCTGCAATGAGTCGTGTCTTATCTATTTTTTCGAAACAGTTTCTTAAAAGTCGATGAATTCCATACTTCAGGAGGCTCTCAACTCTTTGTTTCATCTGATTGTTCATGGACGTGATTAACTCTTTAAAACATTTCATGCTCGCTATACGAACCCAACTGCCAATGTCACCACGGCTACCAGTAGTGTAGTCATCTATTCCCCCTAGAAGAAATTGTAATACGTTTTCTAACTCAGTAGACATGTAAATATCACTAGCATCTGCGGTTCTTAAGATATGAGTGGAAAAATGAGTAGCGGACTCAATACATGTGATTTTCAGTTCAACGACTTGATCGCTGTCTTCTTCCAGAGTCCCAGGGATTTCTATTTTGTTCGGCAGCTTCCCGAATTTGAGAAATTCTACAAGTAGTGCCATTCTAATCGATTCATTGCTTCCGGCAATCTCATAGTTCAAAATGCAAAATGGAACGTAACCGAGAGCCTTCAATAAGCCTCGTCGGTTTGAATTTCGTTCAGAACGAATGGAACAAATCATTTCGAGTACAATATCCACGATGCACTGCTCAATATCATCGACAGGTTTTCCATTTACTCTTTCTACGCAAAGGTAAGAACAGATAGATCCAAACGCTCTAGCTGCAGCATCTTGAACCTCATTATTTTCCGATTCTAAAATGTCGATTACTTTCCTGACAAACTGTGGTTCACAAAATAATCTTCTTTCGAAGAAACTTCCAAGCAACTGGCAAGTGGCGATTCGAATACAATCAAGACTAGTGCTGTTAACTTGGTCACAAATGAGCTGAATCAGATGTTGACGATAGTGGATTCATAATGCTCTTTAATTTCTCCTCGTCCTTGATGTAATGCAAAAGTTGGTGCATAGAAAGAAGCGAACCATGACAGACATCCGGTTCGTCCGAGAAAATATTTACAAATAACTGCTTCATAGTTGATTGGAAAATTTCTGACATGAAGTCAGAATCTTTGGTTAGTACAACGGCAAGAGATGTGGACGCCAAATGACGTATTGCAGCATCCCAATGTCGGGTTTTTCTATGGATCAATTCTTCTATCAAAGGAAGACGGTACCATTCATCATCAAGAAATGCTATAGTAGGTAGAACTTTTAGATAAGAATCCGACAAGTCATTGAGGGAAAAATAGTCTGCAGTAGTTATGACGCCTATTCCTTGGGAAACGAGGTTAGTTCTCCCTACAAGCTCTTGTAAAGCAGCTGCTGCTGCTCTTCTACAATTAAGCTCTCGATCAGTACATGCAACACAAACTACACTTGTAACTAGTTCTTTTAAGAACATAAGAGGAATACAAGAATTGTAGCTCCTAGCAAAGGCCCAACAAACGTAACAAGCTGCATCTCGCACCTGAGATCCATTATGAAGAGAGCCTTTAGCAAAGTCATATCTCAGTGCTTGAGATACGAATTTTACGACTATTTCCAGATATTCTTCACCAAAGATGCCACGCCTAGCACATTCAGCAAGAGTAAGACAAGCTCCATGCCAAAAATAACGATATTGTCTTCCAATATCAGTATCCAAAAGTGAAACTAGCATTTGCAAAGCTTGATCCGAAAAATTCTGTGGAAGTCTCATACAGATGCGACCGATTCCCTTTGCCACAGAATATCTTGTAACTGTGTGCTTGTCATCAAGCAGATGTAATAATGCTTCCATAATGGTGGCTAGGATGGTTCCAGTTTGTTCATCGATTGTATCATTTCGTGAAGTTTCTTGATTTGCATTTTCAGTTGTCTCTTTAGAGCCTTCATCATGAATTTTGATGTATCTTTTCTTGTGCAACCAGGAGGCACCCTTTTTGGGTAAAAATAGAAGAGCTAAACGCTGAATATTCTTAACACATAAATGACGAATGACAATATTCGTTGTCGCATTCATTATCTTGAAGTATGTAGTCAGCAGCCTTTCTGTTTTGCCAAAAAAATTGTTTGTCGTCCCAAATTCTATTATCCATGCAATGGTACGAAGATATCCTATTTGAGATATTTCTGAAATGTCTATCCTATCACATTGTTCCCATAATCTTAAAAACTCTTCCAAGTATATTGCTAAGTGACCTTGCATGTCCTGTCTCGTGAGAATCTTTGCAAGAAAATATGCAGCAGTGTATTGATTTTTGCTGGAAACGCTCAACATTTGTTTCGCAAAGGCTACAGCATCATCAATAAAAGCAGGTTCGTCTGATATTTCAGTAGATCTATCAAAGTCGTATATACGGAACGGAAGTAGTGATAGTTTCGACAACCACAAGAATAGGACATATGTAACTTGCCATGGAAAATATTCTAAAGTTCGCATTTCTTTAAATAATTTCCATAGTTGAAGCACAGTAAGGACGTCATCGACTTGACTTGGAAACAGCTTTGCAACAAACTTGAACCCGCGTACCTTTGAAATGTGATAGAGTGCTATAAAAGGTGAGCACAACAAATTGAAATCTTCTTCCTCCTTTGCATTCAAAGTACCAAACGAGTCTACATAAATTTTCAAGGCCTCTAGACTATGTTTCGTCCTAGAAGCAAGTTCGCTAACCAACTGACCCAATAGCTTATCTAATAAATGCGGACTGTCTTGAAACTTGTCACAAATCCGACACCAATTGTTAAGCTTGTCATATGTTTCTTCCTTTCGTCTTTTCTCAAAGTCATCTATAGGCCAAGAAATATTACAAAAGTCTATGCATGACAACTCACGTAAAAGAACATCCAAGGTCTGCTGCATCTTTCAGACTCAACAATATTCAATTATGATTTGGCGCCAACACAGAAATGATTTTCATCTGTAAAATTTCACCATTGATTTGTGAAAAAAATGACACTTTGGCTTTTCCTTTTGATGCTTGGCGCCTATAAATTTCATAATATTACGATAATGACAAACACTATGGAATGGCTACTTTATTTTTTAAAAAATGCCAATGACTATCAACGTTTCTTTGAGTGACCTCCCCGAAAGCATTCTTATGTATATAGCAGGTTTTCTGTGTCTCAAGGACTTTTTCACGCTTTGTTCTGTATCCAAAAACTTTGCAGACATATTCAGTAAATACTTAAAAACTGGGTCAGACAGATATTATAATGAGTCTTTTACCTACAAAGCAGGTATGTCAACCCGAAAGTTGAGTCTTTCCCTCATGAACAATTTAGAGGAACGCTATCCAGAGAACCTTGAAAAAAATAAGCAACAACTGCTTTATGCCACTTTAATAGCTTTGGAAAAGGTACATTCAAGCTGAGAGGTACCCACTGGCATCTAAGATTTAAATACAGGCTCATGTGGATACTTTTCCAATATCATACTTGCCTTATTCTTTGAAAGTCTTCTTGCACAACCAGCTGAGAGATGGCTTGTTTCTAGCCGAAAAACTGTTGATTTCTCGATATCTCCTACATCACTTAGCTAAGGAAGTAAGTAATGAAAACAACTTGTCTTTCATCTTGGCTTCAAAAGCTATAAATATTAGAACTCGTTGAATGTTTTGAATGACAACAAAATGGAAACATTCTTGCAATGGCTAAACGAGATTTCACGTTTCATTCATCCTTACTGTCTCGGTAAACTGATTCGGTCTATTGCTATGAGTGTTTATAAAACGGAGAGTATCCTTGCGTATCAAAAGAGTTCCTATGTAAACATGGTGGAATTTCTCAGTTATTTGACAAAACATATTACCAACTACTGGAAAGTTCGCGAAGTGTTTCGATATTTGGATGGAATAGCATTATTAACTTGGCGTAACTCTCCAAGTCGAAATATCAATTATATGCTTCTTGATGCAGACTTCACATATGAAGCAAATACTCAGAGGATAGTAGACGTTAATTTACTTGTATGTCTTTTGGTACGACTGCACAGCAGTTGGCAGCCTCAGTTTACAAGCAAATATATTAAAAGGCTTGAGTTGATGGGATTCTGGGAGGCAGAGGAGGTTCTAGTGTCCTTGGCTGACTATTTACTGTACCAAGATTTCGCTCAAATTCTTAGCAAGTTTTCCGTAGAGATCATTTCCAACGTGTTGCGAAAAGTATTTGTGCGTAATCAGTTAGGACCTCGAGCAGTATCTACGTAAGACTATTCTTCTTATCTCTGTTTTTTTTTCATATGTGAGAATAGATACATCAGCAGCGTTACTTCTGAATGGGACGAATCACGAAAGCGATTCTTACAAAAATCCATGACATGGAGCGATATATTTGTATGAAATGATGTTTATGTTGACTACTTGAGAAATTTTGTTTACGGATGCTAGCTACGTTTAGTTGTCACTATTTAATAAATCATTGTTTGCGGAAATAACTTTTGCAAGTCATGGAGGACGCTAACATGAAGTGGGTACCAGTTTTAGAAAAGTCGTTTCAAATGTCCACAAGAAATCTGAAGTGTTTAGACTGGAACGAAGACAACTATTTGTTTATGGGCTTCCAAGGAACCTTATGTGCTTTGAATATGTCCAATTTCAATATATCAGAAGAAGAAATGACCTTTCCTGTAAAGGAGCAGCCAGAAGAAAGCGACAGCATTGCATTTCAACGAGTTTTAACTCGACTGGAAAGTGATGGCGATGAGTTGAGTGACCTTATGACAGAACGAAATATCCCAGGCTTTGGAGAGCTGATTTCTATCGGTGTTCAAAGGAAAGAAGAAGAGTTTCTCATTGTAAGAGGAATTCCGTTGCGTTCACTGGGCCTTTTTAATTGGTTAGGGAAGTGTATTGGTGCTGTTGTATCGGGAACCAGTCATAATGCAGTTTATTTATTTTTAAGAGAGGAAAATGGAGGTTCTCTTATTCTAGATACTTCAAGTGATAGTCCTTGGAGGAACGAATACCAGTTTGATATTCGAGTTGGCGTTTTGACTGATACGAGTTTCTGTCTTCAATTATGTGGAATGGGTTATAAGCACCATGAAGAGAGTTTGTTGTTTTGTTTTGGTGGAACTGAGGGAGCAGAGCTTTGGCACATTTGTATGAATACGAACTCTTCACCAACGTTGGAAGCTCGTTGTCTACAAAAGTTGACGAATGAATGCGTTGGATCCTGTAAATTTATCTCCAACTCGTCTTTGACAATAATAAGTTTAGGAAAACAGAATGGACAAATTCAGATGTATCAATTAGGCGATGATCAAAGTAATTCTTTATTAGAAGTTGCTAAATATTCTAGCGATATTGATAGCATGATTATAGAACAGTGTTGGTTTCATTTGAATGATCATACTTGGATTGTATTGTTTTGTGGAGGTAACAGTTTGTGTTCCGTTGAATGCAAGCTTTTACATGACAATCAACTTCAGTTGGAACCAATTGCTTCTATCTTGGATGCCCATAAAGCTTTCATCACTGCCATATGTTGTAATCGTTGGGGACACTTTGCTACTGCATCTCTTGATGGAAGTGTCAAGTTATGGACAGAAAATTTACAACTCATTACTGTCATAAGAGATGAGGATCATCATTATTCTCTTCATGGTTTGGCATTTTCTCCCAATGGACTTTGTTTGGCGTTATTGGGAAACATTCGACTTGAAACAGATGACAGACTAACTGGAGCCAAACCACATTCATCTGTGCTGCTGTATTGTCCTTTTGAAGGTGAACCTTATGAACGAATGTATGAAGGGACCTGGAAATATTTTTTGGATGGTAATCAAAGTTTACGACCTTTTGTGACTTGGGACGTGGAATTGTCTATTTTTCGAGTTTGGCAAGCTAAGAAAGACCAAGGACAAATTGAACAATTTACTAAGCACGTCGATATTGATCATTACTCAAACGAAACAATTGTATATCGAAGGATTCTTCATTGTCTGAAATATTTAGCTTCCAAATATTTTACTCAAACTTGGAGCGAATCTTTTTGGAATGAGCAATCATCATTGATAAGGGAACATTTATGTAGTTCTTTGAAACAGTTTCACAACCTCAAAAGCATAGCAGCTATCAGTAACATGGGAAAAAGTAATCGACGCAAAGTGAAGGAGAAATCGTTCCATTCAGTGTCCAGCATCGAACAAAGAATTGTTGAAGCAATGTTCGGATATCTTCAAAAGTGGCAACCAGATTATTTCTCTCAACAAAGGGACCAACTTGGTTTTCTAGATTATATTAATCCAGAAAGTTTAGAGTTTTGTCCAATATGCAAGCAAAGAAATCTCTTGCCTTGTTCAAAGAATATTCCTTTGGTATCTTCATGTGCTTCAGGTCATATATTCCGGCGATGTATGTTATCGCTATTACCTATTGTCAAAAGTAACAATAGTTTAACTTGTCCTAGTTGCAGATCAGTTGCTATATTCTTTTCTTCGGAAATGAAATGGCTCTCTGAAAGTTATAATTGTATTTTATGTGAACAGCCTTTGTCTTTTATAGAAATGAGTGCGGAACAGGAAACGCATCTCTTCCGATCGTTGAGAAAGAATCTTTTGGATCAAGTTGAATGAAGCGACTTATTTTGTGTATTTTTATTTTTGTAGCCTTTACACTTGTTGATGGAGGAAAAAGCCCCAAAATAACAGATAAAGTAGGCTCGTTCAAGTTACTTGTCTAAATAGACGCTTACGGCGACAAGGTGTATTTTGATATTCAAGTCGGTGGCAAACCTTTAGGAAGGATCACTATCGGCTTATTCGGTAACACTACGCCAAAAACTGTGGAAAACTTTAAGCAACTTGCAACTAATGAGCGCGGTTTTGGTTACAAAGGAAGTATATTTCATCGAGTGATTAAAAACTTTATGATTCAAGGAGGTGACTTTACAAAGGGAGATGGTACGGGTGGAAAAAGTATATATGGTGAACGATTTCCAGATGAAAATTTCAAAATAAAACATTCCGTTCCAGGACGTGTCTCTATGGCTAACGCAGGAAGGTATTTTTGTAACGAGGTCACTTGGATTGACTCATAGAAACTCTGCAGGGATACTAATGGCTCTCAATTCTTCATAACAACTGTAGTTACACCCTGGTTAGATGGAAGACACGTTGTTTTTGGTCAAGTACTTGAAGGTATGGAAGTGATAAAGCAAATCGAACAGTTGGCTACCGATAGTAGAGATAAGCCTATTGAAGACGTTGTTATTGTCGATAGTGGAGTATTAGCTGTCGAGGAACCTTTTCATGTAGAGTTGTAACAACTTTGCAATAAATTTCTGCTTCCTTCTCGTCACAGTCATAGTCGTTGGTTTTCCTTATCAGAATTGGTCCAGTTATTCTCTGAGAAGTTGCGCTCTTCGTCCTCAACACTACAACTGCTGGAGTCGCTACTGGAAGACTCATCTGGACTCCGACGCTTATGATATATACAACAAATTTTAGACTTGCGACGGTTCTCTCTCTCATTGTCGTGAGTGTCCGGTGTCCAACGAACTTTTTTTCTAGGTTTCTTTGTAAGGTCCAACTTGAGCACTCTTGAAGTTTCCGTTATGGTTTGCGTAGTAGTATGAGTAGTAGTACAGTGGGTTGACTTCATTTTCGATCAGTCAAAATTGTGAATACAAATTTATCAGTTGTCCAAAATGGTTACTGGATCATCCTGGCTGAGTCTTGTTCGGCAGTTAGAGGAACTCAAACAAATATCTAGACTGATTCCAAATAAAAGAAAGGCAGTAAAGGTTAGAGAAAAGGTGCGACGTATATACAAGGTCTGCACTTTATTTCTAGTCAAAGGTTATTCTCTAAATTATTTCCATCTAGGTGTATAGTGACCGAATGGAAACTCCTGGCATAGAACAAAAGTTAAAGGGAGAAGCCACCAAAATAATGGAATGTGTTCGCTTACGTTGGCCGGAGACAAGTTTTAACGACCCTTTCAAGCTGGAACAGGTTGCGAAAAGACGACTTGGCTGAACTCCTATTTATTGAGTTGTTTCAAATAATTTTTCGTTGACAAAAGCATAGTAAAGTATCCAGTTCATGCAATATTGGAGAGAATTTTCCACAAGTTGAGTAGGATGATCCTTGTGTAACACAAAGAAGCGATTGTCAACTAGAAACTCTACTCCTTGTAGAGTTGCTTCGAGAGCCCAGGATACCTTATTAAAACCATAGCCATGAAAACGTTCATCGAATAAAATAAAGTCTCGAGTTCTCATAATACAGTAAGGTTCGAAGTTGGGTCTAAAGGAAACAAAATACGAGTTGTTATCATAAAGCCAGCGTCGAAATGAAATCGGACTTTGAGAGGCTTCACAGTAAGGAAACCAGGTTTTTAGGTATTTGGATTTCAAATCTTCCACACTAGGATAGACAAGTTGTTCCGAGTCCGATGCAATCCAATTGGTTACGACAAGGCATCGTTTCCTATTCATGGGTAACAATTCCGGTTCCTTTTCCATTATTTGTGGAAATGCTGTAAACGCAGAAGAAACTGGAAATGTATCTACGTCTAAGACACAAACAAAATCTGTCGTTGTATATTTCAATGCTATATTTCGAAGTTGATTAATGGGAAATCGGTCTTTCCATGGAGAAATAAGAACTATTACAAATTCAACGTTCATTCTCATGTTATTAGGAATTATTGATAAGTATTCCAACAGTTCCTTTTTTTCCTGTTCACTTTGTATAGCAATGACTGCGACAACTGGTCCTGTCTTGTAGAACTTCAACAATTCCTTTAGAATAAACATTCTATGCATCGATAATGGTATGGCTAAAGTTAATTCTGACTTATTGGGCTTTCTCCAACGAGAAATAGTAAATATATCGTTGGTATAGTCATTCATAAGACAAGGCGCTCTCCATACATTTTCTGAGACATTTGCGACAAGGCTCTGCTTAGGTTGTATTCGTATATTGGTCACTTTTACAGCATCATCTGAAGAAGCATTCTTCACCAATGCCAAATAAAGAAATGGATCGGATCTGTCAACCTTCAATTGCAAGACCAATTTGCTATAGTCTCTTAAGCAAACAAGATCCAATACAAAATTTTGACGACGCATTTGAGAAGTTGTTCCATAAATAACCATGAAACAATTAAGAGATCGCACATTTGATAAGCTCTGAACATTCATTTCAATACATAAAAAGTTTATGTCAGCTCTCAAGTTATTTGCTATCCAAATGGGCTGCAAGACACCGAATAGATCTGACTTCCCAAAGGACTGAGGGTCTCCAAAAGACGACTGCAAACGTCCCAATAACAAACCACAACTATGATTCACGACACAATCCACGTCGTAACCATTCGAATAAAGTGGCATCCAATATTTCAACGTCCTTGTTGATGATAAACCTAACCAGTGGCGTAGTAAAGGTGTACCAAAAACTTGGAAAGAAGGATCATTGATCCAGTTGTTATTATCACCAGGAGTTGAAAAGATCAAACAACAGGTATCTGACTTGGTTGTACCTTTAACAATAACTTTGTAATTGCCTTGCCAAGGCAAATCAAACTTTAAAAATTCAAACCCACAGTTAAAGCAGGAAAGGTTTCTCGGTGCAGCGTTTGGCTGACAAGAACTAACAAACTTTCTCTCAATAAAGCCCCTTTGCTGTTCATAAAGATCGCAGATGAAACCAACCTTCTCGTCCAGGATACGTATATACAGTTGGACACTTGTTGGTTCCAGGTGTGACAACTTGATGCAGCGAGGAGGCCAACCATACCAACCTTGACCCATCTTCAAAGGAATCTGGTATTTTCTTGACCATAGAGGTGTCTTAGGAGTCTTGCTTGAACGGACTCTAACCAACGCCCGTTGTAACTGCAACAAATCTCTCTCAGCACCGAGGTATATTCTTTCCAAAAGAATAATACAAGTAATTAAGTTCCAAAGTACAGTAACTATAGAAACAAGCGTAAAAAACTTGCTATTCATCCTCAACTGACAATTGGCGGTAACTTAGACTCGGTTTCCAAAAGTCAACTGAAGAGTCCATTTTCAAAACAATTTGTCAAAAGCATCTTTCACTTTGCAACGACATTCTTTAGATGTGGAAAAGGATCCACTTTACTTACAACCAGAATTTGTCTTTGGTGAGCAATATAACCCCTAAAAATATTATTTGAATATTAATTTCTATTATGAATACCAACTCACTTGATATAACCTTGATAAATGAGGTTGGCTAAGCAACATTCAAGTTCATCTATATCCATTTCATATCCTGCCACTTTCAATGCACATTGCAAATCAGGTAATTTCAACCTAGTCGAACCCAGCAATTGATAAATTCGTTTAAATAAAACTCTAAGAGCAATCAACTTCAAATGTTCCAAAACAAAATAGACACCCCGACGGATAAAAAATTCCTCCCATTGCTCAAGTGAAGCATCGACTCCAGCCACATCTCCAATACGAACACAACGAACTAGTCTTCCATAATACTGACTCAAATGATATTTGTGGATCAACTCAGTAGACGGTAGCTTTCCTAGGACAATTCTAGCAGGTATTAAATACATTAATATCTGTCGACGACTTTTCCAATATCTTTGTGGACAGTTGCGAAAAGCAAATCCAAGATGTTGTTCTGTAGCTTTGAAGTCATCATCAAAGAGACGAAGCCTACCAGCAAAGAAACAAAAAGTGACTTGATGAGTGATAGGAAAAAGTTCAAAGGACGGAAAACCTTATTGATTACGTTTGTTGTAAGTTGAGAAGAAAATTCAGCCTTGACTTACTTGGTCCTTCCACTTGTCTAATTAGACTTCGACAAAGATGAACCGTATTCAATTTGAAATAAATACGAAATAGCTGATTCACCAATTCTAGTGAAGCCATTTTTTTCGAATCTTCTGCAGCCAAACGATCATTCACAACCAAAGAGTATGCTCTTTTTAAGAGAGATTCGGTCTCTTCTAATCTTTTAGAACTAGTCACGTCCTTTTGCTGATTCGCGTCTACCTGAAGTCCTCTGTAAGCAAATAGTCCAACTAAAAGATGACACAATACTTTTTCTGCAATCTGTCGAAGCTCCTTTGATAACTTCAAGAGCACAGAAATAATCCAAGACTTTTCTTCTCTGAGAAAACTACAAAGTATTCGAAAGGTCTCGGCGAGAAAAGTAAAGCAAGTTTCTATCTGAGTTTCAAAGTGTGCAGCAGCGGCAATAACTTGTAAGATCAAGTCATCATAAGGACTTGGTAACTTTCCTTTCAAAGATAAGTTCTGTCTCCAATGAGACGAGACTTGTCTCAAAGAGGCATTATACATGGATAGGCAGTTGGATAACTCCTTTCCACGTCTTTCTCTCAGAAAAACGCTGCAGTTCTGAATAAAATCGTCTAGAGACATAACAAACAATAGAGATGTGTTTCTACTTTGTCTCGCTCAGTTTTTGTGATTTGAGCCGAGACGATCTTAATACATCGATCAACGACGAACGTTCTAATCATTTGCAAATGTTTCCATTTCGTATTCTGAAACATCTTAGGAACTGGTTTCTTTCCGATACATATCGTCTACAAATTTTTACCTCAACAAGACTATCAAGTGATACTTTCCAACACTGGTTTGGCAGTGCGCAGCCATTCATCTTCCCAAATAGGCAGCGGATTGGCTTTTAAATACTCACGCATATTAGATAATATTGGAATACCTTCTACACTAAGTAAATTGAACAAAATATCACACAATTCGTCGGCATTCTCAAACAACAATCCATTCTTTCCTTGATGTATCAATTCATCAATGCATCCATAGCGATAAGATAAAACGGGTAAACCACAAGCAAACATATCGACAACCTAAACGTAAAAAAGAAAAGTACAAACTATGAAATATTTTTCCTCTTACTTTCATGGGAAGATCGATGCCAGAAGATGAAAAATGTAATGAAATACCAAAGTCAGCAGTTTTCAATAGCTGAACGTATTCCTCCCATTGTAGCCAAACAGTATCCACTAAAATGTACTGCAAATTCAATTTCAAAAGACGACTGACAAAGGAAGCTCTTTGAGGTCCCCTTCCCGTAATTAAAATATATAACTTTGGACTTGCAACAGTTTTTTCAATAGTACCAGAAAACTTCAGAGCACAGCGTCGATCCAATTCGATACAAACATCAAGCAACAAATGCATATTTTCATCAGGCGTCCAACTGGTAGATGAAATGGCTACCAAAGGAAAATTACTTTCTGAAGGTTCTGTCCTATCGCATGATAACTGAAGCTTCTCTAATGTCGATATATACAATTGTTTCAGGTGTAATCTATTGATATCTCTGGTAGAGTTTCGGAATCGTTCCGTTGGACAGTCATATAATAAAACACTTGTTATATTCCAATATTTTTGGAGAAAATTTTGAGCAGCAGCACAAACACAAAAATTCGCTGTTGCAAGTTGTCCAAAATAGCGTTCGTAAGCTTTTGCCAAACTCACGAGGATATTTGGAGCATGAGAAATCTGCATCATCGTATAGCCAAAGTTATGCCAGTCAATAACAAATGCAGCTCTATGAATAAAACGTGATGCAAACCACGCAACTGCTAAAGTAGGCACGCTTGGTGGATTCTGTACCAATATCAACGAATAGTGGGGTCTTTGGAAACAACACAGACGATAAATAAGGAGAATAAACCTTTCTAGTGCAACCAACAACGCTGTAATTGCGTAAAGCAACTTGAAACGTTTCTGTGTATGGAAGAAGGGTTTCAAAGATATTACACACACTCGTTCGTTAGAATATACGGAACTTCCTTTTTTGGCATCCACAAAGCCGACAAGATCTACAAGCCAACCACAACGAGATAAACAGACGGCTTGATTGACGATACGTGGACTTCGTTCTAGATCACCCAAGACAACGACAGCAGCTATCTTCTCCCCACTTGAACACAATTTCTGTAAGCTCTGAACCTTAAATTCAAAAGTTTCGAGTACCTGCAGACTGGTTCACTTTTCAAAAAGGAAAGTAATACGAGGTGCAATACAAATAATATAAAAGCAAGATACAAGGAATACTGCCAAAGTTGGTGAAAAAGAAAACCAAGACTAGCATACAGAATCAAACTGACCCACATTGATGGAAAACTGCATTCTCACATAGTTTATTACTTTTAATGACTCCTCAGTCACTTCTTCTTTTATGTTGATTGCTTAAATACTTTTTTCGTTGGCGTAACATATGTGCATACATGAAAGGTAGACCCTTTAACACAGTTACAAAAGTATAAATATAAAAAGGTAACCAACCAACTTACTGGTAAATACAGAAACAATAAAACCCAACAAACTTTGTAAAAGTCAAAGGCAAAGTTAAGCTTATTTGGCAACTTCAAAGACCAAATGCCTCTATCCCTTATATAAGGCATGGCTTTATACAAAAGTAACATTTCACTTCCAGCTCCCAGTGGATAAAGGATAAGAAACACCGAATAACTTTTGACAAAAACTTAGAAAAATACGACAAAAGAGATAATACTTACCGTAGCCATGTAGCTACTGTTGTACGGCCTCCCGTTAAGGACAGTGCATAGTGTAGGTACCTGGGAATTTCTGCTAGGGACCATGCTACAGTCAACGTTGTAAAGAATACCGAAAGCTGCACTTCTGGAACTCTACATACAATTGCCAAAAGAATGATAAGCCTGGAAGCAACTTGTATGAACGTTGTAATAACCGAACTTCGTACTATTCCTAATGCTGCATGTAAGATTTCTAATGACTGAAAACACTGCCAAAAAATAAAAGGCTGCTTGATCACTGAATAAGTATTCTCGACGCCATAACCGATAGAGGCTAGCTTTCCGACTCGAGAAATAACGTAGGTCCTTTTGGAAAAGAGTGAGAAATATCAACTTCTCTAGAAAATTATTTACTTGCTACGCACCAACCAAGTGCACAAGCAAAGTTGTACAAAAACAAATAACTTTGGCGCAATTGCATTTTTTCCCGACCAAAACAAAGAATTGAATAGAAAAATGCTTTAAGTTTCACTACAAATTGACAGCAGCATTCTTCACTGTTCTCTTAGATGATGAACGACAAAAGAAGAACGGAAAAAGTTTCAAGAGACTCTTCTAGTACAGAAGATAGTGACGAACTTATAGAAGAAGAAGAAGAAGCTAGGAGGCTTTTTGACTCTGACCATGTTATTCCATCTCATCAAATACCTTACGTTCTACAATGGCTACGACAGTCTTTCTCTCTCATTGAACTAGAGGTACTCAAAGTTTCGTTGGAAAAAAATGATGTGGCTTGTGATGTAAGTTATATTCCTAACAAGTTGCACAATTCAAGATGTAATGAAAAAGGACAACGTAAGAAGAGTTTTCCTTCACTATCATTCTTTTAATATAGTTTAGAAAGGATACAAATGTTATCTCAAACTATTAAAATGATTAAAGAAATGCAGCAAGGTGAATTCAATTCTCAAAATATTCCAGGTAATTTCCAATTAGGATAGTTTCACTACCGATGGTAATAACAAAAGACATCGTAGATACAACAGTTTCAAAGATTTATTCCAAAATTCCAGACGATAACGGACTTATCGTTAATCAAATGGAATGGAATAATGTTCAACACAAAGAGTTTGTATTCTATACAAAACCGACACCAAGAAGGGACTCTTTCGGGAAAATTTACTGTCTCCAACAGGAATGTCAACCTCGGATAGAAGCGTTGAAAAATATTCTCATTATGCTGCAACATTCCATAGATTATGCAACTACAACGGACGATAAAGAGTCACTAACTTTGAGACCCTTTATAAACGATTGCAAAAGTAAGTATATCACGACCCTCGAACTTGTGAATCATGCTATAACTCTTTAAATTAGAACAAGTAATAGTATATCTCAGAAAACTTCGTTCTATTTCGGGAAGACTAATGGTTCTCATCTTGGCCGAGCATTTCAGTCTTCGACACATCAAACTTGTCTTCCAGTGTTTTTGTTCATCAAACAAACAAGGAAGAAAACAATGCCTAAGGAAAATACCTCGAATGTATACAACTCCATCTGGACACAAAAATTATCACTTGAAACAATGTATTTGTAGAATTCATCGAACAAATGACGACATACAGGAGGTAATGAGACAAATTGCAGCAGTCAAGATTCAAACCAGCTGGCGAGCAGCTTTGGCTAAAAACAATATGCTTTTTGCCATCTCTTTGGAACAGTTGTCGATATATGTAGCCGTAATTTTAAAACAAATTTCATCAACAGCTTCAAATAACGGAAAAACAAACCTATATTCCCTTGCTTCTCTGGAAGACAAACTGACTCTTGTCACTATTGCAAAAATCCGAGAGAAAGTATTCAGGAAATATTATTATGTCAGTTTACATCACTGTCTACAATATTTTGTAGGTGCCGTTAGAGAGCATTTACTTCAAAATGCTCAACACAATAATGACTGACAGAATTCCACTGCATATCCTCATATCAAAAACTCTTGTCTCTCTCCCACCTTTTTTGAAGTTGCAGATATCTTTCAGGTGAATCTGGAGGAAAACGATAGCGTTCAAAAATGTTTAGATGCAACTCTCCAACTTGTGCAATGAAGGGTGCTGCAATCTCTGAACCAGGTTCATGGTGCAAAGGACGAAAAGTAAAGGAACCCTTCATCTTTCCAACAGGTCCTCTGAGCGGTGCACAAGAGGCATAATCAAAAACACTCCCAGGATGGAAAATGGGATGCTATAAATATTAAGAGATCATAAACTCCACAAAAGAATTATCATACCTCTCCTATCACTCCTGGACCACGGATATTCTCCACATGCCCATCCGTATCCGTTACTATCCAATGTCGTTGTTCCAAACGAAACATATAATGTGAAGGAGCGGACGATAACATAGAGATTCGAATTCGATAAGCAAATACAAATTCATCTTGTTCTTGAAAATGGGAGAATTTGCTTATTCCTGGAACAAACAGGCAAGTTGCTTGAATGCGGATATATCCTGTTACAACATCTGAGTAGCCTGAATACGTTGGACAAAGACAAAAACGTAATATTTGTTTGGTATTTCGATCAACCATAAGACTGTTACTGGATAAATCATTTACATACTTCTCTAGATACGTTACGATGTCATTTGAAGCGATAACATAATGATTCTGTGTAAGCTCAATGACATGTTTTGTTTCTAAATCAATGAAAAGACCTTGGCTTCCTCGATTATTATACCAAAACATGTCTTGTCCAATCTACAGCTATAAGAACTTGACATTCTTTGAATGGAAATGCAATGAGAACATACCTTGAGTATTCGACGATTTCCTAGCTCAGAAACTTGCATGCTACAAACAGAAGAAAGATTGCAATCTACTAGCACATCATAAAACAAATATCCTCCTAGGATGCCTTGAAACTGTGAATAATCTGAAGGAATATATTGACCGCTGCACAAACGATAGAGGCAGTACAAGTCAGCAGGCAACTCGTTTCCAACGTGTTCCACTATGCAGTTGTCATCAACACCAGGAAGTAAAGTACGTGCTGCAGCCAAGTTTGCTCTTCGACAAAACGTCTCTAAAGTATCCAAGACTTTAACAATACGACTTACATAATTTGAACCTCGAGAGAAATAAAGACAGAATTCCTTGAATAGTGAATATTTGTTATAGGAATCTTCGGCATCATTTATAAAGTGTGTGATAAGGACAGCAAGCCTCTTTCTTCCATGACAACAACATGATTTAGTGCCACATAATATAGTTGAAGGTTCTGCTGCTGTAGAAGAATCTGAACCTTCACTATCCGTTGATTCATATCCTAGCGTTTGTCTGCTTGATTGAACAAACCCAAACTCCCAGGATCCTAGATTGGCTGACTCTGAACAACGACTTTTAGATATTGAAATAGCGTTTTCTTCCAGTTTCGTCAATAGACTCTTAAGAGATTTTGGTAAAAAGTAACGTTCACAAAGGTCATACCATATTTGATTTCCAAAAGCTACCCGATACCAGGATTTGCACACTAAACTACACTGAAGAACGTCACTTGCGTCAAGAAAACCAAATATCTTTGCTAGGATATCGTCGGAAAGTTCGACAAACATATAATTTATCCTTGAAAAATTTATTTCTCAAGTGCCAATTGAGACACAATCATTCTAGTTTCCAACGCAAACACAATGAACCACAAGCACTACAAGAAACAGAATTCGAATGGACGTGCATGGAAGACAACGAGACATAAAGAATGCTCTATTTCTCATTGTATAAGTTCTGTTTCCACGACATTCCTTAGAAACCAAAGATGATTGTCATAAAGTTTACAGTGATTCTTTCCATTATAATATCTCTACTTTTCAAGACAGGACAATAGATACAGAAATGTTCATCACTTCATAATATCTTTGGGAGAATTCAAGTCTTTGATGAGAGTAAAGATTATCTATCATTAGTCTCCACTTGGATAATGCAATTACCACAAATAATACCTGTTACAAGAGGAGGTGCCAAAATAGGATGGGAGTATTTGTTTGACGCTTTAGAAAGTGCTTATTTTGTAGCAGTGGATACAGAGTTCTCTGGTTTAGGAGACGTCAAACTTCTTTATGGAAAGTAAGAATAATCCTATGCCACAATATAATTTCGGGTTTTGTACTCAAGGAGTTCTTCTTCAAGTTGCATAAGCGAAAAATACGATGGTCTGAAACAACTAGTGAGCAACAGAGCTATATTTTCTGTTGGATTTAGTATCTTCTCGGTGGCTGATACTTGTCTCGGAAAGAAAAGTGGAAAGTTGTTGAAGGGTCAGACTGCCGATGTGGAAGAAAACCTCAAGGCGCCTCTGGAGTTTTACGTGAGAACGTTTGACTTTTTACTACTTCCTAGTGACGATTTCGTCATATCACCTTCAAGCGCAACCTTTTTGGTGAGACACGGTTTTGATTTTACACGACTGTTTCTTGATGGTATTTATTATACTCGTCCGTCCAGCAATAAGGACTATCAGTTGTTGAAAATATACAAGACTGCTATATTGGAAAGGAACGAAAATACAAAAAGAAGCTCGGGTGAAAAGAAAAAAAGTAAAAAGAGAAGGAAGAAGGAAAACTCAGAACTCTTCCTCAGTCTTTCCAAAGCCGAAGAAAGGGAACCGACGAGAAAGTCAAGTTTATTGAGTATCTTGCCGTTGGGTCTATTGGCCCACTTAGGACAAGCAGATATTCCAATAATACTTCACAATGGCTTGTTAGATTTAGCGTTTTTATACAGTTCTTTTGAAGAAAACTTACCTAAAACTAGTGAAGAGTTTGTTAGGAATCTCCACCAACTCTTGCCATGTATTTATGACACCAAACTTTTAAGTAGTGACGGTGAAAATGAAACTTCATTAGATACTGTTTATCAATTATGTGTGTCATGGAATCAAAAGCGAAAAAGTGAAAATGAAACATTTATACAATGTTGGAATCCTGAAAACAACCCTGATCATAGAGAAACAGCACCGAACCCGCATTTCGAAGGAAAAACGCCTGAGATTGATTCCTTCTCTGCCAAAAGCGATGGTAAGAGTTCAAGTACTTGTAACGAACAAACTTGTACGAAAAGTGACAGAAGACATTGTTCCAGTGCGTTAAATGACAAGTCTGAGGGTCATCTTGGTTGGAGTGCTGGAAACAATACGTTTGCACATTCTGACCATTCTGCAGGTTACGATGCGTTCTGTACGGGCTATGTTTTTGCCACTTATTTACACTCAAAAGGGCTGTCTTACGTAACGAGAAAGAGGAATTCCATCTCTTTGTCTCGTACAACGTCACTGTCATTAGAATGAGTATCAAATAACAGTCTTCATTGTCCTTTTTGATTCTAAGTGCTATTTGGATAATAAAATATTTTCCTCTGAAAAGAGAATCCATTCTTCGTCTCCTTGCTCTGTTATTATCTTGTGTTGGTGAGATTCTTCCTTATAGTCCAGTACTTGAGCTGATATCCATTTCATCTGACCTTTCTCAGTAAACCGCAACAACTTGACCCTTCGACCAGCCATCTTGCTACCCAAAGATTGTGCAATTGCACCTTGATCAATGAGCTCGATATTCTTCAATTCTCTATCTTTTATGTCCTGAGTTTTATGTGTGACTTTGGACTGTTTCGGGACACTCCACATTAGCATATCCATTTCCCGACTATTAGATATCTCGCTGCCATCAGGTCTTTGTACTTGAGTTTCCAAAGAGTGACTCTGGTTATTAGTTGAATTTTCAGTATTTATACAAATTTCTTCATTTTCACCAAAGTTGTTTTCAATAAAATATTCCTCCTTCGTAAAATTCGGTGCTGCAACATTGTCACTGTCTTTCGTAAAGCTAGAGTCTTTCAGTTTATACTCTTCGCTTTCCATCTCAGCAACGTGATTCTCATTGTTTCCTAGTTCCCTAAAAGTCTCTGGTTTCAAAACTGCTTTGGTGTTGTTTTCCAAGAATCCCTCTTCTCCCCAGGTGAAAATTGCGTTCGAACCCACAGCCTCCTCTTTACAACTGGAAGTATTAGCAGTCTCTGCATCATATTCAACGTCTTTCAAACTTGAGGAATTCTCTTTCACTACCAAACAACAGGTGCAAAGTTGCTTCAATTCTTCCTTCACCTGTGTGCTGTTCAACCTGGTTTTAAGTTGTTCTCGGAAACGTTGAAAAACAAGACTTTTTTTAATTTCTCTACGAACTCTTTGTAAAATATCTCTTTGTAAAGCGACATCCCAACGACCGCCTTTCTCAAGTATTCCGGCCACCTGTACAGCTGCAAGCCTTTCACTCTCCTCTCTTAACGCAGTTACTAATCGGTCCTCCAACAGTTCTTCTATCAAAGACTGTCTCCATTCATCAATCTTTGGATCTGTCTTCATAATATCTAAAATATCTTCAGGCAGAACGTTAGTTGCCTGTTGCCACCATTCTTGAGTGACTTCCATGACAAATAACTCTCTACTAAATATGACAGTTGAATTGGTTCTTTTTGCTTTGTGGGTCGTGGACGGTGCTTACTAAAGCATTATTATTTAGTTGTATTACATTTTCTTTCTCATGTTATCCAGAAAAATTGCGACTTGGTGGTTTTCAAATAAAGAATACCTGGCAAAGGCTTTGAAAGAAATAGTAGACCAGGCCTTTAGTCCAGCTCCTGGCGCAGCTTCTGCAACACGAACTCGTAGGAGAATGACAGTTGACGAGGCTTCTGACTTGTTTGGTGTTCAGAAAAACGCTAGTTTGAAGGAAATTATTGAGAGAAGTGACCAATTGTACAAGCTGAATGACCCAAGCAAAGGTGGTAGTAAGTATTTGCAAGCAAAAGTATTGAGTGCACGCTTGGTTCTTGAAGATGAAGCACGTAAAAGAGGTGAAACGTTACCTGAGGAACGGAATAATACTCAGTATCACTCTTCTTGACGTTGAAGTGCATGATAGTAAAAGTTGGATTCCAAAACTGGTTTGTCTTGAGAATAACTATCTTGATGGGACAAGGTACGCCTGGTATGGATAGACAGAGTTGTAACTTCACTTGCTGAGAAAGAATATAAATAGTATTATAGTAAGACACGAGTAAATTTTATTTTGCTATTGAAGTTTTGACAGTTCTTTTGTTACAATTTTTGTTTGAAATAGTTTGAAACTATCTCTCCAAACAAAGAAACAATGGACTTGTATATTGAACAGTTTCCGTTTCCTTATAGTTTTTCTATTTACAATTGATTTTACAAAAAACTTTCATGAAAATCAAACGTTGACGACATGCATGACAGAGACAAGATTTATTTACAACACTTCCTATGTCTTTTCCTTTTTCCAGAGCAGACAAGTTACTTCAAAAACTGACTTGGCAGCTGTAAACTTTGTAAAAGTTTCGAATACTATTCAATTTTGTTCAAGGCAGCCTTGTAAGTTTCTTAGCCGAATGAAAGCGTCCTCTTTGGAGGCCAAGCCAAAAGTGATTGTCATAAGTGGTCCTACTGGTGTTGGAAAGACTAGGATATCTATCGAATTAGCAAAGCTACTGAATGGAGAAATTATTTCCGCAGATTCTGTTCAAGTATATCGTAAACTAGACGTAGGTTCCAATAAGCCTTCCATAGAGGAAAGAAATGGGATTGTACACCATCTGATTGATATAGTGGAACCCACTTATGAGTTTAGCGCGGGAGAGTTTTTCCAACGTGCTCGTGAAGCAACAAAATCCATTCTTAGCAGACACAAAGTTCCTATAGTCGTTGGTGGTACTTCCATGTATGTACGTTGGTATATTTATGGATTGCCAGCAACACCACCTGCGACAAATTCAGTGGCTTATTATGTTTCAACGACATTAGAAGAGCTGAATGGGAATTGGGACCTTGCCATTGAGTTACTGGAACAACTGGATCCAATGAGAGCAACTAAAATATGCAGAAATGATTGGTATCGGCTGCGAAGAGCATTGGAAATTTATTATGCTACAGGCAAGCCTTTGAGTGAGTTACCACTACAAGGAGGTGCTCCCAATCCAAAAAAGTTATTACAGGGCATACCTGTGACTGATTTGGATTATGACTTTCGTTGTTTCTTCCTTGTTGCTCCACGCAAAGAGTTGAATAGGTTTATAGATAGGAGATGTGAACGAATGATTGCTCAAGATGGTATTTAATTATCCGTTTTGTTCCTCAGGTGCTTTTATAGCATTTCGTATTAGGTCTACTGAAGGAAGTATTTGAGCTTTTGTATAAGAGAGAATTGTCGAAAGACTCTTCTGCCGGAAAAGCTATCGGTTATAGACAGACTATTGAATATTTAACCAATCATGAAACAAATGCTTTGGATCAGTTCATGAAATATTTAAGAGATTTTCAGAATGCTTCGAGACAATATGCACGAAGACAGTTGCAATGGTAGAAAGTGATAGACTACACGTACTTTATGTTAAAAGATTTCGAATAATTAGGTTTCGAGGAGAAGAGTTATTTCATTGGGTACCTGTTGAGATGTTTTCGAATGATATTTCACATGTTGCTCCGATAGAGTATATCATGCATTGGTTCGCTGCCACATCAGAAGAGTATAAAGAGTCTACGAGACAAAGAATTGGCAAGTATCTTATATTTCTATGATCGTCTTAGCGATTTATTGACTAGACCCATTTCTATATTTTTATAGATGCTGAGGTTCGAGAGATATCTTTAAAACAAGGAAAAGAGATGAAAACGTAAGCTGATATTCTGTTTATTACGCACACACAAATACATATGCAAATATGTATATATTTGTTCAATGATAACTATAGGTATACACCTGAGCTAGTATTGTTTCAAGACCAGAATTTGATCGAGTCTACAGTACGAGAAGCGTGTGACTTTCAATTCAAATTAAGAGAAGCTTGAGACAATTGGTAAAATTGTATATCGCAAGTGCTCAGAGATTCTGGTGGAGATTGGAGATGGCAAAGCTATCATTTCTTTCCTGTTGTAGAGCCCTTTTACAATCCAATATTTTGTATAGTCCAACTCAGAGTTGGGTTTCTACGATGTTCGTGTTAGTTTCTAATGAGTGGAGGTCTTAGATTGACAGTTTTGCATTTTTGGTTTTTACAGGTTTAACTTGTCGCAAGTCCTTGAAAGAATTTTTATTTACTTGATGCATCTTGAGGTTGTTTCATTGGAATTTCTCTCACTTGTTGAACTGAAATGCTTACAGAAATTCGTATCTAATGTGATCAAAATTGATTGAAAATGTCTCCTTTCAATATTTAGGCCGAAGAATGGAAAATGTCTGACACCATGTAAAGTGCTTTATTTGGAGATGATATAATATTGAAAATTATCGGTTCGATATGGAATTTGTGCATTCTTTTTCAAACAACCATATTACATAAAACTTTTTTGCGTACCCGAGGTTGACTCACAACAAGTTGCTCAAGGTTTGCTCAAAAGTTGTTATTGTGTTTGACTTGTTTTGTTTTTTACTTTCATGTAGAGATTAACTGGAAATGAAGATAGCTTTGAAAAGTTTTGAACCCAAACCAGAAATAGGTATTTGTTTCTCAAGAATCTTCAACCGAAACAACTTTTATTTCTTGCCTCTCAACTTCACACCCAACACTTTTTCAAGCTTTGCTAGTACAGATACTTCTGGAATAGCCTCACCTCTCTCGTACTGATTAATAACGGAAGCCTTCTCATTTACTGCTTTTGCAAGGTCCGACTGAGTCATCTTCTTGGCGTTCCTTGCTTGTTGTATTTGTTTGGCAAGACTCAGTGACACCTTTGGTACTATCAACACAAAACTCAGTTCACTATTCCTCCCATCAAACTACTCTGATTGCTTTACTTACAGTGAAACTCTTCCGTTTCTTCTTCTAGTTTTGCCAAGTTTCTTCCAGTGGCCTTTTTATTTGTTCCTACACCAACTTGACTTCCAGTATTATTCAACACATAACTTCAAGAAAGAAACATACATTTCTTTTCTACAATGACTTCACCGCTGTTCTGTGAAGATACTGGCCCTGCTGCAGGTTTCTTTCTGTTTGAACTTCGTTTATTTACTATTACTGGCGTCCAATCCTGAAAACTGGAGTCATCCATTATCGCACTCTAATATTCTGTAATCGTTTTTCTATAGGAATTGATGAAGCACGACTCCTCTCAATGGAAGGCTTTGCCACAACGTTCTATTTTTCAGCTTGGGTCAAGTAATTTACAAGAAAAAGAATGGAACAAAGAGCTGATAATTGAGAAGCACGATGAGTTTTCTTCGGAAGAGGAAACAGAAGGTCTTGACCACACTCAGACATTCCCAGTTGAGGATTCAAGCTCTCCTATACAACAACTCGATAACTTATCGGGTTACGAATATTTGGATCATACTGCTGATGTGCAAATTCACTGCTGGGGCAATTCTTGGGAAACAGCTTTTGAAGCTGCAGGTTTGGCTTTATTTGATTATATGACAGATTTGAGACAAGTTAAACCGGATCCTGTCGTTGGCTCTGTTCCTATTCGTGCACAAGGACACGATTTATACAGTCTCTTGTACAAATTTTTGGATGAATGTCTTTTTCAATATGGTGCAAATTATATTATTCTTTGCCAGTTGAAAGTAACAAATATTCAAGTAGACAGTAAGTAAAGGTTTAGAACTAGTGGAGTTTAACCTCACACCGTTCTCTCTATTAGATATATTTCTCGTCGATGCTGTTGGAAAAGGCGAAGTATTTGATCCACAACGACACTCGCAAGGCACAGAAATCAAGGCAATTACTTATTCAGCTATGCAAATTACGGAGGAAGAAGAAGCGGGTCGCATTCATATGTATTTCATCGTCGACATTTGAGTTGTTCACAGATTGTAATTGGTGCGGCGTTTCTTTCCTTTCCAGTCCAATACGTATTCTTTCTTGCGCATATCGTGAAGCATTTCTGGACGATTCCACAACATCTTCGCTTTTAGCACTTGCATTGACGAAGAAACAGCGCCTTCCATGGGAATAGAATGAGTATCCAGCTGGAAAATATTCCGTTTGTTGTTGTTCTCTACAGTTGACGATACGCTGTTATTCTCCATATTGAGTAACAGTTCTCCATAGTTGATAATGAATTTATGAGTACCCTTATCTTCCTTCAAAAAAGAAAACCACAGCTGTCCCAATGTATCGAATCGAACTGAACATGGAACATCAGGTAAGTTCAACTTATGCTCACTTTTGAGCTGAAACTTATTCCCCAAAGAATCATATTTCACTATCCATAGCAACGAATAGTTACAAGAATAAGCAATAGAGGCAACAAAAACTGTATGATTATCATATACATGAGCGCTTGCATCCACTAGGAAACCTATAGTAGGATGAATATGCCGAAGCTTTAGTTTTCCATTCCAATCCCAAATTTTCATTTCGCCGTTGTGATGAACTGAAAATAGCCATTCTCGTTCCAATGTACAAGTCCATATCCTTGTTACAAAGAAATGAGGATCACTTAAACAAAAAGAATGAATGTGATAAGTATTTGGATAGTTGGAGATTCTAATTTTGTTATCTCTATCACCTGTAATTACATATTCACCATTCATCGACACATTCATAGCAACAATAGTTGCATAGTGACCCAACCAATCATCTTCGTCGTTTGAAAGAGAGTCTTCTTCGGCGTTTGGTTCTACTAAACTTGAACTCTGCGTTTCTTCTGATAAAGAAACAGTATGCACGAGACCACTTTTATCCGCAACCAATACTTTAGGGTTACGTTCATTGGAAAACACCAGACAAGAAGGACGTTTTCTAAACGATCTGCAAGATATCCTCAGCACAATTTTTTCAGTCCAACTACGATAAAGTAACGTACTTTGTCAGTTGCAACTTCCAAGAGTCTCCGGATCCACCATCTTGACTTTCAAAGACCAAAAGCCACTTATCGTTGGTTACAACAGCCAAACGAAGTGGAGTAGTTTGTTGAGAAAATGCAACACAAACAACTTGTTCCATCAAACGGACATCTTTGGAAACCCAACTCAGTTTTGAACTACTCACTTCGAAGACGAGTAAACCTAAGTTGGTTACCAAAACAAGTAACGGTAATGTCTTGTGAGATTCTATCAAGCTAACACATATGTTTCCAGTTTCTTTAGACATGCGTCGTCACTCTATTCAAGTCAACAATAAATACTGAGTCGAAAAGGACTTGGTAAGAAAATATTCGAGTTTCAAGATGAGCAAGTCCAAATTCCTAATCCCACAGTCTCGAGACACGACGATGCTATAATGCAAAGATTCAAGTCTCCTCTTAAGTTACGTGCGTCTTCAATAAATGATTTCATAGTGGACTCCATCTTGATGCTTCGTTAGCCATCATTCAACCAGTGTGCACACCAAATTTTTAGTCCTGTTTGGAGTTATTTTTCATGAAAACCAAATTGTGGTATGGATATATCGTTTCATACAAAAATATTTCCTATTCTTTGTCAAGCAAAAGCTGCCACGATATTTGATATTTTATTCTGCAATTCAAGTTTTCTTTATCAAAAAACAGGTGACAGTAGGATTGATCACGAAACGACTCTCAGCAATTCGTTGTTTGTGGTTTCAACACATGAAACGATGACATTAAGCGACGAAGCCAAATTTTTGGAGTGGATCGATAACTTGTATAGTTATCTGAAGAATAGAAGCTTAAGTCTCTCAGAGACTCTTAATATCGTTGCCAATCAGTGGATAGAATATTTTGCTAAACAGCACTGTCCAAACATTTCTTGTGCCACACTTAGTCGGTTATCTCACGTTAGCACGCTGTTGTTAGAAAGGTGTAAGCAGTCCAGTTGCCTTCATACTAATAATTTGATTCTGTTGCGTAAAGTTTTGGCCATTTGGCGAAACAGTTGTCGTAGCGTTGACATGAGAACGTTTTTAATGGACAGTGGCTTTGTTGACAAACTTGTGAGTGACTTGGAAACTTTATTGGAGGGAGAAGGGCTGATTTTGGTTCGGGTCGTGTTACAATTACTTGCCAATGTGACCAATGATAAAAGGAGGCCTTTGTGTTTATGGAGAAATGATACAAAGACACCTCATAGGTTTTATCAATTATTGTTGATGTCAGCGAAGAAAGAATATGACCGAAATCCAGGAGATTGCACACTCTTGCTTGCATTCAATATGCTATGGAATAACCAGTTTTGCTATCTAGTGACATCGGAATCCTTTGTTTCGTTAATAGACGACAATAGCTTTTGGAGTACATTTTTAGGTTGGATACAGCACCACTTTTGTTCCACAAGAGACCACAACTGTGATGGTTTATACTGGTTATTTGTGATGATGGAAAAGATGGCGGAGAACGATGTTCTTTGCAAGTGCCTTTTTGGTAGTAATAATCATCTTGCCAATAGTAAACAACTTCATATGGATCATAGCGAATGCAACGTGAGTATGGAAGACATGACCCTTTTTCCCTTTGTTTCTATTTTACGTGATGCTTTACTGGTTGGAGAGCAGTCCATTGTGTTATCTTTATCGGATATTTGTGGTTTTTGTATGTACTTTCAACATTTTTGTTGTCATCGCATAGTTGATGGCAGTCATGTGGCATGGTTAGAGTTGATTGCAGTCATATTGGCAGATCATTTTTCAACGTCAATGCCAATCTATGAAAAGGAATATCTCGTTTCCGTGGTAGATGGTTGTTGCTATGTTCTACGCCTATTGCAAGAAGACTCTAGTTGGATGTGTTTGGGGGACAAAGTAGGATTAAAGACTACCTTGACCAGATTACTTTGCAACATTTGTTCCATTTCCAAAGAGATGATTACTTATATCATAGATAATCAACAATATCTTGTAACATTGTTAAAACAATGGCAATTGGATACTGAAGCTCCCTTGAGTTTTGAATGGACTGTGTTTCTGTTTCGACTTGTCTGCGAACAAAAGGAGGCTCCTCCAGTGATTCAGCAAACATTACAAACTTTTCAGGAGTTTTCCAATTTACCATAGCAAACTGACGTATCCTATCTATTTATTTCAACAGCAAACAAAAACAGACACAAAAAGAGGTACGAGTTGCTTATATTGGATGGATAAGAAATGTCTACTGTGCTTGATGTCGCGAATCTGCAGCCCAACGCTGAGTAAGAGCATCCATCTCAATTCCGACCATTGCCTCTCCCAAATCTTCCGAAACTTGTGCTAATATTTTGGGATTGTTATAATTGGTGACCGCCTTTACAATAGCCTCTGCTCTCTTCTTTGGGGTTTCGCTCTTAAATATTCCGGAGCCTACAAACACTCCATCAACTCCCAACTGCATCATCAGTGCCGCATCTGCAGGAGTAGCTACACCTCCAGCAGCAAACTGAACGACTGGTAATCTTCCCAACTCTTTGGTGCGTTTTACAAGTGCAAATGGCGCTCCTATTTCTTTCGCAAAAGTGTACAGCTCATCTTCATCCATGTTTCGAAGGCGACGAATATCTCCATTGACTTGTCTGGCATGCTTAACAGCTTCCACAACATTTCCAGTTCCTGCTTCCCCTTTGGTGCGAATCATAGCAGCTCCTTCTGATATTCTCCGGAGTGCTTCCCCCAAATTCCTACAGCCACATACAAAAGGTACCTGAAACTTGTGCTTGTTCACGTGATGCGAGTCGTCTGCTGGAGTCAGCACTTCTGACTCATCTATATAGTCGATTCCAATAGCTTCCAGAATTTGCGCCTCTACAAAATGTCCAATTCGACACTTGGCCATAACAGGTATTGAGACTGCCTGTTTTATAGCTTTTATTATCTTGGGGTCCGACATTCGTGCTACCCCATTGGACTTGCGAATGTCTGCAGGAATCTTCTCCAGGGCCATGACTAAATAATATTGATAATGGAACAGAAATCTGAAGACTTGACGTACCGGCACAAGCACCTGCTTCTTCTGCAATCTTGGCTTGCTCAGGGGTCACCACGTCCATTATGACGCCACCTTTTAACATTTGTGCCAAACCAACTTTCACCGCAAAAGTACCCTTGGCATCTCCAGCAATAAAACCTTCGTTTACTGCTTCTGCAGTTTGGGCAAAAACGTTTCCTTGTAAACCGTTCTCCATACGTGTGGATGAAGTTCCAAGACGCGTGCTCCAATGGACGGTCCCTCAACAATCGTCAACTGATAATGAATTTATTTATGGCTTCTTCAAAGATGCCTTCGTTCACTCCCATTTCAATGTTTACAATAAAGCACACTTTTTGGACTCTCTCAATATTTCCAGCCCCAACTACTCTCTGCTACTTTTCCATAAACAAAACACTTGTCAGAGGTCTTGAAAGCATTTCCTGAGTAAGGACACAAATTCTTACAGAGCCACTTGCCAGCATTTTTACCCTTTTGATAAACTCGTGACAACTTCCCAGTACGAAGAAAGCTTCACAACATATCTGTTCATTTAGCTTCAACGCAGGTAGTCCTATCTAAATGGGTCTCTTGTGTGTACTCAATACCTTGCCTTTAGTAAAACATCCTCGAAGACTAATAGTCCAAGATAAATAAATCTTGTCAACTTTGAGCAATTCGATGGGATGTCTTCTCAAATGGTGTCTTGAATAGGAATCTATGCATTTGTTGAACTGCACTACGTGATGGTGCGTGCACATCAAAGCTCAACGATAGCCACCAAAAGATGGTTATCAACTCCATTTTATCTTCTATCTTTTGTTGCTCCGAAACCACAGACCAAATCTGCTTATGCATTGCAGCTTCCTTGATAATCTTTTGTGGGTGTCTAGTTATTGTACGGGTGGCTAACCAAGTCAATACACAACAAGTAGCCCAATCTGTATGAAAGGGACTCCATATCATTACGCTTTGTTTCTTTTTCAACAAAAACCGATCCAGATGATGAGTCACTTCTTTCAAAGTCCTTTCCAGACCAAAGCGTTTTGATTCCAAACGGCCTGCCCTGTCTACCAATTTTATACAGATAATGCTACAAGTATCATCCAACATCGACTTGACAAGTGGAAAAGAATCTACCAGCGTTGAATTCCTGTCTCCAACACTCAAAACAATATGAACATCCACTGAATATGGCTGAATTGGAAGCTCCGATGAAAACCAACCATTCCAAAACAGATCAACTCCAGCTGAGTCTCTTTCATCAACTTGGAACAGTTCTAAATGTGGCACGAGCAAGTTCGGATTGATAATGGATACTAAAGAACGTGACTTTACACTTTCAAGTAAACTTGTTATATGTTCTTTCAAGAGCATGGGGTCTCGACTCAACAAATCTTCTTTATGTTTCCAAAACAATTCTGGAAATAGTCCACAACTCCAACTTTCTTCATCATCTCCTGCTCCTTGAATATAACGAAAACCAAATGTTTCTCCAGTTTTCAGCGAGTGGGTCAACCATCTATAGTTATCCTTTGGAGAAGAGACTGAGACGCAAAATACGGGAATAAAGGAAATACAGTCCACTAAACTACTGTCTTCTATACTTGGCTGGTCTCTGTGGATCCATACTGGCTTCAAAGGCTTTCTCAAAGGGCAATCATTTGCCAGCTCTAGTAAAACACTCCGAAATTCCTTCTGCTCATGAATCATAGTTATCCAACCTTGGCTTCTTTCTAATATCCAGTGCTTTTCCTCTTTTGGAACCCACTCTGGTAAAACAAGTGAATCACTTGCGTGAGCAAGGTTCAATAAACCTAATTCTGCGAGTATTTCGTTGATGACGAAGCACCAAATGGGAACTGTCTTTGATAAACTGTCAGGAAATCGCTTTCCTTGTCTTGTAGCGTCCACAACAATAGCGCCACCTCGAGAAAAAAGCAACTTCAACAACTAGATTGTTTCCTTAGACATAGGCATTCAAATCAATTGCAACGTACTTTTAAGTTTACTCTCCAAAAAGAAAAGTTCCACTGGCCATAGTGACCATCTGCACTCTTAAAACAACAATCGAAACTCAAGATTTCGGGTTTTACATACCAACGACCTGCTCTTAGGTTTCCTCCCAACGGTAGACGAGGTAATAACGAGACAATACTATCAACAAACGAAGCGTCGTGAACAATAGAACACAGTCTGTTCAAAGGTGACAGTGAACTGACACGGAGCTCTCTTTCTACATCGTTTTGAGCTGAGACATTAAAGTCCATCAAAGTGATTCAAACAGCTTTATCAGAGACACATAATTCTTTATACGATATAATGACAAAGTCGATTAGATTTAAGTTTCAACATTAACAAATTGGCTGATTTTCGTTGCTTATAAAGTCCAAACCAGTCTACAGTATAAAAACTTCAGTTCTCAAAAAACTTGTCGTAGAAAAGAAAGATTTCCTAAAACAATGCTTCCTAGCACAAGAAATGTAGATGACAAATCACACATCTTTTAGTAAAAGTAATAATTGAACTGCACACGTCCAACAGAAAAAAAAAGTATCGTAAACTACTATTCATACACAAAGCTATCTACGTTTTCCAAATATGGACTTGTTCAATTTCGTAGAAAGAGGCACTCTAGAAATTCGTCATTGAACCAAAAATCCTTCTCAACCAAAACCTTTCTCAGAAACTGTGGAACTCCTACGACTCTTTTGCTGTCTAAAAAGCATCCTCAATTCGTGAATTCTCTCATACGGCTTTTGTCTATTCCTAAGTGACTTGCAAGGTTGGCTCATAGAGTTGTTTGTATCGAAACGATGTGTATCGTTCATATTGTCCATAACTACATTTTCCTCCCTTTTTGAGAACGAAGAAAAATGGGGGTCTGTATAAGACCTTGGAAGGAACTTCCTTTCTGGTTTCTCGTATATTCCACGGTGAGGAGATGGGCTATGATCTCCACCAGTCTCCATAGAACTCAATTTCCGAGAAAGTTCTGTATCTGCCACCAAATAATGAGCTGTTCTTCGTAGTAATTCACTTGAACAATAGGCAACTAGTTGAAGAAAGGCAGTTTTCCACTCCAAGTAATGAAAGGAAAGGCGGTGTAGAAATAGGTCAATCTTCTGTTCTCTGTTATTCAAAATAGGGTTGATAACATATTCAAATATTGTCGAGTTCAGTTGCTTTAAATTCTCTAAAAAGCACAGCGTTCCCAACCCAGTAAGCAATAACCAAGTTTGTTGAAGTTGTGCCATTATTGGCTCCAACAGTTCCCTTAACAGTAATAACGCTGCCACAGTTATCCATCTCTTTAAAATTTTGTTAATTTTCTTAGGTCCTACTTCACCGTGATGAATGGAGACAAGTGTAACCAGGCTAATAAAAAAGTGAGAGACTTGGGTCCCTGAGCAAAGCCAACTTACGTTAAAGACGCTAGATAAAGAATATTTCCCCAAAACCAGACAGAAGGTAACCACAATTTCCAGTGGGTTGACGAACTCCGAACACTTTCCATCTTCAACTTTACCATCCAAACTTGTCACATGTAGAAAGACTGAAAAGAACCTCTTATAGTAACAACCCACAGTCAATCCAATAGCTTTGGCCCACCACAATTGTTCGTCTTCGTATCTCAGTTATTTGACAATTAGTGATATACTTGGCATCATTGAAATATTAGCTAAATCATTTGAGATACTATCCAAAAAACTTTATATGACGTCAATGTATGATGGTGCACATAAAATATAAAACCATTGTTGCTCACAAAACTGTACAAAAACTTCGACTGAAAACATCTTATAGAAATGAAATGCTTTTGTTTCATACTAGCGATTAGAATTATCTCGAAAGTATTCCATTTTTGGCCTATAATACTCATAAAATAATGTAAACCAAAACAGTACGTTGATCCAAAGTTGATAAAGCAAAATGACAAGAGGTTTTCCTTTTCTCTAATCATCTTCGAAATTGGTTCAAAGAGTTTCGGACTGTTTGAAAGTCAGGTCTTTCATTCCTTTCCAGAATACAATACAAACAGCCTTCCTCTTCATATACAATTTGCCAAGGATTTGGATAACGACGAATGAGCGCTCCATTCACAAAGAACCGTACATAGTAAACGGGTTCAAATTTCGTGAGACATTTATCCTTTGTGGCGTACAATTTGGGGTATAGAAATCGAGGATAGTAACCTCCACGTAACTTGTCTAGATCCGCGTTGAAGAGAATGACAGGAACTTGATAGTTACAGAAACGCTCCACTTCAAACCATTCTTGTACTTGAAAACCAGGATTGAGGATAACGACTAGTGAAGCATCTTGTAAATCAATATCTCTTTGCAAAGATGTAATAAACACAGAGTCCAACGTTCTGAAGTCACGATCTTCTCGAGCTAACTTCGACTCAGCGTCATCAGGAAATACTACAAACGTTGTTCCATTTCCAGACACATGAGGAAACCGTTGAACGACACTCTTTGCAAAAGTCCTATTGGCATCCATCACTTGGTTCAAAGCAGCACTTCCAATATTCTTTAAGGGAGGAAATTGTACCTCGAGCAGTTTCAATCCGTCACATATTGCACTTTTACAAGACTCCTGAATATCCTGCACTAGTTGAACGTTGGACTCTGGAAGCCGAATCAGGGAAAAGTCGCTTCTATTCAACCCACAAAATATAGAAAGCTTCCTCCAGGTGGAAACTTCAGCTACACTTCTACAAGAGTTGAAGGTTCTTCTGGTTTTCCATTTGTTGAGTTCAAAGATAAACGAAAGCATAATAATACCTCACACCAATTCGACATAAGCACGAGATCCCAATCAATCTTGACGATCGCTTTCCGTTGATATGAATACTTTCTGATGCTTTCAAGGCTTCAGGATTGAATATAATTTACTTTCAAAAAGTGTCATTCACGATACATATGATATCTAGTTTCTATTATATGAAATTCTTTCAAGATGCTATGAATATCGTTAGCTTGGGATACCAAGTTGCCGCGAAAATCAGAGCAAGTGTTCTTCAAGAATAAAATAAGATTTTCCACGTCTTACAAGAAAGGAATGTTCCTTGGTTCCGTTTGCCACCAAAAAACGGACAACATCTAGATGCGTCACTCTTTTTCTTGCTGTTTACCATTCTTATATTGCAATAACGCCTCATTATTCAACTGTATCTTTCTAGCTCTCAACTCCTTGACAAAATCTAGTAATACGGAGGAATCGTTGGAAGACTTTTCAATTATCTTGCAAAATTGTTCAAAATTCTCCAATGATGAAATCCTTGCGAGAAAAGTCAGTTTTTTTAGTTCTTTACACAAAAAACCTCCGCACCAGTTCTCTTTTGTCCTACAACTTCCAGTAAGGGTCAAAGGTTCTTCAAGCCAAAGTTTGTTATTAATCCAATGATCTTGAAGGTTTGATAGAATCTTGAGCTCGTCTGTAATCCTGTTACACTCTTCTTCAATGTTACCTTGCTGGTTGATCAGATTTTCGTGCTGTCTAACAAGTCTCTCGTATTCTTCATCCACAGATAAGAGTATATTTTTTGCCAATCTCAAGATTTCCTTCAGTTCTTCCATCAGTGAAGTTAAAGCACGTGCAAGAGTTGTTTGTTACCAATGGGTCCTAATAGGGAAACTGTAAGCTTGAGATAAATTATAAGTTCTGAATAGAAACGAGGCAAACTTTTAGTAAACTTTCTGATTGTTTCCTATGGTTTACAAAGTGGCCTACGATGGGATATACAATAATAAGAGAAGGAATATTATCTAAAGTCCCCCACGGGAAGAAGAGGTCTCGATGGGACAAATTCTCCAGAACATCGTGTCGTTGTCGCTTTGCCAATCAGAGAAATTTTCCCACTGCAAGTCAATTTTGGACGCTTCTGTGGTGTTCGTCACTTTTGGGTGTCTTTGTATATTTGCTTGAAGCCCTTTTTTGGCAACTTGTGGAAAGTTATTTTTGGTTCGTGTCATGGCAGAAAACAAGAGAAGTGAAAGTACTGAGGTCAGAAGTGCCGCAGTTCCCACTCCTTGTGTAAAGGGTTGTGGGTTTTATGGTACCTCTTCCACTCTTGACATGTGTTCCAAGTGTTACAGAGAGCATCTGCGTCAAGAACAACAAAGACTTCAAGTAGAGTCCGTCTGTCAGCAACAACAACAACAACAGAAACATGATAAAGGAGGGTTGGAGACTGTTCAAGGTGCGGAATTGCACGACTTGAGCCCCCTCGGAAAGCAACAAGGGGAAGGGAGGGGTACTTTTGACGAAGCTCATACAAGTCAAGGCTATGTTGCTGAGGTTACCCCTTCGGAAACCTCGCAGTTTGTACAGGAAAGTAACGTAGAGCAAGAAACGCAGTCGCTGTCCAAAGCTACAGAACAAGGGGAGCATACGGAACAAAAACCCAAGAATCGTTGTCAGTGGTGTAACAAGAAAGTGGGATTGACAGGATTCTCTTGTCGCTGTGGCTATGTCTTCTGTTCTGAACATAGATACTCGGACAAACACAACTGTAACTTTGACTTTAAATCTCAAAACAAAGAGATCTTGAGCAAAGCAAACCCTCAAGTTGTAGCTTCCAAAATCAACAAAATTTGAAAACAAGTCTCTCTCGGAAGAATATAAGAAGAATTTGAATTTTCTTGGTCAAAAAAAGTGCTTGGGAACAGATAATAGGCGAAGAAGCAAAGAAACTATGTGAAGGAGACGCAACTTCCATAGCTTGTTTACTTTTTGTGGGAACCCAATCGAAGAGATAGAACAAAGGAGTATAGTTTTCTGTGGTTGTTTTTGCTTGTGTCTTTCTGCTCTTGTCAGCTTGTGGAAACTGTAGAGAAAGAGAAAAATTAAATTTTTTTTGTTGAGTATTAAGTTCTTTCAAGTTCAGTCTTTTTATTCTCTAAAAGGGAGTCAATTTTTCCAATGTATTGATGAACCAAATCATCCAATGCCCTTTCAGATAATTTCTGTTCATCTTCCGAAACATTTGTTTTCTTCACATCTTGAGCAACTTTGTTCCTTACACTTCTCAATGCTTTTCGTGCTGTTTCAGCTTGTTTTGTAACTTCCTTTTGACGCAATTTAAGGGAATTTCTGAATATAAGACTAACTCACTTTAACCAACTTTGTTCTAGTTTCTTGATCTGGACGAGGAATCGGAACTGAGAGAATACCAGGACGTTCTACTTGTGGATTGAGTCCTAAACCTGCTGTGCGAATGGCCTTATCGACAGCAGAAGTAATTTGTGGATCAAATACTTGTACTCTCAAAGTTTTCGCATCCTTCTGTGTTACTTGTGCAACTTCCTTCAACGAACAGTTCGTTCCATAGGCCTCCACCGTTACTCCTACAAGTATGATATTTCATATAAAGCTTTTATATTCCAAGTCCACTTACTGTCCAATATAGCAGGATGTGCGAAGCCTGTGCGAATGGTTGCAAGTTGAGACTGGAAGGTTGTTACTGTTTTATCTAAACTGGACGCCAGTTCTTGCGGATCAAATAAGAGTTCTTCTGAACTCAATTCTTTCAAAATGTCTTTCTTTTTATTCTTGTCTGCTTTCGTTTTCTTATTCCTCGCAGCCACCATCAACTGGGTGCTTTTCCTAAGACTTGGAGTAGTCCCTTGAAATAAGTTTGTAGGTGAGGCGGAATAAATAGATCGAACAATGTAGTCATATCTTGAAACTTTTTGCAAACCCTTTGTTTGGAAACTTGTTTGTGTCCATCTGAGAAGGGACGTCATTCGTTGCATATTGTTGGCAAGTCACACTTTTGAAGACTAGTCTCAATGATGCGCGAACCAAAAATCGATGGGCGAGGTGATAATGACTTTCCATTTGCCAATCTTTTCAGAAACGATTGAAATGAAGGTACTTGAAAGATATTTGAATGTTAATAGAGTTTGTAATATCGCAAGTCTATTGATGGCAGTTGAAAATTTTCCACTTTCCTTTGGCCTTTATCCAATTAGATACTTGCATATTTACAATTGTATATAACACTCTGTTGAATGCAGAAAGGATTGAAGAAGAACTGGGGCAATAGAATGCGCATCTGCTTTCTTAGAGATATCGTCACATCTAACAGTTTCGTCCATAACAAGACCCAAAAGCTGTTCAAAAATCAAAAGTGGTGTAGATGTTTTCGAATGAGAATTCTTTATTCACGCTTTCCCTGGAAAAATAGCGAGTACTATTCCACATATGACCCAGTTTGGCTGATCGGTTCTGTGGGACCTTTCAAAGAACATTCAAAAAGAGATAGGAAAGTTCATATTTCAAGGAGGTCATTTTGTAATATTTTATGGAGTAGTATTCTATTTTACAGCTTTTCCAATCGTCTGGTTGGTGCTTCTGAGTCTCAAGTCTATGATTACGATAGCAAAAGTAGTCTTGGACCGCCACAATGGGGATCTTTGGAAGAATCCTATTATCTTTGTTCAGAGGGAAAACTTCAAAGTCCAATCGTGCTAACTAAATCAAGTTCTACTGTAGAAAATGTTTCAGAGTCACCCTATCGCTTGCTTTCAAGGCGCGCCAAATTCTTTGCTCGTCAAGAACCCAGTTTACGAAATATAATTGTTATTGAACAAAGCTTTCCACCTCCTTCTATGGTTGGTGATGTGCCATTGATGGACCAAAGGTAAGACTATTTGGATAACAGTTGTCTTTGTATCTATTGTCGTTTTATTCTTTCCTGCAACAGTGGTATTCCTGCACCAGCAGCAACTATAGAAGATACAATTTCTAAAGATACTTATACTTTTGATCATATTGTATTTCATATTCCTTCTTCAGAACATGCTTTGGAAGGAATTCGAACGGATGCCGAGATGAATATCGTCTTTCGCAAGTCTTCACGTGACCATTCAGATTATATTTATTTATCAGCTCTTCTTCGAATTGGCAACTTGAATCCTTCATTCAACCCGATTATTCAGTTATATAGCTCGTTTTCAAATGACGATTCTTCAAAGAAGCCCAAGGTTGACTTTGATCTCGGTGATATCATTCCTCCTCTTTCGAGTTCGAGTTATTTTTCTTATCAAGGTATTTCATCTGTTTTTTTTGAGTCTTCATTCCTTGGACACATTAGTATAGGCTCACTTTCGTTTCCTCCTTGTTCAGAAAACGTGCATTGGTTGGTATTTGCAGAGTTACTTACCATCGGACAGGAACAATGGAATATGATTCGTTGTTGTCAAGAAATGGATAATGTTCGACCTTTACAGGCATCCAACGATAGAAATGTTGTTTTATATTCCTATTCATCGGAAAATATTATACAATCCAATCAAGCAACTTCATGAACAGCTATCCTAACCTTTATTTCTATGCATTTCGAGTTGTATTGGAATAAAATGACTTATATGGGGGAATAAGTTGTCGTTCTCATTGATTCACGTGTGTATATTTTCAACAAGATGTGGTTTATTTATTCACTCCTTTCCACTTGAACTTCCCAAACTCATCTATTTCATCTTCAAACTTATCTATTCCTTTACACCAAAACTTGAGTATTCATTTTCCAATGGTGATAAAAGGGTTATTCAATTTGGGTATTTTCGATTCAGAGTCAAAAGAATAAGGATCTAAACCAAAGCGTACGGAACCAATCTGATAATTCTCCACTCCGTATTGAAGTAGAATTGCACCGTCATAAAGATTACAAGCAATTCTACACAACAGACGATACGGGTCTGCTGGAAGTAACTCCAAAATGGTCATCAGGCGACCAATCTCTCGAATATCCGTGTCTCCAAGTGTCTTCAACCTCGGATTCAGTTCCTCTATCGACCTATCAAATAGTTGTGCGACTAATTTCAACCCTTTCGGAGTTTTCCTTTGAAACACGTCTTTTTGTTCCAACAAATGACGACATTCGCTCACAACTATGGAAGAAGGATGGGTCGCTGAACTTTCTGTTTGGGCTGCTCTCAGTTTCCACGCTATAACTGCGGTATACACAACTACCCAGAGACAAACAAAGTCCATTTCGCTTTGTCCAGTTATTTGAAGCAGTTTCTTCTCCGGTGAAGTTTTAAAAGAATCGTAGTCTTGAATTAAACTTTTTAGTTTTTCTTCTGCTTGTTTCACTCTTCTCACTAGAAATCGATCTATCTTCACGACACTTTCAATAACCTAAGCACCATACAAACGTTCAGAAAGAGCGATATCTCAAATTTCAAGTAACCATACCCAATCTCTTATAATCTCTAGTTTGTTTGCATGCTCTACATCTCCATCTTGCTTTTCTTTCAACACCATTCCGGTCAACCAAAATAAAAAGCGATAGCCCAACAAGTCTCTGTTTACCCAAACAAACAACGTCTTCTCTTCTCCTTCCCCTGAAAATAGTTGCAACTTTTCAACAAGTTGTTCGTTGGTCAAACCCAACGGAACTCGATAAAGTTTCTCAAGGTCTTCTTCACGAGGACGCCATAACTGGTGCAAGTCATTAGAATCTATCCAGTTTCTAGTAAAAAAGGTTACATAACCATAACATTATGCCAACCTTGGGTTTGATAACTTTCCATCCTTCTCTCAAAAGGACTACTGGATGGGTTTTCTTGCATATTTTTGGTTTGCTGTCCGGCTACTATTTGCAATAACCTGAAACTTAGCGTTGCCTTCTTTTCCCGTCTTTTAGAGATATATAACAGAAAACATCTATTGCATAGTTTGTAACTTGACTCTTTATTTCCAACTTGAAAACCTTGCAAGGTACAAAATCCAATCATCATCTTCAACAATTCAACAACGAATTGAGTGTTCAGCCTTCTTCTGGTTATCTTTCAAATAATAAACTCCGTTATTTCCTATCGATAAGGAGCCTGTAAAATTTTTACCATCTAAAAACTCGATGCAAACCTAAGAAGCATAATAGGCAGTTGTAGAGACATAAGACACCTAATCTATTTGTCTGCTTACGGTTCCTAAAGTTGAGGGATCTAAACAGCGGACATTGATAGATATACTTTCAGGATTACAACGGGGAGTATCTGTAATACTGAAAATTGAGGCTACTCTTTCATGTGAAAGTCACTTACAGAAAGGATGAATTCCACAAGTAGAACAAAAAGTGTGTCTCGCTACTTTTGTGTGGAACTGGTAAGTAGAGAGAGCTTTTAGACTTTGTGCATCGATTTGCAACTTCTCGGCAGGAACCATCAAGTGAAGGATCCCTTTGGCAACACAGATGGAACAATCGCAGTCTATGGCAACAAATCCTCGTGGTGCTTCCACTTGAAACTGCACTTTGCCACAGTGACAGTGACCCTTGTGTATAGTTATGGTTTCATCTTGCTTGGAAAACTCTGGCTTCTTGGATACATATCGTATCCCGAGACTTGCGGTATCCCAAACATATGCCATGTGGAGAATCAATTTTCGAAAACAACCATTTTGCATCGGGTCTCGATAGAGTTTCACAAGTCATACGAAGAGTTGGGTTGGAATACCTACATAGAATGATGTAGAAATGACTCTATTTGATTAGAATGATGTAAAAAGATAAGCTTGGTTCAATATTTTTAGATTGGAAGATCAATATATATATATATATATATATAATAATTGTTATCTTCTCCACTATACAATTTTCCCATTTTAGCCATTTGCATCAATAAGCCAAAGTAGGAACCAAAGGGACTCTGTCACAACTTGTTTGATTGAAAACCTCGTTTAGTCACTAGGTTTGACTGTTTTTGTGTTACATTCTCATTTGACTCGTAATGAGTTGAAAGAGCGAACAGCCTATTATTTTCAAGGAGGAGAAAACTAGTTCTTACACATAGAGTAGAACGTTCACTATAATGTTTTCCTGTTACAATGCTACAAAAGACTACCTTTCCTGATCATTGCACATATATTAGTTGTTCATCAATTCATATCCTATGTTCTTCAGTACGGATCGAATATTCAATAAGGACATATCATCCAAGAGGAGAGAGCGTGTCACATTCCTTTGGCTGAATCACAATTTTGCTGATCGTGCAATTGAACTATTCTTTTATCCAAGTGATGGCATATTACAATGAAAAACCAACATATGGCAACTATAGTGAACCTCCACAACCTTATTATCAACAACAGCAAGACCCTTATGGATATCCTCCCAACAGCGGTTATCCACAACCTCCTCCTAACGTCGTTTATGTTCAGGACCCCAACTATCAACAGCAACAGTATGTAATCTATACGCCATTTATCAACTTGTTTCGAATTTGACTTGTGAATAGATCTCCTATGAATCAAGGAGGGGGAGATGACGCTCAAACTTGTCTTACCTGTTGTGCTGCTTGTTGTGCTGCTTTGGCCTGTGCAGAACTGTGTAGTTGCTTACTGTAGCGCAACTATGTGGTTTTCCTGGTAACGAAAATATCTTGTGGGAATACGATGGCGAGTGAATAGTACACTGATTCTCATAAATTGTTTTGAAACATTTGTTTGGAGGAGTCAAAAGTGTCTTTTATTTCTATCATTGTCAACTTGCCATCGGCATGCACAATCCTAAAAAGACTTTTCCAATTACTATGCGCTTCTTGGGATTGATTATCAGAACTTCCACTTCATTGCCATTTCTCTGCAACTATTTTCCAGTTTTGTCAAAGCATATCAAAGTTAACTGGAAGCTTTTTCCTAGTGATTTCCGAGTTCAAAAAACCATTTGGAAGAGTTTTATGGCTATGACCACCAAACGAATCGGTACTCACAATGGAAAGTTTCAGTACGTATCACTTGCTAGCGAAGATTTCTTAACATACTCTGTGCAGTTGCGATGAAGCTTTGGCATGTTTTTTATTAAGGCTTACGGATAATTTTAGAGATGCCTCAGTTGTTAGGACCCGAGAAGAAGTAAGATTCCTTTGCCCCCAGTTAATTGTTAAGCATATTCTCTTGAAATAGAATGTTTTATCCCAGATGGACTGCGTTGTTGACGTTGGAGGTGTTTATGACCCAACTATATTTCGTTTCGACCATCATCAACGCGGTTTCTTTGAAACTTTTTCGGCGAAAACTTCTATCCCTTTAAGTAGTGCTGGACTAGTCTACAAGCACTTTGGTAGAGAAATTCTCACCAAACTTTTGCCGGACATGGACGACACGAATAGAAGTATTCTTTTCGAACATGTTTACAACTCTTTTGTAGAGGAACTGGATGCTATTGATAATGGAGTCAATGCTTATGATACCGATGTTGCACCGAAATATTCCATTCATACACATCTTTCTGCTCGAGTAGGAAGTTTGAATCCAGCTTGGAATGATAGTGACCCTGATGAAGAGACAGCTTTTCAAAAGGCGATGAAGCTGGCGGGAGATGAATTTATAGAGTTTGTAAAGAAGAGTGCTAATATTTGGCTTCCAGCCAGAAATATTGTAAAAGAGGCTTTTGATAGGAGAGCCTCCATAGATGACTCATTAGAAATTGTAGTCTTAGAAACTGCGTGTCCATGGAAATCGCATCTTTATGAACTCGAAGAAGTAGCTCAAAATGACGAAGCAAAGAGCATCAAATATGTTTTGTATCCACGAAAAGATGGCTCTTGGAGTGTCCAGGCAGTTAGTCTCTCAGAACAATCCTTCAAGAGCAGAAAGCCTTTGCCCTCCAATTGGAGAGGCCTACGAGATGATGCACTGAGTAGTGTGGTGGGTATACCAGACTGCGTGTTTGTACATGCTACGGGATTTATAGGAGTTCATAAAAACTATAAAGGTGCTTTGACCATGGCACGCAAAGCGTTAAAGATAGTAGATTCCGAATAAAAATACATACTTTGTCTAGTTGAAATAAGAAGGCGGTAATATTTCACTTTTATACATATCATACCCAACATAGTATCCCTAAAGAAAATACAATACACACAACAATTCGTGTTGTCTCCTAACCACGACATATTTACAAAGTACAGCAACAAGTTATTTGTCATTTTGAGTGTGAGAGAGTGTTTGCTGTTCAGAAGGCTTGCAAAAGCGACCATGAACACGAGGACGACTTTCTGCTAGCCTCTTACGAACATCATATCTCACTTGTTTACGGAAAATCCTTTCCTCACGCTTACGGCGATAACGTTCAAGCTTCTCCTTCCTTTCTTCTGCACTGCATCTTTCCCCAAACAGCATCTTCTTCCGATGACTCGAAGCTGTACCATTTGAACTTATAGACGGCGCCAAAAATTGATTCAAGTCACTAAACGAGCTTCCTACACCCGATAAGGACAAAAATTTATTGCTATCCAGCTTATCCACATAGTCGTCTGACTTGAAATTCATACGACGCCAAATATCCACTTCCGCATTTTTCTCAAAAGTTGACAAAGCAGGAGAACGACGGATAGGATTTTTTACAGAATGTCCATGATTCGATCCACTTCCACTACCAGTACCTGTATTATTGTCATTACTGCTACCGTTCCCATTTCCGCTACTGTCGGTTCCTTCCAAGATATCCGAGTCGTCGGAATCGCTCTTAGATCCTAATGCCACGTCCTTATTCGAAGAAGAATTCGGAGGAGCAGGCCATTTATCATGCTGCTCTTCAAAACTATCTTTTTCGAAATATCCATCCTTTGAGATTTTCTCGTCTTGTGAGTCCGATAGCTCCTTCTTTCGTTTCCGACGAGTAATATTAACCTCCTTTGCAGATTCACTTTCTTCTTTCATGCGGTGTAAATAGGCCAGGTGTACTTCTTCCGGAGTCATCTTAGAGTTCCACTGTCTTCGAAACTTGCGATGTCGCGCATTTAAAGCCGTCATACTTTCATTTCTAGAGCTAAAGGACTCTTTTCTATTCTCTGTACTATGAGTTACACGACTTGCATCGGTTCTAGCAGCTATCTCGAACAGAGCAGCGACAGCAATATTTGTATCCGAATTGGTTCGAGCCAAGTGAGTATACGCAGTTTCTTGCAACTGTGCACTTGTAACTGTTGGACCATTCAAGTTGTCCATCAAAGGTTGAGCGTCGATAACCTTCCAACTCCCATCTTGGTTATTCAGAGAGTTCACTCGATTATCCTCTTCAACTGGTTTATCTACTTGGTCCTTGAGGGACGTGATACTGTTATTCTCGTAATTTTGTTCTCTTTCTTCTTCTTCTCTTTGCTTGACTCTTTCTGACTCAACGGCACTCATGAGCACTTACAAACGAGTCACACTCCTGTTGCTAAAGGATAGCAACGCAATTCGACAAACAATGCCACCTCAAAATATTCTCACAACGAAATGGATATATTAAATAAGTAACAACTTTTGTTGACTCTTTCCAGGTTCTTCCACTCAACTTGCCAACAATAGGAATAATTTATAAATTATCCACCACATCATTCGAGGAAGGTCGACATTCTCTCAAAAAAAATATCCCAAAAATATCTATTTTGGAAATTCTGGACCGTCCGTGGCAAACGCACCTTCCGGATTTCGTTGTTTGGAAGAGAATTTTCGGGAAGCGAGAGAGAGAAAGAGAGAGAGAGAGAGAGAAAGAGAAAGACCTATCGTTTCTATACCAATTGAGGGTGTACAATAGGATGAATTGTTTTTATGCTATCTATTGCAACTATATGAGTACATAGCTAGTAAATATGCAATTTCTTTCTCGACTAGTCGCCTATTCTCTTTCAATCCCAGCTAATTCCTGATAATAATCCTAGAAGTATATATATATATATATACGTTGTAAAACCATGGATAACAATAGTTTATTACAATGGTTGAATATTCCTTCGTTTCTTGGCATTCATCTTTTTCCTGCATTGGGCAAATGGCCAGTGGAACCAAACGCATCTTAGTAACCGGTGGAGCTGGTTATATTGGCTCACATACTGTTGTAGAACTTATCAACGCAGGTTATGAAGCGGTGGTTGTCGACAACTTGTACAATGCATCTGCAGAGTCTTTGAAACGAGTGGGACAAATTACTGGTCAACCAGACAAGATTATTTTCAAAAAGGTGGATCTTCTGGACGTAGACGCTTTAGAAAAGGTTTTCAAAGAGTACACTTTCTCTTGTTGCATCCACTTTGCCGGTGCTTAAGGTATGCTCTCCAGCGTTCTATTGTTGGTTCTTGCTGAGACAACGTAGGCAGTAGGAGAAAGTGTGAAAATACCTCTCAAGTACCACCACAACAATTTGACTGGAACGATCAATCTTGTAAGTATGCTGCAGCGTTATGACTGCAAAAATATTGTCTTTTCTTCGTCTGCAACTGTATATGGCCTTGCGAAAACCATGCCAGTAAAGGAAGACGCGCCTTTGGGAACAACCAATCCTTATGGAAATACCAAGGTTTGTGAAACACTGAACTGTTAGTTGGAAACCTAATCTGTGAAATGTAGCTCTTTATCGAGGAAATTTTGAAAGATGTCTACAAATCGGATAGTAGTTGGAATGCAGTTGTCCTTCGATACTTTAATCCTGTTGGAGCGCATCCGAGTGGTCTTATTGGTGAAGATCCTAGCGGAATACCGAACAATTTGATGCCTTATATAGCCCAAGTTGCTGTAGGGCGCTTACCAGAACTGAGTGTATTTGGAAATGACTATGAAACTCATGATGGAACGGGAGTTCGGGATTATATCCACGTCGTTGACTTAGCCAAGGGACATGTTGCTGCTCTCCATAAAATGGAGAAGAGTCCCACAGGTTGGGTGGCAGTAAATTTAGGAACAGGCAAGGTAATGATAATAATTTTGTTGTGAAGAATGGGATATTCATCAATTGGTTGTTTTAGGGTTATTCAGTTTTGGATATGGTGAATGCATTCCATAAGGCTTCAGGAAAACCTGTTCCTTATAAAATAGTACCTCGTCGAGAAGGCGACGTTGCAGTTCTCTATGCAGATCCTTCCTTTGCACAGGAGTTTCTTGGTTGGAAAGCCGAATTGGGAATCGATGAGATGTGCCGAGATACATGGAAATGGCAGTCATCGAATCCTCAAGGATATAGAACAAAATGAATAGTTGGATTATGTACTAGTCGAAGATTAGTAAAAGTAGTAACCCTTTGTATTGTTACATGACTTGTGGCTGTCGATATTTTCATTTTTGTCGACGTAGCAATGCTGCTCTCAATCTGTTTACTTCAGCAACCTGCGACGCAAGTTCTTGTCTCAATTGGACAATCTCCTCGTTCAACTTCTCTTCGCGTTGTTGGGACTCTATAAGTATGTTCTGAAGTTCCTGTATTCTCTGGATTCTTCTCAAGCGAGATTCTTCGGCAGTTCTTCGGTTCTTCAGGATTCTATTCAAAGAATGAAATCAACACATCCGTAACAGATAACATAAACGAACCTTGCCATTCTTCTTTCTTCTTCTGTTGCATACATAGTCCTCTTTCGTCTACCTCGTCTGTTTTGTTGGCCATTTCCCACTCCTTTGGCGCATTCCATTGGGTATTGACTATTCTTATCTTGCTCGCATCTTCCATTTTCTACCATGGCTGGATAAGCTTGTGAAGTTCCTTGTTGACCTGTGGTATAAAATGAGTGGGCAAGAGAATTGCGAGTTTCAGCTACTTGCAACCTCGTAGTCAAAAGTTAGTATTTTTACCCTACTTGAACCAAAGAATATTTACAAGTGCTGTCTACGAAAATCTTCCAACGCTTCCAATACTCTTTCTTTATCATCGGCTTCCGTTTCCTCCTTACCACTCTCTTCCATCTAAAAACTGCTCCACAATAGACACTCGTATGACAATTTGTTAAGACAAATCTTTGTGGGTTGAGCATGTTTGTGTTATTGTCTTTGACATGGAAACCACCACGACGAGTTTTCACAAGTGATAGTTGCAAGTGGATGAATGGGAAGCTTCCGTGGATATCAACCAAATACTATCAACGGAACCGTTCCTTTTTCATCATGAGCACCAACCACAAGTCACGGCCTCGTTATTTACAAGAGTTACCGATGATACCCATCGACGAAATATATGCCAAAAGCTTTCGTTGGGTAAGTACTCGTCTTTGCTTGTGATTGTTTGTTGAATGTGAGAAGAATCGAACTGGTTGTTATGCACTGTACAATGATGACCATCTCCTTTGCTATGTTGGGTATACCAAGAATTTACAAAAGAAGATTGCTTTTCATGCCAAACTGCAACCAAACCAGTGTAAATTTTTCAAAGCCTATGTGGTAGATAACCCCAAAGTTTCTGCCAGTTTCTTAGAAAAAATACTCGACTCGTGGTTGTTAGAATATGGCAGTGTGCCACCTGGAAACAGCTCAGAGCGTCATTTATGGGAAGGTAAAAGGGTAAGCAGCACTCAGTTTTTGTATTTGGATTGCTTGACGTTCGATTGACTCAAGGATATCGATAGGAAAGGCGTGGTACTGTTGAAGAAAAGGTACAAAGCACAAGGGCTGATAGTACAACGAGTTCTAGAGTTAACGACTTTTTCGATGGAAAAGATCCCTTTGCGCTTCGGTCAAGTAAGTGCTGACGAATATTTTATGATCTTTTTTTTGAAAGTGCAACTGTGAAGAATTTTCCAAAAATATGGAACGCGAAGATTATTTACAAACCTGGATTCCTTTGGCAACCGTCGTTGGATTATCGGTTTTGTTGTGGTTGATGGGTTTGGTGACGACTTCACTTCAACCGGATACGTTAGGACTGTAAAAGTTGTGGGATACTGGGAATGATGATGGTAATGATGATGGTAGATGTATGAGTCTATCGCAAATGTACAGTTGAAGTAAATCTATTGCATAAAATATCTATTCATATAATATCAAATGATAGTATATCGATAAATGGACTCTATCAGGATTGTTGAGTTTTATAAGGACTTCTACTTTCAGCAGCTCGCTTTCGAGCATTCTCCTATCATCAAACAATCAATTAAATGTACAGCAGAAGATAGGATATCATCTTACTTGGAAAGATGACATTACTGGAGAAACATACAACGAAGTGGAAGGTTCCGAAACTTTGAAACGACTATCCGTAATGTCTACATTCCAATTATTGCTACCTTCGTCCTACACAAATGAGTAGTAAGAAATAACAAAAAAGTTGCATAAATAATTACCAATGGCAGGGAACGAGCTCTCGCTCTTTGTGCTTCGTATCTCGCAGCACCCCAACGAAGCCACAGAAAGCTTACACGACAAAACATAAATGCAATGACACAAAGATAAAATCCTATAGTGAAGAGTCCATAGAGTGCCTTTTGAAATGCAGTCTTCCAAGGAATGTGCCAGAAGACATAGAAGCCTACAGGAGCAAAGAAAGTCTCGATACCAATCCAAACTGACAGTCATTGAGTTGGCTGATGTTCACATTCAAAAGCAACTTACCAAAAGATTCCATCCAAACAGTAAATGGTTTGCCCTTCCATTTTAGAAAATCGCTACTTTTTGCGTGTGAAGAGCAAAAGAGACCAAACAGAATCAAACTGTAGCCAAAAAGTAAAGCTTTGTAATGTAAATACAATATCGCTGCACGCCAAGGTGGTAACATTACTGGAATAAGCATACAAGAAACTGCAGTAGTCAAAACCCATAAAAAAAATCCCAAGCCTAAACAGAATAATAAAAAGGCTCTATCGTGAATCAGCTCCATGACAATCCACAAGATTTCTTCACGAAAAGGCATGTAAGACCATAACATGTCAATAAACTTTGTCACAAGAATACGTGGATACGCATAACGCTTCTTAAGCGATATGATTCCTACAAACGCCAACAAATAGATACAAACACAACGTAAGAATATGCCCCATCCAGTCATATAACCAGGAGGATAGGGAAATTTCAACTGCATGCGATATTCTAACCAAACATAACTCAAATCACAAATAAGATAACTCCACCATTTCCAAGGCTTTAAAAAAGGACCCCCAAGAAACTCCACAATTTTCATTGAGCCACAAGGCTTCTCCGGAATTTCCCAACGGAATCGAGGATAGAATAGTATATGATCGAGATGCCAACCAAAAGGAAGTCTTCTAAGCGGTCCTCCAGTACCATTTTCGGAAGAGGGATCAAATACAGGGGCATAATATAATGAAGAAAAATAGGAGTTCAAGAAGCCTTGATCTCCACCATCATAGCTTGGAAGAATAGGAAGCTTTTGCATCATATCTTCAAATACAGTGCGAGACGGTTTCAAAGCCATCACTCCCGAATTAAATAAGCAAGGGTTGATAAATGCTGCACAAAAGTCCGCACAGTGAAAAAGATCACCCAAAGGCCCAAATACTAAGGAGTCTGCATCAATATATACAACGGAATCCAGATCGGTCATATTAAAAATCGTCAACTTTGCCATAACTTCATCAAACCGTGCGTCGTATTTTGAATCCTTTGCATATGGATTATTTACAGAAGAAATCTTGCGAGTTTCTATTCCTTCACTGTGGAGTTGTGCAATAGCATTCTCTGAAACATCCGAAGTAACCAAGACTATCTTTCTAAAGTTGTCTGGACTATTTACTCGAAGGGACTGCATCATAACCCGTACAGGTAACAAATATGACGAGCCATACAGTAGCGTTACATAAGCGTGTCGGTCATGGGTCCCTTGAATACCTATCAAAATCGTACAACTTGTCAGATACAGTTTAATTTATCTTTAAAACAAACAACTTTCTCGAATAAAACTGTTCGCTGGAGCAAATTGCTCTTCTAAGGGCTTATAATTGGGTGTTACTGAGAAGTTTTCAATCAACCCGGTAAACCCAAGAGACGAGTTATTTCCTTTCGTTTCTTCCAAGTAACCAACAGAGTCTGAAAGTATATTGGGACAGTTTAGAATACACAAGAGAATTGCCAGAATAATGTGCGAAAAGAAAAACTGCCAAACTGGCATCGTAAGGGACAACACGAATCTTCGATCCCCAGAAATGATTTTCAAATGTTAATGCAACAGACGATAGTCGCCTTTGGACCCAGTTTCAGCCGTCTATACTTTCAAGTCATGAGACTCTCATAAGCTTTATTAAATCTTTTCTATGACAGAAAAGTACTAGAATTTCTGAAACTTATTTACAGCCTCCTGTAGCGCCGGATTCTTCACGTCGCGCTTTCATCTCTTTAGTGAAGTTCATCCATCTTTCAAAGTCAAATATGAAGTATTTGACAATTTCAGGTCTTCTCACGATGCCGGTTCTATCAACTACGTAAGGGAATACTTCAGAGTTGTATACTTGAGCAACATTCTCTGGCTCTTGCGCAGTCTTCTTTGCTAACTGTATGACTTGTTCATCAGACATTCCTAATAGTTTGAATGTCGGATTACGTATTGCGTTTTCTTCGAACCTTCTTTGAAACTGGGATTGATACACATATCCTCGAGAAAGCCTCAGTAATACACATAAGAACAAAAAAAGTGAAAGAAGAGTAGCCAATAAGCTTATAACTTGGGAAATACGTGGGAAGTTTCGTTTTGGGAGGAGCTCAAGGAGTTGGATTGAAGTTTTCTGTTGCATATCATGAAGACTGCCATTTTCGAAAGCGCCAGATGTGCGAAACATTGCTGTGTGTCTATGAAATGTATGAGACATTATGTTGTAACAAAATATTCTGAAACGGAAAAAAAAGAACGAGGAGGAGTTGTACTAATGTCATCCATCACCATCATTGGCATTTTTCTGCATAGCCAAATGACTCCAAAAGAAAAATGCTTTAGGGGAGGATAGAGCGGGAATTCTTGTCAGAAGAATTTTGGTGGCGCGCACCCATGTTGACGAAAGAGGTGTTGTTGGTTTTAGGGTTGTTGTCAGTCTTTTGTACCTTTTCCAGAGCTTTATATTATCCTGATCTTGACGAGAAAGAGTTTGACAGAGTAGTGGATGGCTCAAAACCAGCTCTTGTAGAATTTTATGCACCGTGGTGTGGGTAAGATCTGGTTTTCAGTCTTTATGTCCCCACTAAGGTAGCAACAGGCACTGTAAGAATCTTGCCCCAGAATATGAAAGATTAGGAGAGGCTGCCAAAAGTGTCAAGGACGTTATAGTTGCACAGGTTGATGCTGACAAACACTCCAACCTGGCAAAGCGTTTTGGCGTCCAAGGTTTTCCAACCATAAAGTGGTTCGATAAGAAAGTAGATAAAGCAAGCGCTGAAGATTTTTCCGGTTCTAGAACAGCCGAGTCTCTAGCAGACTTCATCCACCAAAAACTCGGTAGAACGAACGTCATTCGTCTACCCAAAGAAGAGGTCCATGTGGTGGAGCTCAATCCAGAAAACTTCGATAAGATCGTTTTGGATCCTACGAAAAATGTTTTGGTCGAGTTTTATGCCCCGTAAGTGGTAATTTCTTTCGTCTCTTACGTAGGTTTGACTGGTCTAGATGGTGTGGTCACTGCAAAGCCTTGAAGCCTCAGTATGAGAAGGTCGCAAAGACCTTTAAAGACTCTAGTGACGTCATAATAGCATCGTTGGACGCAGATGCAAACCGGGATATTGCACAGAGATTCGATGTCAGTGGATTTCCCACTATCAAATTTTTCCCTGCAACCAAAAAGAAGGACGTTGTTGAATACGATTCTGGTCGTGCTGCTGTAGATTTTGTTCGTTTCATTAATAAACACGTGGGCACTGATTTGGATGTCGGTGGGATGCCCAGTGCTGAAGCTAGTCGAATTAAAGCCCTTGAGACACCGGTTCGTGAGTTTATCAAAGCAAAGGGTAGAAATCTGGAAAAAGCAAAGGGTGCTGTTGAAGAAGTTATTAGTCGTGATCCCTCTTTGAAAGGCCAGTTGAAGCGCAACGCAAAGTATTATTTGAAGGTCATGGAAAAGTATGCACAGAATGGAGAGGAATATATCGTGAAGGAGATTCAACGTCTAGAGTAGGCTTTGCATTTGATTTGAAAAAGCATTTCACGAAGCTTTGCTATATAGAAATATGTTGAAGAACGAAGAAGGAAATATTACAGATTCAAAAAGAGCCAATTTCTTACGTCGTCTCCATATTTTAAAGGTGCGTTTTTTTATGGAAAAAGAGGCGTCTACTAAACACACTCTAGTCATTCCTTTCAAATGATACCGAGGAAACATATTCGTAAACGTTATATAGTGGTATTCAAACACGAATGGTTTCATATGCTCATCTTGAAACTCTTTCATTGAATAAAGACATATGTGTTTGGTTTCAATATCGAAGTGTGTATCCGCGCCATTTATAGTTGGCTTGTTTAGGTAAGTTACATCCTAAGTAAGTAGGTGACCACATGCTTCAATAACAGCGGCTTATGCTCATTCATGACATACCCGGCCTTTTCACAATAATATTTGCAGCATAATTCGCATGTGCAATACATTCAACTAATCCAACTCCCTTTGGAATATTTCTCTATTGTTTTCCATGCAAAATTTTCTCTTCTTACCTTTGCTAAACCTGCCAAAAAGCCTCCTACAAATGAATCCCCAGCACCTGTTGTATCTACTAGTTCAGATGGGTCGCAAGGAATAATACCATATTCCTCCACAGACCAAAGCCTACGACTGCTGCCAATAGCAACTATAGTTGGTTCCGTTCCCCGCGTCACAATCACTGTGCGTGGACATGCATTTGCTTTAGGTTCTCTTGCCATTCTTTGAGCAATCTCTGTTACATTTTGTGTGGACCAATTCATCGACTTTGCAAATGCCCTTGCTTCGGCATCGTTTCCAAATATTATATCTACATAGCGTAGTATATCTTTTAAAATTTGGAAGTATTTAGAATTTTCGATAAGAAAAGGCGCTGCCAGGTTGTGACAAAATGTTTTGTCATTTGCACAAGCATGAGTTCCTAGCTCAAAAAGTGACTCTGGGGAGACTGCACAAAAGAACGCACTAGAATAGAAAATTTGTGCTTTTTTCACCAATTCCCACTGTTCCCTTGCACGCAGATGCTCGACAGAATAATGACTTGCAGCACCTAACTTGGCTACCAACGAACGACAAAACCCTTTGGCAGTCACCAAGACACCACAAACTCCTATCAACCAATCAGATTCCGATTCTAGCGAGGCAACTTCACATACCTGTTGGTAGATTAGGTTTGTGTTCAAAATGTGTTTCTACTCTATCCGCAGTGGCACACTTTTGAAGTTGTTTCGAATGCTCGTCCGTCCCAACTGCACCAAAATAAGTTGTCGATTCCGGCTTATCCAACAACCACTGAGCAACGCGAATAGAATTGAGGACATCTCCACCCTGAACAACAACTGGAATCTTAACACTGCACGACAAACAACAAAAGTCAGCCTACAGCAATGTATTCAACGGGGTAACGTTTCAACTCTTCAAACAACGGCAAGTGCCTTTCTTCTGCCAAAATAGCATTATTTGGTTTCAGTGAATACTTTTCTAACAGAGAGTCCTCTACCGAACAATTAAGGAACTTCTCATTCTTTTCGAATAGCTAGACTTGCCTACCGCAGCGACTATATCAAGCAAAGGGTTGCCAATTCCTAAGATAGTGTTTTTGGAGATCAAATTTTCCGATCTCCAAGGGTTTGTGTGAAAGTATCGGATCAAAACTTGCTTTTTAGGTATGCAGGTGAAGAGCTGAGCAAGACAACGCCATGGGAACAACTCCTTGGGTTGCATGGCAATCATCTTCCTACACGCCCTTGTGGTCAAGAGATATATCTTTTGTTTTCCATTTTGGGGAGGTTTATGTTCTCAACATAAAGAAATAAAACTCAAAATAAGAAGCTCTGAATATCTCCTATTCTCACCCTCTTTTTCAATTGCTATCCTGTATATTCTTGTTCTCTAAAAAAACACAAACTATCCCTTGGAACGACTATCCTTCACAATGACCACTATTCTACCCAATGATTCCAAAAGCTCCTCTTGCAATATAGTTAGTTACCTATGCTATTCACGAATTGCTTGGATATCCCCTAAAAGACAAACCATTCGTGTAAGTTCAGTTTTCACAAGCAGCAGCTTTCTCTCCTTCCCTTCAATCTCATTCTTTTGATTTGGGGTGTCGAAATTCTTCATTCGCCCTCTCTCCATTGATCCAAGTATCCCATTTCTTTGTGCTCTCAATTCTTATGGAATCTCAACGACCCAAGCGAAAAGCAGCAGAAGCAGCTATTGCGTCTCTTGCTCAGTCGCAACAGTCTCCTAAAAGAAGCACTCCGTCTTCCTCAAGAAAAGGCAGAAAAAATAGAAAACAACAAGAAGAGAAGACTGTCGGTAAGTCAACCGTAGCAACAGCGCAACCAGCACACAAGTAACTTTTGTATCAGAAACGATAACCGTAGTACCCCTAGAGAATGAAAACGTAGAAAAGGAAACAATACAAGAGGCACTATCCTCGAAAACAATAAAAGAAAACGAAACAAGGGCAAGTACGGTAGAACAAGGTACACCACAGGAAACCGAAGAGATAGTGCACAAGCCAAATACGGAAAACCCACAGGAGCAGGACTTTACAACCTCGTCAAATAGAAATGACGAAACAGCTGACGTCCAAGCGTCACCCGAGACCATCAAAGTTGCAATAGAGTTGAATAGCTCAATATTGTCACCACCTCTGTTAGGTGCAAGTAGCAACGAGCCAGTGAATCCAGAAAGTCCTCGAGAAGAAGTCTCCAACAATATTGCAGTCAACAATATAGTGGAGGAATCATCTGAACGGCCGCAGCCTCCCAGAGAAACTGTAGATGTTGCCTCGAACCTCGTATAGCTCCAATATGTCTTTCTGCAACGTTTTGTTTGTTTATGATGCCATTTCTACTGTCTTGGAATTGTTTTGTAATAGAGTGTTCCTCGAATTTATAAACTAGTTTTCGCTGTGAACAAGAACGCATTCCACGCCCATGGAATAGGAAATGCCATCGTTCCAACAACTTTACAATAGAGGATGTGGAATCTCAACCTTTGCGTTTTCATTTCCTATATATATATATATATATATATATATATGCAACACTGATTTCCAGAAACAACAGAAACTCGTTTTCAATTTTATCCATTCATACAACAACTATATTTCCTTTCATATATATATATATATATAACCAAAAAAAAAGAGAGAGAGAGAGAGAGAGAACGTCCACACGACAACATTCTCTATCATCAAACGTACACATATAGACATGAATAAATATCTTATCGAAAATGGTTTCTTTGCATATCAACTTGTTCCAACTAAACTATTCCATTTCTTCAATATTTTCTTCCAATACTGAATGAACAATTACTTCTTTGGATGCTGCTTCATAATATTCCCTTGACTCCACATCAACGACTCGAAAACCGGATAAGAAATGAGCACCAGGTTCCAATGCTATGAGTTGCATGTCCAATTTGCAACTCTGATTCGGTTGTAAAGTTTCCAACAGACGCCCAGATACTCCAATGGGAACAATAGATCCCACTTTGTCTCTTCTTACCTTTTGTATATAGATTAATCAACTTTTAAAAAAAACTACCATTTCTATTACCTGAAAATAAAACTTTTTGGATTGCGATGTACGATTAACAACTTTCATAGTAGCAACAAAAGGACATTCAACGACGATCTTTGAAGGAACTCCAACGACTTCTATAGTCACCATAGAAACCTGACTCATCTTAGGCTCCTCTACAGTAAGTGCGGGATCCAATACGACACGGTCTCCACCAAAACGAGTAAAACTGGCATATATGCTTCCAAGAACATTCTTCGCTCGTGAAGAGGACTTTCTACGAAGAGGATCCTCTATCGCACTATACACCAAATAAGTAAAAGTTTGACAGTCTCCCGGGTTCAAAATAAGCGATTCATTTGTTCGCTCTTCTCCACCAACTGAAGGTATGTTCAAATCTTTTACTATTATCGAAGGATTCTGATCCTCTTTAGAGCCTCTTTCACAGCCAATGTTATCTGAAAGTAAAAAATGAACCTCATGTAAATAAACTGGCAGTTGACAAACATTGTATATAAAACAGTCCACGATATAAACACTTGAAGGATGCAATGAAGCAAAAAACTCCCAATCTGTTTCTTCTTCTACCAAACGGATATCATAGATAAAGTTCAAACAGAGATGGACAGTAAAACGGTAAGACTGAGATATCGTATGTTCTTGACCATCCACATCTGTGTAAAACGCAAAACACTGCAAAGCATAATTTCCCACAACTTTTGCAACAAACTGCAAGTTGTATTCCAGAGAAGCTTGAGTTGTAAATATATTATTTGGAGAAGATTGGGTATCCAACAGACAGTAGCTTCCCTCTGATGTCTGTAAACGTACAAGAACACTCACGAAACCGAGATCTGAGCTCGACGCGTTGAGCAATACCAAAGTCAAGTGAACCGATTCTCCACGATAGATGTTAAAGTTGCTTGTATGTGATACATTTGAAGTTATTCCAAAACAGCTATCTTCAGCGGTCCGAGGCGAACTTTCGCGTGTGGTTACTTCAAAATCTTTTTCATAGCTTGACTTACGGTCAACTTGTTCATAAAACAATGGACGAATAAAAGGTATTGGAGCATGAAATGTCGGCTTGGGGCGTTCCGTTTTGATAATACGAAACAACAACTTGGGAGTACCGGAAAGGCTAGTGTTTTGACTGGGAGGAGAAGATCTCGCTTCACTCATGTTGGACAAGATGGCAAAACCAATTGGAAAGATGGAGTTGTTCTTATAATTGTTGTTGCTGTAAAAAGGATTTTCGTTCTATAGCAACGAATCTCAAATGTTTTAAGTAAAACCGAATAGTACAAAACAAACTTATCCATTTGAATATCGAGTCATTTCTAAAGTCGAACGTTGGCTTTAATGTCATTTGAAAGTTGCATATAACAAAGACTGATAAATAAATTCACCAAGCAACATTTCATATTTCAATAGAAATGGTAAGTTGAAAAGCAAAGGCTTCAACTCCATTTCTTACTAAACAACTTGGAAAGTAGTTCGATCGTCTGTAAAAATATCTGATAATGTCATCCTTTTGGGAATCACAATAAAATTGTCGAGGCTTGAATGCTGCCCTGTTTGCTGCCATCAACTGTAAATATATACCAATAGTCTAAAATGCAGCAAGTTCCCAGGCACGAAGCAAAACGAACTGGTGATTGGGTGCTTACTGGAACACCTTTTGACGAGGACCAGGTACCACCAAAGCAGTCCCAGTCTCAAAAGTATAGCAAGCTCACTCTTTCCTAAATACGCTTAGCTGAACTTGTTTATTTTCAAGGATAGCGCCAACCCTCGAATTCTTTCAGCAAGTGAGAGATGAGAATGGTCGTCAAAGGTTACATGGAGCTTTCAAAGGAGGTTTCTCAGCAGGCTATTTCAACTCTGTAGGCTCCAAGGAAGGATGGTATGGATAGCCACTTATCTATCAAACCCGTCATCACTGATATAAAATTTTTTGTCAACGTATTATAGGACTCCTTCTTCTTTTTATTCTTCTCGAACGAAACGAGCCAGACAAGAACCTAGAAATCGACTAGAAGGACTCATCGATGAAGAGGACGTTGAAGACGATGATCCAATATTTTCTATTGGTGGATTTCCGTTAGATGTAAAGCCTTATTTTGGTTGTTTGGGAAATCACGAAAGCCACAGAGCTTCTAGACAATCCAAGAAAGGAGCCTTTGAAGGAGCTTCTTCTCAACTCTTTTCTGAAGATATTTTGCAAGTTTCACCAGAAAGTTTCTCGCTAGGATTTCAGATGTTAAGAAAGTTAGGTTGGAGAGATACTCGTGTAATAGGAGAAGAAGGAAACGTGAAAAATGCACCGGTTGTGAAGGTATATGGTCCTGAATTGCCTTTGAAAAGTCATCAGGTGTCTTGGCGAGTAGATTCGTTACGTAGCGAAGATGATATTTCAGGAATAGGATACAACACAGAGAATATATTAGATTGGAAGGGACCAAAACGCGAAACGACTCAAGGGTTGCTGTACCAAACACAGTCAATCAGTTATCTAGAAGAAGATGATGACGAATATGATGTATTCGACAACCAGCAGGAAGATTATTTACAAAGTATACAAGACGCCGTCGAAAAACGAGCAAAGCTGTCTAAAAAAGGAGCAGATGATTTCAAGGAAGTAGATAAACCATCAAGCAATGATGCCTTCTTGGCAGGTAAACTTCAATTTCATATGGCTAATGAACAAAAGAAGAGAAAAGTTTATTCGGCTCCGACAGTTCCCGAAATGTATGATTTTCGTTTCTGTCCAGATAAGGACAAGTATGCCTACAATACAAGCACATGTGGTATTCAGACTACAAAGCGTTTACTTTCAAGCGTCAAAAATGCAGCAGATCGTCGCATTCTCCTTGGAGAGTCACTTATAAGTGTAAGTGGACCAAAAAAGAAAGTTGATCTGACAGATACCGGTGAACAACAACTGGTGGATAATTCCAAAGGACCTACAACGGGGTTGTCTAAGGAGATTCTGGACAAACTGAATAAGTCGATGACAGAAAGGTTTACCAGCTCAAGTGAAGATAATAATAACAGGGCATCTCAAGAGACTCATTCCAAAGTTTTGGAAGATACAAGGAAATCTCAAGGACTTCCCGTGGGTCAATCGAAGCGCGAGATACGATTCTGGCAACCTTCAAGGTTGCTTTGCAAGCGTTTCAACGTTCCTCAACCTACTGTCACAGGGGAAACATCCAAACGAACAACAAGTCGTATATATTCTGAACTTCCGGTTTTCGAAACCGAAAAATCCGTCGACCAAAAGACGGAAGATAAGTCGCAAAGAGATGATATAAAGGCCGACACTATGGATGAAGAGAAAGAAGAAACAAGCTTGATAAATAGCGAATTTCTACGACTTCGGTCTGAGCGACCCAGCACAGAGTTGTTTCGAGCTATATTTGATGAAGATAGTGAAGAGGAAGAGTTTGTGGAAACAAACGAGCTCCCCGAAGATTCCTTGCTCTATGTTCGACCCAAATCTCAAGACAAGAAAACAGCTGTCAACAACTCGAAAGCTATTCAGAGACCAAGAGCAGTTGACTATTTTTAAGGAATGACAACACTTAATTGTATAAATGAAACATTCAATAACTTTTATACATTTGTGTCGACATTGTGTGGCAATCCATTTGTTGGCGCGCAATTACATCGAAATGATGACCGGCGCCTTTCGTCGGGATTAAAATTTTTTCACTTGGCTACAGAAATTCTTGTTGATTATGACGCAGGATGCTTATGGTACTCGAAATAATTCAGCAAATGAGTCTACTAGAAAATATATTCCACCACACTTAAGAAGAGAGAGACGTATTGGAGAAGAGGACAAATATGACAGACTATCTTTTCCTAAGAGCAACTTCACCAGTGGTTCTGGTCGGAACTTTGGACGTGAAAGCTTTCGTGACGAGTCGAGAAGCAGAACCTTTACAGACAGGAGAACGGAAGGCCGCCCTATGAAGCGTTTTCCCTCCAAAGAAAACGGTTACAGAAGTGGTTTTGGTGAACGCGGGGAGCCAAACCGCAGGCAATTCTTCAACAGAAACAACAGAGAATGGAAAGACTTTACTGGAAAGGAGCGGTTTTATGCAGACCCTTTCAAGGGTAACGAAAATAATCATTTTCAAGATGAAGATATTGAACCAGGCACGACAACTGGTATAAATTTCGATCATTATGATGATATTCCAGTAGAAATATCGGGTAGTGACTGTCCTGACGAAGTTCTTAGCTTTGATGAAAGCAATTTACACTCGAGAATTTTGACAAACGTGAAGCTGTCAAATTATTTAAAGCCAACTCCGGTGCAAAAGAACGCTATTCCTGTTATTTTGAATGGCAGAGATATGATGGCTTGTGCTCAAACAGGCTCTGGAAAGACTGCTGCTTTTCTTCTTCCTACAATTCACAATATGTTGAAAATGGGAGGACCAGCACCCGTACCTGAAAAACCCCTTGATAGGGGTTACAGTAAAATTCAATTTCCGACTACTCTTGTCCTAGCTCCTACGAGAGAACTGGCTATGCAAATCTATCAAGAAGCAAGAAAATTTTGTTACTGTACTGGAATTATTCCTTGTGTGATTTATGGAGGTATTAATATCCGTATACAGTTCGAATCTGTTGCAAAGGGTTGCGATATTCTTGTTGCTACGCCTGGAAGACTTGTGGATATGATAGAAAGGGGCAAAATTTCTTTGATGAATATTAAATTTTTGATACTTGATGAAGCTGATCGCATGCTTGATATGGGCTTTGAGCCACAAATACGTCAAATAGTTGAACGCACAGATATGCCAACAACAGGAGAAAGACAAACATTGATGTTTTCTGCAACATTTCCTAAAGAAATTCAACGCTTAGCGAGTGATTTTCTATATGATTATATATTTTTAGCAGTTGGTCGTGTTGGTTCAACTACAGACTTTATTCTTCAAAGATTAGAAAGAGTAGAAGAACATGAAAAGAGAGATTTTCTTTTGAATTTGATTGATACTGTTTCGGGTCTCACATTGATATTTATGCAAACGAAAAGAGGCGCTGACGAGTTGGAATATTTTCTAACCAGGAAAGGTTATCCTGCCATTTCTATTCACGGAGATCGTTCCCAGGTAGAACGAGAAGAAGCTTTGCATTCTTTTCGTACGGGAAGGACACCGATACTCGTTGCAACGGATGTTGCAGCTCGAGGCCTTGATATTCCTAACGTCACGCATGTTGTCAATTTTGATATGCCAACCGATGTAGATGATTATGTTCATCGTATTGGTCGTACTGGTCGAGCTGGAAATTCCGGTTTAGCGACTGCATTTCTGAATGACAACAACATTGGTATTGCAAGGTCTTTAATTGATATTCTCATTGAGTCGGGACAAGAGGTTCCTATATGGTTGGAGGATATGGCAGAACGAGCACAGATGAACGCTCGACGAGGTGGTCGGGGACGGTTTGGTGGAAAAGACTTTCGACGAGAAAACAATTCTCGTGTGGAGCGCAAAACATTCAATTCTGGAAGGAGGAATGATAGTCATATGAATGACCATTACCGAAACTTTAACAACAGTGAAAGTGTGAACAAGGATAGTGCCTGGTTTTAATCTGGTTGTAGAGTGTCTTGTAATTCATTTGTTTGTGGCGTTGTCTTTCTTATGTCAGTTTGGAGACAATATACTTGTAGAGCACAAAATGCACACATGTTTATACAAAGGAGTGATCGATGTATTATCTCTTTTGAAAGTCTTTTTTTGATTCGGAGTTAGTTTCGACAAATGTATTTCTTTTGTGCTATGATATTTGTTTCCTTTTTGTGAAAAAGTGGTGTGGATGAATAAAAATCATTTGCATAACAATGCCTTTTTGGGATTCTCAAAGTGACAAGTTTCCTCTATTTTTACTATTCTTTATTGTGTTTATCATAACACTTCCTCTCTTTGTATTTTTCTATGTAAGGACTAATCACGTTCCTTTGTTCGGTATCAAAAATAGTGTCTACTCTTCTGCTTTATTGGCTGTTTTGACCCTCAACGCCCTCGTACTTGCATTCGTTTGGTTTGCACAAAGAGAAGCTAAAGGAGAGCCAGTCACAAAAAGGAAAGAATAGAAAATATACGGCCATTGCTAAAAGCTGCTTCTTCGTGAGAGGTGCCTCTTTCTATGCTGACAATCCACACAACTAGTGAAGACAGGAAATAGTATTCAATATGTTCATCCAGGTAAACTTGGTCAATGAGATATCTCCATTCTCTCATCCTCCATCCCGTTGAGCAACAAGGGAGCTTCCTCTCCTTCTTCCTTCTCTTGTGCCCAATTCTCGACACCCCAGAGCTTCCAAGTACGGTCAAAACAACAGCTTGCAATATATTGACCATCGCTTGTAGAATTGCAGCACATCACCTTATCTTCGTGATCTATTAATGCCTTTATCAATACCCATCCCTGTGTACTCCATAACTTGCAACTGTTATCGAATGAACTGGATAACAAAAAGTGACCATTTTTATGGAATTCTACATGTGATACTAACGCAGAATGTGCAGGTATTGTATACACACATCGCTTCTTCCTAATATCCCATATTCGAATAGAGTGGTCTTCACTACCCGTTGCAAAATGATATCCATCTGGAGAGCAATCGACCGTTAAAATGGGCTTACCATGACCTAGAAAAGATGCAATACTTCTTCCCGTACGAAGATCCCACAATCGGGCACCACAGTCAGCACCTGCAGATATAGCAAGAGAACCATCCACTTGAAATGATACTTTGTATAGAGGTTTAGAATGACCTTCTTGGACTAAAAGTTCTTTCCTAGTTTCCACATCCCACAGTCTCCAAGTATGATCAAACGAGGCTGTCGCTAAATATTTGCCGAGTGGATGATACTCAACACTAGTCACTCTTGCAGAATGTCCACGAAGAACAGTTGTTTTAGTCAGAGAGTAGTTATCACAGTCAATGGACCAAAGACGAACGTTGTTATCTGCAGAAGCACTTGCCAAAAGATAGGAAGAAGAAACATGGGGTGAAAAAGCTATCGAAGATACACGTTCCGAATGTCCTCGTAAAACTCCTACTTCATTGCAATCAGAAACGTTCCATAACCGAATGACACCGCTCCAAGAACAAGTTGCTAATATTTGATGGGTTGGTGCAAATCGAATACCTGTAAGAGGACGTTCGTCTCCAAACTGACTAGAAAGAACGCTCATAAATTGTGCGGACTTTATAAACTCTTTTCGCTTCTCTTGCCAAGAATGGGCCAAAGAAAAGTCTTCGTCGTCCATATCATTCCTTTGTTCTGAAAAGGCTTTCAGAGCACGGACTCTTCTCTTTTCTTGCGATACCCTTTCTCGAGCACATTTCAAGGAATGCAAACAGATTTCCTTTCTCGCTGCCCTTAATCGAGCCGTTCCTTCTGTATAAAATGTTTCTGTCTGTTTATCATCTCCCAACTTGGGACCTTCCGGAATCACTTGCGTTTCGTCGGACTCTTTCTCTGCTTTTTCCAATTCAAGGGCTAATATAAGCCTTAGTCGTTCTCTTCTATCATAAGCGTCCTCTCCAAATAGTGTTACTGGTACTTGTCGCTTTCGAAGTTCTTTCCTAACTTGGACGTCATCAGTCGGTAACAGAATACCACGAGCTTCTCGTTTTCTTTCAAATTCTTCCAACACTTTTCTATGCTGTTCTAAAGTGGACTCTGCTGCCCTATCTATATAACCTATTTCTGAACCGTCCTCATATTCATCTTCCATTCTCTTAGTCGTTGAACCAAATTCATTCATCACAATTTGAAATTGGATTGTAAATACTTGTCAACAGGGATATATTTGTGTATTTCTTCATTTTCAATAGGTGATGGGAAGAAGAGTTCTCCTTCCCTGTCGTAAATACATTGCTCATAATGTCCCATGGAACTGCATAGAAACAACCTTTTGCAAGTTGCATAAGACTTTCTACGAATGATTTATCTTTTAAAAAGATCAACAAGTCGATGACTGTTATAGCTCATATTCGAAAGATATCGATATATTATTTATGACGATTGTTTACAAAGAGAGAAAGAGAGAGAGAAAGGAATCTTCACAATGTCCAACAAAGACGATGCAACTTGTCCATTTCACCTCCACTTTTCAAATAGGCTCGAATATACTCCGACTCCGAGTGTTGTTGAATAAATTCGGATTGCTCATACAAAGCAAGAAACTGTTTGACTTCATCCAACTGAAAGGGTTCCACATACACTCGATAGGGCTCCAATGCTTTCATTTGCTCTTCACCTGTTTGATCATTGCGTTGTTCCAATGTCAAAGGGAAATGGGAACATTGTGCAATCAACTTCCGTCTTATCTTATAAGGCATCAAAGAACGACAAGTTGCAGCCAACACCAAACCATTGGCAAGTGACTGACCCAACTTTTCAAAGTCTAATAAAGGCCACATCATTCGAAACGCAGAAGCATGAAATCTCCTTCTCACTTGATCTCGAAAAGGGGATAGTCCATATACAAAATTATATTCATCTAATATCAACGCAACGGGATATTCGGTTACCTGTTTGAGTTGTTCCACAAGGCCTAAATAGACATCGGTTATAACTCTTCCTGCCGTCTTTTCATCCTCCAACTTCATATGATGTTGATATTGTTTGATTCCTGATTGCAACCATTCAGCTAAATTGTTTCCATTTTCTACTGAATCATCATTCGAAGGCAATCTCAAAGGTATTTTGGATAATTGAGTAATATGTGCTTTCAACATATTCTGTACTGCCTTGAAAGCTTCCACCGGACGATCCACGTGAAGACAGTCTACCCAAGGATCGGTCTTCTCTGTTCCGGGCTGGGACAATATAAGAGAAGATGATGCGTTCAAAATATCAAATAGACGAGGCATATACATAACCAACCAGTCATTCCGACGACACCAGTGCACAGCTCTTAGCAACGTGGTGCTCTTCCCTACCCCTGGTCTACCATCTAACAACTGCTTCTCATTCTAGCCCATTCCAAAGTATCCCAAGGAATACTTACCAGTCCTACTTTCTTTTTTGCCAATGAATCTCCTTTTGAAAGATTTTCCTCTTGAGCAAGTTTCAAATAGTTGATGACGTGGAGATCAGAAGGACGAGTCATCAAGAAAAAGTTCTCTTTCAAGTCGTGATACCGTATATCAACCAATCTTGGCAAGTCTTCTGGAATCAACTTCAAGTCCAAAAAACCCGCGTTTTGTTCTGCGACTCTTTTCTTTTCATCCAAAAGAGGCAACTTTAACTTGCCTCGAGAGGATGTGCTTGTCGTAGGAACGTTGCTGCATAGTGTTCTTCTTCTCCATTCTTGTAGACTAACGAAAGGTGATGGTTTCCAATTTTTAGTAACCACTTTCATAACCCTAGTCGCCATATCGTTAAATAAGAATAAGAAGAATCCTTATTCACAATGATCCATCATCGCCATTCTCATTTTGGAAACGACGATCATGATGACTAGTCCGTTGGATAAGATTGCTTCTTATCTTTGTTCTCATCAACCTTTTGCTTTACAAAAGAGAGTCGTTGAACTTGTTCATTTGTTACAACAGGATCCCAATCGCATCTCTTCCTACATAATACTGTATGGAATACCTGAAGTTGCTGGTTTACGTGCTCTAGTATGGAGTTGTTGCATTCGACATTGGTTGGCTTTCCATCGGACGGACTCTTACTGGGATGGGGTTGCCCTATATTGTCGATATCCAACAGAACAGTTGTGGAAGGATGATAGTTGCTCCGAAACCGTGGACCATCCCCTTAACCCTTCTCAAGACAGTATATGGCAACAATACTTTTCCGATCAACGTTTGATGGATAGAATTCGTATGGATACTAGTCGAACGCATCCCGATTGGCATCTTTTCCGCCAACGAGAGCCTTCTATGATTCGTATGTTGTTTCTTTTTGCCAAACAACATCCAGAATTGGGTTATATTCAAGGAATGAATGAATTGGTTGCACCTTTTGTGTATGTATATTTATGGGATGGTAGTTTGGTTTGGGATGAGAAAGAAGGAGAAGCAGGTAAGTGGATGAATAGATAGAAAAAGAGAGCACTCAAGTTGAGGATTAGAAGCTTTTATAGCGTTTGATAGTTTCTTTTGTTCTTTTGTAGCGTCATTGTATCAGAATATTTCCTATTTACAAGAAGCATTGGTTCAAGTAAGCCTTGTATGTGACAACTAGAATGATATATTGATAGGAGATGGATAGGCAGAACTTCTTTTGAAGCAATGGGATTCTCTTTTATGGCAACATTTGAAACGGCATCAAGTTGATTGGTCCTTATTTGCTAGAAGATGGTTACAGTTGTGTCTTTGTAGAGAGTTTGAGTTACCTGAGTTGTTAAAGATATGGGATGTTTTATTAAGTATTCCTAATCATTCATCATTACGTTGGACGTGGTTGATAAGGTTTATCGTAGTGATGGTTCTCCATTGTAAGTAAGTACAAAGTATCCAATGGATAAAGAGAGAGAGTTATATATATATATATGATATGTATGTGAATCATTTATGATGTATATGATAGGTCATTGTTGTTATCTTGTTCATCTTTTCAACAATGTATTTCCATATTGCAACATTATAGTACATCCTGTCATATGAATGAGTCAAAAGTATTTCAATTGATTCATGAAACCCACCAAAGAATGCAACGAGAGAACCCACTTTATGAGGGTTGACAACATTGTTGATGATTGGATTGATCGATATATAAAATATCACAAAGAGTACATTCCATTCCATTTCTTCCCATCATACCAATGGTTTGAGCCCAAACATAGTTTTCCAAAGTATCAAAGTCTTTTGATAGTTTTTCTATCCAATCAGCCATATTCTTTGCATCGATGGTGGATACTTTATACAACTCACTCCATCTATACAACAACTTCCATGGAATCATGGACATTGAAGAAAAAGGGTCACTTCTTCCCATAGACTTCCATTTCCATTCCCAATTGATTCGTTGTAAAGGAAATATATAAACTGTATAATCCCGAATAGGTGAGTGTGATTGTTGGTTTTCTATATCAACCCAACGAAAACTAGGATTTCCAGGTACTCTTCTTCTACTAGAAAGTCCTGAATGTATCAACAATGTGGATATCACTTGAAGGGAATGGTCCTTTTGGGTCATCACTCGAAGTTCATCGTTCGTATGGTCTCCATACAACTGAATAGATAGCATATCCTTCCTGATAGAATATTCTCTCATCAAAGATACAAACCAATCCACAAATACAGGACACCAATTATATTCTTCACTGGATTTCCAACCCGGTGGAATATGAGAAACTAGAATGACTTTCTTTCCTATGGCATTGAATAACTCTTTGCGCAACCAAATTTGTTGCTGTTGTACTGAATACAACGATGACATAGACTCACAGATCTCATCATCTATTCCTACTCGTTCCGATGAATCATTCCTTCCTATGGATAATAACCCACTCGACCAAAAACGAGGTGTAAACCATAGAGAATTGTAAACGATGACTCGCAATTCATCATTCATCATGTGATAACTATGACAACCTAAAGTTTGAAAGGAATAACTAGTGTTTTGAAAATAGAGTTGTTCTAATTGGCCCAATTGTTGGATAACATAACGTTCCATATCATCTATATTCCTAAAGCGATCATCATCGTCACTATATGGAATAAAAATATCATGATTGCCCTAATCACAATCCATATATTCATTATATGAATATAATGAATATGCAACTTACAACGACAGGTATCCAACAAGTATTTGGAAAATAATATCGATACAAGTCCAACCAACGAAGAATGGTCTCTTTGTGCAACTTGTGAGGTACTTCATGAGCTAGTATTGGGATTGGAAACTCCACTCGATGTGCAAACCAATTATTCCAACTTACCTACCAAATCTCCAGTAAATAATATAAAGGCAGGGAAGGAACAAACTTTCTTCATAGCTTGCAACATGGACTCTACTAGAAAAATGGAGGAATCACATCCCAATCTTCCAAAAGGATAAGCCAATTCGGAGGAATTGTGGATAGTTTCCCAAACAGGACGCAAGTTATGTTGGTCACTAACAGAAAGATGGAGTGAAGGACGACGGCAACTCCAACCTTGTTCCAAACTCCAAGTAGGTTGATATAGAGGATCCATATGAATATCAGATATATGAAAAAATCCTTCAAGGTTTCTAGATTTCTTGAAACGAGAAAGAATAGGATAAGATAGTTGTCTTGTTACAACGACGCCGACCCAACTCAATACAATCACAACCAACAACCAAAACAGCAAAGACTCAAGACTCTACACATAATGAACAAGTATAACAAGGAGAAAACCAAAATCCATTCTATTATTAACTATATCCAGTATTGACCTTTTCCTACTTACCCACAAACGTTGAGAGTGGTGCACAATCAAGTGTTGTTCGACTTCTCTATTCCATCGAGTCCATCTCATGATTTCTCTCTTTTATTATCCAAATGGTTTCTTAGCAGATACAAGTGTACCTCCTAAAATGAATAAGCCACCCAACCAATCACTCGATTGAAGACTTTCATGTAACAACAAAAATGAAAACATGCAAGCCCATAAAGGTTGGGTTGCATAAATCATGGCAGCGTCACTTGAAGAAACTTGTTCTTGTCCAAACGTTTGTAATAAAGTACTTACACCAGATATCATCACACCAGTCCATAATATGACGGAAACAAATATCCACTTGTCATCGGTATGTAAAAAACTTTGCATCGACTCGAAACTGGTCATGAACCAAGTATGCAATGGAGTATCATGATGTTGGTTGGATTGAACATTGTCCCACAACAACCAAATCATCGACAACAACGCTTGCATGCTCACTTTGACACTCGCTAATGAAATAGATGAATAGAGACGAGCATAGTAACCCAACCTAATTACATAGACTGAGAAGAATGCAGCAGCTAATATTTCTAAGCCATCTCCCAAAAAGGAGATACGGTTAGAAGATGAATAGGATTTACTCGAGGAAAGAATTGCTACTCCTATAATGGATATAATAGAAGCAAAACGATCGCTTCGACTGGATACGTATCCTAACCAGCCAGAAATAATGGGTACAAATAGAGTTTGAAGTTGTACTAAAAATGATGCTCTTGAAGCAGATGTCGTTTCTAAACCAACCACTTGAGAAACATTGCCTAAAAAGACCCATATACCAAGTTCCATTCCAGCCAAGAGCCATGAATAGGAAGCTTTAAATGAAGAACCAACGGACTTGCCACGAGAAATATCCATTGACTCTTCTTTGTTTCGAATAAAGGAATGAATAAGAATGGGAAGATATAGCGAGGAAGAGAGCAATAACCGAAGTGTATTAAATAAAGCTGAATCCGGAGCATGTGGAAGATCAAATAGAATACGTACACTAGGACTAAAGGTTCCATGAAGGATTGCAACCAAAAAGAGGATCCACCGTCTGTCCACTCCTTGAAAAAAACTGACCACTGGATTATTCCACAGCTGTGACTGCTTGGTGTATTTGAAAAGTGTCGGCTTATTGTTTTTTTTGGGACCCATTTTAGGAACCAAAACTTGAACGGCATTTGATTTCTGATACAATCCTATACGTCTCTTTAAATATATTAGATCTGTGATCCAAAAGTTTAAAGTTGAGGAAAATATTTTTCGGTTGAGAGAAAAGAAAGACAATGGTTTACATAGCCACTTGCTAGAATAAATAACAAAAACCATGATGATAAGACCAAACAACTTTTCGATTGTGGTCAAGTTGAATCCCATTGGTATGAAATTCGTTTCACTTTTTCAACTGCACAAAACATACTTTGTTCATTTTGGAAAAGAAGATTAGGCTAGATAAGACTACGTCTACAGATTCACTAAGGAAGTGTTTGTATATATCGAACGTAACTTGTGTGTCTTTGATTTGAAAAGCAATCGTATTTGGATCCATTGTAGTTTAGTATGAGCAATTGAACTACAATCCAAAACTTGAAGAAGACTGTTTTCCTTTCATATAAGAACTTTTGAAAACGATTGTCCTTGTCTCTATTTGAAAAACATTATTCTTCTCTTAATGGACTCCAGTTTCCTATCCTGTCGTAGAAATTTGTATTATCTCTGATAGTTCATTGCTCCTCCCATGATACGTATTGGCATTTTTGTTAGTACTTATCAAGACTGTTTATTATCTTCAACGTCTTGGCACAAAATATAAAACCTTAAACCGTCGATATGGTTTCATGGAGACTTGAACTCATGATATGCTGTGTCTTCAACAAAATGACATTATGTTTTTTTTTGGATTTTTGGGGATCTATTGGAATTTTTGAAAAAATGAGAAGAGAAGGAGAAATACATGAAAGCCTTGATAGTGTATTCCCTCGAGTGTCTCCTTTGGTACAAAGTTTCTTGAAAACGGAAGAGTTGTTCCAGAATATTGTCGAAAAATCAAGACAAGTTGACTACACTGTTCAGTCTACTATAGAATTGGCAGAGTTCACAGTATTATCGTGCGTATCGTCCACTCATTGTTCTTTCTTTCTCTTATACACTTTCAATTAGGTTGCATTCCGCTCGTGATACAGTTGTACAAGGTTTTTCATCCCAAGGTAGTTCATCCCATGGACCAGAGTCTGCTTAAAGTTATGAAGGAAATAAAACAAAAGACTTTGAAAAATTTCAAAAAAAAACATCATCTTTTTTTAGGAGGGAATTCTGCACCCTCCGGTAATAGAACCGTTGAGTCGGGCACTCAAGCAGCGAATCATTGACAATAATCAATCTATCACGTCATGAACCTATATCATCCGGTGCCTTTGCAAGATACTTGAAAAGAATATTAATCTGTAAAAAAATTCTTAGTCAATTAGTTAACTTCGGATTGAAGACAAACAAAAACGCATCAAATACGCTGCAAATAGAGCAAAAAATAAGACAAAAAATAAAATATAGATATTCATTTTAAGGATTATTCAAAAGTAACTATATTAACACAACGAAAAAAAAACTTAAATGAGCTGGTGCCAATTTCAAAAAAAAATTATCAGGGTGCATAATAACTATAGGAATCTCATTCAATTTTGATGCAGTCTCAGTATTATTCAGATTGTGGTACACAATTTTTTATTCATGAAAAATCTCAAAAACTAGGTCGATTGGATAAAAAATTAAAAAAAATACTGTAATTTCAAAATTATTTTATATTTTAACTGCAATTATTCAAATCACAGAAAATTTGAGCATTTCTTGTTTTCAGTCATTTTAAATAATTCAAAACAATCAAATATAAGAGAGAGTTCGTCTCATTAACCAAATTGCTAAGATTTGGAATTTTTCTAAAACTTTTTATATTTGTTGGAGAAATTAATTTTTCCTTTTTACAATTCTGTCGTAAATGAAATCAAGAATTGAAATTGTTTCTTTAATATAATCATTTTAGACTGGCTCTAACAAATAAACTTTGGCTTTCCTTCTTTTGTAGCCAGGGACTCCTCATGATCTATAGATCGCGTAATGACTCGGGGTCCTTCTCCAATTTTTGTAACAATAGATCGAATAATGCGATCACTTTGAGAATTCTCAAAAACGGAACGTGTCACACCTTCTCGTGTTACTGGAAAAAAGCCAAATTTCTGATGTAAGGAATTCATTAACTTTTCCAAATTCTCCTCTCGCGTCAATAGCACTGCGTTAGGTCCGGCATCGAACGTGTACGCTACGGTTATGTCATTATTGTCGGCATTGTAATCATGCACAAATTGAATAATCTCTTTTGAAACCTCGTTGAGATAAAAAATTGGAGGGAAAGTATCCAAGCAACAAGCGTGAAACTGATTGCTTTCTTGCATAGTTACTGTTGCTAGTGTTGGAAAATCCGCCTTTTCAATAGCATCTCTCATACGAGAGAGTTGCATGGATACAACTTCCTTTGCACGAAACTTTTCTTTGATGAGTCGAATGATGAGAAAGATGTTACGGTCACCACCAACCTTTAGCAAGTCACTTGTTTGTACGGACGTTTGCATTCCAGCGGTGCTACTCGTTTTCTTTTGTTGTTCATTTACTATCAATATAATAACTCGAAGACTCTTCCATTTATCTCCTGTGGCAATCTGTCTCGCTATACTATCTGATCCATCCAAGGCAGTGCCACTTTCCCATAAGACGAATCCTCCAAGCAAACTTCTACAAGCACTTCCGGAGCCTTGCCTAGCAATGGTTGTTAGTTCACCTGGAAAGGTCTCTTTGAATTGCAACAACTGTGCTATCGAATAAACTAAGATACTCCTTCAGTCTTCCCATAGAGCAAGGATATCCTTTGTAATTACCAAAACAAGCTAAACCAGAGGCACTTGAAGCCAAACCTGCAGCGGTAGGAAAATTATTCTCTGATATAATGTGCAATCGATAGTTTTTCCACTCCTCTTTTGCAATCATGAGTTTTCCGTCACGCCATAGGTCATCCGCTCCTTGACGCAATTTTCTGATACAAGTCTGCATTCGTTTATTATTGATATCGTGTTCTCTTTCGATGATAAATATGTGCTATCAAAATTCCCAATCCTGCAAAACTTACTTTCCGTTGAGCCACAGACGATCTCTATCGAACTGTTTCGACGCAACTACTGTAGTCTTTGTTCGCAGATCAGCAACATCCAAAGTAATACTGAGAGAAGGATTTAACGGCAAAATTTTATCTTCTTCTCTTTTTCCCCAATACTTTATCAAAGCTATATTCACTGGTGCTGTACATGTCACCGTAAGCGGATCATCAACACTCATCATCTTCTGTCCCCCTCCACAGCAGAGAAAGAGAAAACCATATTGTTGTTGTTGTTTTCATGAACTTAAAGTGTACTCTTTCTAGTTATGTAGATCCATTTTCTGGTCTTCCAAATAACAATAATTCCACAAACTTTACAAGTCACAAGAGAGTTTTACTATTTTGTTACTTGTTTTGTTTGGTTTTCCTTTTATGTGCCATTGCACTTTGTAGCTTCCGTACCGTTTGTCTCCGTTATGGGAAGAGTTGGTTGTCTACCTACCATTTGGGTTTTCACGCAGTTGCTTATGGTTTCGTGTGTTTATTATTGTTTGCTATTCTTTCTCACGTTCGATCAAACCGTTGTCGTTGGTGGCAAGTAGCTACCTTTTCTATACTAGTAACAACCATCATAGGTATAACTTGGAGTTTCAAATTGATGTATGTATATATATATATATATACATTATTCTATGGATAGGTTTATTGGTTGAAGTGCTTCAAAGTCACTTTGGTAGACAGTTATCTCTACTCGACGCCGTTATGAATGGTGTAGGAGCTTGTTGCAGTATGTTGATAGTATTTTGGTTCCATCTGTTCAGTCATCGCAACTATGTGAACAGCTACTTTCCCAACTGATTATCATTCTATTGTAGGCTATTCGCAACTGTATAAAATCTCGGCTATGTCTCATGATTATGAATAGTTGACTCTTCTGTTGGCCAAGAATTGTTTTTGAAAGGATAAGAATGTCTTTGTTTCTATAGCTCGTTGTAGTTGATGAAAAAACTCCATATATTGGGTAGTATTGTGTACCATCAATAAGGTCATTGCCAACATTTCATGAACATTCAGGAGATGGTTCAAATAAGCTCGAGAATATTGTCTACAAACTGGACAAGAACAATGCAAGGATAAGGGATTCTTATCCTTTCGGTATTGTATATTCCACAAGTTGTTCTTGTGAGGCAAATCCAAAGCATAACCATGAATCGATAACGTATAAGGATAGGAAGAGATAAAGCAATCGATTCCACAAGCTACCAACCCTATTACTTGTTCCAATGAAGTGGAGCCGTTCATTACACGAGGTGATGAAGTTGGCAATTGAGAAATAGAAATATGGGCCAGTCTTTGTTGTTCCACTAGTTTGATGCGAGATTGTAAGGCGTCAATGTAGAATCCTCCAATTCCTGTTAGTTGCGATATCGTTTTTGCATGTTGCTTTCTTTGTTCTATATCCATTCCACCTTGAACAACTCCAATGGCTATGGAATGATCAAAGGATGAATGATGACTAGAATCGTGCACATTATTCCTATCATGAAAATGGAATGATGATACGAACCTCCATTGTTTGATAAAATTGCTTTGTAATACAGTCGATTGTTCGCTATAATCACGTATCGTACGACTGGAATCCGAGCTGCAGTCGTCATAACTTGTCACGCAAGGACATTCCGCCATATGACAATCGGCGGTGTGTACCAAATCCAAGTATTCGCTTTCTGAAAAAGTAATACAACTCCCTCGTTGATAACACTTCAACTGTTGTCTTTTGGCTATTCAACAAGGGATTGGAATTTTCACCAACATACACAACGGATGGAATCTTACCGGAATAAGTTACTTTTTCTAGCTCTTGTTGAGAGATAAAGGACAAGTACAAAGGATGAGGTTGTAGTTGACAGTATTCTTGAATACCCGAACCAAACTCTTTCAATACTTGAGAACCTTTGAGTTTGCTGTTGGAGTTGAAATATAGAAAGTCGCAAGTCTATAGAGGAAAAGAGAAACTTGGGAAGGCGAAAGCCAAAGTATTACTTACATCCAACTCTAAACATAAAGAAGGAAGCTCGGACAATAAATCGTTGGTCACGTGAGGCAAGGAACCACGACAAGTGACTAACAAACAATGAGGTGTCTTACACTCAACTTTATACGACGACTTGTAAAAACTGAAGAGTCCTGTTCTAGCATTGGTTTCAGTGTCTTGATCCATCGGATCCCATTTCATATTGTCCTTTAAAAACAATGCCACTTCCACAGCGCAAAATGGACTAATTACTTGTCGATGCTTTATACACTTCAAAAAAACTCTTACAACGACACCGAAAGTGATCTCTTTGAACATTTCCATATACCGCCATCTCGATGAGATCCAGCTCCCGTTCAGAAAAAGTGATCTCACAACTGAATGACTCAAGTTGTTCTGCTGTCAATTGACGATCAGCCTATCTTGTAGTAAATATTCGCATTCATGAGAACAGAAATATTCGTTGCAATAAGCGCTATACCAACTTTTAAACGATTGATTCTAGTCTGCAATATTTGACAGTTTTCAACAGTAGAAGCTCCACCTTGAGAATACTGCAATTGTTAGTATTGGAGGGATAAATGAGACTACATACGGGAATGACGTGATCATACTCGTGGCAAAGACAACCTTCACAAGAAGTTAATCTTTTGCACACTGGATTACGAAATGCGTCTAAACGCCAACGATCAGGATCTCTACCAGGAACAGGAGTAGCCTTCACATATTATTTTCAATTGAAATAAAAAACATAAATAGCAACATATCAACCAACCTTTTCCCAACAAGCAGCCTTCACTCGGTTACTAAAAATACGGTCGTTGGTGAAGTGATCCGATGGTTTGCCCATTTGTCTTTTGTACACAAGTTGGTCTTGTGGTGACCTAGAAAAATATTATTGAAGTGGGATCTTTTGTCAAACAACTTACATAAAATATGTCAGCTTCAGAAGAAAAGGAAGATAAGACGCGAAGTTTAGAAACCAGTCAATTTAAAGAATTATTGGCAGAGCGTATAACGACCTTGGAAAGTAGCCAAGACACTGAAGAGGATAAGAGAATAGGTAAGAAATAACTGTTGAAAGTATGGCCGTTGTTTCAGTAACCCGTACAGAAAACAAATATAAGACAGCTGTCAAAGAAGGCAAAGCATTGGCTGAGTCAACAGACAGTACACCCGAGTCCAAACTGAAGTCTCTTTTGTGGAAATATATAAATAAGTGTACAGAATGTAAAAACTTGGAGTATGACGTCTGTAGGGAGAGACAAAAGAGCATCGTTTTGGAAAGAGAATTGGAGGATATTTGTTTCGAGATGAAGAAATTGAGAGCTGCAAAACAGAAATTGGAAACCCTCAGTAGAGAATTGAATAAACAAAACAAAACACTAGCAGTAAGTTGCCACTGATTGCGTTGGCTGCCACTTAAATGTTGTTGCGTATTATTAGGAGGAAAGCGAACGACGCCTCAAGGAAGAAAAGGAAAGACAGGCGGAGATAGTAAAAAAGTTCAACGAAGCCATGGAAGAAATCAACTCGAAAATTGAATATCACTCAACAAAAGAGGCGGAAATGTACAAGCAAAAGTTGGAAGAAAAGATAGAGGCCTTTCATGTTTTGCAGGAAAAATATGACCTTCGAGAAGAACACTTTGCTACTCAACTTGGAATGAAAGAGCTGGAAGCAGAATTAGCAAAGGCCAAGTTGAGAGAAGCAACGGAGGAGTTTGAGAGGAAAAAAGAAGAAAATAATTCACAAATGAGAGAATTCTTCTTAGTTGTAGATACGTTACAGTCAAAACTTGCGGAATATGATAAGAAATGTTCGCAATTCGAGGTATGAGATTGAAAGTGGTTCGATTGCAGTAACTTATGTATGTCAGGAAGCTTTGGAACAGAGCTCGTCTGTTTTTAAGAAATATGAAGACACCATCGACAAGTTATCCAAAACTGCATTTAGTTTACAAGAGACCAATGGGGACCTGAAGAAGCAGAATGAAGAAGCGGGTTCGCAGCTTGCTACTCTCACATCAGAATTAGAAGCGGCTAAAAAGAATGAACAAAAGGCAAAGGAAAAATGTGAATGCCTAGAAAAGCTTTGCAGGAGCTTAAGTGCAGAAAGAAGCTCCCTTCAGAAGCGAATCGATGAGATATGTACCGTTTGGTCAGTTGTTGAAAATCAAATTTCAGGTTTGAAAACACAGGTAAGCTTCATGTGTGTTTTTGCAGAATTTAGTCTTTATGGCGACCGCTCTAGGTAGAAGAAGTAGGGAGTGGTAAAATATTAGAGTCTTTGCAGAAACTAAAGGATAAAGGAGAACTTCCTGAAGGAGAGTTTGTTGCTATGTTTGAGGAATTTAGACGTTTGAACTTTCAGGAACGGTTTAAACTGTTTTCGAAGCTTTCATTGGGTGTGGATCAAAGAAACTCCAAATGTGAGAGTAAACCATCGAAAAGTAGCAAGTAGTTGACAAAGGTCTCGTTGGACACTTGAAAACGATATATAAATACATACATACAATTTATAGATATTTATATCTCAAGACAAGTCTTCAACGATGTATCTGAAAAAGAAACTTAGAAATGCGCAATTCTTTATTTCCAAAAATTTGGCGCCTCGACATTTTTCATCATAAAACGCGCAAGTATGGAAACTTTGAAACCTAGCAACAAGCCACAGTTTTGGTTAAAGTCACGTTGGTTTCAAGTATTTATTATTTTATTGTGTACAATGTGTATATTGTGTTTGTCGTTGAACCCTGAAACGCTTGCAAAGTTATCACTGGAAGCTTTTCAAGGCAACTCACTCTTAACCCCCAAAGAGTCGGTACAAGATGCACTTTGTGACGTTCATACTTTATATCACGAAAACCAAGTGAAGCTGAATAAGAAGCTTTCAAAGTTGGTGCAGAGAACTTTCTTTCGCATTTTCAAGGTAGACTTGTCAAAGGAATGTCCATTTTGGCCCGATGATGGACAGTGTGCGCTTAGGGACTGTAGTGTTTGTGCTTGTAGTGAGGACGAGGTACCTGTGCTTTGGAGACTTGGAGGTAACCAAGAGACTTCGTCTTTTCTTTTCAAAAGCTCGGTGGCCACTTGTGAGTCCTCTGGTGGAAGAGATGTCTTGAATGATGTAGATAGAAACTTGGGTGATGCACAGTTTCATAAGTGGCGAGAAGAAGATGAAGACGTTTGGATTATTGAAGATAGCGATGACAGTATGATATATGTGGACTTGATTGCCAATCCTGAGAGATATACTGGTTATCAAGGAGTTAGTGCTACTCGAGTATGGAGAGCGATTTATAACGAGAATTGTTTTCTTTTCGCAGATAGCTGTGCTGATCAAGAAGTTTGTTCACTGCAACAACACCATTGTAAAGAACAGCGAGTATTTTATCGACTGATATCAGGAATTCATACTTCTATCAATATGCATATTGCAAAGGAGTATTTATTCAAAACTCGTTGGGGTCCCAATGTCAAATTGTATCAAGAAAGAGTGCGACAATTCCCGGAAAGAGTAGAGAATTTGTATTTTGCGTTTGCTGTAATTCTTCGAGCCATAAGCAAGGCCATGCCTCTTCTGTTACCAGAAGTTTATGATTACCGCACAGGCAATGTGACTGAAGATGAAATAACTTCACAAGTACTGAGAGATGTATTCTCCTGTTCGAAATTATTAACTCCCAACTGCTTAACTTTTGATGAAAGAGAACTTTTTCGAGCACCTGAAGGCATTTTTGTTCAAAAGCAGTTCAAAGAGCATTTTCGAAACATTTCAAGGATTATGGACTGCGTAGGTTGTGAAAAGTGTCGTTTATGGGGAAAACTTCAATTTCTTGGCATTGGAACAGCATTAAAAATACTATTTGATGAGCCACTGTTATCCCTTCAGCATAATGAAGTGAGCTCCTTGTTGAATGTATTGCACAGGCTTTCGACGAGCGTTATGACTGTCGCATATATGGAACGATTGCTTCTTTTTCAAAGAATACGAGAATGGTCGTTTGTGACTTGTTTCATATCGGTCGTTGGTTTTGTTTTTATGTTGTGTTTTAGACGTTCACATTGGGAACGAGAAGAGCTCAACCACAAGATGAAGTCGGTTTAATATCTCAATTTTTTCTGGAGATGGAAATATTTCACATTTCTGTGCAAGTTGCCACATTCATTCATCAAAACTATATAGTTGTGGTTGAGAGGACTCTACAGAATAAATAGGAATATTTTTCTAAAAGAGTTACAAGACAGAATACTCATAGTTTATCCAACATGCGCATATGATAGAAACCCAAATGTCACCTCAATCAATTGTTGAACAAAGTAGAAACCGATTCTTCTCGATGAATTCGATAGATAGCTTCAGCAAAAAGTCTTGCTGCAGAAACAATTCGGAGTTGAGGAAGTTGTTTTTCGGGCGGAACCACGATGGAGTCAGTAACGATCAGAAAGTCAATACAACTACGACGAATTCTTTCGACTGCTGGACCAGATAATACTGGATGAACACAACAAGCGATAACTCTCTTTGCACCGTGTTCCTTTAAAGCGTTGGCAGCTTCCGTTAGTGTACCTGCAGTATCCACAATATCATCGACTATGATACAGTCTCTTCCAGAAACATCGCCAATAATGTGCATAACATGTGCGACATTAGCCGCTGATCGACGTTTATCTATGATTGCCAATGACGCGTTAATTTCCTTTGCTAAAGTACGAGCTCTTTCCATTCCACCAGCATCAGGACTCACTACAACTGGGTCATGTACGCCTCCAAAGTCATTCTCTCTTAAAAACTCAACAAAAGCTGGTACTGCCAAAAGTTGATCAACTGGAATATTGAAAAACCCTTGAATTTGACCAGCATGAAGTTCCAAACCCAATACTCGCGAAGCACCAGCAGTGGATATCAAGTCTGCTACTAACCTAGCTGTGATGGGAACCCTCGGAGCAGCCTTTCTGTCTTGTCTCGCATATCCGAAATAAGGAATCACAGCAGTGATACGCTTGGCAGAGGCTCTTTTCAGGGTATCGATCATAATGAGGAGCTCCATAAGACTATCATTCACTGGAGGAGAAGTTGGCTGAATGATGAACACGTCCTTTCCCCTAACGTTCTCCTTAATGGAAACAAATATCTCCCCATCTGAAAAACGTCGAACATCTTTTTCCCCGACACACAAAGAGAAAAATATCTCAGTCAGTGTTGTGGAATCATCTTTTCAAGGAATGACACAACATACCGGCATCCAGCAGTGGGATGTTCAGAATGCGTGAAATCTCCAACGATAAACTTCTGTTTGCGTTACCACTCAAAAGTCTCAATTCATAGTTGAAGGCCTATACAAGACGTTTCATATACGATAACTTTCCATTCACTCAACGAACCCTGTCAAGTCGTTCTTCTATTTCTTTGTGAACATCTATTCCATTTAAAGTGGTAGACCCTTCTGTGCCTTTCTGCAAACGCTTGTCAGGTTCCATGGTTTCTATGACAACCGTTATCAATCGATCGTCGTGTAAGAAAGTGAATCAATAATGACAATCTATAGAAAATGGCTCTGTCAAACTCTCAAGTTTCTTTGAGGTACGTTTTATGATATGCAAAGTAAAGCATTCATTAGAAAATCATATCAACATGAATCACAATGACAACCATTCAACAACTACTATAGAACAAAGAAAGTTTACCATCTAAAACATTCTACTCAAAAACAGCTTATTTATTTTGAAAGTTCTGTAGTAGCAGACTTTCGCAAAAATAAAATTAAACTAGGAACAACATTTCTTCTTATGGGTGCCTTTGTCTTCAGCTGGATCTCTCACTACCACACTTTCTCCCAACGCTGGTTTAAAAGAAGGATTCTTTTCGTTCGTAAGAGCCTTTTTATGCACAATTCGATAAATTTCCGTCAATAACTGAGTAAAAGCTTGTTCCACATTCGTAGCATCCAAAGCAGAAGTTTCAATAAATGACAAAGAATGCTTCTCCGCAAACTCTTTTCCTTCTTCCGTGCTTACAGCTCTCAGGTGTTTCAAATCTGACTTGTTTCCTACTAACATAATCACGATGTTACTATCAGCATGGTCACGGAGTTCTTTTAGCCACTTTTCTACACCAATGAAAGATTCCTTCTTCGAAATATCGTATACGAGAAGTGCTCCAACGGCACCTCTATAATAGGCAGAGGTGATGGCACGGTAACGTTCTTGACCAGCAGTGTCCCATATTTGTGCTTTGATTGTCTTCCCTTCTGTTTGAACACTTTTCGTGGCAAACTCTACCCCTATCGTTGACTTGGACTCGAGATTAAACTCGTTGCGCGTAAAACGAGAGAGAAGGTTTGACTTGCCAACCCCAGAATCTCCAATAAGAACAACTAAAGTTCGGATATCAAACAAGCATTATACTTTTTCCATTATTCACACTTACTTTTGAACAAATAGTCGTATTCGTCGTCGCTTCTTGCCATGAACCGAATAAAATAGGACTAAAGAGACAACACACAACTCCACAAACTTTTAATAGGAATGGGAAAATGAAGAAAGCACTTGTGAAATTTTTTGGCGCTTTTCCATGAAGACACTCTTTATTACTTGTTATTATTATAATGATAGATATAGTTGGATTGCTCACAAGAGAAAAAACTCTCAAAACACTGCTATACCTCGTACTCTGGAGCCTTGGAAGGTCCCCATTGTTCGTTCAAGGCGTCCCTGTTGCTTTCGTTTGAGATGGGTATGTTTGGAAAACGCTTCTACCACAGAGACTGTACTTGGTCAAGGTAAAAACCAAATATTTCGTAAAGGAGAAGATAAAATAGCATATGACTACTTCCCTGGTGAGCTTCCTACAGTGTTATTCTTACCAGGCTTGTCTATGAATCGGCATAGTGCCAAGGGAAATGCCCTAGAAGTGGCTTGTAAAATTCAAAAAAGAGCATATTTAAGTGCAGATTATTATGGAATAGGTCGTTCTTCGGGGGATATACGTGATGGTACGGTTTCCCGTTGGACGGAAGACACAGTGGACTTGATGGACCATCTAATTCCTGAAGGTCCAGTAGTATTGGTTGGTGCTGGTGTTGGTGGTTGGGTGGCACTTCACGTTACACTAAGAAGACCACAAAGAATTGCTGGTATCGTGGGTGTAGCACCTGATCCGGATTTCACTCAGGACGTCTTATGGCCAAAACTGTCGGACGAAGTGAAAAATATTATCATGAAAGAAGGTCTATATGAACTACCTTGGGGATATAGGACTTACCCCATTTCGAGAAATCTTATCGAAGATGGAAAGAAGATGTGTTTGTTGCAGGGTTCGAGTGGATCCATCGAAATAGACTGTCCAGTTCGGATTATTCATGGACTGAATGACGAAGAGATTCCTCCACAAAGAGCACTTCGTTTGGCAGACCGATTGCGTAGTCAAGATATTGTTATTAGCTTTGTCAAGTCAGGAGGACACACTTTGGAAACGGAAGACGACTTTCAGAGAATGATAAGCAGCGTTGTTGAACTTTGTAAAAAGTCTTATACCTATGATCTATCTTCACCTCAAAGTGGTTAAGTAATTGCAGACAAGCAAAATAAAAATGGGATTTCTTCAAACTATTTTTACTATGAATAACACGAGAACAAGGAAACAACCTTAATCTTGCTCGCTTCTTCTAACTCGATCGTAAGGGGTTCCAATAAGTGGCTCGTTTCCCCAAGGAAAGCGAGGTTCCTTGCTGTTCTTTAGAAAACCAATTTTCAAAAGTAGTTATTAAGACCACTCACCTTGACCTTTCTATCGATGAAAGGATACTCTGGAGGAATATAAACTTCGTGATGCTCCAATTCCTTTGGAAATAAGTAGGCAGCTACTCCTGCAACTACCAAACCAAAAGCAAGCGAAAATCTTTTCCATTTTTTGGCTTCCTCTAGAAACAAGCTTTACGAGTCGATATATGCCAAAGGTTTACTACTACTTACGTGAGTGGTGTTCCTTTGGAAATGAAGCTGCTTTGTCAAACCCTGGTGGAAGTTTCCTTACAGTACTCGAAGCGGTTGAAAATAATCTGTAGGAGTTCCGAATAGTCATCGGAAAGGACCAGGAGCCTCAAGAAAAAATGAACCAAGTGAAATGAATGGGGGAAATGAAGATATGATCAAAAAGATTGCTTTCAGAAGACTTGCTGTTTACACGACTATATTTTTACATAGCTTTATAAATGTTATAAGATAGCACGAAAACAACACACAAATACTTTACAATCTACTATTCAAATGTATTTTTATACTCAAGACTACGTAGTTTTTAACAAGTTGAATTCAATATTCTTCACATTTCATACGGGTAACCACACTTTTAGGTTTTCCAGGACGATGTCTAAACTCCCTTTCATCACAAGGATACTTTTTATAACCTTATTGTTGTTGACTTTTTCCAGACACCCATTCACATGAAGGCGCGGAAATCAATCTTTTCTAGAAATCGAAAGTAGATATTCTGGCTCTCTTTGGAAACTTCTATCGAGTTTACATGCAATCATCAGCTCAATAGTCATTCTGTACAAAATTTTTATTCATCATTTGTTGTTGCTGAGCTTTGTAGAGAAATAGTGTGTGTAATGGCAAAAGCTGTAAGAATTGGTGCTGAAGGATATAAACTGAAGCTGGATGGTGCAGTGCAAGAGATAGATGGAAGGTCGGTAGTTCTGGTTGACGTGGATAGTATCACACCTCTTATGTTTGGAGGAAGTATGAAGGAGAAAGCTAAGCTGTTGGACGCCAAGTTTTTAAGGAAATATTATGAGGAGAACAAGGACTTTTTCTTCTTGTCAACCAGGGAGGAAAAGAAAATGTTTGTGACCTTGCAACTCGCAAGAGAATATGCAGAGTTGGTCGATGACCAATTCTTAAGAGGCTTCTTCGAGAAGGCACTGGAGTCTGCACAGAAGGCTTTTTAGATATTTGGTGTGTGATAGTTTCATTGTCTGTAATATCAACCGAGTCAGAAACAACGGCTTGGTATTTGTGGATATGTGGTAGTGTTGTGGAAGTCTGATGGGTTACCAACGGCTTTCTTGAGTAAATAAATGCTTTTGATTGTTGACAGATTTTATGAAAGAACGAAGTGATGTCCCCTCAATTAGTTAATATGTTTTGCGCGCAACCGAGACATTGGATGATGGGCAGGGATATTCTCCATGTTCAAGAAATTGTTATTGGTTTGAACCATGGCACTGAAACTAATTATTTTCCTGTTTACTTTACATTATGTTGTATTATGTTTTGCCTTGTCTAATGGCACATCAACCAGCTATTTTTGTGCTTCTTCTTCCTCTGGAGTGGTAGTAAGTTATGAATGGGTAGAAAAGGATAAAGGAATACTTTCTTGGGTTATGAACAATACAGCAAACACTGTTTCCACTTTTATCCTAGTCCGAGGAGCTATTTATCAGGACACAGAACTTATTGGACCGTATGCTTTTGGAGCAGCATATTATCCAGCCTATATATACAATGGTTTGGCCCAATATTTTCAAGGTCCTCCAGTAACTTTACAAGAATATCAGTCTTCAGGAGCAACTCCTCTTGGAATGGTCCAGCTTGATTCTCAGCAGTTCTGGACAAGTTTTGTTTTTACGTTATCTCCAGGTCAAATATTTCGAATTGAGGAAGCTGGATATCTTTATAATGGTGATGTCTTGATTCCGGAATGTCAAGGAGTTTATGAACTAAGCTATCAAGGGACATTCAATTTTCAAATAAGTTATTCGATTGCTGAACAATGTCAAGCATTTGATGATGTACAACCATGTCCTCCTTCTCCCTTTTCAATGGGAAGTGCTGTTTACAGCGTACCTTCATCCTCTGTTGTTAGCTCGATGTTTTTACCTAGTTTGGACGATCGTTTTCAGATGACTTTTTGCACTTCGGATGCCCTATTCTCTCTAGCCTCGCGTCGTAAAGCAATTCCCAAGTCTACTGATCAAAGAGAGAGTTCTGCGTTGTATCGAAAGGAGAAATGTAGGACTAGTCATCTAGGATCATATCATAGAAATCCTATCTTGCTCATTCGTTGAACTCTTTTGTATAAACGAAAACGTGATCAGATATAGTCTCAATATATATATATATATATATATATTTTGTGTATGTTACATATTCTACAACAGATCATCAAAGGCGATGATGGTTTGGTATGAAAGGGGGGATATTGTGGTGGTTTGGTAGTTGTCAGTTTACAACCAAGTTTCAACATATTTCACGATATTTATATGGTCAGTCCAATAAAGACCGCTTAAGGAAGTTTCTGGATGAAATTGAAAACCACGATAACGTCAAGTTAATCCACAACGAAGGAAAGAAGGATGTACCAACTATCCCAACCGAGATGAAAAGAACACAGTCTTTCGTTCGTCACAAGTTGGAACAGTTAGAAGTCCAACAACTGATTGAGTTTCTTCATGGTATGAATGCAGTGAATCCTTGTGTTCTTGATGTGAGAGGAAAGAGTAGTTTTGCTGATTATCTGATCATCTCGAGTGGTAGAAACAGTTCCCATATTTCTTTTATGACTCGTAAGTTGGCAAAGGAAATAGCAGCTATATCACCTGGTCATCGGAGACCTTTGGTTTATGGCAGAGAACGGTCAGATTGGATTGCTGTAGATATTGACCGTATTGTGGTGCATTGTATGTTACAAGAAACCAGGGAATGGTATCAGATTGAACAACTTTGGTTGGATGAGACAAATGAGGATAGCCAATGATACTGTTTTTGGATACTTTATCTTATTGAAAACAGGATATAAAAGCCTTCTTTTATTTCTCTACTAGCTGATAGAGATATATATATATCATGAAGAACAATACCTAGTGAAGTATTTTGCCATTGTTATGCGCTACTATACTCAAACGAATCCTCTTACAGAACGTTCCTACATGCGAATATTAGCTCTGATAGAAGAGAATGGCATTCCATTGGATTCTGATTGCCGTATATCGGAAGCCAGCTTACAGCGAGAGAGAGAACATGCCATCCTCGGGATATCCCATGTGCAAACCGCAATAAAGTAGTCACCGAATTTCCTACTAGATGCATGAGAGGATGGACAGTAACTCAAGCCTGTAAACGATGTCCTTCCTTCAGCAGTATTTAATACTTACCGTCGCTATCTATACCTAACACTGCCAAAGACTTTGCCAAAGGTACTGCTCCTTCGACTGTCTCCAAACAAGCAAGACCTTTTGTCGAAGAGTCAGCGGCAGCGGTGGCAAGTGAAGCTCGACCGGAATCCCGAACAATACAATTATTTTTGGAGATGGTTTCCGAGATACTTGGACTCCTTTTTGAAATATGACGACAAGAGAACCTTTGTTGGGTATAATCTTGGATAGCCAACCAGGTTCGATCACAAGAGGTTGACTTTGAACGAATAGGTCGTTTTCCCAAACCTTGACGGGCTATCCTAATCATAGTCGTGGTGGTGTGAATAGCTAGAAGGATATGAAAGCTTGTTCTAGTTACCTCGTCTTATTCGTAATATGTCTGGTCATACGAAAACTGCTTCGAATCCAACTACTTGCCATGACAAGTTGTCGTCTTGTTTCCCAATTCGCTTCAATGTAAGTCAATGTGAAATTATTCTCTCTCTTTTCTTTTATGGGAGTCACATTTTAGACTAGTATATCTCCAACCATTTCTTCCAATAGAAATATACTCAAAAGATTCCAATATTCTTGTTGCCAGATAGTCGACCATTTCTCTCTAGGAATATTTTATATATATGTATATATATATATGTATGTCTATGAAAACTTGTCCTATAAATGTCTCCTAAACCAAACAAGCAATAGCACAATCATATATCTAAACCCTGACTCTACTTTTCAAAAGAGTCCATCCCTACTAACTCTACATATCTTGAAACAGATATCAACGAAATGATTTAAAGGAAAAGACTTTCTCCTCAAGTCACATAAAACGAAGATGAGAAATAATTATTGGCTGAAAAATCTACCAAAACATCCAAATCATCGTTCAATAAGCTCAACTCCTCTTCACTTAACTCTAAAGCTGCATCTTCATCACCTTTGGAAGTTTTCATTCCTTTAGAATGATCCAACACAAATATATCCTCCATAAAAGGAACTCTTTCCCATAAACCATCCGAAAGATTAGCTTCCAATTCAGTTGGCTTTTTATAAAAAAGGTCGTCATTCAAAAAAGTAGCCAAATCCTTTGTGTAGTCTGAAAATACAGAATCTACAAACAATGCCATCTCCTCTTCTTTCGAATCTCTGACAATCACAATATCCTTACTTTCTTCTGGAGTTTCTACCATCATAACCTCCTTATTATTGTCCATCGTGCCACTTTTTATTTCTTCCTTATCCACAGAAACAACGCAAGGTTCACTAGCACGAGTCGCTGATTGAGATGAAACTCTTCTCATCTTTCTAGAATCTCTTGTCAAGCGCAACTGTTTCGATTTCTGTCTCTTTCGCTCCAAAAACTCCTTGTCTTGTCCATTGTAAACTTCACATTCTGGATGCTTCTGCAAATAATTTTCCAAATTCTTCCAAAGAGGTGCAGCGTTCCCAGCAATCTTTCTTTTCTCTACACGATTCCAAATAGAAACATGTCCTCCTCCAGTTGCATGTGAAACTGTCGAATTTTTCGTCTTTATATCCGAAAATCCTGTTTCAGGATCCTCTAACATATCTTGTCCTGAATAGATTTCACATTCAGGATGTTTTTCAAAGTATTTTTTTAAATTCTTAGCTAAGGGTGCAGCATTTCCTGCAATCTTTCTGCGTTCTACACAATTCCAAATAGTTACATGTTCACCATCTTCGAAATCTTCCAGTCTTCTTTTCGTCCTAACGACCGTTGTTGAACTCTCTGAAGTATTCCATGAAATTTCCTGTTCTTCCGAATCTAATGAGGAAAAGGACAACCTTGATTCTTCACTACTAGTACTATTGGAACTGATCGAGTCTTCATCATAATATGTTGCAGATATCTCGTCTTCATCACTAGAGCTAGTAGTTGAACGACTCTTCTTATTTGTGAAACGGTGGTTGGAACGAAAAGTTGTCTTTCTACTAGTGCCCCTTGTGGTCTTCTTCCTTCCTTCCTTGCTGTCTTCTTCAAAAAGTTCTTCTGTGACTCTATTATTATGTGAACTTGTATTTTTCTTAAGATGATGGGAAGCATGGGTTAAGTCAAGAACGACAGGCCTGGATAGCTGAGTAGATAAGTTACTATCTTCACTATCGTTGAAAGAGGGTCGACTTTGACGTGAAAGATTTCTCAACTTCATCGTCTCAAACAAGCAACAAAACTTCTATTGTCGGCAATTTTGTCGAGCGTATACAGCTCAATGTGTTCTTCAAAGAAACAGTTGTCCAGTATCTAAACACGGAACAAAGTACACAATCCCAAAGAGCTACAAGGCAATTGTATCTACAAGACACTGAGATCTCTAGAATAATAGCAATATTTTTCTATATATAGGTTGTAACGAAATTATTTGCCTTTCAACACGATGTCTTGTACCCTGGAACAGTTGTCGGTGGTCGGTACACACTTCGATAGAATGGATGATAAGATGGAGGGGTCCCTTTCCTTGTGCGTGTGAATAGGCTCAGGAAATTAACCAATCAAATCGATCCTTCCTCCAGAAAACCGCCGCCGAAGTAAATAGAGGGAATGACTGTTCGACGGGACATTCACACACGTGGGAGGAAAAGTTCTGTTACGGATCTTCCAACAAAGAGATAAAGAGAGAGAGAGAGAGAGAGAGAGAGGAAGATCTCAATACCAATGAGAAGATTTCATACACACTAATGCATAGGGACTAGAAAAGGCACCCTGGTTGTGTTACTCTCCATCATCTGGTGAAGTTTGATTCTTTATTCTTCGATCCATTTGGGAATTCTCTTATTAGTGCAGGTTTTTTAGAGCAATGACCTCGCAACACGGTAAAAAGGAGCAGTCTGAGAGACATCCTAAAATAGTGGTAGAAGAAGTTGACGAAAATTCTGAAGACGTGTTGAGGACAAAGCCTAATGAGCAAGTAACTGCCACAGTTGAAGAACCACAGGAAGTAATAGAACAACGTTCCCATAATGACTGGACTGACCCAGCAGAAGACGAAAGCCATCAAGTGGAAATACTTCAGAGGAAAAAAAGACGAGACTCAACAATAAGGCAACCCTTTTCAGAGAATAGTTCTGCGGGACGTTGCAAAAAGTTGCGTAGTAGAGAAAGTAGCTTTTTTATGGGAGAACCATTTGGACAGTTGGAGTCTTTTTTTGGTGGTTTTGGTCCGTTATGGAAGGGTTTTGATTCGTTTGACTCATTGTTATCTGGAATGAGTCCTTTGGGCAGTGGTGGTGATCTTTTTGGTGACGATATCTGGGGAAGTGATAACGTTCAGATGTACAGTTATTCTTCTTATCAGTCTATTGGTCCAGATGGTCGACTACGGGAGCAGAAGACCAGTTCCAAGCGCGTAGGTGACTTGAAAGAGACCACACGTATGGAGCGGGATACGCAAGAGGGAAAAGAGGAAGTTTCATATAGCAGAGAGAAGGGTGACCGCGGAAAGGAAGCAAGACAAAGAAGAGACAAAAGTGGCAAAATATTCAAAGAGGACAAATATTATAATATGACTCCAGAGGAAGCTGAACAGTTTGAGCAAGAGTGGAAGACATTTGCTGGAAATAACCATAGGAACTTGAGTCGCTCACGTGACGGACGTGCTTTAGGTTATCGACCCAATAAAATGGAATAGACTTTGACAGCCAAACTTTGCTATAGAAAGAAAGCAAACAAACTGGAGATGCATTTGTGAAGTTTGAATGTGTTTTCATTGCAATCATGGCATTATGATAGATTCAGTTGAGCAGCATTCTGAATGTTTTTGAAAGCTCTCTCTTGGATGCCTATTGTATTAACATCGAATTGCGTATCAGAACAAGCCAAGCAACACGATGAGTTAAAATTAGCACTAAGGATGTTTTTGTCAATCTCTCGAAACAAGAATCCGAAAAATCTCACAATATCATTCAAAAATGATCAAAGTCCAATTGTTCGTTTTTGAATGGCCTGTCAAAGTGGCGGGTCGGCAAACGATGAAAAAGAAAGTATTATTGCTCTCGCTTTGAATATAGTAAAAGGAGGAGACCTGAACACACTAACCATCCGAAAAGTGAAGGAACTTCTTAAAGAACAAATTGATGTTGAAGATTCTTATGACGAACAGCTTACTGAGCTTGTAAAAGTTGCCATCGATAGACATGTCACTAGTTTACAAGAGTCAGGATTGGTCAAAGTCCGAAACGAGAATTCCACTCAAGTAGTAGAGCAACCAAAAAAAAAGAGGAAAGCCACGTACTAAGAACGAAGAATTCAGTGGTCCAGCTGTTGAAAACATCTATCATCGGTTGACCAAAGTCTGTCGCCAACTAGGTATTGGTCTTCCTATAAACAAACTGAAAGGTATTGAAGAAGAAAGCGAAAAGATAGAGATTGTCAAAGAATATTTGAAAAAAAAGGGAGTGAAGAGGGATCCTCTCTTGCTTACTGAGAAGCAACTGAAATCTTTACGAGCCAAATTAGAACGTGAAAAAGAGTTAGAAAGTTTGGATACTAGCAATATCTTAAAAGATTCTAGTAAGAGGAAAAGAACAGGAGTATCCTTGGGAAGCACGGTGATCCAAAAGGATACTAGTAGCCACTCGATAGACGACGAAGAGGTAGAAGAAGACGAAGACATCAATAGTTCTTCACAAGAGGAACACCGAGAAGATTCTTTGGATTCGAAGCCTTATTCTAGTAAAAGAAAAAGACACAAAACCGTACAAGTTAGTGACGAAGAATCTGTTTGACAACCAGTGTCGGCGCTTATCAATTATATGATAGAATCTTTCACCTATTTTTGATAACAGCTAACTGAACTTTATCATTCGTGTCTTGTATTTAGTTTGTAGAGTTTTTCATAACTGAAAATCATTTCAAGTAAAATACGATTGCTCGAGAATTGAGCAAAGGGGATGTCCTCTGATGAGTCGTATGAAGCAACCCTATCCGATCCTAAACTTAAGGCAAAGTTTAGAACTTTTAAAACAGAGCTTGGTTCTATCTTAGCTTCTTTTAAGAGAGCAGAAGACTGGGCTGACTTGATTCGAGACTTGCAACGACTTGGAAGACTGCTTCAAAAGTTTCAAGACTTGCCTCTACTTCCACATAAGCTCCAAGTTGCCAAAAGACTGGCGCAATGTCTTTCAAAGTCACTTCCGAGTGGTAAGTGGTTGGAATAACGTTGAAAATGCTTCTATAACTTTTTGAATAGGAGTTCACCTCAAGGCACTGGAAGTTTATGACATTATATTTAGTAGATTTCACTTAGCTTTGTCACTTCGGGATATGCACTTGTTTGGGTTGGGCATATTTCCTCTTTATCCAGTAGCCTCAACAACCACACGTCCCTTGCTGTTGCAATTGTTTGAAAAATATTTTGTAAACTTATCAGAAGATTTCGTGGTTAGTTTATTGCAAGGTCTCTTTGCTTCCATTCTTCCTGGAATGGATGATGAGTCGGGAGAACTATATGTCAGGCTGATAAACCTACTTGATGTTATTCGAAGTCGTCTTTCCAATGATGTCCTTTTTTTCCAAATATTTTGGCGCACAATAAGTGATTTTCGTGAGTGTCGTTTGAATGCTTTAAACTATCTTCAGCTTAAAGCAGGACAGCTTTCTATCATTGAATCTTGGTAAGTTGGATATTCGTTCGTTAAAATGAAAAGCTTCTGATATTGTTTTAGTATTGATATTGTCAAACCTGCCATAATATTATGTCTTGAGGATACTCATATCCTAGTTCAAAGAGCCATTTTGGATTTTCTCAGTTCGTATATTCCCATTTCAACTGTAGAAAGTGTCTTTAAAGACGACAGTGTAGCTTTGGTTCAGAAAGTTCTCAGTTGTCTTTTGCAGCGAGACCCGTCTATCACCAAAAGAGTCTTAGCTTGGGTTTTGGAAGAAAAGGATGAGTTTTCTTCGATTGTGGAAGAGAAGGATTCTACAATGGAAATGAAGAATACTGTGGAGCTTATCGTTGCTGCCTTGAAAGGATATTTACAGATTCCAAGTAACCGAAGAGACTGCAGTTGGGACGTTTTGATCATTGTCCACTCATTATTTGAGCGACAACAATTGCAAAGTAGATTGAAGGATAAAATTGCAATGGAGCTACTTGACTATGGTTTTAGTTGTCTGCAAGTACTTCATATCAATCGGAAATCCGCGGACTTTGCACGTCTAGAGTCATCATATTCGGAAAATGTTAAAACAGTTGGTAGTTCTAAAAGGACTCTTGACTTGGCCAAGTCTTATTCATCCAGTTCTCACGAAATGGAGCGACTGTTTGTGGAATTGTTGAGTGGTGCTTGCTATACGCCACTCTTGTCAATGATTGAAGAGCTTCTTGAATCGAATGTAGAACAGTTGCCTTGTTTAAGATGGCAAGCATTCTCATATGTCTTGGAGCTGCCAGTAAGTAAACAAGAGAACCTAACAGGTTGGTGTATAAGAGTTATGCAACATACCTCAAAATTTATGAGAGAATGTTGTTTGAACTGTCATGAACAGTTTTGGGTTTGGAAACATCACAAAGCTGTATGGGACTTTTTTAGTCGAAGTTTAATTTTATATCTCTCAAGTTTGGATGGAGAGTTGCGACGAGATAAACATTTCAATGAGTTCAATTCAATTGCAGTGGATTTCATTCACTCCATGAAAATTTGGATAAGGGAGACACTTCTTTCTCAGTCATCACTATCTTCTCATTTTTCGGAAGGAATCTTGTGCTCGGAATCGGGACAAGATATGGCTAACTTTGAAAAATTTCTCTTGCAGATAGGTTCCACTTTGCGTTTGTTGTACTCTTCATTGCAGTCGAAGCGGTTGTGTGATGAACTATTGAAACTTGCGCAGCAGCAGAGTTTATCTTCTCAGTTTACGATTGCCTATTGTGGAGTTTACCAGTTCGTAGAATTATTTACTTTTTATAGGAGTTTTATGGATTCGAGTGACTCTAGAGGACAAGCTTCAGCTTCTATGGAAGAAAAGCCTTGCGATAATACAGAAAATGAGTCTCAAATGAAATCAGAAACTACTCTAGAACACTTTATCTCCCCTGTATTGTTGTATTGGTGGAGTCTTTTGCATCCATCAGCTGAAAATTGTTGTATCCGAGTAGCACAAGTATGGTTTTCTTTACAAAAGTGCTTTCCTGTGTTAGCACAAAGAATCATTTGCAAACAATTGAACACTCGATCGAGCGTAGAGAGATTGAAAAATTTGGAATGCTTTGCAATGTTGTGGAAATTGGGTAAGGATTCAGTATTTTCTAATGCAACTCCTGTACTGAAATAGCGAGAAAGTATTGGATTACCAGTTAACTAGCCCCCCACCTTCTATATGTACTTTGGATGCTATTAATCTTTTAAATGACCCGGATGAATCGGTAAAGGCGGCAGCAGTGAATTGGTTATTAGATTGTTTTTGTTACCAGCCAACTAGTATTTTGGATATTTTAACCGAATCTATTCTAGCTTCTAATTTTTACTGGGATAATCATTCGAATTGTATAGTGAATATAGAAGATGCTCCTCGGGCACGATATGGATTGCTTCAACTGAATAACGTGATCAACACAGTTTCCTCTTATCGATATGCCTTATTGGAAAGAGATGCCTTAATATTTACTCGGTTACAGTCATCTCATTTTATTGTTAGTCGTTTGTCTTCTGTGTTTTTAAGTAATGATGTCAGACAACAAATGGAAGAGACATCACAAGCTTTTCCTTTATCGACGAGAAGTAGAAGGAGTCGAGACCAACAACAAGAAACTTTAGACCGAAGTACAGAAAAATTATTTCCTGGTTCTTTATTTCCTCCTTCAGAATATTATCATGTGATTGCGCTTATTTCTCTTAGTTTTTTACAAAGTGACTTACAAAGTAACTTATCGCAACGATGGGAACAGCAGACCAAGTGGGATGCTGTAGACTTGTTGCCCTATATTGACGATTTCTGTCTGTTAAAATACCAAAACAAAGAAGATTGGATGATCACCTTTACTGGTTCTGAGGATCCTTTTCCATTTTTCTCTTCGATGTATAACAATGCCGCTAATGTACTATGGAACTTGTTGGAGTTTATTCAAACGATGCCTGAAATGGGTAGAGAGTTATCATTGAATATTTACCCATCAGTATTGATAGCACTAGATAAAGCCGTCAAGAGAAGAGACGAGTCTTTGCAAAGAATTTTGTTGGAAATTCTGGAAAGAATGATGTTTTATCAAGGAGCAAGTTGGGGAGTTCCAGAGTCTCTTCACTTTCAACAAGTACATGCAAATGCAGTATCGAATGTTATTGCATCAGAAACTTCTTTTCCATGGATGGAACGTCATTCTTTATTTCAATCATGTTATTTGCAAGGAATCCGTCAAAGTTTGAGTGAAACTAACGGAAATGCGATTGTATTGGCTCGAAAGTGGATACAGTTCACAGAAGATATTGTACATGTTACTCAGTATACTTTGCCATTTCTTGTAGAAACATTTGTAACTATAGTTGGGGAACAATTGGAAAGCTTATTCACTATGAATAGGAACCAGCAAGTTGAAGAACGAGTGCTGGAGCGACTAGTTTTACTTATTAGTGGCTTATATAATGTGCTCAAAAGAGTATTTCAAATACATCGGCAAGCAGTCAAGGATGGTACCTTGCCGTCAATATGGACAAATGAGAATGTAACTTGGAGAAGTCCACCTTCTAGCGATCTAAGAACTTTTCAGATAAGTAGTCAACAGTCCCAATCTGCTAGATCGGTTCTTGTTTCTAGTTTGAATCCTTTTCGGCTAATCAATGATTTGGTAAAAGATGTATGGGGAAAGGAGAGTTTGGAGCAAGCCGAGAAAACGATTGATCCTCGACAGGAAGTCATTCGTCGACTGGTCCTAAATCAATTGGATGAGTTGATTGCTTGGTTAGTAGATAGCTGGTTACGACCTTGGTTAAGTCTTTCAGAACGAGAAGATGAGGAAACTTCACGTCTTCAGTTGTTACCAAAATATTTTTCTCAACATCGGACCTGGTGTATCCATATAGTGGATTTATTATTTCGTAAACATCCGGTGGATACTTTGGCTGCGATAACTGTTTTCTGGGAGGATCGTATCCTACAATCCTCTTCACATGATGGGACCCAGTACAGAAATGAAGACGAGTCTTATCAAGATGATAAGCGTGTTTCGTCAAGAAGTAATTATCCCTCTGCTGAAATCTTATTTGAATTGCTTCATGCCACAGATGTAGTAACACCTGAGCTTGTTCTATCCAGTTGTTCTGAGTTGGCAGCAGCAACAGTTGTATATTTATCTAAAGAAGCTTTGGGAACTTCCCGTAATCCTAGTGCAACAAGTGATTCTGCAAGTTACCCATCGCATTCCTCCTTTGAAGATGAACTGGAAAGCTGGATACTTAGTATTGTTCCACCCAAATTGGATAAATCTTCATTATTAGGTAAGAAAGGATAACCGTTTGCATGTTGACATGAATGAAATATCTCTTCAGTCGTTCGTTTATCTTCTTTTTTAGCACAAGGTTCCACAAGTACCTTATTTTGTTCCAATGAATTTTTCCAAAATGTTTCTCCAGAGCGATGTATGATATCTTTACTATCTTTCATGGAATGGTATATTTCTAGTTGTAGTGAACCAGGTGAAAATAGTGCCGATTTACTGTCAACATGGCCATATATTTCCTACTGTCTTCGAGATATTTTGAATATTTGTAGCGAGAGACCTATCGTATTTTTTATCGCTTTAAGGCTTTTGGCTGCATTTATAGTGCGTGTTTTGTATCCTTTGGTCGACCGCAGTTTCCAAAAAGATTGGACAGAACTCTTTCTATATTTGGTGAAGAATTGTTGTTCCATTGCTGGTGGTTCTATTCAACAACGAACTTCGTTGAACCCCGTTAAAAGCCAGGGCCCCTATTCAGAGTCTGCTTCACAAGTTATCTTAAGAGCCTTTTCAATTCTCTCCATTACTATTGTCCCTGTTTTTGAACTCATTTCGAATTCTAATTCACCTAATTCCTTGTTGACAAGTTCAGGAGATTGGGAGACCAGCATTGGTTTGCCATCAAGTCAACAAATTGTGAATGTCGCGGTTCAAACCATTCGTAGAGTGGGTAATCGACCTACTATGACCTCTCATGAAATGGAATGTGCAGTTGAAGCAGCACGACTGTTAAGCAATTGTTGTTCATATCCTTGGGCAATAAGAGTCATGAGAAAGGAAGTCATGAGTTTATTGGATTCCAACAATATATTCAAACACAAGAACGAGGCGTTTCTAAGAGAATTTGCTCGTGTCATTTGTGTTCTCTTGGTGATGGGAAACACCAGTGGAGAAAGTGTGAATAGCAGTTCTTTCAGTTCAAAAGTAGAAAGTGGTCCATCTTTTTCGGAAAGAATTTTCTTTGAAACCAATAGCAACCACCACCACCATCACTATCATAACAGTCATACTCCTCCTCCTCCTCCACAACCTTCTACTGGTGCTGCTGTTGCTCATAGTCAACTTTCAAATTCAAGTTGGCATTTATTGATGACAAGTTTCCATTCATTTGCGAGTAATAACGCTATTGGCAATGTTCTCTTGAAAACACGTGATGTTGAAAATACTACTTGCTGTCGTATTTTAAGAAGAATTTCGTTCTGCTTTTATGCAGGTGGCAGCAACCAGTTTATTGCACAATTGCCATTGCTGTTGGAAAGATGGAATGAAGCATCAGAAATGTCATCTATCGATGTGCACAAGGAATGTTTATTTGGTATGAGAGTGTTGTTGATTCGGTATAGTGAGCCACATATTGCCATGTTTCGTGTATGGTTACAAATGGAACTATTTCAAATATTCAGTCATCCCAACACTCATCGATCATTGTGGATTGCAGCATTGAGAACCATCGACTATCTTTTATTATTCGGAATGTCTGACTTTATTTTCACCAAAAACTTTTTCCTTTCAGGTGACTTGCAGTCTTCTTCCCATCAAGCCACAGTCGAGATGGGTGATAATGTTTCCATTCCTGTGATTGGAAACTGGTTAAGGAGAATTCCTTCTTGGCAAGAAAAGGCGAAACCTTTTGAAGCAATCATTGATAACCAACTTCGACAAGGACTCCCTATTGACCTGCAAAGTCACACGGAATTCAATGACGACGAAGAAGAAGATTATTTGGTTGCCTTTGCTGTGGCAATAGAGAGAAGAGCAACCGAAACCATTTGGCAAACGATACCTGTTTGTCAAAGAGCCGCAGAAGAATCCGTCGAAAGAGAGTTTCTCGATTCCAAGGCTTGAGTAGCACTCTATTTGAATCGAATGGAAGGGACGTCATAGTACTTCAGTTCTCTCAGATTTTCTCTGTCCACTAAATGATCCAAACGCTCAATAGGTCTTTTAAGGGGACCCAAACTATACATTCCTGTGAGTCGTTTGATACGATACCACCAAAGCGTGGTTACAGGTAATGTCTTTTTCAAGTTTCGACAAAGACTAGGAATCAAAGATTGGCAGAGATTGGAAGGTATGATCATAGGAGGGTCTATAAAACGATAATACAAACCACTGTCCACAATAGCTTTGGTAGCGTCATAACTCCAAACTTCGGCTCCAAAATGGCCATTGACGAATATTCGATATTGAATTCTCTTCGCAGCATCTAAAAGAGAAACCAGATCGACCACCGGAACTTGCCATTTTTCTGCCGCACTCAATAAACGCAACCTTTGTCGTTCCTCTCTTTCTTTTTTCATTCGTTCCAGTACAAGTTTCACATATTTGACATCGGGCTGTGGATCATTACAAAGTTGAACAAACCATAGGAGGTCCCCACAATTGCCACCAATGTGCTTGCAAATGATTTCAAATACTTTCTCATTGCATGTGAAACCAAAAAGTTTCAGGAACGCCTTTGTTTGTGTCCTTCGCAATGGAAATATTTGAAGATGTTCGGATGGAGCAATGGAAGGATGAAGGTCAACATAAGGAAGCGTTTGATGTACCGTGACAACCAAAGGAAGCCGTTTTCCATTTTTGGATCTTCTCAACAGTAACATATCATGAAAATATTCCCGGCTCGCAGCATTTGGATGAGAAGGATCCAGCAAAGACTCAAAATTTCGTAGAATAATGACAACTCGTATCAAAGGCTGTACCAAATGAAGTAAGTCTACTACGAAACAAAACTGATACCAGTTGACTTGGTCTCTCTTGGATGGAGAATCGGAATGACTTTGCTTGGTCAAATAGGGTTGACTGATAGAAAGCAGCGTCTGTACAGCCGAGTGAAAAGGATGACTAGTGGCCATGCTTTTCGAATGTTTCTCAACTTGCCACAAGAATGATTCCTTCTCATCATAGATAGCTGGCACTTTGCTGGCTTCACGAGCAGCAGTGGATTCACTAGTTGCAAGAAAACCGCGAGTCTCCCAACCTCTTTGAAAAGCTTGCAATACTTTCAACGGTGACTCAGAAGAGAGAACTTGGTGACCAAAAACTTTGTTAGCCAGCAACTCGACGACTCCTTGTATGGGATTCGCACTCTCTTTACAGTCTAAATCTATTACTAGTCGGGGTATCTTGGTATCCTCTTCTATCTGCCAGGAATCCTTTCGTTCCATGAATCTTTCAACAGCTTCATCAACGACAGTATTCAGACCAACTCCTGGGGGACCAGAAACCATAAACATTCCATTTCCAGAGGCACTTTGTGTCGTACCATTCAAAAGCAAAGTTTCCTCATTTTTGAATCCTTCACTAAATCTGGCAGATAATATAGCGGAATATTCTGGGCGTGCCAGTTTCGTTTCTGATTGATTGAACGAGTGAACACATCGACGGGAAACCCTTCGCAACGCTTTCGTCGCAACACAGGTCAGCAAAAAAAACTTTGTGGTTGCCATGAAAAGGTGGCTGAGGTGAAGTATTACAAAACGCCTCGTATATGTGTGAGAACAACTCAACGTCTATTCATCAACCCAAGTGAATGAAACCCACAAAATCATTCGTTCTTCCCAATCAAAGCAGTCTCCTACAACTGAAGATATGGCATGGAAAGAATTATCTTTACCCATGAATGCATATTCAACCAAGTGTACATGTAAGAGAAATAAAAACTGTCCGTTCAATGTATATGATATATAAATTGGAGATTAT